AGTAATAACCAATTCTCTTGACATTTGGCATTGAATCTTCGGTCAAGAGTTTGATAGATGGAAGAAGAGACAATAATTGAATTTGACCTTTAACACTAATTGCCAATTGGGATAAAATACTGGCACTGTACTTTCTCCACTGATTATTATCATCAATTAACCACTTGTTATTCTTAATAGTTGTAAAAATACTTGAATTATCACTAACTGACAATAACAAGTCAATTTGATCAACATTACACAACATCTTATCCAAATCAAACAAGTATTTAAGCTTTTGCTTCTTGATAATCCTATCGACCTGTAAATATTGCAATAATTGGAGAACAGATTCCGATTGTTTGTCATCACTCTTATCTCCACTACAGTGTGAACTTCTAAATGTTGAATATTGTTTGAAAGCATAGGTTCTAAACTTGGAGGATTCAGCAATGAACTGTCTTTGAATCTTTTTCAATTGACCTCCTGAAATATTCTTCAAAGCCACTTGTTGTTTTTGTGGATCGACACCTACATCAGACGGAACATTCTCAACTATATCAGTAAGCTTTCCCTTTGTCAATAATTCGGTAATAAACTTGAGATTGTGAGTTTTGAACTGATCACGAACCCATTGTTCACTCTTTCCATCTCTCACTCCACTAATGACATTTAACATGAATACTTTCTGATAGGCATTGAGCTTTTCAATTTGAACGTCTTCGCTATCATTTGTATTGAGGAATGCCAAATCAGAGCCACCGAAATGAGGTGGCATCTTTTCAGCAAGTTGAACTTTTCTAGAATTGACACTCAAACAAACATCCCACCATTGAGTTCTCTGATTTTTTCCTTGAGTTTCAAAGAGAGCATTCGTCGTACCAATGATATATTCTGGAATTTTAGAAGTTGCAGATAACACATCATCCATCTCTGAGAGTGGCACATATGGATGTACACGATTGACATTATATTGGAATGGATAAATCAAGAGAGGAAGAGTGAGACAGATCTGTGAAACCAACTTGGCAGGTGAACCAATTACCATAATTCTCTTATCCAATAATAGAGCATTCCAACAAACAAGCATTGTTTCCAATCCAAAATATTGAACTAATTGTACAAGAGAAGTTCCATGTGTAAATGCAATTGGTGTGAATGGATCAATCTGACGTGGAATATTCAAAGTAATAGTATCAGTATTTGGGAATAATTTCAATTGTAACATGTTACAATTTCTGCACTCGTTATAAAACTCTTTCAAAGTATCATTAATCTGATCATGAACTTGATTCAAAAGATTTAAATCCGTTTCGTTTAATTCTTCACCTGGTTGTTTCTTAGTAGCTGTAGCATTAACCTGTAAGTGAATATTATCCAAATCCAAAATTCTATTCAATGCCAATCTCAATAAATTCTCATAAACAGTAAATAATGGTTTTGATGAAAATAAAATAATTGACTTTTGAATGGCGCCTCTCTTGACACGTTCATCCTTCTTATTTCTAAATAAACAATGAGCATACATTGGTTTATCCACATAGGGTTCAATAAATTCCATTACTTGTTGTGTATTATTAACAACTGAACTATTCTCACTATTCGAAACACTAGAAACATTGTTAGAAGAAGCACCCGATTTCAAATAACTATACAGAGAAGAACTCACAACATTTGAAGGAATTACCAGATAGGTAGCATCCTCTTCAAAATAGTGAGCACCATCCGGAAGACAATAATCTCCCAAATGAGATGTGAAAGTGTTTAGGATAGTTCTTCGTTCGGGTGGATACACATGTGAAAGTGTGTTTCCTTTGAGTAAATCAAATTCTGCTATACACACACAGAAAATATCCATAATTATGCTGATGACGAATAGTTTCGAATAAATTAATTATTAAATTTTAATTGTGATGTGTTGAGAAGTTAATGTGAAAAAGATTAAAGAAGTGATGAGGTGGAAGGTCTGTTGTTGTGAGTTCTTTTGTTTTTTTGTAAATTGTGCCATTATTTAGAGTGATGACTTGACCCGCAGCTACTTGAAAGTTGATTGGAGATAAAAATGCAAGCATGAAAAAACGTTGAGGATGGGATTCGAACCCACGCGGATTTCTCCACCAACTTAGCAGGCTGGCGCCTTAACCACTCGGCCACCTCAACTTGATATCATGTTTAAGAATAAAATTATTAAATAATAAGTGGTTCCTTTATTCATTATATTGGTATTGTTCCAAATGACAGAAGATTTGAAAGGTGTTCAAATGATGATCAATTTGATGTCACAACTTTATTCGATTGTACTCTATGAATCATGTCTTGGAAAAAAGGTGAATCTATAAAATTTTCGAAACGAAACACTAACATGCTAGATATGATATCTTGTAAAATATCATCAAAAAGTGTTTCATCAGAGCATTTCTCTTCAATGGCTGAGAATAATTTCCTTAATAACTTTCCACTTGTATTGATTTGAAACATGGAGGTATCTTTCAAAAAGTTATCAATTATGTATTCGGCCTTCTGTTTGCATTCTTGAATTTTCAAATCCAATGCTGAGCTAGGTGAATTGTGTGCAAGAATATTCTCCATTTGATATTCGAATGATGGGCTGGCAGGTGATCTTCTCTGACACAACATTCTGAACATTTTAACTTGCTCATAAAAGATAACTGGCTCCAAACAATATTGATTGGATAGGAAGGCCTTGAAGAATGTTCTCATGGTTGCATTTTCCAAGACATTTTTCAATGAGAATTCATCCTCTTCATTGTTTTTAAAACTAGTACTGAAATTAGATCCTCTAGGTGTGAGTGGAAGGGATGATAATTCAGGTTGTTGTTTTCTCTTCTCTCTCAATTCCTCAAATACCATCTTCATGTTTGGGAATAGCTTTAAAAGTCTTGGAAGAAAGTCTTCTGGAGATGAACTATCTGAATATAAATGATCTTCTTTCAAGTGGAACAAGAAAACACCATAATCTGGTCTTGCATTCAAAATATCAGATGAATAGCTGCTTGTTACTTGTCCCTTATGTACAATATACATGCCAAATGATGAAAGCATGTCCATACCTTTGATTTCATGAGCTGAAGGCAAGAAGAATTTCTTCTTTTTCTGTACCATTAACTTGATCATGCTTGGCATTACTTTGGCATGTTTTAGGAGGGAAGCTTTCTTGACAGAGAATTCCTTCTTCATTTCCTTGGTTATCCTACAATGCAATAATTGAGTATTCGAAAGGTATTCTGAAAACTTGGAAATATCTTCTTGATGACAAACTACTGGAACAATATTTAACAATAAAAAGCTTGACAGATATCTCTGTAAGTCATCAATGACATTCTGACAAATTGGACAACCAAACCATTTGATAAATACTAACAATATACGATGCTTTTCACTGAGTTGTAACACTGAGTGTTTACCACCTGGATAAACAATCATTGTGTCCAACAATTCCATACTCACACTCAGCATACTTGCTTCTGTAGTTGAGTAGAATGAATCAGTATTGGTTGAGGATGTGCTACTAGATGTAGTGGAACATGTATCACAATTAGTCGTGGATGAATTGAGAGAGCGTCTATTATGTTCATTGTTGAGGCGAGATGTGGAATTGGTTGTTTGCAAAGATAACCTCTTGGTGGTTGGTAATTTGGATGTGGATTTGGATTGCATATTGTTGTGTTGTTTTTTAGAAGTTGTGGGGCAATAATGTCGTTTTAAATTGTAAGACAGTCGTTGTTTTGGATTGTCGTGGTGTGTTGGTTGCATCCTATTATATAATCAAATGCCTTGTATCCGCATTGTTGAGTAAGGATAAACATTGAAAGGTGACTTGTGCTGATAACATTTCTGTATACCGATATCACCATTTATAAGTTGTGGTTCTTAGGATCCTGTTTTGTAAAATGTGGTTGGCATTAATGGAAGAATAGAATCCATCAAGTAAGGATCATGCATTATCATGGAGCAATCACAGATTATTATAGATGAACCAAACTCATTAATGGCTAAGAAGCGAGTTCAGTTTCGTACATCAGTTCCTCCTTTTCCGTCATTAAAATAATTGTTATTGAAATAAAACAAGTCCTAATTGGAGAAAATTGTATTCAGTAATGCATTTTGCATTTTGTTGAAAAGAGATAATAATACAGAGATAATTTGCTCAGTAATTGTTTCCTCTTCTATTCGTCTCTCATTGCATTTTGGTATTTTTGAGCTAATTGCATGAGTTCTTCTACACTAAATTCACTTTCCAATATGTATGGATTATCAACGTTTGAAAATATCCATTCCACTGCAGCTTCTGGGTCGAGATTATGAAGAATGAGAGCCTTCTTTGCAATTCTCTTTGAAAAACCCAACTCCATAACCATGCCTACCAAACCATCATCTACAGGGAAATTATCAATTAATAATTGTCTTTGAATATCACTAATACTTGGTTGGGTTGGTCTTGGTGGTTGAGTTGTCGTTGGTGGTGCAGTTGTTCTTGGTTGTGTAGTATTTTGTACAGGTTGTGTTGGAGGTCTTGTTGCAGTGGTGGTTGTAGTGGTATTTCCTGAAGGATGAGTTGATGTAAATTCATGCATAATTTGTGCCAATTGATCAGAGACTGATCCGGTTGATCCTGATGATGTTGGAGTTGTTGGCAATAAATTAGAACCACTACTAGCTGTTGATTGTTGAGCCTCCGATTCAATCTCTATCTTACTCTTATATCTTCTCTGTTGATGATTAATTGGAATTAATAATACAAAGCCTTTGGAAAGAAGTGAATCGGAAAGAGTTTGATCATCCTTCAACTCAGTACCATTCTGATACAAATGTTGTGTGGATGCTTCCCATCCTCGTAAATTGTAAATTCCCTTCTTGAGATCGGTGATGGTTTGTAGAGTAGTGGATTTTGGTACCTTGACAATACCATCCAAAACTGTTCTAACTTTGATATGATCAGTCATTTGTTGGTTCCAAAGGAAGATGGAAATTTAAATATTTTTTATTTGGAATTTATTTTTAGAGTATTTTCCAATTTTTAAATAAATAAGAAAATCAATTAATATGTATTAATAAATAATAATTTAATAAAAATTTAAATAAATTAAACACCACACCAATCAACAATGGTATTAGCAATAACTTCAGCAGCCTTGTAAATATTTTCAATTGGAATATATTCATTAGTTTGGTGAGCCATATGAGTGACACCAGGTCCAAACACAACACTAGGTGTATTACCCAAAGCATTAACGTAACCAGCATCAGTAGCCCAAGGACTTGAGGCAATAATTGGATCTTGTCCAGTGACTTGACTGAAGGATTTAGTAAGCTGACTAACAAATTCATGTTCTAATGGGACATAACCTGGAACCCAACTGGCACCAATAAATTCCAATTTAGATGGGTAAGCATTGAAATGTTCTGGATCTTCTTCTACAATAATCTTGAAAACCAAATCATTCAAAACCTTCTTGGCATCTTCAACAGTTTCATAATTTGGAATAATACCAAAACGACCTTCAATGACAGTAAAATCTGGAACACTACTTGGCCATTCACCACCCTTAATAACACCAACATTGATTGGAACTGGAATGGTAATATTTTCAAAGAGTTTTTGCTTGAGAACATTTCTAATGAGATGAGTTCTTTCAAATTCCAATTTCTTGATAGCATTCAAGACAATTTGAGACTTTTCAATAGCACTAATACCGTCATATCTAGTACCACCATGAGCACTCTTACCATGGACAGTAATTCTGAACCACAAAGAACCTTGTTGTTGTGGGAAAATTAAGAAATTAGAAGGTTCTGGGAAAATACCAGCATCAGCATGACCATATCCTCTCAAAACAGCACTGACAGTACCAGCACCACCACTTTCTTCTTCAACAACACTGTGAACAATAATCTTACCCTTCATGTTAGTGACATTGAGAGCTCTTTGAACAGCTTCAATAGCCAACAAACCAGCATACAAACCACCCTTCATATCAGTAGTACCTCTACCATAAATATTGGAATTGTTAATGTGACCACTGAAAGGGTTTTCCAAATACCAAGCCTTTGGATTACCGACAGGAACGACATCAATATGTCCATTGATAATCAGGGATTTATGCTTCTTGAATGCAGTAACTTGTCCTTCAGTTGATGTTTCAACTTCTTCTGGAGCACTTCCATCCAAAACACCAACAACAATTGGTGATTTAGCCAAGGAATCAAAACTACGTGGAGTATTAAAGAATTTGTTATTTTCCAATTCAGCTGTTTGTTCATCCATAGTCCAAATATCAACCTTGTTAAACTTTAATTCTTCCTTCAAGTATTTAGCAATATCAATTTGAACATCATGTTCTTGTTCAGGAAGTGATGGATATCTGACCCATCTTTGGAATGTTTCCAAGTTTTTAACATCTGATTTGTGTTGATTTAAATATTCCTTAATTTTAGAGGCAGTTTCTGATGATCCGCAAATAAATGTTGTTGCAAACATCATCATCATGATGACTGCAATAACAATATTCCTCTTGTTGTTTTGCATTTTTTTTTAATTTTGAAAATTAAAATAAAATTATAAAGAGATTTGAAACAAACAGAACCAATAATGCTTTGATATGTTTGGTATTTCACTAATATTCTGATCTTTATCTTGACAGAAACCAGTTGCCCTCATATTTTCAAGTTATTTTCAATGATGAAATAATTCAAGAAAAATTGAATAAAATCATCTTCCCAATTCTTCCCTCAAATCGGAAAAGAGTCCATCTCACTCCCACCACCATCCTCTCTCCAAATCATTGCCGTTCAATTTTTTCTCTCACTCCTTCAAATTTCTATTCAATAAATTCTCTCATCTTCATCAATAAATACAATTTGCTGATGAAAATTATTTTTGTTCACCAAAAAGTTGAAACTCTCACCAACAACACTCATAAAAAAAATGCGTCCACTAACTGATGAGGAGATGGAAACTTTCTTTGATAAACTTACCAAGTATATTGGCAAGAATGTCAAGCAATTAATTAACGATAAATACTCTTTCCGATTTCATAAAGATAAGGTTTTCTACATGAGTAATCAAGTATTACAATTTGCTGAAAACATTACATTTGAAAGGCTGAAAACTGTGGGAGTTTGCTTTGGTAGATTTTCCAAATCTAAAAAGTTTAAACTTGAAGTAACTTGTTTGGATTATATTGCTCAATATGCCGAGTATAAAGTTTGGGTTAAACCTCAAGCAGAACTTTCATTCCTCTATGGTAATCACATTTTGAAGACTGGTTTGGGTAGAATGACTGAAGATTGTCCACAATATCAAGGTGTTGTTGTTATGAATATGAATGATGTTCCATTAGGTTTTGGTGTAGCTGCAAAGTCGACGGATGAATGTAGATATGTTAAACCAACAGATATCGTATGTTTCCACCAAGCTGATGTTGGTCAATATTTGAGAGATGAAGATAGCTCTTCCATGTTCTAAATTTTGTAGCTAGTTTCAATTATATTGATGATCAGAGTTTTCATTGATTCCGATGATATATTCCACACCCTTTTCTTTTTCACACAACAACAGTTGATGATTAGCAACTTGCTTCTTCCACTTGTTGATATTCCACCTCATATTCTTCTTCCCAATAATAGCTAGTAAAAACAAATTGAATTGTTATTTAAATAATAAATAGTTTTAATTTCTTTGACCACAACACCTACGGAAAGATCCTTTCACTCTATCACTGAACCACTTTGATAACAAGCAATAGACAACACTATTGGCAAAAGCTCTCAGAGGGCTCAAAATGTGGTGAATACTCAAAACAATTAATCCAGGCAAATCCAAATCATCAGAGAAGGAATCCAATCCATGCTCTGCGACACGAACTACGTAAATGATATCAGTGGCCAATCTGTACACAATAACCCAAACACCAAACAAGAAGAATGGTAAGGCATAGAAGAGCAATTGCTTGAAAAGATTACGTTCCTTCTCTCTCTTCTTCTTGGCACTTGGTGTATTATGAACAATGGTTGTGTCACGGAAGAGCTTCTTTGTTACCCAGTAGATCATTATTCTCAATGCTAGTGAGGCAACCTCAATTGCAATATAGATCATATTCTTTACAACATCAGGAATGATATTTGCAAAAAAGACATCTCTTGGTGCACTCTGTCCTCCCAAATATAATTCTTCAACAACAATCCAAACAATGGCTAAAACTCCTGGTAATCCCCAAGAAATCAAACAAAAACCCAATTGATACCACCCCTTTTTCTTTTGCAACTTTTCATATCTTCCTTTCAGAGATGTTTGTTGAATGTTTTCATTATTTTGCATGTCATAATCATCGTGTGGAGGAGTATTTACAGAGGTTTCAGATTGAGGAGAGGCAGTTATTAATCTGTCATTTCCACTGTTTGCATAATAATCGTCTTGATCCTGATTATTATTATTGGCATAGTAATTATCCGAAGTTCCATAAGAATTGTTTTGATTATTATTGTAAGATGCTATTGGTGATCTTGTTGATTGTGAATAATTGGAATCATTATCATTTCCTACACTTGGTTTAATACTCTTGATTGTCTTGTAAATGCAAAGAGTCAAGAGCATTGAAAAGAAACCACTACTAATCACAAACATTTCAGTAATTTCAGCTGTTATATAAATTGGAATGGTAAAGTATGGATCTATTTTGCTAGCTTCTGATTTAGGAAGATCCTCAAATAAGAAACCTCTTATTAATCTAAGAGTATTAGTTGGAAAATAGAATGTTGTAAATAATAAATCTGAAATGATCATACACAAGATGCAAAATGAAATCAACTTGGTATATAAATGTTTCTTGGTTGTTAATGGTTCAACCAATGATGGATTTGTATATTCATATCTGTCAATAAGACTTTTTTCTTCCCTCTCTGCTTTCATATTCTTCTTGCATAAATTAATCAAAACGAAAAGACTACATAAAAAACTAAAGACAATAACACAAATACTGAGAATGTTGGCAATTTGTTCAGCAAGTATTAAACTTGGCAGTGATGCTGGTGGTTCCTGATGCAAAGAGTAGTGATCTGTTGAATTCCATAACGATTGCCCATAGACCATCTCCGAGTGATAATTAAATGATGATGCTGGTGATGGCAAATATTGTTGTTGTTGCTCTTTTCCTCCTATTATTAAACCTAATAAAAATCTACTCAACGACGAAGACGGTGATCCATTATTATTATTATAATTACTATTACCATTATTTAAAATAGTAGAGGCAGCAGTATCAAGAGTAGAAGTTGTTGCTGTTGTTGTTGACAATGAACCATCGAATGGTCTTAAAAGCAGACTTTGACAATTCCTCAGCACTGAGTAAAGATGCGATGAGAGAAGTTTGTGGAACGTCATTTTTTTCTCCTTTGAAAAAAAGCCCTTAAATCAGCGAAAAAGACAATGTTTCTATTTTTCAACAAGAAAGAAGAGAAGTCAGCAGGGGGGAACATAGTGATCAAAAATGGCCTGAAAATCGTGTTACTGACCAAAATTCCACAACTCAACACTCGGAAACAATGAATATATGGTTTTAGATCATCATCAGTGGAGATGTTATCAATTACGACCCGAGCAACTAACTGATGAAATTTATCGGTGTAGGGTTCTGTTACTATTAAGAAAAATAGTATCAAACTTTCCAACAATAAATTCATACTTAGCACGCCCGAGACAAAACCTCATCTTTTCATAATCTGGCATTTGTATGACATACTACTAACTGTGAAAATATCGTGTGGGTTGTGAATACAGGTTTCGAGAATTAGAACGCAGAAATTGTTGACAAGATTTTTCATCAAATTTTGTGATGATAAAAATTTGATACTATTTCATACAACAAATTAACAGGCAGCACAAATGTTTCAGAACTTCATCTTTTCAAGTTACAATATCTGAATACTTTACTAGCATCTGTAAAAATATTAGGAGGTTTAACATTATTTTCAACATGAATAAAGATGAAGACTTCATAGACATAATTTTCCGCTCAAATTATGTTGCGATAAAATTTGCACATACTCCCTGCAACAAAACAAGATGCAGCACAAGTGTTTCACAGATCCATCTTTCTTGAATAGAACATTTAGATGATATAGTAACCACTGAAGAAACATCAAATGGTTTATTACCATATTGATTTTGTTTAAAGATGACGAAAGAGTAATCTAAAAGTTAACAAAAAAGTTAAAAATTTTTAAAATTGTAAAAATTGTTTTTTGTTGTATTGACAACTAGTATATATAATTGGAACCACACCTTATAGCTTGTTATGCATCCATTATCAATCGTAGATCTTTTTATATTTCAATCCTATAATGTCTATGGCCATATCTATAAATTTTTATTTTCTCAAGTGATATATTTGATAACAAAGAACGTGTTGAATGTTGTTATTGTAACATTAAGTCAAAATTCTTCTCTAAAACCTGATACTGATATTCCACTCTTTTATACTACTGTGATATATATCCAATCAAAACAAAAACACATAATTAGATCTGAGTTAATGTAATGTATCATAATAGATGATTTTGTTAATTGAAACATAACAAGTATTGAAAAAATTGCTAAAGTACCCAATGACCTTGTTTTACTGCGAAAATAGACTGAAGGAATATTTTTAAAAAATTGGCTGGCTTTTGGTTGTTTTTTGAACCATAATTTTATTTATTTATTTTTTCAATCACACGCGGACATCAACATTGTTCTCCCCTGGAAGTCAGAATTGAATAGTTTCATGGTTGTTGTAAGCTAATGTTCAGGTAAGTGAGATTTGGCTATTTTGAATGGTTTATTATTGAAGATTATAAGGATTCTCAAAATGTTAGTACAATGATGGAGTAACAAGTAATATTGTTCAATTCAATTTATTAATGAAAAGAGAAACTGTTGAACTGTTTGATTGCAAAGTTAACGACTTTGGGAACGATGTTGAGAAGAGATGGTTCTCAGTATTTCTTCAGTTCGTTGTTTGATTGCTTGGATTTTTGGGGAGGATATTTCATGTTGTGATGAGATACTATCGAGTGCTGTTGTTGATGAATCCTCAACTAGGGATGAATTCACTGTTGGTAATTGCTTGTCTGATAAAGACTCCTGATCTCCACTGTTGTTACTGGTAGATGTAACATTGAGGGATTCATTTTCCTCCTCTGATTTTACATCAAATGCAGAAACAGAACACTCCGTGGGCAGATAACTATCAAACAACTTGTACAAATGGAGATAGAGGGAGCATTGATGATTCCAATGGTTGTACATTGCATACTTGAAAATGGAAAGGATAGTCTTCTTCAAACTCCTCTTGTAATCAATTTTGAATATGTACACATGGTGCTCATCTCCTAAAATGCAAGTAACTGATGGTAATTTGAATTGAGTAATTGCATGAAGAGCTGTCATTATACAATTTCTAAAGTATGCTCTAACGTCATGCCTCTTGAACCCAATGAAAATCTTGGGATTAGCTTCTTCCTTACTACATTCAATCTCCTGATTTTCAAATAGATTTTTAAATGGAATCTTCCACTCTCGGAGAAGTGCCAGCAACCATGAGATGTTATCTGGGAATGGCCTTATTTGATGCCTCCTTTTCCAACAGCTTTTCAAATCCTCAATGATTTTCGAATGATGATTGAGTAGCAATTCCTTATCGCCTCTTCTTTCACTGTTGTCAGATCCCAGCTGCTTGGTTTGAGGAGAGCTCCCAGAATTGCTTACAAATTCCTTGAAAGAATTAAACAAACTCGAGGAGGTATCAATTTTACAACTTGTGCTTGGTGCTGTTTGAAAAGGTACATTTGAATCGGCTACAAATGCCTTTTTCAAATCAGAATCCCACAAAAAGGTCTTGTTATTATTCTTGAACCACGAAGAAAAACAATTACAATTATCCTTTCCGTCCACTTGATTCGAAAGTAATGATGACGATGATGAAGATGTTACTACTCTACTATTCTTTCCGAAATGTATTATAACATTGTCTAATATTTCCATTGTCTCTTTTTGATCCAATTTACCCAACATCCTCTGAGCACTATTACTATTACAATCACTGATGCAACCAGTACTATTACAATGAATACATTTCTCTCCTTCTTGAAGGCTTGAAGCCTTCGAAAGAGCTTTAAGATAAGGACAAGAGTTTCTTTCTGCCATTTTTTTAGCTGGTGATGATTGCGCTAATTTTTAGCCTTTTTACTTGAACAAACTATTTTGAGTTTTACTCTTGCATTATTATCACTTTGTCGGTTCCTACGTCCTTAGAGAGATTGAAGAACAATTAAGTTCAAATCTCTACAATGTAGAGAATCACAGTTTCTTGAGAAGACACAAAAGACACCCTTTTTAGGATCCGCTATTTTTTCAGTTACATTTTTTTTGAATTTTGGCGGTAAGTTGGAATTGGCGCCATTCACCATACAATATTTCAAAACGAAAAAAACAACCAAACAGATAACTGCACTTTTGCCTAGATGGTTTTATATTGTAGGAAATAGAACAACAGGACTCAACTCTTTAATAATATCGAAACCAATCCGAATCGACATTTTATCTTCAAAATATTTACAGGATGGAAAACATTGATACAATGGAATACAACACAAATGATATTGATACCAATTCACTATCGGCTTCATCAGAGATGGAGGATACTCCTAGAATAGAGAAGGAAGAAGAGGAAGATGTGCAAAATGCATCAACACCATCATCACCTGCCTCTCCGACCGACACACGTTCTGAATCACCATCAACGGGCAGGGAATCCTCCTCAAATCCTCCAATTATTGTAGATTTAACTAATTGTGTATGTATTTTCTTCAAAATTATGCTTAATCACTTGACCTTATTAGAAATATAATGTAGTCAGAGATGCTTGTTTGGCAAGTGGTTGGAAAATCAGAAAACCAACCAGTAATGCAAAGGATTTCACTGTCTTTTGGATGGATCAATCCAGTGCTCCAGACAGAGTCATGAAATTGAGAACCTTTCAAAAAATCAATCACTTTCCAGCTATGGGAGGTATTTGCAGAAAGATTCCACTCGCAAGAAATATGAAAAGACTAAAGAAATCATTCCCTGATGAATTTTCATTTCTTCCATCATCTTGGGTTCTCCCTCAAGAATATTGCAAATTCAAGTCCAGTAAGAAAATTATTGGAAAGACCTATATTATCAAACCAACAGCCGGATGTCAAGGTAAAGGCATTGTAATTACTCAAGATCCAACAGATGCTGAAAGATATGGTGATTGTGTAGTTCAGTTATATGTTGATAGACCTTTCCTGATTGATGGATACAAGTTCGATTTGAGAGTATATGCCCTCGTGCTGTGCATTGATCCACTTAAAATTTTCATGTATCAAGATGGTCTCGTTAGAATTTGTACAGAAAAGTATAAGGCCCCAACCCAAACCAATATCAAAACAGAATGTATGCACTTGACCAATTACAGTGTCAATAAGAAGAGTGACGGATTTGAATATGATCCAAATAACTTTTCGGTGGGAAGTAAGAGAAATTTTGCATTCTTAAATGATTACCTCGAAGGAAAGGGATACTCACCAGAAAAAGTTTGGGGTGATGTTGGAGATATTATCAACAAGACTGTTCTCTCAATCTATCCTCAATTGGTCAGTCAGTACAAAACTTCACTCTCCCAAAAACATGGTGACTTTGTTTGTTTTGAAATTTTGGGCTTTGATGTCTTGTTAGATGAAAAGATGAATCCATGGTTATTGGAAGTGAATCATTCACCATCTTTCAACACTGATACTCCTCTTGATAGACATGTCAAGTTTAACCTTTTAACTGAAACAATGAAAATGCTTGCCATTGATCCTAATGACAGAATTGTTGGGATGAAACTTGAAAAGGCTCTTTCAAAGGAAAGAATCACAGGAAATGCTAATGAAGAAGTTGATCAAATCCTCAAATCCATGGCAAGTAGAGAAGAGCTAGTAGATTTCCACACAAAAAAAGAAGATGACATTATGTCACAAGGAAAGTACAAGAGAATCTATCCAAGCAGTGATAACAAGATGGAAAAATACTCCAAGTTTATTGAAAAGGCTACAGCAGAGTTTATGGCTGCACAATCTCATTTTAATACTGCCTCATCGTCGGCTAAGCAAGTCTCGTTTGGAACCTCGAAAACTCCTACCCTTAGATCAAAATCACCAACTTGTGTTGCTGGCCAAGAGAGGATAAAAACTACAAATGACACTGAAAGAAGATCCAAGTCAGTGACAAGTACTAGAGCTGGATCAGCTCCAAAAACAGGAGAACGAGTAATTACCAAGGCAAAATCTGCTGCCAAGATTATGCTTCCATCTGCTGAAATTACCTCCAAATGGTTGGAGAAGAGAAAGGGAAATCAAAGAAGACAACCGTTCAAGATGGCAACAACCAATCTAGAATACAAGGAAGCAAATCCAGAAGTTTTGGAGGAGGAAATCGATGAAGAATTGCTTGAATTAATGGATGATCCAAGCAAGAATCAACGACAAATATCCAGTAAGGGTTGGAGTCCTTAAATCTCATCTCAATAATATTCCCATGGTCTGTTCGACTCGTCACGAACAAACCATGTGAATGTTGATAATTTTCGCAATGCGTCGCTCAACCATTGAAGATTCAAACGACAATACAACTCACTGCTGAGTTTAGGTAATGGATGAAATTACAGAACAAAATCAACCTCCATTATTAAAGACCCTCAAAAAAAATACCGTTACAGGAAGAGTTTCATGTAAATAAAAATGTTAAGGAAACTGTTTTTGGCTTGTTGTGGTTCGGATTCACACAATTCATCAGAGACCCACCTCGATAGAAGCATCAAGAAGAAAAACTCGAGAATTAAACGTGGGAGTGTATTCCTCAACTCTAATTCCATTTCCATTCTGTGTAAGGAAGGAACATTGGATCATCTCAACCCTGCATCTGTTTCATATAGTGTAAGTAGCGTTTGGAATATTTCTATGCATTTTACCTTTATATATTCAACACTTGATGAAAAATTGAACACAATTCAAAATTTTCTTAATAACCACCAACCAATTATTTCCAATTCATCATTTAATGACATCATCAACAACAAATTATCATCATCGTCATTCTTCCTTAATATCATCATCTCATAGATCCCTCAAGGCAAATTCTACCTCCGAATAGATAACAAATCCTCCAAAAAGGCCTCAAAACTCTCAGTCCAAATTAAAGTATGTAAAAAGCAAACATTCATCTCCACCAATAGTTTAAAAGAACAAGAAGCAATTAACTCTGAGATTATCTACAATGTTTACACTGAGAGAATAATCAAATCTGGATCAACAGAAACCATCACCTTCACAACAATGCATCCAGAGAATTCGCTCAATGTAACACTCTCTTGCATTCATGTATTTGCATCGGCTCACTTTTGTGTTCAAGTTTTCCAAGAATTGGACTTTAAGGACATGACAGATTTCACAGTCACTCCTCAATTGGATTCACTCACGAGGAAGGAATTATTCATGGAAGAAACACCATCTATCAGTGTAATGGATGGTGCTGAATCCTTGTGTGGTACTGTTGATTGTGATATTGACACTTTGGAAACACCTAGAACTGCTGCAACCATTTCCACAAATGGTGGTGGTACTGGTGTGTCTTATAGTGCATTTAGATCTTCAATTGATGAAGAGTTTCATCATCATGTAAATCATCAATTGCATGATTCACCAAATAGTACTATGGAACAAACAACGCAAGATTCGATTAAATCGATCGTATCAACATCAACAACAAGTATTGTACAAGATTCAAAGAGGGATGTGCAGATATCATCCATAGTAACAACAAAGGAAAGAGCCAGCTCAATAGTCAACACTGTTTCAACTGCAACAGTGATACAAGAACAGGAACAAGCTCAAGTTGGATCAAAGGAAAGAACCAACTCGATAGTCAATTTGATGGGTACAAGTGGTGAAAACCTTAATGCCATGCCAGCACAAACTATTGTGAACAATACAGAGAAGAATGTTGCTGCAAGTGCAGTTCCTAATACTACACCAGCAACAGTGTCCAGTAATACGAATGTTGTTGAAAAAGATGAACCAACAGAAGTTAGTACGCCCAAAAGAAACAATGAAATTCCAGCCATTGCTGTAACTCCAAGTGAAGATGGTATAGTTTCACCTCAATCCATAAAGTTGAATACAACCGATTCACCATCAGCAACAACTCCCACCAGAGAAGAAAGACCAAGAAAGCATCTAAGCCATCGATTTAAGAATAATTCAGATATGAGACATTTCATTAGGAGAGCTGTTGGTAAAACTGAAAGTATTGACATTGATAATTTTCACATTGATATGAGAGATCAAATTAGTGCAGATAGCGACAGTTCATCCGATGAAGAATTTGCAGAATGTAATGATTAAAAGAACTAGTTCATTATTTCTTCTTATTGTGTCTTCTTTGTTTTTCTTCTGGCAATTTCCTTATTTTATCATGAATAGTTTTAACTTCAGTTGTTTCCAAACGATCTTGATATGAAAGAGCTTTTTCCAAATTCTTCTTTTGTTTTGATTTTTGTTTCTTGGATTGTGGTTTTGTGATACCCTTCTTTTTAGACAATTGACTTGTCACACAGCTAACGTTATCATCATCATCGTCATCAAGATGAGTTCCAAGAGAGCTCATTGAATCCAATTGATTGGCAATAGAATCCAAAGCTTGTTGAAAATCATTAGCATTTTGAGGAACGTGACGATCGACATCAATTTCAGTCGATGTTTCTCCTTGTTTCTTTTCCTTTTGCTTTAACTTTTGTTTAATTTTCTTTTCTTTTTAAATCCGACGCCAATTTATAAACATTCAAATAATCATCAATTTTTAATGGTCATCACACAAATCGTTGTGTTTTCATCAACTTACTTGATGCTGGCATTTTTTATCAATTTAATTATTGAATTTCAATAACAAAATTTATCTTTACGTTCCTTTGTGAAATTATTGATAGAGAAGTGTGGATGAAAAGATGATGGAGAAGAATATATAATGTTTCAATTTTTAATCTTAGTTTTTTTTAAATATATCCAACAACAAATATATTGGGAAAAGTTAAATATTCACACTTGGGAATTCTGAATACAGAATGAAATATATGAGCAAACACGCATATTGAATATTTGAGACATACATAGTTTTTGTCAAACACCTAAATTCTCCAAAACAAAAAGGATTATCAAGTTTCTACTATTAGATATTATCGGAAGCAACAACATGTTAGTAAATTCCATTAAATTTAAATAATACACACCTATCCATCTATTTTGAATAATTAAGAATTATTAATCGAATTAATCTCTACTAACCATACTAACCATCATCATCTGTATTTCCAAAAGTAATATAACCTTGAGCAAACACTCCACTTGGATTCACCACTTTAACACAAAAGTTATTTCTATTACCGGAAGTACTATTTCATCATTAAATAATATTCATATATAATATTAATACAAAAACAATAACAACAATATAGAACAACAATATTCATCAACATCATCACGAATTAATAAAAAACATCAAAAAATTCCTACCTTTGACTAGCAACAGCATTGAATGCACTCAGCCCGTTATTAGCCATACAACTAGATGAAATCATACGAATATTATTCCTATTTGAAATCATTGATGCTCCTCTTCTGATAGCGGCAACGCTACGCAAACTTCCTCTCAACATTTTTTTAAGCGGTTTTTCAAAAAATTTTAAAAATTGCAAATTTTCAATTTTAAAAGAAAAATTTTAAATTGTCTAAATTGGGAACAAGTCAAATATATTGAGAAGAGATTTCATATAGGGAAGGTTAATTTTCTTCCATTTAATATGTTAATATTATATAAAAAATACCAAAAAAGATTTTTTAATTAATTTTTTCCTTGATTATTTTTTGTTTTTTTGATTCTATTTGAGAGTTATTAGCTTCATTGTATTTTCTTTTCAGGATATTATCAACATGAATATCTTCTTCATGAATAATTGAAATATCTGAAAATGGTGAAATAGTTTGTGAGTTTTCCACAAAATTCTGTAATTGTTGGAACATGAAAACAATTCTCTTATTATCTACCTTGAAATATAGAACGGTATGATTGAAACCTGCTGCTAATACCATTTTATATCCACGAGTTTTTACCAAATTGGAATACCTTTCAAATACCAAGTTTCTAACAATTTCTCCAGAATTATAAGATAGTAAAGTATTTTCATCCAATCCAAGTTCATTTTCCTCATTAGATCCCCAACATAAATATTCACCATTTCGTGTAATGGCAAATAAATTGTAAATTCCATAAATTTTTACAATTCCCTTTCCACATAATATTGGATGAGTGACAGGTTCCATGAAATTTTGATTTTCCTCATCAATTAGAATATCATTAGATGACAGATTTCCTAGCTCAGAATTGGAATTTTCACCACATACATAGACAGTATCACTCTCAGTCACCCAAATCGTTGAACTTTGAAAGCAATGAATGAGTGTTACCTTTTCAATATTCGAAAATGGATGTTTCTCGAATTTATCCAAACCTGAAACAGAACTTCCCAATCCCAATTGACCAACTTGATTAGATCCAGTGCAGTACATATTACCTGCCTCTGTTAAGACAAAAGAATGCTTCTCACCAGCTGCAACCTGAATAATTTTCTCATGTTTTGGTAGATTTGGAACCAATTGCAGAGTTGGAATAATTTTTCGTTCCTGAACTTTTTCCAAAATTTCCTCAGCAACTTCATAATTCAACACAATTCTATTGGAATCATTGATTTTACTCTTCCTAATCCACTCAATACCCAGCTCGTGATTGTGATTACCTCCAGAGACATACATGTTGTTTTCCTCAGTCACTAGATAAATTGCTTCAAATCCAACCGAAACAAATCGAATAGTTTCATGATTGTGTAATTGTGGATCAACAGCTTTTGGAAATAAATAAGCATCTGATAGTTTCCCAGAAGCTTGTCCCATAGAATTATATCCAAATGAAAACAATGTTTTTCTATCCTCTAAAAAAGTCAACAAGTGTCAAATTTCCATTTTTGTAAAAATTCCAAATTAATCCCAACATGTCACAACATTAAAACCTACTACTTATCATTGCAGTGCAAAACATGGACGGATGCACAGAGGACAACTCTCTCGACCATTGATACTTGAAGAGTCGAGCAAAACTCTCTGACCACGTTCCTGCCAATCCAATACATCCACATGCATAGATAAAATAACTGAAATCATATCCCAATGCAACCATTTCGATATTTGAATTAATTCCAACTGTTGAGTAGATTTTATGTCCCAAATCCACAAGTGTTGTTTCCTTCTCGATGAAATCCTCGGTAATGAAAGATTGTGGTTGACTTTTGGATGCATCCTTGATGAAGGTGGATATTTCCTTGCCACTCTTGAAATCTGACCATGAATTATTGTCGAATCCTAAAGCTGTTGTATCATTAGTTCCGAATCCAATAAGTGTGAGATGAAGTTTATGAAGTGCATGTTCAAGTCGTGAGCTGAAAACTATTCCAAGAGCACTTGATGAAGGCTCTGCAACGATTTTCATAACCTTCATCACAATTTGATCAACTTCAAGTTGTTTAGCCTCACTTTCGTCTAGATTAGTCTTACTCTGTCCTTGTACTATATTATTAGCAATTCTACTAAATAATTCAACTAAACTATCAGTCCCATACATGCATCTAAACTCTCCAATCGTACAGGGCACCATTGAATTATGACTTTCTATTCGATTCTTCCGACATAATTCACTGCAACAATTCGAACAATTTATCTTCTCATTCGAATACATGTTTCTTGATGTTGAAGTTGATAATGTTTGATTCATCAAGTTTACTTGAAATAAGAGATTGGCTATTTTTTAAGAAAATGGCTGAAGTGTGCTTGTTTCGAATAGTCTCTTTTTTTCGAATAAAACTATCACTGATGCTTCTGAGAGTATTTAGAGCGGAAGAACCACAATTTTAGGTTGGCTGAGAAATGGAAGTTGGATCCAAGACAAGGTGCATTCACCTATTCAACTTCGGGTCATTGGAGATTCGAATAGTTCGATAACACGACATATTGTGAATTTCACTGACAAGTGCTTGGAAAAACGTGTCTTACAATTCTATTACTACCATTACTATGCCATGATGTTTAACTGAATTGTTGTTTTGGAAAGGCATTCCAACAGGGGTAAGAATGAATTTTGAACACTGTCTCTCAAGTTCCAAATAATTATAGCATTACAATAATGAACATCATTCCCATTAGTTACAAGTTTTAATTGATTGAAATTATTTTAATTGGTTTTATTCTTTCTGCTTGTTCAAATTACTCCTTTTCGTATTGAGACAAGGTAGAGTTTGCTAATAAACAGAAAACTCCATAGAAACATGCCTTAATTCCCATCAAACACCAAACACATTGCACTCCAATAAGAACCTTGACAATTTCAAAAACGAATGGGAAAACTGTGAGAATAATTAACATGGTTCTGACATAGTTCTTTTGTTCAAACTTTTTCTTTGAATAGAGAAAGACAAATGTTGCCACAGCAATCCATTCAAGCATTACAATATTACTATAAACACCCATTTGAAGAGATTTAAGTTCAAATTGTAATCCACGAGTACTGAACCACAATGGAAGTAATCTGTTGAATAAATTATCACCCATAGTCCATCCAATAGCACATCCATATAATTGAGAAGTTTGGTCACCTAATAACCATTTAGAAGAAAGAATAAAGAACATTCCGATTAAATCCAATGATCCTATCAAGGTTTTTAAAATTTCTGTAATAAAGAAGCCAAAGCCTAATGTTGCAATTTGTTTGTTATCATCAAAATTAATGGCACCACTTTGTAATTGTTGATTTTCATTTCCTCTAATAACAATGGCAATCAAAAACATTTTACAGAACATGGTCAAGCCAAAAGCCATAATTCCCAACACGACATTACTAAATCTTCTTTCCGTTCCGATCGATGAATTTTCCTTTTCACCTTTTGATGATGATTGTTTGGAAAAATAGACAATGTAGGGTGAGATGAAGGACAACGCAAAGGTGGAGATGAAGTGAGAAAAAGTCATTTTTTTTAATTCATCAAATTTAAATTTATTTTAATTATTAATTTTTAAAATTTTTTTCATAATTAAGAAATTTTTAAATAGTTACTGATAAATAGTTGAATTTGTATAATATTTCCAATGGCTTGTTGATTTAAAAATTGAAAAATTTATTTTTTAAACAATTTTTTGTTCTAACAAGACCTTTCTGTCTGAAATCTTCTTAATCAAAACTTCTCTGTGAAGTTGACCAATGAGACGACCCATCCATAGAACGAAAACATCATCCAATCTCAATTGAGAGAACAACAAGTGAGCAAGAACTGCTGGTGTATCATCAGCAATGGCAATTTGACAAGTATCATAGTCAAGTCTGATTAACTCATTCTTCTTCTTGTCTACAATGGTCTCTTCTTTTGGTTCTTCCAACTTGATACTTTCCTCGAGTTCAATTTCATTTGAGGCAACAATAGGTGGAGTAGTAGTGGTAACTGCTGGAGAAACATTGCTTGTGGATGTTGCTGTTTGGTTATTGGTGGTATTATTATCAGATGAGGATCCACCTCCAAGAATGTTATTCAAGTTAATAGCACCCGGAAGTACAGAGAATGGATTGTTAATCAAGTTGGAAATGAAATCATCGTCATCGTCACTTTCTTCCTCTTCCTTTTCAATCTTGTCACCTTCAGCAATCCAATCATTTCCAATAAAGAAATCATCAAAATCCAATAAGAGATTATTTTGTTCTGGTCTAGGTTCAGTGACAATATTAACTCTTTCAATACCCTTTCTTGCATTCAAATTGGTTGTTGTAATTGGTACTTTAGCTCTTAATTCAGCTTGTTCTCTTTCATATTCTGATTGAACTTTGCCAACAGAGTCTTTAAGAGTTAGATAAAGGGTTTGTAATTGTTTAACACTGACTACACCGACCAAAACCAAGTCCTTCTTTGAATTGACAACTGGGAAAGTCTTTGGAATAATCTTTGTACTTTCAAAGATGCTTTGCAACTCATTGAAAGTAACAGTTTCCTCAACCACTGAAAGTTCATCCACATAGACCATAATGTCTCTAACTTTGATATCTTCAGAGTCAGTCTTGGTTTCAAGGAGAGCAGGCCAACCACGCAACTTGATTTGAGCATCATAGGCAGAATAATATAAAAGTCTTGAAATTTTGACAGCAATCATGGATGCCAACATGGCAGGCCAATAAATACCCATACCAGCAATTTCCAAAAAGATTAAAACTGTACTAAAGGCTTGAGTAGCACTAGCTGAAAGAGCTAGACCACCAACAATAGCATAAGCTCCTGGTCTAATTAAAGAGTAAGCTCTCTCATTACCAAAAAGCATGGACCAACCATCAGGTAAGATATAAGCCCAGAGTTCTCCCCAGAATCTACCAAAACCAGCACCCATAATGAGCAAGGTAACGTAGATACAACTTGGAATTGGCAAGGAAACAGAAAGTGGAGTAATAATGACACGTACCAAAATGAACAAACCAAGACTTGAGAATACTGCAGTGTAATATTCTGATGGCATTCCATTACTATGGAATGTTTCGGAAATGTATTCAGAAAGTTGAGCAGGAATCCAATCTCCCTTAGCGCCATATTCCTTCAAAAGTGGCTTGTTAAGCATTAAATCTTCAATGAGAGCATTGGGAGAGAGTGACATGAAATTACCAATCACTGTTGGGAAACAAAGAATTGAAGTAATTACACAAATGAGAACAGTCCACAAAAATTGAGTTTGTACAAATGTGAGTGGATACTTGAGGAATCTAAATTTGCTTTTTGGATCATCAATCTTAAAGTGCTTTCTTCTAAGGAAGAGGAAGAATCTTCTACCGACCTTATTTCTGAGCCACAATAATTTTTCATTGAGGAAAGCAAACAAGACACCCAAAAGACCCATAACAACACCAAGGAAACCAAGAGTGACAAAGTCAATGATTGTGAATGAAGGAACATCGAGAGTGACATGATAGACTGGTACAAGTAAAATCGACTGATCATGCAAACTGTGCAAGAGACGAGAAACAAAAGCAGCCAACAAGGCAACATAAAAGTTCTTCAAATAGTTTCTCAAACTGTAATATGTACCGACAGCTTCGAGAGCAAAAAGAACACCACCTGCAGGTGCACCAAAAACTGCACCAACTCCCAAAGCACATCCACAACCAATCAATTGAACTCTGAGTGTCTTGTTATTTCTCAAAGGACGGAAAGGTTTCAATTTCATAAGATTGTCAGCAAGGGCAGCACCAATGTGAATCATGCCACCAACTTTACCCACAAACATTCCCGCTCCCACAACACAAGGTACACCAAGAACCTTGACAATTAAAGTTTTCAAACTCAAAGGTTCTTTCAAACTGTCAACACCAGTCTAATTAGATTCCAATTATCATGTGATTATGCATTTTAATATTATTTTGTGAAATATTCCAATTTTGAAAATGATAAAATATAGTCATATTAGAAAAGGTAAGAAAACTAATCTTACTATAACACAAAAACATACCAAAATAGCTTTAACTGGAGGAATACCACTTCCTTCAGCAATAGGAGCAACCCAAAGTGTTAATAATAATGCCAAAACAACAAATGCCAAATTGAAAAGTACCCAGACAAACATTTGAAGTCCAGGAGTTGATTCAACCATTCCAGCCAAAATTGTATCTCTTCCAATAACAATATATTCCACAACAATATCAATATAAAAACCAATAATTCCACCAATAATCCCCAGTACAGTTAAAAAGGTCCAAACAAATTCCATTTGTGAAAAACTACCAAAGGTAGACGTCCTCTCAAGAATACGATGGTTCTTTCTAATTCTATTCTCGACTCCAGAGGCTTCTCTCAACAATGTTAACACAGACATGGTATCTACGCTAGAAACTGATGAACTGTGTGACATGGATGATAATTCCTCCTTTTTAGTCTTCTTTTTAGGTTTTGGTTTCATAATTGTTGATGTAGATGTTATAGTAGCTGATGCAACACCATTCGAAGGTGTAGTTGTTGTAGTGGTAGCAATAGCTTCCTCAGCAAAGGAAACATTACGCCTTGTTGGTTTTCTGTCTGTATCCAGAATCAGAGGCGTTGATGTGAGTACCTTGTTAGAAATCATAGTAGTTTTCTATATATTTTGAATATGTATTCGAGTTTTGTTGTTGTTTTAATTGTTGTTGATTTAAATAATAAATAAAATTAGTAATGTGATGATGAAAAAGAAGGCTAATATCCTAGGATAACAAAAACTCGTAATCGCTGCGTTTATGTGTAATGGAACAAAATGATGTAGAGAAAACTACAGCAATTCTCTGGGGATGTTTCGCTGTTTGAATTGTCTTTAATTTTTTCTCTTTGAAATTTTAGTTTTGTTAAATTGTTTTGGTAATGCAGACTGTTTTGGTGGGGTGATCATAATAATAGGATAAAATGACAGTCGAAATATACTTTTTGTGAGTCGTTTGTGTTTTTAGATAAAAACCTCCTTCATTTTTATGAGCGTAGCTTTCCCGCTATTATTATTCGCTCACAAAATTAAAAAAAATCATAGAATTTCAAATGTCTTCCTCAGAGTACTTACTCTCTACCTTGCCCGTTGAAGCTTCTACACTCGAAGAGGACCTCCTGTCTTACATCTTACTTCCTGTTGCTTCTAATGAACCGGAACACCCTCAAACATTACCTTTTGACCTTGATAAATACTTTGCATCCACACAACACGAATACAACTACGATCTTTAATTTTTGCGAGGCAATAATAAAACTTTGTTTGTTGAATAATGTTGTGATGACAGGTTTAATATTTTTCAACCCACAAAAAAATGTTGAGTACATCATCAACGGAAAGTGAGCCCACCATAAATCGTGTCAAGGCAAACTTTTCTATCAACGTTAACAACTCACCTTCTCTCCAACTCACAATCCAAGCAAACAAAAATCATGATCCAAGATACGCCGATCTTCACGTTATTTTCCATCCAACAAGCAACACTACACCAATAACAATATTATCCACCGAATTAGAAGAGGATTTTATCTGTTGTTACGTTGAAAGAACATCCACCACTGCAAAGACAGATGAAGAAATTATTCAAAGAGAATTAAATTTTGATTTTTCTTCTCTTGGTAAAACAACATCAACTACCACGAAACCAATCAGCAATTGCATCATCTCGGTTTGAAGAGCCACAAGCACTCTGAAACAAGCTATAACAACATTGCAGGTAGTCAACAACATTTAATTCGTCTCGATTCTTATGGAAAAGCTGCTGGAAAGAACTTTGTTTCTCTCATATTACTTCCCTTCCGTGTGAGCATTCAGGATAAGAACAGTCAAGTATCATCGACCCTTCACTTGGTTATTGGCTTACGATTAATCAAGAATTTCATCAATGGAGAAGGAAAGGGAAGAAAACAAGCCTTGGTTACTCTTGATAATTTACTCATGTTTGGTCCATCGAGTATGAGACATTCCTTCCTCAACCAATTAGAATCTGCCAAGAAGGCAGATAAGAAGAGAAAGAGTGATGCTGCTTCTTCATCAAAGAAGAAGGGTTCCGAGTCATCATCTGCCAGTAAGAAGAGAAAGAAGGAAAAACCTGTAAAACCATTGCCATCACCACAAGATCATCACGTAAATGATGAAGATAATGATGTGGTGATGACTGGAGAATCATCCTCTAATGCAACAACAGCTGCTAGCACATTATTACCACTTCCAACAGTTGCAGTAAGTGCCAGTTCTCAACTTGAACAATTACCAATTCCTTCCTCTCATTCTCCTACTCTTTCTTCACAACACAGAAAAGCTTCTACTACTAATTTGAACTTTTTGGTTAAATCTCCACTTGATGAAATACTTGAATCGAATGCAAATCTTATCAAGGAAGAAAGGGAGGATTATGAAAGGGTGAAAAAGTATTTTGACAATTTCTGCAAACAAAAGAATGCAATCACTAATATGTGTTCTGAGCACATTGAAAGAATTCAGGAAATACTTAAGAAAATTGATGAAAGAGTGGTTGTTTCTTTTTTTGCAAAGCCAGGTTATGGTAAATCATATATGATTAATAGATTGGTTTCAGGTTTCCAATGTGATAATTATCCTCTTCCATCAGGCACTTATTTACTTGGAAAGGGTATCACTAGTACAGTTATTGATATCATGTATGATGAATTTTACAGTCTCACTAAGGAAATGTGTACCGTACAAGAGTATAATTTACGCGAAAAGAATGTAAAAAATGAAGGAAAAAAGTTAAGCTATGAGAAACAATTGGAAAATATTGAAATTGACTCTCAATCAAATATAATATTGAGTGGCAATACTGATACTGAAAGACTTTCTTGCATTCTTGCAAGAGCAAGACAAGTGATTGAAAAATATGAGAAGGAGAAAACAACTTTTGACTCTTTGACTGTAAAGAAACTTGTACTAAAAGTTCCTAGCCCATTCCTTAAAGAGAGTAGAGTAATTCTAAGGGATATGCCAGGTTATGATGAATTGACAGAGGGAGAACTATACAAGCAATTTATTAGAGAAAGCTTCCTAGATACTTGCATAATTGTATCGGGCATTGAAAATAACAGAAATATCTTAGATGATGGTATTGTAAGAAAAGCTTGGGAATATGGAATTCATCAACCTAGTCAGGTAATAAGACCTTCCATAGCCATTCTCTGTAACAATCCAAATATAGTTGAGTCTACATACTATGATTTATTGGATAACTATGAGCTTATTGAGGGTATGAAAAAATCTTTTAGAAAACAGCTAGCTCTACATTATGATATATTGTTGGAAGGTGTTGTGTTGTCAGAAAGGGATGTGGTAAACTCAACACCAGTTGAATTTGATGACAAAATCAATTTTGTAAAATCATTGGAGGATAATTTTGGAGTAACATTTTTCCCTCCTCAGAACGCTAAAACTGATTCATTTATTGAAAAATTCAGATATATCATTGAAAAGAATAGAAAGAAAGTCATTGAATATAATGCCAGTATGATAAGAGATATGGCAGTTGTAATTTTATCCAACATTAAGGTTCCTAAAGAAAATCAGGCCCCAGCACAGTTCTGTAAACAATTCAACAAAGTAAGAAGGCAATTATGTGAAATGTTTGCTGAAAATTTAGAATTGACAATTAGCTATTCACCAGATGCTGACTATCTATATGGAGGAGATCTTTCATCTCTTATTAATAGTTTGATATCATTCTATGAATCTCCAATAGCTCTTTTGTTCGACAAGAGGGATATATCAGCAAGACTCCAAAAATTTGGTGCTAGTTACAGAAGAAGATTAAAATCTGAGGAAAAACAAGTGGACTGGTCCAATCATTTCAATACTTTTATGGAGAATTTTTTAGAAACTGTGGAAAGTTTCACTCTCTTCCTGACTCATACAGCTAATTCTTTCAAACAGTCAATTATTAGTACCTGTGTTTCTTACAGTGATATGTTAGATACGAATGTTGTAAAAGAGTTGGTAAAAATACTGGATATTAATGACAACAGCAAAGTGGACGATTTTCTTGAAACAATACACTCTGGTCTATGTAATTTTCATGAGCACATTAGGACATACTTTGAAGCAATCAAGGAATCACTAAAAGAAATCAGTTCTGGAATGGATAACAATGTAAAATTGCTGTTTGAAAAATACAAGCGTAAATCAGCCAAGTATGCACAAGTTCCAACAGAATTGAACTCTAAATATCCTCAACCTTGTAAATATGTAGAGATATTGTCAATGCCAAAGTCTGAGAGTAGTGATGTGAAAGATATTGCAGAAAAACATTACTGTGCTCCAAATGATAAGTTGATGGATTTTGATTTGAAAAAAAGTAATAGGGAACAAATAGCAATCAAAAAAGTTGATCACGAAGGAGAAGCCAATGAGTTGTTAGTGAAGTTTGACAGAACGAGTAAGCAATTATTGCTCTCTTATAACACAAAAACAGTTGAAGAGGTTTCAAGTCCAATCAGAAAGTTGAATAGTAATGGCTTGAAACCATTGTTTATTTTGACAAGACCTAGAGGAAAGAATTACAAACTTCAAATATATGAATCAGATAGAAGATATGCCAAGACAAACAATCTCCACCACATGTTCGTAATTGTAACAGAGAGCAAGTATGTTGCAAGATACAAGAAATCTATTGAAGAAAACGAAGGTAATCCTTCTGATTATTTCTTTTTGATATTAGACTCTGATGTTGCCCTTGGGTATGGAATTGTACATTCTTCAATATTAGCTGTTGCAAATTATCTTCACATTGAATCAATCCATATTGTTCATGATGATATTAGACAATTTTATGAATATTCATATGAACATAAGGTCTACTCTCCACATGACTCTGCAATGCTCAGAGCATTAATATATATGGAAAAAGTATTGGAATATGAGTTGTTCAACCCTCAAAAAGCAGATGAAAGAAGGGAAAGCTTGGAGCATATTTTATTTGACGAGATACCAGATAACACTAAAAAGGAAGTTGTTTCTATAATGAAAGAACAAGAGGAGGATGAAGAAGATATAAAATCTGTGGATGATGGCAAATTAGGCATTTTACAGGTGTTAAGAATATTAGTGGAAAATCTTCCAAAAAAGAGCAGACAAAAGTATACAGATATTATTACATCCTTCTCAAACCAAGAGTCGAAAGATACTGCCTTAGTTACACTTTCTAAAAATCCACAGGAATTCCTTAGTACACTCCGAGAATTGTCTACCACACACAAGATTAAGGTTGCTGAAATTCTAATTGAATTGATTGAGGAAGAATTTAACGATAAGAAACATATTGGACGTGTCAGTTTATGGAATAATCAAACAAAACAAGAGCTCAAGAATAGAGTTCATAATTTGAGCAAACCTACTCACCTTGTCTCGTATATTACTTCTTCAGTTCATACTTATTTTATTCCATCTATGGAGGGAATTTATCCAATAGGTCTGGAAGACTTTTGGAAAGAACCGAACAATGAGGAGAGAAAGAAAACACTTACTGAAATCAGAAATATTGGAACCAAGAACAAATCAGCAAAGAAGAATGAAAAGAAGAGGGCCAAAGCAAAAGTTGTCAAATCGGCATTGGAAAGAGGTTGGACTTGTTGTGATATTGGTGAGAAAACTCAAATGTTGTTGCATGGTGTTGGAAGCTTCCAAGTATTTAATTTTGGCTATGCTCGTGCCAGTGTACCTTCTCTAGTTGATTACAGTTCCAGAAAGGAAGGTAAGGATGGTAAAATCGAATACAATAGCGATGAAGAATCTGTTGAGGTTGAAGAGGATGAGGAATAAAGAGCTAACCAACATGAATTATAAAATAAACTTTATCACACAAATTAATCATCATAATCGTCATCATCTTCCTCATCTTCACTATCATCATCCAAAACGAGGAGAGTATATTGAGGTGTTATGGTTGGTTGGGTGACAGCTGGTTTAATTTCAAGTGTTGGAGTTGGATCCTCCTCTTCATCTTGTTGAGATTGAGAAACAATCTTGATATTGCTAGTTTCATTTCTATCGAGTTCAGAAATTGGCTTTTGCACAAATGTACCATGTTCTTCAACACTTTTACCAAAGAATTTACCAATCACTTCAATTTCTTCCTCAATCAATTCAAATTCATCATCCAAATCTTCACCTTCGGCACTTGGTTGAACAATTTCACCAGTTCCAATTCTACGATAAGCACCAACAGTATCATCAAAGAATAAATCAGAAGCAACACGTGCTTCCATTTCCTTATCATATGTTTCTTCCATTTGTGAAATTTCCATATATTGCTTAAATTGTTGGCGTTGATCAAATTGAGCTCTAATATACTTTTCAATTGGTGGATAACACAAAACCCACAAACCAAGCAAGAATGAAATAATTGGTAATGCAATCAATGAATAATATCTTGGATCATATTCAATAACAACTGTATATGGATCTGAACTTGAATAAAAACAATCAAAAACTTGTCCAACTTGATAATTATTATAAAATTCATTTCTAATGGCATATGACAGAACATAACCTGCCTCTCTAGGATTATCCCATCGTTCAACACTTGGTCCATACATTGTCGATTGAATTATCATATCTTTTCCTTGTTGTGGAATATACGCTTGATATTTCACATTAAATTCAGTTCTGAACTTTCTATAAGTTGCTTTCAAATCCTCACCAATGAATGATGAATTCATTGCTTTGGTAATTAATGTGCACTGAGTAGAAGTTGGTCCATAGATCCAAACTGGAACCAAATAACCAATGACAATTGCTAACAGGGCAACTGTTGCTAACATGAAGAAGGAAAAGCAAATATGATTGGAATGGATGTGATCGTACCAACGCTTCTTGGTTTCATCGTGAATGGTTCGGGTGTTGCCGAAAGTTGTTGCTGGTTGTTGTGTATTTTCTTCGTCCATTATTTTCGTCTAGATTTTTGTTGTTATTGGAAATTAAACGAATGTTTGGATCTCAGAGGCTGTTTTCTTGATTGTTGATGTTGTTATTTGCAATATCGCTTGTTCAACAATCAAAGAAGGGCTGATGGTTAATTGTATTTTTTTTAAGTAGTGATTTTTGATGTCACTGATTGTTGACGGCTCTACAGTTTGTAAAATTTCACTTTTAATTTGGATCTTATGAAATTCAATCAGAGCTCATTCCACAATCTTACAATCCTCCTCATCTTCTTCTTATTTAACCTTTTATTCGAATAACAAGACATTCGAATAAGAGTTTATGTTATTTTACTATTTTTTATTTTTTAACATTTGCTTTTCCTTTTCAATGGCTCCTTTCAAAAGCAATTGTAATTGATCTACAATGTCCAGAATTTCCTTATCCATATCTTCTGACATACTCAAAGCTCCTTGTTCATAAACATCTGTGAAAATTGCACAAGTGATATCAGTTTTTACAAAAATACTACAAGTTAAGGTCGAACTGTTATGGTTGGCATTGGAATTGAGTGACGAGCTCGAAGATCCATTCATTAATCCACTACATCCACGTATATGATAAATTCCTTGACTAATAAATTGCTGAGTTTCGTCTTCGGCAAATAATTTTACAAAATTGTCAACACTTTCCAAATATTGTCTCAAACGTTGCGAAAGATCTTCAATAGAACCAACAACAAATCCAATCGATTGACTTTCAAAAACTGGTGAATGAGTTGTTGGAGAATGTGGTGATTGAGATTGAGAAATTTGTGAAACTGACATTCCAAGTTGAGCTGTCAAATTAGTTGCTGATATTTCTTTGGGTGATTGATTCTTAAAAGTATTTTTCAAAGGAGGTGTAATTGAAGTAGGCGGCGAAGAAGTTGCTGTATTATTATTATTCGAATGACTCACTGTCGTAATAATCGTAATGGGTTGAGTAGTAGTACTCGTAGTATTATTGCTGGTTATTGTATTGTTAATTCCTGATGAATTTGATGAGGTTATCGTATTGTTATTATTATTCGAATTGCTCGAACTATTGTAAATGGTGAGTGGTGAATTATTCGGAATCGCATTATTGGAGAGTAATATTTTCGGATCATGATAAAAGATGGCATTCGTCTGATTGGACATGATCACAGTCTTGAATTGTTGATTCTTGTAAATTTCCCTCAATTGTTCGACCTTGTCTTCTATTTGAGAAACTAGTTTAGGAGAAACTCCATTGCTTTTCTGGCAAACCATATTATTATTTATATATTATTATTATTATTTGTATATTTCCAATAATATTATTATGAGTATTATTATTATTAAATATATTTAAATATTATATATTAAAATTTTCTTTCCTTCTTTCCAAAATGAAATATAAAATCGAATATTAACTATCAATCTTATCAATTATTATCAATTAAATATTTAAATTTTTATATTGAAAGTCGTTTGATTGAAAATTTCTTAATGATGAAAAAAATTGAAAAATTTCGGAGGGAAAAATTTGATGAGCGTTTTTTGAAAATGTAAAAATTGGCGGGAGAGGTTAGAAGTGGAGGATTTTTTTTTGAGACGTTAAAAAATTGATTTTTGAAAGTGGACGAAAGTTGAATGCGACAGTGAAGAGGAGTTTGTGAAAAGACCGACACTTGAGGTTTGCAGTGACAGAATTAATGGACAATGGATTGAAAACAGTAAGCTGATTCGGTTTAACTTGGAATAGTTTACTTTATTCTTTGTTAATTTCAAATCCATAGAAGTCCTTTATCATTGCATTATTGATTTTCCTTATCAACTATTTCTTTATCTACAACCATAACAATTCTGTAACGTGCTTGATTTTTAACAACCTTCTCCATTGCTTCGTTGACTTTCTCCAAGGAACTCAATTCAATTTGAGGTTTGATATTGTGCTCAGCAGCAAAATTCAACATTTCTCTAATTTGATCGTTGGAGGCACCTCCAGAACCAACAATTGAACGATTCTTCATAATCATGGCAAAAGCACCTGCTTTGATACTTCCAGAGGATGCTTGAAATTTCAATTTTGAATAATTGGAATAAATTGTTAAAACTTACGAACTCCAATTATTGCCAACTTGCCGAATGGCTTCAACATTTTCACAAATTTGTCAGTATCAATGTCGGTGCTGACACAATTGAGAATCAAATCAAAATTGCTGTTCAATTGTTTTACAGAATTTTCATTGGTGTGGACATGAAAATCATTGGCTCCAAATAATCTACATTCTTCTTCCTTGTTAGCACTTGTGGAAAGAGCAGTAACATGGAAACCCATTTTGGAAGCAAATTGAAGAGCTAAATGGCCTAAACCACCCAATCCAAGAACAGCAACTTTGAATTCGTTTGGTTTAGAATAAGGGCTTTCACGATAAAGTTTTAAAGGCGAGAAAACGGCAGCTCCTGCACAAAACAATGGAGCAGCATCAACTGACTTCAATTTCTCAGGAATTGGATAAACAAATCTCGAATCCCAAACGACTCCATTCTGGAAACCACCACCAATTGGTGCATTCATGAATGGCTTGGAGGAATCACACAAATTTTCAAAATGATGCTTGCAAGATCCACACTCTAAGCAAGAGGAATAATTCCAACCCATGCCAACTCTCATGCCCACGGCTATCTTTCCATCCTTTTCAACTCGCTCACCAACATGTCTTACAATTCCCACAATTTCATGACCAGGAATATTTCCAACATGATGGAATGCTAGAAAATCTGATACGAGAGTCATTGCCAAAAATTGAAAGATTGCATATTCACTTACCTCCATAACAGATACTACTGGCAATAATGTCAACAAAAATATCATTTTCACCCAAGCTATTTACTTGTTGCTCAATTGGTTTCAAGAGAAATTTTTGAGTTTCTGTTGGTTCAGCTACTGCGTAACCTTTAACTGTGATTGGCTTCATAAGTTGCTTGGACATGATGATGATTATCTAAGTGAATTGTTTAATTGTTTTTTTATATTGTTTGGAAGTAATGATAATTGCGAGGCTCAAAATTTAAAGCACACACATTTTGTGCGTACGAGGTCCTGTAACAAAATTTGGCGCCAATGTTTTTGGTTGGTTGATAAATCGCTAGCACAAATCTCACACAAAAAAAAGCCTTTTCAACGAACGTCATGGTACCCTCGCACATGATGAGGTTCGGTTTATTTTAGCAATTTAAGAAAATAATTAATAAAAAGACTCGATTTGAATCTCTTTCGTGTTGCATGCAGGAATGAATGATGAATATGATGTAGAATTGGAAAATGATAGTCAAGTTGTATCTACGAAACAAATTAATTGTTTAGCTTGTAGAAAATCACATCTTGCATGCGATCGTTTAAAACCCTCATGTTCTGAATGTAGTATGAGAGGAAGATCATGTCTCTATGTACCTCCAAAGAAGAGACGAGTTAAGAGAGGTCCAAAGAATAAGACATTGGCCAATATTGCTCCTTCAACAATGCAAGTACAAATAGAAGTAACAACAAAAACATTCCGCCCCTATCTCCCAAAATCACATGTACAACAAACAGTTTTCATGAAGAGGGAGAGAAGTTTGGTGAGAGGAAATATTCAAAGTGCCATCATTAATTATTTCTACGATTATGTGGATGTCACAATTGACTTTTTGAGTAAGGAACAGATGGAAGAAATTGTCTTGAATGTGGATTTGTTGGAGAGGGAGTATTCGGTTAGGGCATTGCTTCTGGTTGTTCAAAGTTTATGTGAACAATCAATGAGTCAACCTGCGCTTTCTATTGTTTCTTTTAGAGAGTCTGTACACTATTCATCATTGGCTCATCCCATAGACCTTTGTACCAAAGTTTCCAAATCACTTATTGCTTTATATGCAGTTGGTGAAGGGCAGGTTGAATTGGCTTCTCGTTATTTACAATATATTAAGGAATTTCAAAATGATCCACTTTTGGATAATGTTAAAAAAATGAAATTTGAAATGCTTGCCTCCAAAATTGAGTCCCACATCTCAGCTGGAGATGATGATGTGGAGAGCTTGAAAATAGTATGGAAACTCTTTACCAAGTTTTATGATGTTTACGTAAACGACAACAAGTATGATTTACAATCAATCAACAATGGTGTTTCGTTAGAAAATGCTCCAATTACAATATCTCTAATATGTTCAGTTAGAGAATTACTCTACAACATGATTTCTAATAAGAGCCTCACTAACCACCAAAAACATATCAAACATGCCAGTATTGAACTGATGCACCTTTACGGTATTTATTCCACATTTAAATACTTAAACTTGCAAGTCCATGCTATGAAAGAAATAGTTGAGAAGGTGGAATTATTGATCACCGATTTGCCATTATTGCTTCCCCTTTATTCATTTCATAATTTGGCAGTTTTTGTCTACTATAGAATTAACCAATTTGATTCTGTTCGAAAGAAAGTGATTGAAAAACTCGTACATGGAAGAAATATTAGGGATGTATTTGAGGATGAAAGAGACATATGTAATTATTGTGAATATTCAGAAATACTTAGTGAGACATAAATCGTTTACTTTCGTTTTTTATTCTTCTTATTCTTGCTGTTGGAGAAATCGTGATCATCCTCTTCAATATGTTTAGATGAAGAGGCTGATGGTTTGGTCAATACTTTTCTTGTGGAATTCTTGACAAGGGATCCAGTTTTACTATCGAATGCATAGTTTCCCATAATTCCAGATTTCAAATCGACGTTTAACCAATCGTAGACTTTGGACTTTTTAGTTTCGAATGCTTTTGGCTCGCTCACTTGGAAAATCTTGGTTTGTAAGAAAATTTTGTAACATTCGTAGGCAACATTCTTTTGAGATTCGATTTGTTCTTGCTCTGATTGTGGTTTCTCAGTAGGCTTAATTGGTGCAAATTTCATTCCTGAAATGTCGAATGAAATACTTTGGGTTGGTTGCTCTTCCTCAATTATTACTAGATTGGAAGTTTGCTGAATAGTTTCTTCCAATTTTTTCTCCTCCTTTTCTCCATCTGATTCATTGTCGAGTTTGGCATCTTGCTCGGCATCTTCAATTTCTTCCTCTTGGAGAACGCTCCACATATTTCCTCTTGATTGTTGACTTGGTTTCGAATCAAATTCTTCCTCTTCTTCGTCACTTTCTTGATTTTTGTAATTCGAATTCTTTGAACTTTCTTCTTTGGAAAGTTTCGAAATCATATCCTTAATAAAATCACCAGTAAATGTAGTGGCTAATTTCCCAGAAATAACTCTCGAAGTGATCGACTCATTTGGAACACCCTTCTTTGAGAATGAAATTGCCTTTTTAAGGATTGGCCAGATTTCCTCTTCAAATTTGGCCAAAATTTTAGTTTCCAATTCAATTCGATATTTTGAAACTACTTGTTTCATTTCAGTAGTCCAGAACACTCCACTGATTACATCATCAATCACATCACTTAAAATTGCCTTAACAATGTGTCGTTCTCTAATTTTCTCAGCACTGAACATGGATGAAGATCCCTGTTTGTTAGGTTCTGAAGAATTATCTGCAATTCCATGGAAACACATATAATATTTAGTTTTGGCCTTGTAGAAATCACCATCATTGAATCGAATGACGTATCCTTCCAATCCTTTCTGTTCATAAATTTCTGATAAGAGTTTTTGAGGTTCTTCAGTTCCTTGTGGGAAATCTTTCCACAAGCTCACCAAATTGACTGCCTTTTGCCAATTTGGATTCTTATCGAGAATATCTTTCATTTCCTGGTAGGTCAAATATTCACCACTCTCTGTATGACGAATGGCAAGTAGAGTCAATTTCTCTTCCAAATATTTAATCACGACAATATTCTGTGGTCCAGTATATTCGAAACTACAACTCCAACCCTGATCCAAACAATATTTACAAAATTCCAAGAATGGTTTTCTCAAATTCTTCTGCGCTAAATTCTTATCAATATATCCAGCAACCATATTCTTGGCCATAGCAGTAAATCCCAACATGGTTGTAAATCGAATATCTGAAATATCCCTCTTTGAAGAAACAAAAATTGGAGAAACCAAACTTCCATCCATCTTTTCCACAACCACAAATGGTCGTTTCCAATTAATCTTTTCAATATTACTCTCAACTCTTTCATTAATATTGAAAAATTTGTGGAATTTTCTGCACACAATTTTCTTACTCTTCTCTTCAAAGATAATTCCTCTACATTCGCGTCTAATTAATTGATCAAGCCTTTCCCGATCGGTCATATCCTTCATGGTCGATTGATCGGCAAATGTATTCTCTACGATGGATTTATATTTGATGAATCGGAAGCCTTCATCGACCTGCGTTACAAATTCTTTTCTTCCCTTGATGGCAGATTCTATATCGGAATGGAATTTAATAACAGGAAACATTTTTAAAAATTGATGAATTAATTGTGTTATTGGAGCTATTTTTTTTTGATTTTAAAATTTATTTTTAGAGTTTCATGTCTGGATTTGAGTTACTTTACAATGCAACATTCACAAGATGACACTCTAGAATTTAAGAATATAGAATTGTGTTTGTGAAAATTCATGATAAATTAAGTTTTGAAATTAGTATTTGATCTAGAGTTTCAAAATTGGTTTCCTCAATTGGTATTTCCTTTGATCGATAGAGTTGTTCCAAAATATTCAATGCCTTGGTGCTCTTCTCCTCATTTGGGAGACATTTAAATTTGATGTAAAAGTGGAGTTTGTAACCTGATGGGAGAAGCTCTGTATTTTCTCCAATGGTTGTCCTCATTCGACGTTCTCGCTCTTCCTTCTTCTTCCATTCGTCTCTCCTTTTCGATTCTTCTATTTGCTTCTTGGCTCGTGCCTTGACATGTTCTTTCTGTTCGATGAGGTCTTTGAGGTAGAATTTCAATTCTTGGGCGAGTTGAATCCATGAGGATTTTTGATTCTTCTTTTCCTCTTGTTTCTTCTCACTGTTTAGATAGGATTGGACATGAATGAAGGAGGCTGGAGTTTCTGTCAATATTTCAGGATAGAGATGGTGAATTCTGAATTGTTCCATTTCCTTGTTGGTACAACCATCGTAGAATTCAGACCTCTTTGAGCTGTTGGAATTTCCATAAATTCTATTCTCCATGGAAGAGTCTCTGAGTGCAGTATGAAGAAGAATGAGAGAGTCGCCAGGGGCTGTCGGAATGAACATTGTTTCTTTTGAGTTGATGGCAATGTCGATAAATTCATCGTTAATTTCCTTTGGAAAGATTAAATGTGAAATTGCCAATCCAACCATTTTTCTGATTTGATGATAGAGGAAACCACTGGCTGTCACCTTGATTAGTACTCCTCTCAATGCGTCTGATGATGAAATGGGTGCTAAACCAGATGCTTGTTGTAACTTGGAGTTTGGAACTCCAATTGTATAAGGCTTAGCAAAGCATTGAAATACAGTTCTATGGTACTGATTTCCAACAGTGTCAGAATTTTGAAAGGTATCCAAATCATCCTCTTGACCTCCCTCTGAAGATCCATTTGATGTAGTGTTTGAGGTAAAATTTTGGAAATTCTTGAATCCTTCCATCCTAGAAAATACATTATTGAGCTGTTTGCAAACAGCTTCCAAGTTAACGTCTGGCAACGTGACGGTTGGCTTTTTTGCCAATTTTTGATAGAGTGTCATTTTACTCTCGCTAATCATTCCTTTCAGACAATATTGTGGAATGAAATATTCATATGTTCTCCACAATCCAAATTTCCTGCTATTGAAATTCTCTGCATCCTCCTTAATTGTTTCCAAATGAAAAACTCGTAAAGAATCCTCAACATTTGAAAATCTATTAGTCAATTCTGAAATCCAATCTACATTCTCCTTAACACTCTCGGGAACTTTACATGAAAATATATTGGCAATTGAGTGAACTCCCTTATCTGTCCTACTCGATGCATTCCAATCCATGTTCGATCGGAGATTTGTAAAATATTCTTGTTTCTTGGTATGATCATTTTCATGTTGTTTCGGTAATGGTTTAATATTAGTCAATAATCCAGCCTCCATCATGTACTTCATTAATTTTCCTTCGATTGCTTTATAAATTCATCAATTATTATTATAATTTTCCAATATTTCCAATAATATTATTCACAGAAATTGCAATCCAGTATTATCCCATCCAATAATATAAATTTTGTAATATGTTTAATATAATAATTAATAATCATCATGATGATCACATACTCTTCTCTACCGGAACATTTCTCTGATACTGAGAACCACTCAGTCCATTTCCGGAATATCCAACACAGAGCAGCAATCGTTTTGAAAATAACGACACTGATTCAGCTGATGATTTGCTTTTGGCAGCTTTCAGTGCTTTCATTTTTTTTAATAAAATTGTAAAACAAATAATAAATATAAAATATTTGAAAACTATAAAAGGCAAAAGCAGACGAATCTTGAGATGACAAGCTAATAATTTAATGATGAAACGGATGATGCTCCTATATACTACAAAAATAATAAAAAGATTCATTGTAGAATTTGTTAGAATTTCAAATTGTCTCCTTCAACGTAGTCTCCTGCAAAATCGTCATCACTTCCACCCTTAGTTCCACTCCATTGATTAGTGATACGTTCTCTGGCAATATCAATAATTCTTCCCTCAATGTGAGCTTTCAAAATGTGATATTTTTCAATCCATTCCACAACAATATCAAAAATTTTGTGATCATTTCTTGGATGATCGACAATGGTTGCATTCTTCAAGGAGAAGAAACCATCTCCTCCCTTAAGTAAATATTTAACAGTGGCAAATGAATAGACGCGATTTTCATCAATTTTCTCGCCATTGAATGTCATTTCAATGATACGTTTGAGTGGAGGTTTCCTACTGTCATAAATGATCGAAATACCTTTGGAGAAGTGTGGGAAGGCACCAACAACACTTTCTGCTTTCTGAACTCCTTCCTCTACAGCAGCTAATAAATCAACTCCCTTAATTTGTGAAAGAACTATTTCATTAGGGAATGGGAATTCTTTGAGAATGTCATATTTGGTAATCTTTTTACCTTGATCGTAGAAACGATCTCCTCTAATTCCACCTCCATTGAAAAGTGCTATTTCAGCATCAAACATCTTAAGAACAACAAAAAAGAATAAATATTGAAAAACAATTCTCAAAACAAACCTCTCTTACAATATCAGCCACAAGATTTCCATAAGTGGTTTCCTTAGAACGACAGCTTTCAGTGCTGGAATAGAGTGGTGTTTCAGTGACACCAATTTGATCGAAAATTCCTGGTGGCAACATTTCCATATACTTTTGAATGACATCTGAAACTTTCTTTTTTGGTTTGTATCCGTGATTAATCATCATGTTACATGATGGATAGACCTTTACAGTATGGAATTGATTACCAGTATTTACAGTTGTTTGATTCTTTTCTATAATTAAATCAATTCTTGTGAGGTATCTGGCATCCTGACCTGCCTTGTGAATAAGGCAATTATCTTTGATGACAGTGTATACTTCATGATCGTGACCTGACAAAACCTGTATTTGAATTTGTGTCAATTAGCAAGAGTTTGCAAGAAATAATACTTACTACATCTATTCCAGGCACCCTTTTGACCAGTTCCTTATCATCGGCAATATTCAAATGGTTAATGGCAATAACAACGTCACATTTATCTACATTTCTAAGCTCATTGACCATTCTTCTAGCAATAGGAATACTTGGTTGGAATTTGATTAATTTTCCAGGCTTACTGAGATATTCCGAATATTTTGTACAAACTCCAAACAATCCAATCTTTAAACCATCCAAAGCAGGGTCAGTAATAATAAACTTTCTGTAAACTCCCTTCAAAATATTCGATTCAGAATTATTGAATGTTTTATCATTGGTTTCCTCATTATTGTACACAACATTTGAACAAATCCACTTGAAATTAGATTCTTTAATGCGTTCCTCCAAAATTTCTGATCCAAAATCAAACTATTTTCATTTAAATTCACAAACATTATTCAAATTTTAACACTTACTTCCTAATTTCCAATAATTAATTCCAAAATTTAATCCAAAACTAAACTTACATGATTTCCAGGACAAACAAAATCACTAATATTACATTAACATTGAAATTCAAACATCCACCATACTTACATTGGCATATTATTCAATACGTCAATCATGTGAGCTCCTTTAAATTGTTCTGCCAAAGTCGAAGCACTCATAAAATCACCATTCAAAGTAGAAATCGAAAACCTCGATTTATTCTTCTCTTGATCAATCATGGTTGCCAATTCTGCCAATCCACCAACTCCTTTATCATCACTTCATGAATAAATTCATCATCATTGTCATCATCATTCGGAATGAAATTAAATTACTACTACCTACGCCAACAATTCATAAACATCATTCACCATCAAGATGGTAATATTAGCCATATTCACAGTCTCTGTTGTAGAAGCCGTTGGCAGGGCATGTTTTCTTCTCAAGTGGTTCATCATTTTTCATAAGAGTCTGTCAATTTTAAAAGGAAGAAGGATAATATTCTTGTTCTTATTTTTTTCTTATTTGATTGTCGTTGAATAATCATCATTAATATCTCCTCAATAAGAGAGGGTGTTGATGATGAATTTAATGTATTTTTGCCTCATCAGTGCAAAAAGACGGACAGGGAAGAATAATTGCAATTTACTCCTCTTATTCCGATAAGCTCTTTTTCATCAATTGTCTTCTTTTAGTTTCTTACTGCTGAGTGTCTTTATATCTTCTTTATTTCACCACTAGACATTGTTATTGTGATGACTTTCCATAGCTTTATTTGATTTGCAAGATTACTTTGATGAACTTTTGTTATTATTAATTAAATTAAAAAAAATGCGATCATTCAATAATGAAAATACGTTCGTTAATTTACCCTTGGAAATACATTTAAATATATTATCATATGTTCTTGATACTAGTTATTCTTATAATATTAAATATACAACTAAAATTAAACAATTATTAAATTTTCAAACAAGTTGTAAAAAATTAATGTACGATGATGATCAATGTGATTATTTTAATGAATTTTATTTTGAGTTATTGAAAAATTATTTACCAATAAAAGTGAATAATGAAATAATTAAGGAACAAATAATTAAAAAAACAAATTTAAAAAGGATTGTTTTGTTAACTTTATATATTAAATATAAACAATTTAAATATTTAGATTTTACTGACAATTACCTTAAATTTGTAATGATAGGTGATGGTGGTGTTGGTATGTTATTCATCTAATTTTTATTGTAATTATATTTGATATAAGGCAAATCATCGATTGTGGTTAGATTTATTCAGAATAGATATACAGATCAATATGATCCAAGTTATTATGATGATTATAGAAGAAATATTGAATTTGATGGAAGGGTGTTTGAACTTGATATATTAGATACATGTTAGTATTTTCATTTATTGAATTATTAAACTTGATAATCCTAATTAATTTAATTAGATGGACAAGAGGAATACTCAGCTATGAGGTAAGTTGTGAAATGTGATTGTTTATCATTTAATTTGATAGGGGTAAGTTGATTTGAATATCTCAATAATTTAATATGAATAGATCAATATATGAGAACTGGTGATTGTTTTATCAATGTTTGCGATTTATTTAATTTTTCCTCAGCTGAATTCTGTAAGACCTTAGTTGAACAATTAATTAGAATCAGAGATTCAGAAGATATTCCAATTATATTTGCATTAAATAAGATGGATTTAATTACTGATAACAATGAAATTGATAAATTGAAAAATGAAATTATTAATATTATTAATGAGTATCAACTAACAAATACAAATATAGTTATTTGTAGTGCTAAAACTGGTGAGGGTATAGAAAATGCATTTCTAGAAGGTGTTAAGTTAATTAGGTTTGGTAATCAAACAAATTTAAATTCAATATTACAACAAGTGATTGAAAAAGATATTAAATATTTAAATAGTTTAAAAAAAGAAAAGAAATGCATCTTGAATTAATCATAATACTTAATTGGTTGAGAATGATTTGAAGAGGAGATGAATCAAAATTAATTCTGTTCAATCACGTAAAATGCAGTCCAACTATGATACAATCAGTAGATGTAGAATATGTTTTTTGGATGTTAATTTGTGAAAATAATAATTCTTGTAATGAAAGTTCACATTCCATCAGATCTTGTGCTCACTGTTTCTGATCCACTAATTCGCCGGAGTTGACCAAAAAAAGAGCAAAAAAATGGAAAGATACGTCTCTTGGATTTTTCTCTGCTTTTTGATCAATATCTATTTGACAACTGTGACAGCATCATCAACAGGCTACACACCTGTTAAATACACCATCCAACCTCTATTCGGCCAGAAAAACACATCATGGTTAGATTATGATATACGAAAGGTTTATCCATCCTTCCAACATTCCGAAGATATCGTTTACTTACTTCATTCAGCCGATTTACTTTCTTCATTGATGAGATTGAATATTTCGAATGGACGAGTGGATAAACTGTTGGAAAATATCATATGCATTGCTCAACCAAGTATTAATAATATTCATCATGACATTTTCTACGTTGTTGAAAGTAGGAATGATAAACAATGTGTTTTATCAAAATTTAATGTGACAAGCAACTTGATAGAGAGAATAGCAGGAGATTCATGTGATTTTACCTCACAGGGATTTAATTCATTTAGTGAATTGAAATTTGCTGCCAATTGTTTACTTGCTGTTCATATGAGTAGTCCAAATGAGAATGTTCACATTTACTATTCGATATTTGGTAAAGAGAAAGTTTACATGATTGATGAAAGGCAACGAACAACACGAGTGATAACACTACAATCAGATATAAGCTCTTTGCATGTCAATTCAAACGATGAGTTGTTTCTTGTTGGTTATAATAGTATTGGAAAGTTACTTTCGAATGGAAATACTACTACTCTTTATCAGAGCAGAAGTGATTTAAGTTTTATTCAGGGATTTGAATTGGATTTAACCCCACAGAACAATAATATTGAAATATTCTACCACGCTCAATATCCAGATAATCAATTATTTAAAACCACAATTACCATTGATTCTCAGGGTAATAACAAGGTAAATTCTGAGGTAATAAGTGGAGTTTATGCAACTGTGGGATCTAGGGGAGATTCTGGGTTAGCAATTGATGCTCAATTGAGTTATTATATTTCGATCTCACTCATTAGAGGAAAATTGTGGCTAATAGGCTATAGTATAATAAGACAAATTGATTTGAAAACTGGAATTATTTCGTCCCTATTGACAAGTTATGGAATGAGAGTATTTAACACAAATGAATTGGAGGCACCATTCCTTCTGAGATCTCCAAGAGATGTAATTTATTCTTATAATCAGGGAAATCCATCTCTTTTAATATCAGAATCTGGGTCATCGTCTATTCTCAGATATTCTCTAGTGAGTGGAAAAGTAGAGAATATTGAAAATGACTTGATTCCATTATCTCCTAATGAACTCTATAAGGCAACACCTGTAATTTCAAATCCATATTCAATTGCTTTAGATAGGGATTCTAATTTACTTGTATCAAATGATATCAGCCATTGGTCCAGTAATTTTCTAGTGAAATTCAACAATAGTAATATGAATAGTCATTCCATTTTGTTTGGAAATAAGTTGTCATCTTTGAATGATATCAAGACAAATGTTAAGGCATCAGTATTAAACAGACCCTCAGGAGTAACTAGCTTACAACAAAAGGGTGATATGTTAATTTTCATTTCAGATACAAATAATAATAGAGTATTGATGATTAGTACAGTGAATGGAACTATTTCGACTATTGCGAGTAAAGAAAAGCATGGTATTGATGGACCATATGGGATAACCACTGTAGTAGATATTGATAATAGGGATATATATATACTATTTTCAGATTCTAATAATCATTGTGTTAGAGCTATTAATTTACAAGACTTTTCAGTTTCTGTTTTTGCTGGTCAACCAGGAACTGTGGGATCTATTAATGATCATGCATTGAATAGTACTTTTAATCGTCCAACAGGACTATCCTTTGGAGATGGACATGTCTATGTTGCCGATTCAGGAAATCACATGATAAGGTCCATTTCAATAACTACCAAATCTGTTAAAACTTTTGCTGGTACAGGCATACCAGGTTTTAATGGTGATGGTAAATTACTACTGGAAACCCAACTCAACTCACCAATGGACGTGGTTTTTACGGTTACAATGGGAATATTAGTTGCAGATACGTTCAACCATAGAATAAGATTATTAATTCCCAATTTCATTGTGAAAACTATTGCAGGATCAAGTGTTGATGGAAGTGGAGGTGATGAGGGACCAGCAATTAACAGTGAGTTATTCTATCCTCACAGTATTAGTTTTGGAGTTACAGCCATCTATATTGCAGGTAGGTTTTGTCTTTGACTTTGTGTTCTAATAATTATCGAACTTTAGATACTTTCAATAACAAAATTAGAGCAATTTCAATAAGTGATTTCACTATTAGAACTGTGGTAGGCCAAACAGGGTTTCCAGGTTTAGAGGGAGATGGAGGAAATGCGCTTGTGGCAAAACTAAATGGGCCAGTGTTTGTACATTCGTATGTTGATGAAGGAGGAATAGAACGTGTACTAATTTCTGACAATAGAAATGATAGATTAAGAGTTTATTATCCAGGTAACAATGTCATTCATTCATTAGCAGGAGGAATTGGCGACTTTGGTCCTTCAGAAAATGCTATTGGAAACTGTCTTGGTATCTCTGTTGCTCCAAATAATGATATTTACTTGACAGATGTGAAAAACAATTTAATAAGATTAATTAGAAATGGAATTATTTCGACAATAGCTGGAAATGGAGGCTATGGGTTTAACTTGGATAATATTTATGCTACACAAGCATCCTTAGCATATCCTTCAGGCATTGTTTATTCAGAATCGACAGGAAATCTCATATTTTCAGATACAAATAATCACAGAATCAGAGTTATTCACAAAAATGGCACTATATCAACCTTGGCGGGAAATGGAATTGCAGGCTTTTCTGGAGATGAGGATTTGGCAATTAAGGCACAAATTAATTCACCCACTTATTTGAAAATTATTTCTCCATACGAAGACATTGTCTTTTCAGATTCTAAAAACTATCGTATTAGACGAATTCGAAATGGAATAATTTCAACAATAGCTGGAGGTGGAAAAGGATCTTCTTATTCATTAAAGGAATCACCAGCAAATGATGTTTCATTGGGAATTCCAGAAGGAATTTCATTCTCGAATGATGGAAAGGGAGAAATTTATGTTGCAGATTCCAAACTTAACATTATACAAAAGATGAAGCCCTATTGTCAGGAAGGTTTCATTCTCAGTACGAATATGGTCGAGTGCATTCCAGTGTGTTTTGGAAAAGCTGCCAATGAGAGTCACTCTTGCAATTATGGAAATGGAACATGTATTAATTTTAACAAGTGTGAATGTAGCTCAGCATATAGTGGAATGGAATGTAAAGTACCAATATGTTTTGGCATCTCAAGTGATCAATCAAGTGTTTGTTCTTCGAATGGTTCATGTATTTCACCAAATGTTTGTGAATGTAAGAATGGATACAAGGGATCTAATTGTGAAATTCCAATTTGTTTTGGAGAATCTGGATCAAAGGCATGTAGTGAAAATGGAAAATGTGTTAAATACAATACTTGTCAATGTAAAGAAGGATTCAATGGAGAGAATTGTGAAAGTAATATTATAGTGTTAGGAGTAGTACTTGGATTGGTTGGATTCTTTACAGTAATTATCTCAATTATTTCAATCATCTTGATTTTCATTTTCAAAAAATACAAAAGGATTATTAATACTGATCTCAAATTGGACGAAAGATTACTGACACAAACTGAATTGTACGATTCTACAAATATTGATTCACATCATAGCTCTGATGAGGAGAATAAGTTTATAATTCCAATTGAGCAATTAAATATGGATAAACCAATAAGAGTAAGTTTTCAAATATTGCTGAATATTATCAACCTATTCAGAGACTGGGAGAAGGAGGAATTGGATGTGTTTTCCAAACCAGATACCATGGCATGTTAGTTGCTGTCAAAGTATTCGATTTGAATAATATGGATATTTCAGAAAATGATTTCAAGAATGAGGCAATTCTATTAAGCAATTTAAGAAATCCCAATATTATTTCATTTTACGGAGTTTCATCCACCCCAACAAAGAGATTTATATGTATGGAATGTATGGATAAGAGTTTGGAAAATTTAATTGCTTCTTTGCAAAGAGGTTATTTAAAGTGTTCGTTGAAACAAAAACTTGAGATTTTGGTCAATGTCGCAAGTGGTATTAATTATCTTCATCATTTGGAACCAAATTATATTGTTCACAGGTAAGTTTTCTAAGAAGAGGATTAACATAATTTAATTTTATTTAGAGATTTGAAACCTGCAAATATTCTGTTGGATAAAAATGGAACTGCCAAATTGGCTGATTTTGGTTTAGGAAGAGCATTCTCTTCTCATACCATGTCAGCAGTTACTTCACAAATTGGAACTTTTAATTACATGAGTCCTGAGCTATTTTCAGGTGAAATTGGAAGAGATGATGCTAGATCAATAGATATCTATAGTTTGTCCATAATTATGTGGCAACTTTTATTCGAAATTATGGAACCTTATCAAAGTACCGATTCAAAAGTTCTAAAAAAGTTAAAGTTATCAAAAGCAAATACATTTAATAGTACTTACCATTTCCATAAGAGTATCTGTGAGGGAGATCTGAGACCAATAATTCCATTCTCAGATATTGGTGAATGTAGAGAGTGGTGTGGGGAATTCCTGTCTGAAACGAATAATTCACATGTTAACTGTTATGAAATAATTTATGAAATTACAGAATTAATTAAACGGGCATGGAGAAAAGATCCAAAAGAAAGACCAACCATTGATGAAATTTTGACCAAGTTGGAATTAATGTTGGAACGTTTCGAATAAATTACTATTAAATTTAGTTCCTTTTGATAACTATACTGTTTAAATATATTGTCATTCCTTAAGCTTGCTCAATCTTTTTAGATGGATTTTCATATCTTCTTGTTGTGACACTCGACTTGGGTACTGTAAACGAAAGTCCTAAATTGAAAAAGCAAATCAATGAACAAACAATAAAGCTCAACTTGTCAACAAATGGAACTTTAGCAAAGAATGAATCTGGATCTGCTGTCTCGATATCTCTTGAAAATTTCAATCCAACATCCACTAATACTCCACACAAGAAAGGTCCAATAGCCCATCCAATCGATGCACAAATATGTCCCAATCCGTTCATAGATCCAATATGTTCTGGTGATGGAGAGGCATTATTAATCATCAGGAATTGAGAAGTATAAACCATTGAGTGAGAGCAGCTCTTGATAAATATAAAGAATGTTACAAATACCAAAACCACCCAGAAAATGAAATCAAATCGAATCATTTCAGTGGAGAACGGAAGGATCAACATGGAGATACCATAGATCACTAACCCGATTCTATAGAGCCACAAAAAGCCAAACTTTTTAGAAAGCAATGGATAGATAATTAGCATGACTAGTGAAGTGACACCACCAACTGAAAGAATTAATCCAATTATGAGTGAATCCAATCCTAAACCTCTCTTTTTAACTGAATTACTGAAGAAAACTTGAAATAGGTTAGCATAAGATCCAGTGATTAATTGAAAATACTTACTTGGAACAAGCTCATCCGCCAAATTAGTAAAAATACCCAAGAAGAGATAGAGGGAAACAACTTTCACAACTGTAGAATCTTTCAAAAGCATGAGCATACTATTTTGTGAGCTAGGTTTGCTACCACCACCAGTTTCTTGTGTTTCATGTTCTGATAATTTAATCAGATTATCCTTTGAATCGTCCACAATCGTGTGATTATCAGCAGTTTCCACCAATTCAACCACCATGTTTTCCTTCTTTTTTCCCAACTTGGTTTTGAACCAATTTACAAAATCAAATCGTTTGGCAAGGGACTCTTTCAAAAGGAAAACTGAAAGTACAAGTGTAACAACATTCATCAATACAGGAATTGAGAATGGAAGAATGAAAGGATTTTCACTAAAGAATTTGTAAAGAGATGATTGCTCTCCACCGAAAAGAACTGGAAATTTCTCTGCAAAATTTACCAAAAAACCTCCTATACCTGGAGTTACAATATTACTACAACTCCACTGTTTGAATATTCAATAAAGTAATTACATGTTTGAAGAATTAAGCATTTAGAAATTAAATATTATATCAGTATCAACTTACCAAAATTGAAATAATAACAAATGCCTTTTCCTGATTAGTAGAATCACTAATATCCATCAAGAAGGATTTGTAAATTGGAATATTGGCATTCAATAAACCATGTGAAATTCTAATCGCCAATGCAAACCAAAAACTCCTAGAAACTGAAAATATACTCATGAATATAATATTAAACACTAAACCCAGCAATAGGAGTGGTTTTCTCCCAACATGATCACTAGCTCTAGCTATGAACCAATTAGAAAGGAGTTGTGCAGCTGAAAATGCAGACGAAAGTGCTCCAATCATTAATCCAACAGTTTCTTCAGGTATCTCAAAAATTGGCTCTGTTCCATTTAATGTTGAATTAAATGTAGAATTAAATGTAAAATTTCCATTATTCAACACTGAAAATCTCTCCACAAAATCATTTCTAAAATCATTTCCAAATGTTGCAATCGGATACAATCTATTCAATCCAAAATTAGGTAAAAACCCAACCATTGAAGAACTAATTGACTGATTCTGTGCCACCACATTCTGATGTTCATACACAAGAAAGTCCCTCACCATGAATGGAACCACAGGATACAACAATGCATACCCAACAGCTTCCGATATAATAATCATAGAAATCATAATCATTGGTAGCTTGGGCAGTGGTGTAACAACCTTCTCATTCTCCTGCTCTTCTTCCCTCTCTTGATGAGAAGAAGGCAATATTTCATTATTTTCTTCATCAACTCCATGGGGTTGTGTTCTTCCTTGAGAATTCCTCATCACTATTCTGCAGTGTAGGGTTATTATCCATTTTTTTGTGTTTTTCTCGTTCACTTCTTCTGTGAGTATATTTGTTGTTTTCAACATCTAGTAGAGAGTGTGGAGGTATTACTAGGGAGTACGGACAATAATCATCACACCATGAGTGTTGTGGTCCCAACCTATTTTACTAAGGAATGAGGAGAAATCTGTGGTTATTATAATAATGTTCAGATAATAATAAGGGTTTTGACAAAGCTCAATTGATAGTTCAACAAGTTAGAGCTCTAATTGTAGTTGACAGCAATTAAAGGTCTAACTTTCTTAAAGAATGTGAAATTGGGTTGAGAGAGAAATAGGAAACGCCAATCTTCCTTTTAAACAAATATTATCTTGGATCTGTTTTATAAGGTAACCTCAAATCCTCTTAAGAATCTAAACTCTAAATGAACACCACCTTCCAACCAAATAGATGGACAACGCCCACTACTACCAGTTGACCACTTGTAATGTATTGAAGTGAAACCAACCGAATATTAACAAGTCAACCGAATATACCAACAATAAACAAAATTCCATTGCTCTTACATAGCATTGTGCTCTCAACCTTCATCCCAAAAGCGTTTTAATAAACCTGCAAAAGATGTTGATTGGAATAAATTTGTGCACAGCTTGATGAGCGACCTGAATCAAGCAACTCGATCGTTTCAGCAAAGTAGGCAATGTTTTCGATCTGTTGGTTCAAACTGATCATCTTTCATCACATCAATGATTCGAGTCTCCGAAATTAATTTACCAAATAGTCATCAATTATTGCAAATTTTAAACATGTTTTCATCGAATTGGTCACAACATACAATCTTTGAATATTAGAAAAAAAACAATCTAACAACAACATCCAAATATACGCGCTCTATAGGTTATCATAATATCATCCGCTAATCAAGAAGCTGCAGAGCATTAATCATCAACCCGTTCAGGAAGCTTTAAATCACATTGTCCTTGTCGCTACTTTTTTTTACTCCATTTTTGAGGATTTCCACTTTTGAAAAAATTTCCAACAACTCGAAAAAAGTAACTGAAAAACAAACTCTAAAAAGACTTAAACCAAAGCTGAAGCTGACTCTCTCAACTTTGTAGTATTTATTTCATCATTGGCAATATATATAGAAAAATAGACTCTAACTTTCCCTAGGAACCTAAAGTTGTGTCAAAGACATTATCGACTCTGACTCTTGTAAATTCATTAACCATTTAGTCTCATTCACTGACCCGTCGGGACTTTCTAGATTAATCCTGTAGATAACTGTCTTCTTCATCATCATCTATTATATTAATATATATATAATTTAAATTCATAATCAAAACAAATAACAAACAGAAAATGACTGAATTTGAAACTTTCGATGCCAACTCATTTGTTGGTATCATTCCAGTCCCTGAAATTAGTTTAGAAAGACAAGATAGTAGTGGTACTATTCATCATAGAACATTGTCTTCGCCGAATAATTACTTATCTGAACCTAATTCTTCATCGCCTCCTACAATTGCTGGAGCTAATGGCATGACAACTGAAGAGGATTTTGTCAAGGCCATGCTCTATGATGCATGTCTGAGAGGAGATTTGAAATTCATTCAAGAAAGTTTACAGAATATGGCTAAAGAATATCAATCGAATAGAAAGAGTACTTGTGGTTCGCTATCTTCATCATCTTCATTGCTGGCGAATAGTGTTCTCAATCAGACAGCAACTGATTTGACAGCAGATGTCAGGTACATGTTGCTCTATACTACATTCCCAGAACATCAAGATTGTAACTTGGTCCATATTGCTGCAAAATCGAATCAAGTTGATATTTTGCAATGGCTGTTAACTGGAGAAGTTGCTCACCACATTGATGCACAACAATCACCATTCGAAGAATCCAATTTTACTGAATCATCCTCCCCTAGATCCCCACTTGTAAATCAATTACTTTTAGCAACCGATAATCATGACGCTACCCCAATTTTCTATGCTTGTCAATCCGGAGCACAAGATGCTTGTGTTTATTTGTGTAGTTTTAAATGTGTTCAAGATCAATTGAACACTCAACATGACAAGTATGGATACCTCCCTCTCTATATTGCTCTTAAAAGAAAAGATTACGACCTTTGCGACCTTCTTCAATTATTTGGAGCTAAAGTGGACGTTCTTGTTGGAAATAGTGAGACATTACTTCACTATGCTGTCAGAGAAAAGGACATTCAAATGGTTGAATACTTGGCAAAAATTAAACCTAATTTATTGTTAAGGAAAAACCAAAGGGAAGAAAATCCACTTTTCTCCTTACTCAGCGACAGTAGAGGTGGAAGAAGAAGAAAGAAGAGAACTGACACAATTTCTGATTTAGAGTTTGCTGACTCAACTGACAAGTTCATGTTAGGATCCTTAGTTTCAGATAACGAAAGCTACCTGAATGGTAGCGTCAGCTCTGGAGGATCATTTTCTGTAGGAAGTTTGGGAAATAGCAATTATTCGAGTCAACAAAATGTTAATGCAAACAATGAGATTGTGGAAGAAGAAAAGATGTTTTTTGCAACCTTCCTTTTCAAAGGAACTTTAATTTTTGGTGTGGATACATTCGAGAAGAGTTTCCTCCAAAAGAACTCATTCGGAAGAAATATCATTATGGAATGTGTTGTTCTAAATGATATGAAGGCCTTCTCCACTTTATCTCAATTCCTAAAGGATTATTGCGCCACAACAGGAACAGACAGGTTTGTCAACCTCCTTGTCACAGAAACTGATCAACAACAGAGAAATTTAATACACTTAGCAATCGAAGGATGTGCCAAACAAGCTGCCTCATGGATTTCGAGACACTTGATTCAATTGGATACCATGTCGGATCGACCTGTTGATAGAAACTCTGTTTCTTCAATGTTTAGTTCGAGATCAGTCATTTCAAATGTTGAAATTGAGACATTTATTACACATCAAAGATATATTTCATGCCTGGAATCAACAATTGATTTTGTTGAATCACTCTCAGGCCACACCAGCACAGCATTAGGGACTCTCTACTACGCTAAGGATAAACTTGGAAATATTCCAGAAGATTCCTGCAAGGCAATCCTGAAGGAATATCAGCTTCCTCAACAACACATGCAACAAATAATGCAAACCTTCTCAAATACCTTACAAAATGGTTTGAAGAATATCAAAACAATTGAAAGAAAGAAGACCAAACCAAAACAAATTACCAAGTCAGGATCCTTCTCTTGGAGAAAGAGCCAACGTTCCACTCACAATCTCTTCAGTAATCCTCCACCAAACACTGATTCTCTAAATATTTCAATCGATGATTCAGTTTCTCCAAGTAACCGAATGTCGACGAAAAGTCTTTATGGAGATGAATCGAGCCCTTCACATGCACATTCATCAACCTCTAAAAAGTTATCAAAGATCAAGGCAGCATTCATGAAACGGTTGAGAAAATAAACAGTTCATAAAGCAATTTAGTTTAGTAATTCTTGAAAAGACAACATTCTTCTCTCCTTTTTTGGCTGCTGGTTAGAAACTGGTACAACATTAATCTCTTGGATTTTAGTTTGTTTCAATTCATTTGAGTGAGTTACAGAGTAATTGATAGAGGGTGAATAATTTACTACTTTAGCTTTTGTTTTGAAAGGTTTAGTTTCTTTTCTTTTGACATATTGTGGATCGCTTGCTACAGAGTGAGCATTAGTATCCAACAAGAAGACTTGTTCATAAGCAAGTGTGCTTCTCTTTCTGTTCTTTATTACACCAAACATATTCATGCCAGCAAATTCTACCTTGTCAAAAGTGCAATATTTACTTAGTTTTGATGTGTTTCTAACGGTTTCCTCTGGTTTAGTTATCTGAGCTTGCATATTTTATTATGATTTGCTTTTGTTGTGAATCTCTCAAATCTTCTTTTTCTAAAATGGTTAGATCTAATCTTTAAAAAGATGACATTTTTAAAATTAAAATTTGGAAAAGAAATCTGTTGTTGATTATGGCAACGTTTTTGGAATTTTAGACACGAGATTAGGTCTGTTTGTGGAATTTAGCATGTCCTGTAAAGCGCGGTTATGAATCTTTCAGTTATAATGTTATAATGCAATTATTCATTTGTTATTGAGCTCTCCATGTACCTAAAACTATTGCATAACCTTTCCAATCAGTCCCATTTGCTTTGCTTTAAAATTCTGTAATGCTTTCCACTGTTTAAATTCGTGAGTGTGCTCCATTCGAGAGAAGGTGTCGATGAGGTTTCTTAGTACTTCTGGAAGAAGGAGAGTCGTAATCTCCTTTGAAGATATCGTTTTTTTGATAAAGCTCTGTTGGCGAGTTAGTGTACCATGGCACTGGTAGTGAGAAAAACTGATTCTGATTCCAATAAATTGTTGGTGCTGACACTTGCTGTTGATGGAGACGTTGGTTTGGAGATGGTTTGAGATTCTAATTGTTCTAAAATTTCCTCAAATCGTTTTTTCACAAAGGAGGGAAAGTTCACTTCGAATTGAGAAGTTGAGGTCATGTATTTGAGATGAAATTCTTTCACTTCTTCCTCGGTACATTTTCCTTTCACATCCAAGTTTTCCAAATCTTCATAAATTATAAAATTTTCTGTGGAATATTCATTAGCACAATACGTTCTAAAGATCTTTCTGAATTCATCATCTCGTAAGTAAATTTCCAATTGGGTTGAATCTGATTTCACATTGAAATTTCTCAATCTATTAATCCAATAAGATAATGTCACAGTTCCTCCAATAACAAAATAAAACAAGGCAAAATATATAATTGAGACAATCTTTCTCACCACAAAGAATGAAGTCGTATCTTGAACTGAGCCAGCAATTATTGGAATTACTGAAATCAACATAACAACCATCAATATTAAATCAATTCTATATCCCATGGGATCGTCAAAGAAGAGGTAGTACGAAATTCCCTTCTTACGAATGGTTTTGAATCCACTACTAACCAAATCAGCAACGAAGAATATTCCAGCACATACCAATATGAAAATCACTTCAATAGCAAACATGGTAATGAATATCTCCTGGGGGAGGTTGAGGAATGAGTAGGCTAGAGCAACGCTTGCAGCAATTATTGGCACGAGACAAATTATGAAACAAACTACAGTTGAAATCAATGAAAACAAAACAGCAAGTGGAGAAGAAGTCAAACATCTGTGTAACCTAAGTGATTCACAACAATATTTGTGGCACAGATCAATATTCTTCAAGTAGGCAAATCTATACAGGCACACCAAATAACTACCAATTAATACTGGAGCTGGGAAGAAAACAATAATCATTTGAATCCAATAACCAGCGGATGCAAGTTTAGATCTGATTAAGATTGTGAAAAACAAGCTCAAAACAATCAGAGAAGGAGGTCCAATAATTGGCAAGAGAATTCTCTTCTTAATGAACAGCAAAAAGTTGAACAGATAACTCACAATATTGGCAAGATATAGAATTATTCCAAAAAGTGCAATGCCAAAGTAAATAACATCATTTACAATAATTGGAAAGAATAGCCCATCTTTAAAATAGTAAATATCTGCATAGTCAAAGTAAAAACTAAAGCAAACAGGGTGGACCATTAACAGATAAATAGATTTCAAATCCTTCTTTTCTAAATTTTGGTAGTACTCCAAAGAGAATGTTGCTGTATTATTAGAAAAGGATAGATACAAGTCAAACTTTCCAATAATAAGCATGTTTCTAATGGCTTGAATTAAGTAGGCATAATCAATGCTTCTGACACTTTCATCCATGAATTTGATTTGTGTTTTGTATTTCCCATCTTGTGTAAATGCTCCAACACTAATCACATCCTTATTCCTTAAAATCAAATTCAAATAAAAATCAATCCTAAATAGAGCTAAGTGATACTCCAATACTTGTGTAGAATTAGAAAATGAAGAATTACAAGTTTGATATTGAAGAATAGGTGAATATCCCAATCCCTTTCCTTCCTCAATATTAATTTCATAATATTTCTTGAATTTTTCCAAATCGTTTGATATTAATTCTTCTAGTTCGCTCACTATTATATCCTTTGCATTTACTACCTCATCCAATTGCACATAGCTAATGGAAGACGGACTTTCATACAAGGGGAATATTGTAAATGAATCACTAAATGTACTATTCCATAAGGACAACCTTACTTGCTTTTCAAACACTGAATTTTTCAAAATCAACAACCATCTACTCAAAACTTCTGGAGGTGTTATCACAAGAGAAGGAGCATTTTCAAGAATTGAGTAAGAGTAATGTGCAATTTCCACAGGAATATTGTCTACCCCAACTTGCTTAAATGTTGTACTGTTCGATAGGGAATCAGGTAAGTTGAAGGACGATTTGCTCGGCTCTAAATTATTGAAATCGCGTGTTAAAACACAATATGAACCTGATTCTTGCCATCTATTGATAATATCTTTCGGCCTAGGGTTCGTTCCATTAACAGAGGCAAGAGATGCCATCATGTTTATGAATACATGATAATAAGAGGGAATGTTCACAATAGTAATAGAGGATGGTAACTTTTTAAATTGGTTAATATCCGAAACTGTAGTAATAATATTCGAATCTGCAATAACAATTTTTAACAGAAATGTTAGTAGAATCAATTGCATCACTGCAAACCAATAAGTCTCCCGTTGTACCAACTTCATCAAATCTAATTAATTTTTTTGAAATGACATCTCCTATTGTTCGCTGTTAGAACTGACATTTGAAATTGTTTTTCCAAAGCAAGCCCGTTCAAGGATATTTTTCCTTCCACACCTGATTCAACTATTTTAACCATTGACAACAATTAAATTTATCTAATAAAAACAGAATTAATACTGTCTCCATCCCGAGAGAGAAAACTTCTTCTTCTTTGCACCTTAAATGAAAAATGAAAAAAAATTAAGGCTTTGAATGTTTTGTATTTTTTTTAATATTTTTTAAAATAAAAAATGGCGCCAAAAAGCAAGCTTGAAAATGATATCAAATCTAGAATGCTTTTCCGAAACTCTAAAGTTAACTATTTTAAATGATGATGAAGAAAGATGATGTTTCAACTAACAGATTTACTTGAGAAGAAAAAATGTCATTTGATGGATTGGTTTTTAAAAAGCTTTCGGAAAAGAAACAAAATAAGAAGAAAACAACAAGGAAAATTCTTCCATCAAATAAGAAGGAAAATAGAGAAACAATAATATTAATTGATCAGGAGCAGGAATTGAATAATGATGATTTAAATGTTGTTGTCGATGAAAAAGTTTCAAACAAGGAATTGGAAATTAATTTGGATTTGGATGTTTCTCAGCCATTATCCTTGTTTTTTGATGCACTGGATCCTCAAGTGATTATTCTATCTGGAACAGCAAAATATGATGAAAACTACAAATATTTGATGAAAAACGAATTTACTTGGTATAACTATAAGTCAAAGCAGGAGATGCTCGAAAAGAAATTGGAATATCCAAGATTTGAAGTTGAGCACTATCCAAGGGCAAAATCATTTAGCTTTGTACAGCAGCTTCTAAGTAGAACTGAGTATTTGAGTTGCATGTCTAGTGATTGCAAATTTCTGTTTGTTTATGGAGGTAGAACTGGAAATGTCATGCATGACGATTTCATTAGCTATGATATTGCATCAAATGTGTTATATGTCTATAAGAATTTATATTTGGCATGTCATGGCCCTTTTTACAAAAATATTCGCTTGCCAATTGGTTTAATTGGATATGAAATGATAGAACTTGACCAACTAATTTTCATATTTGGAAAAGGGGAAATTCACAGAATTGAAAAGGTTACTGATCCCTTAAATCTATCCTATTTAACTCAAGTGGAAAGGTCTGCTTTGCCCAATAGAATCCACTTTACAATGACAAAGGTATTAATTGAAAACAAATTGTATCTGTATGTATTTGGAGGTAAATCTGATAAGGGTGTATTAGATGAAAATCTCTATATGATATATTTTAATGGAGCGAGTTATAATCCCTTTACTTGTACAACATATTCACCCCCTAAACAATTTAAAGAGCTAAGAAGATGGCCATCAGCTAGATATGGACATTCTGCATGCAAAGTATCCAATTCAATATTTATTTATGGAGGAGTAACTACTGGCGACAAAATACTCAATGATTTATTCATGCTTGATATTTCTAGCAAAACTTGGACTGAAATAATTGTGCAATCAATTATTCCACCTCCACTTTTCAAGCATTGTTCATTTAGTGTTAATGAACGATCCTTTTTTATTTATGGAGGAAACAAATCAGAAGGAATATCTGACTGCTTCTATGGATATGATATTATTGATAATAAGTGGAATTTTATTGAAATTGTTTCTGATGAAATGAAGCAAAATATTTCTGGTTACAAGTGTTTGACAACATTGAAAGGGGAAGTATTTGCTATTGGATCCTCGCAAAAGGAAAAGAATCACCGATCATTCTCGAAATTATTGAATGTAGGAGATTCTTTCAAGTCAGTTTCTGTACTTCAATATCTGAATCAAAAGAGAGAGGAAGGTTATCTTTGCGATGTATCATTCCAAGTTAATGACCTAGCCCCCAGTAGCAGCTCTCCTTATATTTTGGCTCACAAATGTATTATCAAAGCCAGGTGTCCAATACTGTACCAAAAGATACAATCAAGCAAACAATGGATTAATACCAATCAATTGGAGGGAGTATTTTTGGAAAAGGAAATGATAATAGTTGATATAGCAGAATGTGATTCGAATACTCTGATGAAATACCTCAAATATCTATATACTGGTACTATTCACTTGAAAGCTAGTGAATCTCTTCCATTTCTTTCCTTCGTTCAAGCAACATCTGAACAAAAGCATTATCCTATCATTCAAAAGATTTACTCTTCAGCAGAATCAAAGAATATTGAAACTACAATGGAAATTCTCAACACGATACAAAATGATTTCAATACCTTATTGGGTGATTCAGTCGATAGTGATCTTACTCTCGTCTTGGATAATAACAATGAAACAGCCAACCAAGGTACAAATGAAGAAGTTATCATTCACGCTCATAGATTATTCCTATCAAGATCACCATTCTTCTCCAAAATGCTTGTCAGTAGTGGAATGCTTGAAACAATAGAAAAGACAGTCCATTTGAAAGATTATTATAAGGAAGTAATGATTGACATGTTGAAATACTTGTACACTGATCGATTACAATTGAATCCAAATAATGCCCTTGGTTTACTGATATATTCACTCTTATTTGATATGGATGAGCTTGCCTCATGTTGCAGAACCTTGGTAGCTTCTTTATTGGATAAATCGAATGTTTGCTCCATTTTCGAGGTGGCTACTTTTCACAACGATAAAGCGTTGCAAAATGCATGTGAAAACTTTATGGTTGACAATTTTCAATCCCTATCACAACTTCCTCATTTACTGAAACAATACCCGAACAAACAAGAATTTCCATTCAACAAAAGTATGAAAAGCAGTGCAAGAAAAAGCTCAAAGAAAAGGAGGAACCAAAGATGAGAATCAAGGAAAGAAGTTTCTTGTTCTTTTAAATAAATGGTTACAAAACTTTATTGTATCTATCAACAGAACAATAATACTCTACAATGTGTTATAAAATCTTAGCTAAAACTTCGAAAAATTGATTCATGCCATGTCATCAAATTCTAATAAATTATTTTCTAATCTTCAAAATTGTGTGAATGGCATCAACAAATTCGTACAACATGAAAATAAAAGCCTTCTTATCCACATTAAAATCCACTGCTTTACCTTCAGCAATTGAACATGTATTCATGGATGGTCTAGTGTGAGCATTCACAAAAGTTTCGGAAAGTTCAGGGAATAAAACAGGTTCAAAATACCTTTCCAAAACTTGGTACCATCTCTTAGCTTCCTCTTGTTGTTGTTCTGGTGCGAGCTGAGCCATTTGTGACTTTTCTTGAATCTTTCTCAACCAATTAATCATGTCTGTATTTGTTTTACATCCAGCTTCAAGAAAATAGGCAAGAATGGCTTGTTCGTTATGAATCATTCCTTGTTCAACAATTTGCAAATCCTTCTTTTCTTGTTGTTGAATAAGAATATGGGTTGTGGTCAATATGAATAAAAGTGATTTCAAGCACTTTAGACAAGGTTCCGTCAAGAGTGATGAAATTGATGATGATGAAATTAATTCTGTATGAATTAATTGTGGCACCAACTCGGTCTGATAATTTAAAAGTTGTTCAATATGAGAAAGAGAGGAAATTTGTCTCTCAATGGCCATTGCTGACAGCTTTTGCGTATAGAATTGAATATAATAATTTCTATCAAGTTGTTGTTCTTGTTGTTGTTGCATATTATTCAATTCAGCAGAGGCAGCACTACTAGTATCCATCATCATTTCAATAGACATTCGCGGAGGTGGAAATATGGGTCAATCGCAAAAATAGGTATCAACGATGCAGATGATCGATGATATGTTGTGTGAGGATGCAAGAAATAATTGTCGTGCTTTTTTTTCTTTCAAAAAACTCCACAACCAAAAATTTCAAAAAGGTGAAGCTTGCGGACAGTTTGATAACAGACACAACGAAGGTGTTGCCTTCGAGATAATTCAATCCAATTGAGAATCAACTACAGAGAAATTCCCATTATCTTCACATTATTTGGTTAGACCATGAGGGTTTGTGTGTGCAAGTGATTAACAAATTATATATAATAGCCCGAGTAGTGGAGAGTTTTGGAGGTTGTGGAACTCTCTAAGGACTTCATCTCAATAAGGTTTCCGAGTTGGTGATTATTTAGGAGAGTTAAGCAAATAAGGAGGGAAATTTCGTGCTCACGTTTAGAGATATTTCTAAGAACAAGATCATGTTGGTTCTGGATGTTTTTGGAATAGGTCTAACATGTTTGATGATAGAAACCGCTAGCAAAATGGAATATTGGTTCTTTACAAAGAATCTTAATAAATCTCCATATGACGAAGAATCGTCCATTATTAAGGATTTGTAATAAATTCCGATTTTGTTGGCAAACTTTTAAACTAGACCAAACTTTCCTCAATACACTTCTTCAATGTACCCTTGTGGATGGGCTTTACAAGAACCTTATCAAATACAGAGCTTGGTGTCTCAGCCATGACGTCACCTGTGAGGGCAACAATCCTTGCAGTGCCGTGTATCTTTCTAATCTCCTTTGACGCTTCCAATCCATCCATAACAGGCATATTCTAATAAATGGTTATTGAAATTTAAGATTGCGTGAAAACTTACAAAATCTGTAATGATCAATTTGTGCCTCTTTGGATCATACTGTTCGACCAATTGTTTCCCGTCACAAACAGCATCTGCTTTATATCCTAGACTTTCAATCAGCTTGAGAATGACTTTTCTGTTGATGGCATTATCATCAGCTACCAAAATACTGGCCTCCCCTTTACATTCTCCCGATCTATCAAAGGTTGAGAAGAGTTTAATGTAATTTTCTTGAATTTTCAATTGTCTCTTAATGGAAGGGTCAATATCGTGCTGTTCTGTCGACAGATCTTTTTCATCAGGTTTTACAACTTCTAGCGGTAAGGTAACTGTGAATTCGGCTCCTTGATGTAGATCCGATTTGAGAATGATATTTCCTTTCATTGCTCTCACATTATGAAGAACCTAAATGATATTTGAAATTAGCAAGAATACATAGAAACATACCGTTGACAAACCCAATCCTGTTCCTGGATAAACAGATTCATTCAAATTGTGAAGTTGAGAGAATGGCTCAAAGATTCTTTCCTGTTTCTCTTTTGGAATACCAATGCCATGATCTATAACTTTAAAAACAACATTTTGTTCGGTGACACCATTCGAAACAGATTCTATTCCATCCAAATAGCACCTCAACTCAACTGAATCACCCTTTTTAGACGCTTTCACACTATTGGTCATCAAATTGGAAATAATTTGATGAATTCTTGTTTGATTGGCTCTCACGTAAACGTTCTTTGCCAGAGCCTCAACTGAAACGCAAACATTCACTTCGAATTGAGTAGAGTAACTCTTAATAATATTTCCAATCATTTTCACACAATTATCCAAACTGAAAACTGTCAAGAATTTTGTTTTTTCAGTAATTTCCTCCTTTTCAGCAATTCTTTCCTCATGTTCAATTTTCACTAGTGTGAGAACATCCTCAATAAGGTTCAATAAAATTCCATCCGATGATGCAATTGTCTCCACTAAATCTCTCTGATAATCGGTCAAGGTGGTTTCCCTCAATAATTCAACACTTCCCAAACTACTCAAACATGGTGATCTACAAAACAAAACGTTTTTTAAAATAGAAACATAAATTTCAATACAAACCTAAATTCATGTGAAATATGCCTCAGAAATACACTTTTTGCAGAGAGAGCATTCTCCAACTGAGCTGTTGTCTGCTCCAACTTGTCCAATTTCGATCTCAAATGCACTGAAGTAGAAATCACATAATAACTGAAAATCAATATTGAGAGGAATAAGGCCCAGTTATCATAGAACTCTTTTGAAATTCCATGCTGGATAAATCCATAAACACCAGAGCATCCAAAATGTGCCAAAGTAAAGTAAATAGGAGCCAATGTGTAAAACCACGAATTGATACTCAAAACATTTGAGGACATGACAATTAGCAAATACAATGGTACCAACACAATCCGAAGCTCTGGAAACAAACAATATCTAAAAGAGAAGATGGCCAAACTTATCAAGACTCTATTTCTCTCCTCCGAATGTCCCACATTATCATCACTATGGGTGAAGGATAATCTAACATATTTGCTATTATTAATTACTCCAAGAATACAGGTGAATAACATTATACAAAACATTGTTGTTCCCTGTTGGTAGGCACCCAATAGTAGAAGAAAATATTGACAGAGAAGAACTAGAGAAACAATTCTCCTAGCAGTTGTTAATCTTAATAGAAACCTTCCAATTGTTGCTTCCCAATGACCCTCTCCATCGGAAGAGGTATTTGTCTTTTCTGTATTGGCGAATCCAGTTCTTGGATCAGCCACTCCAATCTTTTCCTCTGATTTCAATCCAACTTGTTGTTTTTCCTTATTTTCCCACAAATCCTTATCATTCTCATCAAAAAATTGAAGAGGAGCCTCCTTTTTAAGATCATAATACTCATGTTCATTAGTGTGTGATGGAAATTCCGTAATTGTCTCATTGGTATGATGATGATTTTGCAGCTGATGAATATCACCATTCCGTGTTCCGTTCGTCTTGGAAGAAATCATCATAAAGATTGCGCAGGCTTTTTGAACACAAATTCAAATCTCTTTTTTTTTCTATCAAGGATGATGTTGGAGATGCCCCACTTGAGATAAGCTTGGAAAGCTTGGAAATTACCTTATATGAAACTGTAAATTTAGAATCTGGGCAGCACAGATTGTTTGACGATTGGAAAGATGCTTTTTTTGGATGAATTGATTATTTGGGGATGGAATGTGTAAGTTGCAAAACCTGAATCGGTGGCAATATTCAGCTAGTCTATCAAAAAAAATGAATCAAAATGCTTATGCTACTGTTGCTGAGGCTGCTAATATTTATGATTTATATGATGACTTGTTCCGAATAATTTTCAAATTTATGAAAATTTCTGATTTTCACTCATTCATGCTTGTGAATAAATTCATGAATCGAATGTGTATTGAAAATGCAAGGACTAATCACAGACACAATAGAAAATATAACAGACCATTCAATTTTCTCTCCCGAGAGGAGATTGAACAAATAGAGTTGTTGGATGATTATCTGTTCATGGAGAAAAATCAAAAATTGAGTGTTAATGTTCTTTTTGTTGGAAATGGATATGTTGGAACAACTTGCATGATTTTGAAATGTTTGGGAGAAGGGAAAATGGAAGATTTTGTTAATTCAAGATGGTATAGAGAGAGGGATTTTTATAGTTTGCCAATTATTGGTAAGGAAGAGTAAGTTGTTCAACGATTAGTTTACAAATAGGATAATGTATAATTTGATATAGATATGAAAAATTTAGACAATTACAATACAAACAGAAAGATATCATTTTTATCTGTTATTCAGTCAATAATAGATATAGTCGAATGTGTGAAAACTAAATTCAATCAAGAGGCAGTGTTAAAAGCACCGTATACTCCTCGTGTTTTGGTAGCAAGCCAAATTGATTTGAGAAATGACAAGGAGGTACAAACTGAACTGGAGTTGATGAATGAAACTTTTGTGAGCTATGAGGAAGGATCGAATTTAGCCAAGGAGTTGAACTGTTTGTCCTTTTTTGAAACAGCGTGTCCACTGAAGGAGGTTTCTTATGGTTTCGATAATTTTGGATCTTCCCTAATAAGGTTATACTATTATAGTCAACAAGAAATGGATAGAATGGAGAAAGAAAGTGTTGAAACTGTATCTAAGAAAAAGAAATGTATTATCCAGTAATGGTTACCGATAGAGAATGTGAAACTCAAAGAAGTAACCAAATCAGTGAATTATTTGCTTAATATTTACAATTCATTCTTAGTGTTGGTTTTTTGAAGGTTATAGACCTTTTCAGTGAATGAAATCAAATCATCCACAAGAGTTTGACCATTTTCCAAAGCAGCAAAGTGTCCTCCCTTTTCATACCTATTATATTGAATGAGATTAAAGTTTCGGGCAGCAGTTGACTTTGGAGCTCTAAATAAATCTTTGAAAACAGCACAAGCAGTTGGAGTTTGCAAATAATTCTTGGTACCCAACTTGTGTTCTTCAGCTCCTTTAGCAACATTGTAATATTTTCTCATACTAGAATCAATAGTATTGGTAGTATAGTAAATCATGACATTGGTTAAGAATTCATCTCTGGTAATCACCTTGAAAAGACCAGTTGTATCACGTGGCTCAATATCTGTCCAAGAAACAAACTTTTCCAAAATGTAATTCATCAATCCAAGAGGTGAATCTAAGAGAGCTACTCCAATACTATCTGGTTTTGAGCTTTGCATAGCTTGATAACCAATTTCCTCAGTGATGTAAGTTAAACAACCCGAGAGGAATGATGAGAAACTGTTGGTATTTGAACTGTATGGAGTTCCACTCACGAGTTGGGTAATTAAATCTTTGGCAACATCAATCCAATCTCTCCAATTAGGAATAACGAGACACATATTGGAATGGTATCCAATGCAATTCTCTGGATCTGCTCTGGCAACGTACATTGTGATCATTGATCCCCAATCACCACCTTGTACAATATATTTGCCATAGCCAATGTTTTTCATGAGTTGAGCGAAAATTTGGCCAACCTTGCCAATATGATAACCTTCCTTTCTTGGAATAGAGCTATATCCATAACCTGGAATTGAAGGGACCACAACATCAAAACCATGAACATCTACCAATGTGTTAATAATTCTATGGAATTCAATAATTGATCCTGGCCAACCATGAACAATCATCAATACCTTTCTCTCTTTCAATGGTTTTTCAATTTGACTCTTAGCTTGTCTCCAACCAAATCTAACAGTAACATGATCATCAACTTGGGATTCGTAATGTGGAAACAATTCATTCATTAAATCAACTTGTTTCTTCCAATCAAATTCATTCTTCCAATATTCAGCCAATTCCAAAACTTGATTAATTTGACTTCCCATTTTCCAAGCACGATCAGTTTCGGAATAGAAAGGAACCATAGAATCTGGATGGGATTTTAATTTGGCAATTGATTTGTTCAGTGTTTGTTTTAAATCGTGCCATTCTTTCTCATCGTAGGGAATTGTGAATTTTCTAATTTTTGATGAATATTCATCGGAGGTTGATTGCTCTTTTTCTTGTTGATGAGAGGCAACAATACACACACAACATATGAACAGCAGTGTGAGGATCAAGTTGCTGTGGTTTTCTTTCATTTTTTTTGATTAATTGGACAAGTTTGTTACAAAATTGCATTAATGGACTTTTCGGACAATGAAATGTGATGAGCAGTTCCGATAATTATCGGAATAGGGGTTTGGTGGATATTCGAGTTGACCATCCATTTCCCATTGGAAATATTGAAGTTAGTTATTTTCATTATTAGAGTAATTAAGGTTTTGAATAAAGTTGGCGAAAGTTCTAAACAATAGGATTTGATTAATTTATGGTTCACCAACAATAGATGGATCAATAAGTGAAATATGCTCAGCTTGTGAGTTACGGAATAAATTACAAATTTCACTCACATATTCACCTTCAAAAATATCCGCTGAATAGAGATTCAATACTTCCAAAGTCTTGTTGTTTTGTAAAAGTTCCAAATTAGCTAATGATTTCGCGTTAAGTATAGTTAAGGATTTAAGGGTGGAGTTAGTTTCAATGGCATCTGGAATTTTTGCATTAAAACTATCCAATTCATCAATTCCTTTACAGGAAAGAATTCTCTCAAAGATATCGACTGGAGTTACACCTTCATGCAATATCAAGGAAAATCTAATTTCAGGCCTTTTTTCTGCAATTTGTTTAACTTCATCAATAGTGCGTTCAACATCATTAATAAGGTAAAGTTTGACTCTCTTTAACTTTGGTAAGCTTTCATCCTTATCGAAATTGTCCAATATGGTATTGTACAAGGCATCAATGGCAAGAAATTCCAAATGGTTCAGCTTGGAGAAATCCAAATTAGTTTCTCTAGTCAAGCATGAGAGAGTGAGTGACTTGAAATGGAGAAGAAGTTCAAGACCTTTGGTGGTTTCTAAATTCGATTTCAGAGAGCGTAATTCTTTCAATACATGAATATGTGACATGATTGACTCTGTTAAAGTTTGATCGCTTAGTTCCAGCTCAGTCAATTGAGGGAAGCTATTAAATAAATTTTTCCAAAGTTCTTCATCATTGATCATATAAGGTGAGATTGATAAAACTTTCAAATTACCAAGGTATTTTGCTGCCTTTACAATATTTACAAAGAATTTTTCTGTAACATCATTACTCTCAGCAAAAAGTTTAGTAAGCTTGAGTGGCCTCTTGACTCTATCAAATATATAATCAAGATCGAAGGAATCATTTGGCATGCTAACATCCAACTCCTCCAAAAACTCTGCTTGTTCCAATAACATTTGTAAGGCATCATTGTTCAAGGTGGCCTCTGTGAATGTGGCCTTTCTCAAATGTTTTACGCTTTTCATCAGGGCAAAAACAAACTCTTCATCAATATAACCACAAGACAGTTCGAGAGTGGTAAGATTGGTCAATTTGGAAAAGAAAGTTTCAAATCCAATAGATTCTGGTACACAAACATCTTTCTCGAGGTAACCAAAAGAAACAGATTTCATTCTACTCAAATCATGAGCAAGAAAACTCTTTGCATCCTCTTCTACTTCAATATTTAATCCCCAAACAGCTTCCAATCTCGGCAAATACTCTTTAAAATCAAAATATTTACTTGAAAACAAGTAATTTCTCGAATACTCAATTGATTTCAAATCTCTAAATCTCAACTCTGTGAACAACTCATGTTGATGAAAAATACCACTTGCACAAAAATTCACATGCTTGAATAGGAGATGAATTCGTCTACTTTCATCCACGAAATAACCAAACATTAACTTTAACAATTGTCTCCTAGCCATCACCTTGGTATGTTCCCACAATTTCTCCTTCGATGAAACATCAACATGTTCAAGCTCTAACGAATGCTCATCAAATTCAGAAACTATCAAGTGACGAGAAAGAAAAAATTGAATAAATTCTAAAATGTAAAGTTTGATATCTGAGTGCAAGGAATAAAGACCAAGCTGACAATTTTGATCAAGTTTTAGCTTTTTGGATGATGATTGCTCTGAGAGTGCTTCTTCCGAAGATTCCTGTGTAGTTGTTCTTTTCATTTTTTATAAATCCAGTTGAGCGATTTATTTTGGCGCCAATTATTTTCCTTACAAAATCCGCCAAAGTTACTTTTTTTCATTTTAAAAAAATGTCCAACTATCACACCAATTTTTATCAGCATCATATTAAAACCCTGTTGAATGAAACTGATCGCGAATCTATTTATCGACCATGTAGAACAACATTATTATATGGATCAGGAAATAAAAATATTTCTCTTGGAATTCCGATGGAAGAAGTAACAAGTAGTAGTGGATCTGGATCACAGGAATATGGAGGCTATGTAAAGAGGGTTCTTCCATGTTCATGTTTGATCTACAAGATGAGAGGTGTAAAACCACAACGTTATAATGATTATGAAAATGTTTATGGTGCCACAATGGATTATGATGATGAATTTATTCAGGATATATCGTGTGGTGAATCATCAAGTTGTTTTCTCACTTCAAAAGGAAGGGTTTTTACTTCAGCAAATTCTGAAACTCATGACGCTTCAAAAGTACCAACTTTTATATGTTTGTCATATTCTGATACAAAGGTGAATACTAATGATGGAATGGTTGTGGAATTGAATTTGGAAGAAGTGAAAAAAGGAGAGGAAGACCTCATGAGTCAACAGGAGGGATATGTGTTTGGTATTCAACAAGTCTGTGTTCTCTCAACTCATTTATGTATATTAACTAAAATGGGATTAGTTTTCAAGTTATCATCCTCAGATAATTGGACACTATTGGAATTTAAGAAAAAGAATGAATTGGCTAGAATTAAATATATAACTAGTGGTCTCAGCCATTTGATGGCTCTTTCAGAGGATGGGGAATTATTTGCAGCAAGTCAATACGATACTTATGGGGCTTGTGGGAGTGGAAATATGGCCTCAACTGCTACTTTTGAAACCTACCAACCACATATTCCATTAGAAAGAGGAGATTCAATTCTGGATGTCTATGCAGCTTATTACAGAACTCTGGTGGTTACCAAATTTGGTAAATTATATGTCACTGGTTGGGGAGTTTTTTGTCAACAAGGTATTGGACATGCCGATAATATTTTGGCATTTACCCTACATGAACCAATGGCCAAGACTGGAGAAAAGGTTATTAAGGTAGCTTTGGGAGCTCTTCATACTATTTGTCTTTGCGAAAGCGGAAATTGTTGGGCATTTGGATACAATTCCTATAGACAATGTGGAAGTGAGAGTGAGGTAGACCATCATCCATTACCAGTCTTGATCGAATTGCCAAAGAAGATCAAGGACATCTTTTGTGGATGGCACTTTTCGATTCTCCAAACAGTTGATGGAGAATTCTTAGGAGCTGGTTCCAACAGTGCTGGAGAATTGTGCTCTATCAGCAATATCAGCGCAATTAACAAATTTACGCCTCTCCAATTACCAAAACCACCAATTACAACTTCTCAAATGGTATGGCGAATCTTCACCAGCTCCTTCTCCTCCAATATTTTCTTTATGGTACGATTGGAAAACAGTAAGAGAACTCAATGGATGCGACAAAACATGAAAAGACTGATTCAAAACAAGGACATTGTGGCAGGCCATCCCCTCTTTGATATTGAAATATTACATTAAAACCATCCAACAGCAGTGAACACGGGAAGGAAGGAAACAAATGAACCTTTTTAGCCTTTCCAAATACTAAACAGAAAGTGTATAAATTGAATTACTGTAACCCTTTCTATGAGATTGGTATTGAATTGGCTAAAAAAGGAATGGTTGTATTGACCAACGATAAGAGAGGATGCTGTCTTCCCCAATTTCCAGAATGTTTTGAATATTCATCCTTCCAAACAATGCGAAATGAATTGTTAACAAGCAACTCTCTTCCATTTGTTTGCTCATTGAACACACCAACCGATTACAATATTCCAAATGATAACTATAAGAATTTGTAAAGATTATTTTAACAGAGACCAAATTCATTCCTCAAGTATTGGAAAATCTCACTCATTTCGATAGCCCAAGTGATTTGAGTGATGGCAAGATTGAAAAACGTGTATTGGATCTAATTTCATTTTGTTTACTAAAAAGAAATTAAATAATACATTAAATTCTGACCTAATTCAGATTTGAATAGCATCATTACTGTCAAATTTCACTTTAAAAAAAATGGCTCCAGGTAGAGAACGCTACCTGAAAGATATTATCCAAAATCCAACCTCATATAATTATGCCAAACTACCAGACGAACTTCGGAATGATCGTGACTTTCTTCTCCAAGCCTTGGAAAAGAGTAAATCAGCTCAAGTCTTGCAGATAAGCTCTGAAAAAGCGCGGGAAGAATTGGATAGAAATTTCATACTACAATACGCAGCTGTAAAATTTGATTTTTCATTGAAATTAATTTCAGAAAAATGGCGCCACGATAAACAAGTAGTTTTGGCGGCTTTGACTAAAAAACGAATTGATGAGAATTCTTCATCGGCACCTGCTTTTAAAAATCATCAGCATCATCATTCACAACAAAATCATGAAAAAGAGGATAATCAAAATAATGCAGCAGCTTCGGAGTTGTTTTTGGTCGGGGATGAATTGAAGAAGGACAGGGAAGTTGTCATGGCAGCCATTCAGAGTGCTCCTGGTGCTATTCAGGACATTTCAGATGAATTTCGAAATGATAGGGAAATTGTCATGTTAGCTTTGAAGAGTGATAGAATTGCTTTCAAAAGTGCCTCTGAAGAATTGAGAAGGGATAAGGAAGTTGTGTTTATGGCCATTCAACATGAGCCTTTCTCATTCATGTTTGCTTCTGAGGAATTAAAGACTGATCGACAAGTTGTGTTGGAGGCTGTAGCTTTGAATTATAGAGTTTTCAAATATTTGCCAAAGGGAAATCCTTGTAAGGCAGATAAATTGATTATATTCCACGGAAATTTAAAAACAGTAATGAATGCATTTAAGGAGGAGACTTTGGATGAGAGTGGATTGATTCCTTTTCTTTTTCAAGATAAGAAACCTGAAATTATTTCAAAAGGAATATTTTCTTCATTTACCTATAGTGTGAAATTTGTGCAAACATTTGCCATGCTGATGATTTTGAAGAAACTGAACGAAAGTAGTTTGAAAATTGAAACTGAAACAATTGCGGATTTGGATTACCACTTATTTTGCATAAAGTTGGAACAACATATAGAATCCAAGTCACCTAAACATCCTGTTGGTAAAAAACACTTTAAGGAAGCTCTAAAGACGATAGTCGACGATTTTCCCTATCACCACTATTCGAAAAAGGAACACCCTGGAATTGTATTTCTTATTAAGCGAATTTTGAAACATGAAAATCCAAACTGGGATTGGAAAATGCTGATAAGCGAGTATATGAAAACAACAGGTGACAGTAAGAAGGTCATTTCGTCGTTCCAAATTTTTACTACGCAGAAGAAAGTTAAAAATTACGAGTTGATTTCTTCTTTAGGATTTGGAGGTGAGGGTGTAGTATTCAAAGCTTTTGATAAACGTAGAGAAGTTTTTGTTGCTGTAAAGATTAAATTCCAACCAGAGTATGACATGAAAAAGATGGATGCTAAAATTGAATTCTTAAAGAGACAAATTGATGGAAAGATTAATTGTTTTGAATGTGGTATTCTGGAATATGGTCAAGATAAGATTAAGACGAAACATTTATTTTCCATCATGGAGTTGGGTGAAGAAACTTTAAGAAATATTATAGAAAGAAACCATAGCAGCGGAGTTGGAACATCCTTGGAAAAGGATAAAATGATTGAGGTACTGGAAATGTTTGCAAAAATCCTTCAGGCAGTCCAATCAGTTCACAATCAAAACATTGCACATAGGTAATTATTTTAATATTTATTATTATTATAATTATAATAGAGATTTGGATCCTAATAATATTTTAAAAATTGGTGACAAGTTTAAGATTATTGATTTTGATCAATCGAGAGTTATTGAAGTAGGAAAATCAATTACAATCAATGTGGGAAAGTATACTTATATGGCTCCAGAGGTTTCAGATTCAACCTATGAAAAATCCAACGAACAACATTTAGTTCATGAATATCAGGAGAAATTAATTCAAAACAAGAGGGAGATTTCAACAGCATCAGATATCTTTTCATTAGGATGTATATTTTTGGAATTATTGACTGATTGTTTGTTGAAAGTAAGCAAACAATTTATTGGAGGTACTGACATTTCACAATTTGATTCGAATTTCACATATTTTAGTTCAGAGGAGGGATTATATTTTCACAGCGCTGTTGTAACAGCTGAGGGAGAAATGAGAGTGCACCATGCCATAAGAATGACCATTGATAAGCAGATTAACAAATCTTGGGGTGTGAATGAAATACTTACCAGATGTCTCATCACCATGATTCAAAGAGATCCTCGTAAAAGATTGGACTGCTTTACTTACAAGATTATTATCGACAATTTAACAAAATATCTCCGTGGTGAAATTAATGATTATTCTGAAAATATTCACAAGGAACTGGATGATCTTCTCAATATTCAACAATTAATCAACTATTATGATATTATTCAACAAAACACAACCCTAAAACAAGAAAACTTACTCTTGAGTAATGAAATATCCACACTCAGAAATGAAAATGAACTTCTCAAACAAGAAATTGAAAAACTCAAACAAGCAAATCAAGTTGTATAAACATCATAATTAAATCATCAATGTTCAAGATGTAAAAATGAGCAAAAACGAAACAGACAAGATTTTGAAAATCATCAATTAATTCAGAGGAATATTCAATCTAATAACAGTAATACGGAAGAGAGCAAAACAGAAAGTTGCAAAATATTCGAGTTAAAAAAATGATGAAAGGAGAGTTTGGTGTAATTCCCTCCGAAATAATATTCGATCAAATTCTTTCCAATTTCGAATATACATGGATTTTAAATACTGTAAGATTAGTTTGTAAAAATTGGAATGAAAATTACAAATCAACTCCAACATTTTACTTTCCAATGCAATTTTCTGAAGAAAGTAAACATTTAGAAATTATTTTAACGAAACATTCCGATGAATTACACAAAATAACTCATTTAGAATGCCATCCGAGCGAATATTTAGATTCGAATATAGAGTTTATTTCCAAGTTGACCAATTTAAAGTCATTGAAACTGTCTAATTGCAGTAATGATGTAATTGTTGAATTTTCCAAATTGAAGACATTGGAAAATGTGCAATTAGTGAAAATGAATATTAATAGTATTCGATTACTATTCGAAACCAAGTCCAAGATTAAAACGCTCTTCATTAAAACATGGTCACCAGAGCGCGTAAATGTACAAGTTGAAGATTTATTATTTGATCAATTGGATTGGCCATTGGAGAGGTTATTTCTGCATGGTCAATTGAATTCAAAATCATACATTTCAATATTCGAAAGCAAATTCGCCAACAAGTTAAAGAACTTTGGAATTTGTAACACTTTTATAGAGAAATCAATTTTTGAACATATTCGGAAATTGGAATCCATTACTGATCTATTTTGTTTAACATTTAGAAACAATTTATTTGAAGAAGAGATGAAATTTATTTCTCCACTTGGAAATTTAAAGAAATTTCATTTCATTTCCAAGGGAAGAATTAAAGAGGAAGCAGTTAAAGACCTTTCAACATTGAAGAAGCTTGAGGAGCTCCATTTGGATAACAATTTAATAACTGCTTGTAATTTTCCATATTTGGAAAATATGAAAAGTTTGAATTTACAGAATAATAGGATTGGAAATGAAGGAGCAATTAATTTGTGCTCACTTTCTAATTTAACAGAACTTAATCTTTCGAATAATTTAATTGGTGGGCAAGGTTTGAAATATTTTTATAAACTTTCTCAACTCAAAATATTAAACTTGTCAAGTAATCAAGTTGGAGATGTTGGAGCTAATTATCTATCAGAAAATGTCAAACTTGAAAATTTATCTTTGAAAGAAAGTTTAATTGGTGAAGAGGGTTTGAGAAACTTTGGAAATTTAAAATTACTGAAATATTTAATGTTAAATAATAACAAAATTGGAAATGGATTGAAATATTTGAGTAATTGTAATGAGTTGGAATATTTACACGTTGGATCAAATGATATTGGAGATGAATCAGTTATTGAATTATTCAGAAGTGAATTTAGGAATCTTATCCATCTAGACATTAGTCATAATTATGTTTCGTATAAATGTTGTGATGTCATTTCAAAGATGAATCAGTTGAAAGAATTGAATATTTCTAACAATCCAAGTATTGGAGATACTGGTTTATCTTTATTGAGCCCTCTATCCATAATTAAATTGGAAGCTAATAATTGTGGTGTTTCTGATTCAGGAATAATTGATTATTTGAACTTTGAACCAAAAATTTCAACTCTCCACATTAAATCTAACAAGTTGAGCAATATGACATTACAGGCATTGATAAGCTATGCTCAAAACAGAAGCATTTCTGAACTTAAAATTAGTGATTCCCCAAATTTTGATACAATGCTCAAGAAACAACTTGGGAAACTTATTCAATGTATTCATTTTCTAGTGGTGCGGTAAAGTATTACTGTGTGAACTAATCAAATTAAATATTTCATTTTTACCTTTAATATTGGTCAATATTTTGTAAACATTAAACAAAAAAATGAATGCACCATGCTGTTTGCATGTTGGCAATTCACATGCAACACTGGTCAGTTCTACTTTGAAGGAATCATCTCGGAACAGATTCCGACTCTTTGATTATAAATTGCTCGAAGAAGATGAAGCAATAATCTTGCTATCGTTGTCGTTGTCGGATGAATTTGATGATGAAAAAATTGGAAGAGAAATTCAACCAAGTGATGATGATTTGAATCCTCATCGACTAGTAACCAATATTGCAAATTTAATAATTAATGGAAAGCAGCAACGAGATGATAACCACATATATTCCCCATATCGTGCTTTGCAGTTCATGAACAGTAGAGAAGAAGAAATTGAAATTGAAATAGGCAATGGCATCACTGTTTCACCTCTAGATTTATATTTGAAAATTATGAAAACAATGTTGGAACGAAATTGTGCAAATATGAAAAATCGATTGGCAATAGCAGTTCCAGATTACTTTCCCTATGCAGTTTATCAATTAATTAGAAAGAAAGTTAGTGAATGGGGCTATAATGTAATGAATGTTTATTCAGAATCAAGACTTTCATTAATTGCTTATAATCTTTTCTTTCCATCAATGAATGACAAGAAAGCTCTGTATTTGGATGTAGGTCAATCTTTGAAAATAGGTGCATTTTCTATTGATGAAGGGCAAATATTTAAGGAACGATTTTATAGGAATGATGAATTGGGAGGAGAAGCCATCACTTTGAAAATGATGGAATATTGTGATGACCTATTTAAACGGGAAAGCAAATATTCAATCCAGGAAAATCCACTCTCCATGATCAAATTGAGAAGAGCTTGCGAAGAAGTTAAAGCCAAGTTATCAGATCATGATTCCTGGCATTTACATATTCCTAAATTTTACAATAACATTGATTTAAATATTCCAGAATTTAGCAAAAGCTTATTTGAAGAATTGACTCTAGACGTTATCAATAGACTTATTGTAGAAATACTTGAATTCATGAATAAGGAGACTTTTGAATACATTATCGTGTGTGGGAAATCAACTAGAATTCCCAAGTTAAAAGAAATGATTAGAAAATTGATTTCTACAGAACAACCAGAAGCAGAAATATGCGATTGGATAGAATGTCCTATTGAACTTGGTGGCTGTATTGAAAGCTATATTAGTAATGACCCAAATATACTAATGAACGATAATACATGCTGTAATTATGGAATTTCAAACGAAAATGGTGAAATGATAGTTATTGTTCCTAGAACATCAGTGCCTTATTCGAAAACTCAAACTATTTCAATACCATTAACCGGAAATGAGAAATTTATAAGCATTGACATTTATGAGGGGAACAGAAAATTCGTGAAAGATTGTGAAAAGATTGGGACTTTAAGATTGGACATTCCCGACAATTATCAAGATGCTCATTTTGAGGTTGAACTCATTTTCGAACTCTTCTTTTCCCTGAATTTGAATATGACAGTGTCTGCCAGAAGTCCAACTTATGGCACAGAGGATTCTTTCATTCCCTCTCGACCAGTACCACTCAAACCTGAGGAAATTGAAGAATTATTGCTTCAAATGGCTTCAGATACAATTCCAATTATGGGAACCAATAGTATTGGACCTACTATTGATGATCTGGATTGAGATATATTTATTCCTTAATATACAATGCTAAATTAAAGAATGAAATCAATAATGTTAGAAGAAGACTCACCAAAGGAACATATTGCATTTCTCTATACGTCGAATGGTATAACAATATCCTGCAGATCAAGTTGAAATACTCCCTTCCCTAAACCACAAGCAATTTGAGAAGAGGATACTTTCTTGATGGAGTGCATTGAAGATTAGCACCCACATGAAATTGATTGAATTGGTACATACTCAACCTTGCCATTAAAATTTTCTTCTCATCACAAACTTACCCGACTTGAGGATTCAACAACTTTTTAACAACACAGTAAAATATTTTGCTCCGATATCCTCAACTTTAAAAAAGGACCTTTCACTTTACCGTTACACATTCACTGTGAATACTTTTTATGCTCATGACAATTATTTTGTAAACTCAAGGTCCGAACAAAACATCTCCGCTCACACAACGAGATCGTTGAGATAATTATCCAGCACACAACAAGAAAAAAAATGTACAGACACGCTGCCCGCAGCACCACCTCGAAAGCTGTTAAGCAAGCAACAACAGGTAGCGGCTTGAAGTTTTCCTCCTCTTCTACTTTCCAACACTCAACTTCTCATCAACTTCTCCAACAGGAATTTATTGCAACTGCCATGAGATGTTATGCTTCCTCCTCTGCTGTGAGTAAGGATGAATTGTTGTGTAGAGTTCATTCAATGGTGAGAGCCTATAGAAATTATGGACATTTGGAAGCTAATATTGATCCTCTCGGATTGAATGTTCCTAAAAAGTAGGTTGTTTTGATATTATTTAATCATATTTGATGACAATTATTTTGATCAAAATATTAATATTTACAATAATATTACTATTGTTTAATATTATTATTATTATTTAATATTAAAAATCATCATCATCATCATACTGATAACAAAAAAGAGGAACAACTATTGAATTAAATCCCGGAGTTTATCATTTAAAGGATATAGAATCATTGGGAACTACACCAGTTGATATTGATGGTATTGTTCATATTGGTGAAAAGACCATACCAAAGAAACAAGCAACCATTCCTGAAATTGTTGATCACTTGAGAGATGTTTATTGTGGAAATATTGCTGCTCAATTCTCTCACTTGGAAACTACAAAGGAACAAATGTGGTTATCTAAACAATTGGAATCATTGCAAGCCGATCACATGACCAATGAAGAACAAAAGAGAGCCATGTCTTTAATGGTTGAAAGTGAAGCTTTTGATCATTTCATGGCTAAAAAGTTCCCATCTGTTAAGAGATATGGTTTGGAAGGTTGTGAATCAATGATTTATGCTATGGATGTTGTTTTTGAAGAATTGGCCAATAGTGATATTTCCGATATTATTTTGGGTATGCCACACAGAGGTAGATTAAATCTCTTGACTGGTTTATTGAATTTCCCAACTAGAGCTCTCTTCCATAAGGTTAAGGGATATAGTGAATTCCCTGAGGAATTGGTTGCCACTGGTGATGTCTTGTCTCACCTTGGTGTTAGTACTGAACTTGATTATCATAATAAGAAGGTGCAACTCCATCTCTTGAATAATCCATCTCACCTTGAAGCTATCAATCCTGTTGCTCTTGGTAAGACTCGTGCCAAGCAAAGTCATGGTTCTAATGCTGCTTGTATCTTAATGCATGGTGATGCTTCATTTGCTGGTCAAGGTATCGTTGCTGAAACATTTACCTTATCTAGATTGCCACTTTTCAGAACTGGTGGTACTATTCACATTATTTTGAACAATCAAATTGGTTTCACAACCTCTCCAACTCTTTCCAGAAGTACAAGATATTCAGGAGATGTTGGTAAAATGGTTGGTTGTCCAATTCTTGCTGTCAATGCTGAAGATGTTGAAGCTGTTAAGAAGGTTATGAGCATTTCTGCTAAATACAGAAATAAGTTCGCTAAGGATATTATTGTTGAATTGGTTGGTTATAGAAGACATGGTCACAATGAATTGGATGAACCTGCATTCACTCAACCAAAGATGTACCAAGTTATTAGAAAGAAGCCAACATTCCCAGCTACCTACACTGAAGATTTGATTGGTAAGAATATTGTCACTACTGAAGAAGTTCAACAAATCAAGGATAAATGTAATCAATATTTGGATGCTGAATTCAAGGCAGTTGAAGGATACAAGCCAGAAAAGCGTTATTTCCTCGGAGATTGGCATAATATTATTCAAGCTTCTGACTTTTCAAAGCTTTCTCTTCCAATGACTGGTTACAATATTGATAGACTGAAGGAAATTGCCATTTTCAGTGTCAAGATTCCTGAAGGATTTAATGTTCACAAGCATTTGGAAAAGCATCACATTGGTTCAAGATTACAAGCTCTCCAAAAGGATAATAAGGATGTTAATGTTGATTGGGCAACTGCTGAAGTTATGGCCTTTGGTTCCCTCTTGGATGAAGGTTATACTGTCAGATTGAGTGGTCAAGATGTTATCAGAGGTACTTTCAATCAAAGACACTTGGAATTTGTAGATCAAGAATCAGAAAAGAGAGTTCTCCCACTTTTGGATGCCATTCCAGGTGCTAGAGGAAGATTTGAATTGGCTCAATCTCCACTTTCTGAATTTGCTGTTATGGGCTTTGAATATGGTTATACTATTGATAATCCAAACAATTTCTCTGTCAATGAAATGCAATTTGGTGACTTTTTTAATGGTGCTCAAATCATCATTGATACTTTCATCAATTCTGGTGAAGACAAATGGTGTTTATGCAGTGGTATGACTCTTCTCTTACCACATGGTTATGATGGAGCTGGTCCAGAACATTCAAGTGGTAGAATTGAAAGATTCCTCCAATTATGTGACAGTGATATTAACACTGACGAACTTGTTCAAAAGAGAGTTAATATGTGTGTTGTCAATTGTACTACACCTGCTAATTACTTCCACGTTCTCAGAAGACAAATGAAGAGAAAGTTCAGAAAACCACTCGTTGTCTTCTCACCAAAGACTCTCTTGAAGAAGAAGGAATGTGTCAGCAATTTGTCTGAATTCGATGAAGGAACCATCTTCCAAAGAGTTTTGACTGATGATTACAAACATGCTAATATCACAAAGGTTAAGAAGGTTCTTTTCTGTAGTGGTAAGATTTACTATGACTTGTTTGAAGAAAGAGCCAAGAAGAATATGGAAAATGAAGTTATGATTATCAGATTGGAACAATTGAGTCCATTCCCATTCGAACAATTATATCAAGTTATGGACAAATGGGACAAGGAATGGATGAAGACTGTTAACTGGACTTGGATTCAAGAAGAACATGAAAACATGGGTGCCTATGTAAGTATATAATTTCCATAGTATTTTGTTTTTATTAATATTCTTCAAAGACCTATGTTGCTCCAAGACTTAATAAGGCAATCAATACTGTTGTCCACGGTGATAACAGATATAACCTTATCAAATATATTGGTAGAAATGCTGCCTCTGCTCCAGCTACTGGTTTGAAGTATGACCATTTGAAGGAAATTGAATCCATCATGACTGCTGCCTTCAAATTGTAAATAAATTTTTTAATAATTAAAAATCATAGCAAAATATTAGAAAGCTCACAACACCTGTCATTAAATACCAATATCAACAGACATTTGAAGAGGAATAGACTAAAAAAATACCGTCATCATGACTACAATATACAGAAACGAAACACTGACACCTTCTAGTGTGTTTATTTTGCTTCTTTTAGTGGTTATTGGACCTTCGAATATAATTTCAATTTCTAATTATTCTCTTTCCGATTACATTTCACCATTTGATACCAATTATAAACTACCTTCATTTCTATCGGCGGATAAAGGCTATTCGAATGCAGAAGTAGAGGTTACGAGATTATTAAATATGGCACAATATTCGAAAGTGATGGAATACGAAATTTGTAAAACACAACGGGAGGAATCAATTTTTAGTGTAAATTGTTTATCTTTGGATTTCGAATATACCTTTTCGAATGTTTCGTCCACTTTAAATTCAACAATTAGTTTTTCATCAATGAAGGAATTAATTAATTATTTTACGAATGAAATTGAATATCAAATAGGAAATGTTCCATCTGTGGAACGTCCCGGTGCCATCATTTACATGAAAATTAATGTGGAATCGGATATAGTTTCGAATAATTGTCAAAACAATTTGAAAATTCAAGAATTAACCACAAATAATTTATTGCGTGATATCAAACTATTCATCGAATTGGAAAGCAAGATCAATTCCACAATTAATTGTGAATCATATTTTATTGATTATGGAGAAACCTTTGATAAGGCAGTTACAATATTCAAGGGTTTCAATTTGCAAATATTACAACAGAATCGAAATGCATTTATTGAAAATTGCACACTAAAAGGTGGGAAATTTCTTGGAAATTATGTCATTGTGCAAAATTCGAAAATTAGTGGACAATTTGAAACTGACGCTCATCTTTCATTATTTAAGAAGGTTAGATATGATTTTGATGATTCGAGACCTGTAGTTGAGTTTAAATATGAAGAGATTTCGATATTTACAGAGTCTGAGTTGTCTTTCTTTCTAGATCAGTTCACATTGGCTGCCACAAATATGTGGTTCCTCAATGGGACTATAAATATTGACAAATTGGTATTTATAGAGGAAGTTAAGGAGATTGTGATGATTGGTTGCTTGGTTAATACGAAAACGAGTACAATTAATGATGGAAGTTTGAATATTCTCTTCTCGAATGTTGTCAGAATTTCTCACACAATATTTGGCAAATCAAATGGAAATATTATAACAATTGGAGAATCAATTGAGGTCCAATTTCAAGATTGTCAATTCGTTGGAAGTCAAAATACAGAGGGAAGCATTGTCACTGTTAGAAATTCGAGGAATGTCATTGTGAGAAGATGCATATTTGCCCATAATAGAGGTTCTACTGGAGTTTTACTGTTGAGCAATGTAGTAGCAACCTATATTGTCGAATCTACTTTCACAGATAACGTATCTGTCTTGGGAGGAGCTATATTGTCCAGCTCACTTTCCTCTCACAAAACTCTGGTTACCTCCTCGAAATTTATTAGAAACAGAAATGGTAAGACTGGTGGAGCTCTCTCATCCTATGGGAGTGATATCATCGTATTCCTTTCAGAGTTTATTGAAAATTATTCATCAGCAGGAGGAGGAGCCATTAGTGGAATAGATTCGAATATAGCAATTGGAGAATCAGTATTTCGATCAAATACAGCAAAAAATAGTGGTGGTGCTATACTCTGTTCAGGCAATTTCTCATCCTATGAAACACTCTTTGTAAATAATTCAGTACTCACTGAAAACATCACATCCAGTTTAATGTGCTCCTCAACGAAATGTCTTGGAAATGGAGGTGCTTTGAGTTTTACGGGAACAGGTTTCCATACCAAGTTTGCAATTTATTCCTCCAAATTCCATATGAACAGAGCATTGAGAGGAGGAGCAATTTCATTCAACCTGAAATATGATACTCTAGCTTGCCTTTGGGAAGATGTGGAAATTTCGGATAATCAAGCTGACTACTCTGGTGGAGGAATTTTCTTCCACAAAATTGTCAAGAAAGAATTTCTGCAGAGCAACTTTACTGGAAATAGTGCTCTAAACTATGGTGGAAATATAGGATCCTCAATTAGACAAATCACTTGGCAAGTCTCTAAAGAAATTAATGGAAAATTGAGTGGAGATTTTGAACCAATGAATGGAGTGGTAACTCTCTTTCCAGGACAGAGATTTACATTGAAACCGACATCCAAGGACACTTTTGGAAATTCAGTAGAGTACATGTGGGAAGTGTATTCTAATTCAGTGAGTACTGACTCGATCACTGCAACCATTCCCAAACAGACACGAGTTTCTGAAGTGGTGGAGGGAATTTTCATTACAGTTTCTGAGAGGCAATTCACACAACCAATTAAGGCATCTCTCACACTCTCATTCTTTCATGCGAATAGTGATATTCCATTGGAGATTATACCTTGTCCAGTTGATTATGAATCAACACCAGCAACTTATGGTTCAGAATCATCATTTATCTGTAAGGTCAAGCCAAATTATGAGTCCATCATTATCGTTGCTGTGGTAGCTTCCTTTTTCGCATTTTGTAGCTTGCTAATTATATTATCAGGTGTTGGATATGGAGTTTACAAATTAGCTAAAATTATTCGATATTGGAGGGGTAGAGAACGTGCTGAAAAGGACATTGAAAAGAGATTATTGGAAAATGACATTGTGGATGCACAGGAAGATCTCAGAAATAGTGATGATAGTTCTTCAAAGAGTGGTGCTGTTTTTATAATTACATTGGATAAGCTGTTTATAGAAAAGAAGATTGGAGAGGGTGGATCTGGAGTAGTTTTTAAAGGTCGTTGGGATCACAATACTGTTGCAATCAAATGTTTAAGAGTTGATGTGGAAAATTATGCATTGAGAGATGACATTGAAAAGGAGGCATCTCTATTGTGCAAATTACGTCATCCAAACGTTTTAATGTTTTATGGAATTTCAATCACTCCGAAAAAACACTATCTTGTGGTTGAGTATTTGGAGAAGGGAAGTATTGAGAATTTAATAAGTCAATGTAGGAAGGGTGAGATTTCTCTAGACTTGATTTCTAAATTATCACTTCTGATTGATGTTGCATGTGGAATGGAATATTTGCACAGTCTGAAACCACCAATTATTCACAGAGATTTAAAACCTGGAAACATTCTTCTAGATTCGAATAATACTGCAAAAGTTTGCGATTTTGGATTGAGTAGACTAATGAATGGTAATAACCAAACAAACACCACAACAGGAATGGGCACTTTATTCTATATAGCTCCAGAACTTTTAGATTCTGAACTATCTCATACAAGTTCCACCCTAGCTCCATCCATTGATGTTTTCAGTTTTGCGATCATCATGTATGAATTATTCTTTGAGGAGAATCCATACATTCACACAAAAAACACCAAGATTACACAAGCGAGACAGAATGAAGTTTCTCCCTTCACAGTGCTACCAAGAGTTCTAAAAGGAGAACGACCAGTTATTCCCTTCAGCAATGATACAGAAATGGATTCCTATTTGAGCTCCTATGTGCAAGAGTATGATTTTTCTAGTAGTGATGTTCCACTCGATCGAGACCAATGCAAGGAAAGATTTAGAAATATTGTTGGAGAGTTCATCAAGTTAATGACACAATGTTGGAATTCTGATCCAAAACAACGTCCATCATTTACCATAATAAGCACCATTTTGAGCTCTCTAAAATCGAGACTCATTATTGAAGGTCAATAGTTATTAGCTGATAATATATAAATACTTTTTTAATCCATTATATAGTAGTGATCTTCTGTTATTGTGTAAGGATGTTTCTCAATCCAAGATTCCACCATTTCTTTAACAGCTAAATTTGGATAAAGTTGTGATATTGTACAAGGTTGTCTAGTTACAGGATCGAACGTTCCATTCTCTCGTAAATGTTTCTCAATGGCAGATCGTTCATAAGTTATACCTGATGTTGTAATGACAGGATCTCTCATAATAGTATAGGTTATTTTACAACACAAAACATCTGGGACTTCAGTTTCCTTGTGTGGATGCAAATTCTGTTCAAAGAAGGACTCTAATTGAAACTTTTTCAGATTAAACTCTTCTCTTTCAGTTGATGATTTGACCATTCCATATTTTCATAATTGTCCATCGTCTTTTCGACATACTTTTTCAATTCTGCAACTACTGATTGTCTCTCCTGTTCTTGTTTCTCATATCTCCTTGCTCTCGATCTATCGACTCCTTTATAAATATTCAGCAATATAGATTTGGATGTATTATGTAATTCCTTAGCCAATACTTCAGCTTTCAAATAAGCACTCTCAGCTTGCTCATAATTCAAACAATTCAAATGACATTCTCCCAACAAGAAATAAGCCTTTACAAACTTTGGATTCAACTTGATTGCAGATTTACACTCCTCCGTAGCCTTCTCATATTGTTTTAATTTAATATAACAAAGAGCCAAGTTTGTTTTAAAGAAGGCATCTTCATCATGTTCAAAGGCTTGTTGATAACATTTAATAGCCTCCGATAATTCATTCTTTTTAAAGTGTTCATTGCCTCGTTCCTTCAACTTGGTTGCAGCCTTTTGAAAATCCATTTTTTAATATTAATATTGATGATCGCAATAGGTAAATCTAATAACTTCCGAATCACGTTTTCTTTAAAAAATTGGCAAAGATTTCGTGGTTGTTAGTTGGATGTATTTTTTTTTAAAGTTGAGAAATTGAGGGAGGTTAAATGAGGATAAAAGCACATTAAAATTGTCCGGTGAGGAATTTCAATTTGTTTGTGGTTTAAGTTTCCCGCCATTTATCTGTATACATTTTCAAGTTCTAGTGAATTTCGTTGGAAAATATTAGAAAAAAAATGAAAAGAAGCTTGGCTGCTGATGAGTCAACTCTTGATAATGCTGCCAAAACTTGAAAATTCACTTCCCGGTGCTTGTGTGAAAATTCTACTCGACTCTACACCATCTTCCCATTTGTTAAAAACTAAATTTCAATTCGATTCCTTTCTATTTAAAACATTCAGCTCGGAAGAGTATTCAATCATGATTGAACATTTTGGACATGTCATTTTGAAAGACACTCATCTCATCAACATTCTAGTCAGACGTAATAAGGGAAGAAAATATTGGGGTTGTAAAATACCTTTGGTCATGGGAGATTTAACAATATCGAAAGTACCACTGGAATGGAGAGCAAATAAGGAGTTGGTACTTGCTAATGTGCATCATGAACAGTGTTTTCCGTACTTGTCAGATGAGTTGAAGAATGATAGGGATGTGGTTTTGCATTTGTTGCGTTTTGGAAAATTATTTGCTGGAATTCCAGACCATTTTCTAAAGGAGAAACAGTTCATTTTGGATAGTATTCGAAATAATGTTTGTATCTATGAGTCAGTTTCTGATACTTTTAGAAATGATAGAGATGTAATTTATCAAGCAGTCGAACGTTCATCTCATTTACCTGAACTTTTCATACATATACCATCTCAGTTCTTTAATGATAGAGAATTTGCACTTTTTACTTTTAAAATTATGGGAAAGAGGTCTCCTAATTTGGAAAGTGCAAAAGATCTATTCAATAGATTATCTCCAGAATTAAAGAAGGATCCCTACATTATATTAGAAGGATTTAAACATGGATGCTGTCCATATTCAACAATAATAGAGGAAACAATGCAAAATGATTTGGAATTTACCAGAAATGCATATAATCTCAATAATTTACATTTAAAGGTTCCTGAAAAATTCAAAACTGATGGAAGAGTCATTTTACAATATCTCATTTCAGAGAAAAAGACAACAATTCTCAAATATTTAACTGATGATTTGAAAAAGAATAAGAGGTTCTTCCTGGATGCCATTCAACAATGTGATCCCTCCAATAATACCTATGAATTGGCCTTTGAAGAAGTGAAGAGAGATCATGATGTTTCCATTGCTGCCATTTCTAGATTTCCTAAAATGCTCGACAAGATTCCACACGAGTTGAAACAGAATAAGAGTTTCGTTTTGAGATTGTTAAAAATTGTCAAACCAAATAAGGTTTTCTCTCTCATACGAAACGAATTGAAAACTGATCAAGATATCATGATTCAAGCTATCAGAGAAAGTGCTGACATTATCAAAACTTCAGAATTGAAATCTGACAAAACTTTTGTAATGAAAGCCTTAAAATTCAATCCTGAAATTCTCAAACATGTTTCTGCTGAACTCAAGAATGACAGAGAGGTAGTTTCAATTGCAGTTCAACAAGATGGTCAATCCATTTTCCACGCGTCCAAAGGTTTGAAAAACGAAAGAGATTTAATTTTACTAGCAGCCAGTAATTCCATTTCTGTCCTAGACAAGTATAGTAGTTTAAGTGATGATCCTGATGTCATTGAGTTAATGATTAGAAAGCAACCTAGTTTATTACAGTCGAGAAAATTCAAACACCTAGCAAAAGACAAGGAATTCATGCTCAAACTAATTTCCAAAACGAAACATTTTTGTTTCTACTATCTTGCTGATGAATTGAAAGCTGATAAAAGCTTCATGTTACAAGTTGTCAAATACGATGGATATACTCTCCCTGATTGTCCTGACAAATTGGATAAGGACATTGTAAGAGAAACATTGAAACTGCATGACATTAACGTGAATGTATTGGGACTTGCAGCAAAAGCACCATTCATAGATGAAGAATTTTTATTGGAATCTTGTCGATATAACATGAAATGCATTTACATGACATTGAGATTGGGAAAATTTAACACCAATGAACCATTTTTGGCAAGTCTAGCCATGGAAAATTTGAGATTTAAAGTGTTGGAGAAGGGAGAGGCAGGAAGGAATCTATTGCCATTCATTACTTCCCCTTTGGTAAGCTTTGAAATGTATACAACCACAAATAAGATACTCAATAAGAATTATTCATTAACAATGGGAAATCATCATTAAAAAATATTGTTAACAGCGCCAGGAATCGAACCACCAACCAAACTTGTTAAACTTGTTGTATAGAAACTAACCCAGAAAAACAAAGGCTTTGAAAAAAATAGCCTAGTTTACAATATTGTCGCGCAAGCCTAGCCCAATATGTTCCTCCTTTGAGAGTTAGTTTCAAGAAAAAACAACCAAAAAAAAATGTCAACACAACCAAATACGAAAGGACTGGAATGTATGATTGGGACGAATTGTGTAGTAAAGTTATAGCATTTCCTTTGGAGAGATTGCCAATGTATGAAAAGTATTGTGAATTATTCAAATTGTTGATTCCACGAATTATTAGAGATTGGGAGCGTTTTGTAGATTTGAATGTTTCTCATCCTGAAAAGGAAGGTAAGTTTAAACTTGTTTCGAATAAGGTTGTAAATCATCTTGGTGAATAGTCTTTGTTGAATATAGTGGCTTCTTTTCACATAACACTGTTTTCAGAAATATGTACGATAATCTTTCTCCTCAACACAAGCTTTGTTTCGTCTGTAATCTTCTCAGCAATTTCATATTGAGAAAGCAATTATCAGTTCAATTTCATGAAATTGAGGGAGAAGTTATTGAGGGAACAAGATTAACCGAAACTCAGGACAAGATGTGCACTATTTTCACTCTCGTTTATCTCAAAAAGATTCTCATGCATCAAGTTGATAATGAAATAATTTTTTCTGGCTCGTATGAAATGAGAAAACGTTTGGATCCAACTTTTGATTCGTATAGAGCTGCTTTTTCTCCTAAAGAACATGAAAAAACAACTGCCAATGCCAGTCAATCACTTGCCAAAAAGAAGATTTCATCAAAGAAAGTAGAAATGATTCAAGAAGAAATAGCCAAGCGTTCCAAAACTTATGAGAATAACTCCAAAGACAAAATTGCAATGGAATTATTCAAGCATAATCTTGTAATAGTTCAGAAAGGCTGGGAAATGATCAATGCAGAATATGAAGACATTCCAGAACAATTGGAAAGCACTTTAATGAAAGGAACCAAAGAAAGGAGATACGTGTTTAGAGAGAAAATTGTTGAAATATACAAGGAGAATTTTACACGAATGCAAAGTATCAAGTTGGCCTTTGAGTTTGGAACAACTTTGCACAAGAATGAGAATTTCCAAGATTGGTTAAATATGATCCAATTTATTTTTGTTGATTCGTTATTTGCACAAATTCCAAATCTTATTGCTGAGATGTGTCAAGATGTACCAATCAATTCAAGAATTCCATGTTTCCCAGCTCAAGGTAAGTCGTTTAACATTCTAAATATTCATCATTTTCAACCAATTTATTTCAGCTCAATGGATTAAGGAACAACAAGCTTACTTTGAAAAGATTTGTTGCATGACCTTTCCAAAACCTGTAAAATTTGGTTTCTCTCCTGACACTTCAGAAGAAGAAAAACGTGACACTTTAGAGAAGCTTGAAATAGCCAGAACAGATAGAGGTCTCGTCGATGTTTCCGTTCAACAAGTTATTTATGCATTGTTCAATACTAAGGGTGCTATCTTGTTCAAGCCAAACTATCCAATTCTGTCTCATCCTGCAAAGTGTCGTTTGAAATTCGACTTTAAATGTGCCAATTGTGGAAAGAAAGCAAATCATTATTGTGGTGGATGCAAGATTGAAAGATATTGTTCTGTAGAGTGTATGAAATCCAATTGGAAAGTTCACAAACCATTCTGTCAGGAGATTGTCAAGACTGAAGAGAAGAGATTGGAATGCGCTAGAAAGGCAAAGAAATCAGATAAGGTTTATAATATTTTCTAAAACCAATAGATATATTCTTTCTGATAATTGTAAAATAAATTCATTTCTACACCTAACTGATGTAAAGATATGAAACAGAATACTGTACAATTTTACTCACAATCTCAGAGAAGAAATACACTAGTTAATAATAAATATCTATGTATGATTGAATTATTCTTCAATAGTTACCTCCTCAAAACTTGCCATGCCCAAATTATCATGCGTGAAGAAGCGAGAGATTAACTCTTGAACAGGTTGAGGTAAAGTTCGGATAAATTTGTTATCGAGAGATGAAGCTCGGTTGGCAATGAACCAGTGAAGGTTTTCTATTTGGGATTTGATTTGATTGAGTATGAATGGATGTAAGGCTGTGGTTGTTTGTTCAATCTTGTTGAGATAGTCCAATTTTACAAGAGAGTTTTCCAATGTTAAAGAAGTGCACATAACTTGATAGTATTGAGTGGTGACATCATCAATTATAGTGCCATTAAAGTATGGATATTGAGTTTTGAGGAGGATGGTATGTGCAATGTTGAAAACTTCTTCCTTGTTTGCTTCTAAACTTGTTCTTAACATTTCAACTGTTTGTTCCAAAGTTGAATGGCTAATAAGTTTCGAGACGCATTCTGATTTCAATCTTTCAGACAATACAAATTGCGAAAATTCTTCCAAATCAATCAAATTTTGATACTTATAATGTTCTAGTGTAAAGTTTTCATTCTCCAACGTGTCGTGGTACAAAAAGTAGACGAACAAGTCCAACGAATGTGGATTCTTTAAGAAATCTGAAACATCATATTCTGAAATGTTCTTGTCAGAGAAATTTCCTAAAAATAGTACTTTGAAATAAGAGCTTCTAATGCTAAGAATGTACTTGTGAACTTTAACTATATGGCTATTCACAACCAGAGAGAAATCCTTTCCTTCTTCATCAAGAAATAGTCTAGAAAGTGGTTCACATTTAAATGTTTTTTCCTCTTCTTCTTTAATTTTTTTGTAATATATGGATTCTTCTTCTTCATCACTATAATTATATATGCCTTCTTCCGAGTCTGAATCAGATTCTTCTTGATAAGCTTGGCTTTCTTCTTCTGAATCTTCCTCACTTGATTCTTCTTCTGAATCCTCCTCCTCATTTTCGTCTATCATTATAGCAGTTGCTTGTGGTGGTTGCGTTTCATGTTTTGGTTCTTTCAAAGAGACTTCTTCTCTTGGAACCCATTTGGCCAATAACTTCTCAATTGTTAATATATTTTTCTCTTCTTCTGAAGACTCGATTTCAAATATACCAGTATAAATGCAAGTCAACCATTTGGTGATAACCACTTCATCAAAGATTAATTGTTCTCCCTCCTGAACTTCAAAATGTACTGATGTTATGCAAAGGCCGTTCTTTCTCTTTTCTTCGCTATCAAAGTATTGACTATAAAACTCTGGTAATCTATCTTTAATGATTGGAGTAAAAACTCCAACCTTGGCACCATCCTCAGTTTGAATAAAACTATCACACAATGAACTAAATTGTTCATTATTTAAAGCATTGTAGAGATCCTTTCCTAAACCCTCTGGTATTTCTTGATTGGTACTAGCACTAACTGGTTCAAGTTCAACAATTTCGGTACCTCTCAATAAATCTTCTTCTAAATCTCTGACATCATCCAGCTCTTTTGCAACTGGAGTATCTTGTTGATAGTCTAGTTTGTAATAGTATGGAAGTTCTAGACGAATGTACTCTCTTCCATTAGTACCGCCTTTTATAGCCAGTAGTTTGGCAACTTTTTCCACATGATCTACTTCAACAATGCCATCTTCAGAAATATCTTCAAGAGTTTGCAAGCTGAGTGAAATATAATTCTTCAAAGTACTATATGCCTCAAGAAGTAGTCCTTCATCAAATGATGCAACACCACCTCTTCTCAATAATCTTGTTAAATCCAGATGTAGAGATTTATCATTCTTGTAATAACAATCTATTGATCTATTTTCAATCAGATTATCAGCTGTTTGTTCATAGGTAAATGGTTCTTCACTGTAATCGAAAAAATCCTTTAAAAAGTTTTAGAGATTTTGAATATTTGAAAACTTACATATCTGTAAAAGGAAACCAAATTTTGATTTGATAATGGTTCACTAATAGCATTGTCTCTATCTGTATAATAGGTAATATACATTGAATCATCCAAATTCTGTCTACTTATTTTAGAATGTGCCTCTGTTTGGTGTGTAAAGTATTTTTCCTTCAATTTGTCGACAGTACTCTCCCAAATAGGATGTTTTTCTTTTACTGATTGTTGTACGTCATTATTTTCTTCTTCCTCATCTAAACATGAACCTCTTTGAGTTTGCACAACATCCCATGTTAAATTATCAGTGTCTACTACAGACTCTTCTTCAAACATGACATTTATCATTGGTTGGATGTCAGGATTTGTGCATATCACAAACATATACTTGTCATACTTGGTTGGGTTACAATAGTCAACAATAAATTGGTCAAGGATTGCTCTCACTAATGGTCTATAAAGCATGTATGTGGATTCTTTACTCTGAGATAGAATCAAATAAGTCAACTCCTTGTTAAGACAATCCAAAATCATTAAAGAGACTGCCAATCTCAATTCTGATACCTCAATTTCCTGGTGTTCTTGAGGAGCAACACCAATCATATGCATTTTCATCACAATTTCTATAATTTTAAGGTAGATGTTTTCGTTAGAATTGTTGTGCTCACAATGCAATAATCCTAAAAAGTTTGATCCTATTTTTCCCTTCTCGTCAGGAAGCTCCATGTCAAATAAATATGAGCAGTAAAAGATATCAGGGACGTAATCATCGTTGAAATCCTCTTCATCATCTTTTTCATCTTGCTTGACTATTTTAATGTGTTCCTCATCTCCAAAGAGCATTGTCTCCAGTAAGAAGGCGTCAGTATCTTCACTATCATTTTCAAGTACAAACTTGCTAACTGTTTTGGATTCTTCGTTTGTTGACAAACTAACTGGATCATCTATCATATTCAACTCATTTTGAGTTTTCACAATTTGTGGTAAAATGTACTTGCTCCATTGATCAAGAATTGTCTTTCTGGAGCTCATATCATAAGGCAGATCTGAATCCATTAATTGTCTAAAGTAAACCTCAACATTCTTTTCATCTATTTCAATACATTTGTCTATCATTTCTGTGATTTCTTCAACAGATTGAACCAAACATTTCTTGAACAGCTTTTCTACCAAGAATAAGCTGTGTGATTCAATATCCTCTCTCTTACTAATATATTCCTTGAGTAGATCTTTGGATATTTCACTTGTTAGTCCCAATTCCTCTGCTGTAACCTTATCTTTTAGTTTGACATCTTCATATTCAGTATCTGGTAATTCACCAACATTGTTTGTTAATTCGAACCAATCTTCATTCCAATATGGATTGGACAAATCCAAACTTTCCAAAATCAATCTAGCTTTGTGAACATGCCATAATTGATTGATATTTTCAATCACTTTTTCCCTATCTGTGAGCCCCTTCTCTAATTGATCAAAACTCTTATAATTAACTGGACCATTATCCAAACTAGCAATAATATGATACCAATATTTAGTCTCCTCCACAAGTTCTTCAACATTGTTAGCTTTTATCTTTTTCCTTTCCGGTTCTTGAACACTAGCATCAACAGAGGACAAGGTAGTAGATCTCTGCTCATTCTCAACCATGTCATCATGACTTCTCTTTAGGTTTTGCTCCATTTTTTTTGTGTGGGAAAATCGTCATAATACAAGAAGTTGTGATTGTAACACAATAACTAGTTGGAACTTCAATGATAGGGATTGATCAATTTAAAACAAAATGCTCAGAAATCAATTGATCCGAAATTGTGGTCGCCATATTCGATCAACACTAGTATCAACCTCTTCTTCTATCAAATCTTTCAATAATAGCAAGAATGGTATTGTTGTCCATCCTACTTTATCAACCAAGCTCATCACAACAGCTATTGTCGGAGGATGCTCATTAATGTACTTTCATACTACTCAACAGTCCTATGAAGCACAAGCATCATCAAAGTTTTATGACTTGAGTGCTACCAGTGGACAAACTGGTGAAACCATCAGTATGAGTGAAATGAGAGGGAAAGTGTGCTTGATTGTTAATGTTGCTTCAAATTGTGGTTTTACTCCTCAGTACAGTAAGTAGAATATATTATATTATATAATAATTTGATAATCATATTAATATATATATTATTAATTAAATATTGTTAGAGGGACTACAAGAATTATATGACAAGTACGGGAAGGATGGCAAATTTGAAGTCATTGCCTTCCCTTCCAACTCTTTCAATCAGGAAAAGGGTTCCACAGAAGAAATCTGTGCATTCACCAAAGATCGTTTCAAAGTAACCTTCAAAATCATGGAGAAGATTGAAGTGAATGGTGACAATGCTCACCCAATTTACCAATTCTTAAAGCAAGAAGGACCTGGAGGATTTCTCGGATCAACCAATATCAAGTGGAACTTTACCAAATTCCTCATCAATAAGGAAGGAAAAGTAATTGGAAGATATGCTCCAACAACTGATCCTCTTTCTATTGCAAAAGATATTGAGAAAGCTTTAAAGGATTAAATCTTTGCAACTAGTTGACCAGCATTGCTTTCTTCGTAAGAAATTCTTTGATTCTTGAGATAGGTTGTTACAGAATTCTTGATAATTGGATACTTTTTGTTTGAGTGATTTCCAGCTCCATAAATTACTGTTAATTGTTTAATTTGTTTCTTTCTCAACTCTGCTATTCTATTCTTCAGAATATCCAAAGCAAATTCAGAATATTGTCCATGTAAATCCAGCACTTCAACTCCATTATTCTTGTTTCTTTGTAGTAATTTTGTGGTCAATTCAACCAATAGCGAAAGGCGAATACTTACACAAAATTTAACATCTTTGCCGATGATTCTCTCCTGTATTGTTCCATCAGTATCTGATGTTTCTTTCCTTCATCACTCCACTTTTTGGCATCTGCCTTCTTGTCTTGTTTAAAGGCCTTTTGTGACTTTTCAAAACAAGAACCCATCTCATTTGCTTCCTGCTCAATTTTAGACTCCAACTCAGCAAATAGTTTTTGTGCTATTTCCATAACATGTTTTGAATTTAAATTCCAAAGAAACAAACCTTCATTAATGACCTCTTGAAAAACCTTCAAATCGTGAGAATATCTCCAACCGAAAGACCTCATCGTTTCCTCTACCAATTTCCATCCATTTTCAACATTGCCACTCGTTTCTCCACTAATCAAAACCGAACTATTGGCACTATTAATTGACACTTTGCACTTGCTTCGTTCTTGAATATCTTTAATGTTTTTACCACCCTCGCCGATAATGTACTTGATAATAGTTGGAGGTTGAATTGGAAAAACCTTCTGTGTGGCTGCTGTGATGTCATCATTAAATTATTAATGTTGTGATGATGAACTGAAGAAAAGTAGTTGGTTGTTATTTTTCTAAAAGATGACACGGGTGAGCCTTTGAAAATCATGGTGATGGATTGATGGTTAGTTTCTGATGCTGCTTCAAAGGATAAGCGGCTTATGAAATATGTTGTGTTTACTACACTGATAAGTGAAAGTATTGCGGAGGTTTTTTTCTCTACCACTGAATGATCTCTGCAATCGAAATGCTTGCCGTTACATTTGGTTTTTTAAATTAAATAAATATTTTAAATTTTATCATTAAAAAATCAACTACAGCCTACACCAAAAATTTAGTAAGCAACTAAAATAATTTGCATGATGACGATGGGCAAACAAATAGTGTTGTTGTAAAATAGATTATCTTTTCAGTTGAAAATGGATTATAAAAAATGTATCAATTACCACCGGAGATTATGTGTTTGATATTTGGCTACTTTGCAGAGCCATATTCTTTTGTTAGAGACTTGATTGTGTGGAGACAAATTAATAGAACAACATATGAAATGCTCGATAATGCTTCTACATTCTCATTGTTATTGGATTTGTGCTCGATCCGAGATCCAGCCAATTTAAAGAAGGATTATCACCAAAGAAAATCAAAGACTCAACGTGTGGCTTCATCAGCTGGTGATTTGATGGTGGTAGATAGAGAACCTACACAGGAAAACAAGAATAACATGGAGGATAATTCCGATGATGATTCTGAAAGTGATAATGAATCAGAAAATTGTCAATTCTATAAGAGTCATACATTTATTGATGGCTTACTGCAACATTCTCTCAGAAATCAATTTATAGGCTACAAGAAAAATAATAATTGGAATTACATGGTTAGAGGTCTTTTAGTGGCACGTTCTGAATTGGACTTGTTTGATGATGGTCCTCAACTTCATGATTTGGTTGAAGAATGGATAGAGGCATATTCTATTGACAATAGGTCTTGTATTTTGCAATTATTATTGGAAATATCTCTTGGAAAGGAAATGATTGAGCATTTGGGAATGAGAAATATTGGTTATTCTATTGTTGTTTTTTTCCACAAACTATTTGAACCAGCAATTCAAACAGTGACCAATTGGAGAGATCAACCAAAGCCAGAGTTAGAATTTTCAGATATTTTCAATAGAAATTTATATGAATTTTTAGAAATGAACATGAAAAAGGAAACCTTTTTAAAGGATGAAATGTCAGTTTTTTGGTTCGAAATGGAGACGATGAATAATTCCATTCCTAGGCAGATCATCTTGTTCATAGCAGAGAACTTTTCTCATCTCAATATCAAATTATCGAATGGAGAGGAGAAAGTGTGCTCTATTTATATTTTTGAGGAATTAAGAAAGTTTGGAATTTGTGTAGAAAAGCTCAAATTTATTGACAGAAGGTCTAAAATGTGCAATTTTGAGAGAACAACCTCTTTGAATAGAATTATTCCATTATCTTCGAATGGGTTTTACTTGCAACACTTTGCTGTATGGATAAATAGCATTCCATTGCTTGAGTATTGCTTGAGTGTGGACTCTACCTTGACAAAACAGACACTTTTGGATTATTTTGATAATCAAAATGTTAATATTAGCAATATTAGCCTCAATTCATACTCAAAATCTTATATTTCAGATCATTCTATGTTTTCTGTGCTTCACTATGCTGTCCTGATGAGCAATGTTGAAATGGTTGATATATTAATTAACAAATATATGGCCAATCCTTTTCACAAACATTTTTCAAGAAAATCGAGTCTCTACCTTGCCATACAAAATACCTTTAATATTCTTAGAGGAAGAAAAAACGAGGAAGATGCCATTCTTAAAATTATTACTGATAGATATGGGCTCAAGTGCTTGGAGAATGAAAATTTTGAAGCCAACCAAGTTTTATACAATACAGACTCATACCATCAAGAGGGGGATGAAATAGATTATTCATATGATTCAGAGTTTGATCCAGTTCCTCTAAACGAGCATTGCGTTGTTGAAATGGTAGATTATTGCCCAGAAACTAACATTGACGATTATTCTAGTGATGAAGAATATGAGGAAGGATTGTCTTATTCGAGCTTGATTGGTAGATATAAAGAAATTGAGCAAGATCACAATGTTCTAAAAAGAAAAAGATTTGATCCTTTGGTTTTCGATGAAGATATGCATAATTTCTCTCAAATTGATGTGAAAGATTGTGTACGTTATTTCGAGTCGGATGATTGGGATACTGAATTGGCTTTGCAGGAAATTCCATGTGAAGACTCATTCATTTCACTTCTTTCTAGAAATGGTGTAAAGAAGGCCAAGTTAAACAATCAGGAAATGCATACAATCAACATGAGAGAAGAACATTTTGATGAAGCAATGGTTACATCTAGAGCAGAATCGTGTACCATTCCAAAAAAACTATTTAATAACCTCATCTATCAAGTTTCACAAGATTATAGAAGTAGTAGTATTTGGTTGCCAAATGCTAGAATGTTGCTTCAACAAGCTTGTGAAAACTTTGTAAATGAAACATTTAAAACAGCCAATGCACATTCTCAATTATGTAACTATCAACACTCAACATTGATAGATCATGACATGTTGAACACATTCCAATCTAACAAGACTTTAATGGATAAATTTGGAATAATGTTTGGACCTTTCAATTCATGCCATAGCCAGTTTAATGCCCTATTAAGAGATGACTCTTATGACTGCTATATTCAAAATATTGAAAATTTATCAAAAGATGTATTTATCTGTATTGACCTATTTGAGACCTTCACCACAAATAGTGGAGCTGATGATGAGGATGATGATTATATTGACAATATGTCCTCATGCTCTTCAGATAGTATGGTATCTACGGTTTGCAAAATCACCAAAGACTTCGATGGCATTGGTAATGATTGTTATTCGACCATCTCTCTAAGTGAATATCAAGAATTCAATCCAAATTTAATTCGAGAAGATAGTTTATCTAACAAATACATCCAAGAAGCAAACAAAAATTTTGGGGAAAAAGTGCAATTTTACTCTGATAGGGATGATGCTATTGACGCTGTGAATAGATTCTAATTTAAAAGTTTGTATTTATAAACTAATTCAGTCTAACTTACTAATTCTACCAACTAAACCATAACTTCTATATTAGCAATTTCTGCTCCTTCCATTTCAAGGTTGCTGCACCACAAAACCGTGACAACAACTCAACATTCAATATTCAACGCACAAACAAAAAAAATGAATCTAGAGACAAAATCCACCTTCATCGACAAGTCATTCTTCATCACTCTTCTGTTTCTTGTGTTTTTCTCGTCCTTCTCTCATGAAACCTCTGTAAATCTTCAACCACACAAAATTAATTGGTTCCTCACGTCAAAGACTGGAAAGGATGCTCGTGTCCAATGTTTTACTGCAACTACTAGTGGACACTTGGTAGTGGGTGGAACATTTACTGAGAATTTGTATTTATATCCAAATGTCAATGTAGAAGATCAGTTTGTGAATGGGACGAAAGCCAACGAAACTGAACCAAGTGCCTCATTTCTTAATACTTCACCCTATTCACTCACAAGGGAATCATTGTTTGTAATCAAACTAAACGAATCAGATGGAACGATATTGTGGCAATATTCAATAGATTGTGAGACAAACGATTGCAAGTTTTATGATGTTGGAGTTTCCTCTGATTATCAAAAATATGCTTTTGTATTTCTTTCAGCCTATGTGCCACTTTCAAACAAGATTCATCCATTTTCTCAACCAGGAGGTCCTCTTTTCTTTGTATTTTCACTTGATGATGGCACACTTCAATGGAACACTCAATATCTTTGCTATTCGAAAGATTGTTACAATCCTTTCAGTGTTTTAGTCAAAGGAGATGAAGTTTATGTTTCTGGAAGAGGAAAAGAAGATACCTACCTTTCTTACGGATCTTTTAAGGTTTACAGAGATGCAAATGCAAATAACGAATTGGTTTCGAATTCTTTTGTCCAAGCATTTCGTCGAAAATCGAACAGTTATGAAATGGAACCATTGTGGACTTTCCAAACACACAATACCAATTCTACTGCCTATGTTAGGATCTATCAAGCAACCATTTCAAATACCACAATGTATCTGAGTGGATACTATAGCGGTACAACAACTTGGCTCGATAGAAAACAAAAGAATTTCACAATCATAGACAATGTCAATGTTGATTTTCATTCATTTTACATTCTTAAATTCGATACAAGTGGAAATATCCTTGACTTGTGGACCAATACTTCATACAGATTTGATTTGAAAGTTGATTTATATTCGAAACAGATAGGAAATGACCAATTTGTTACATCATGTATGGACAATGAAGGGTTGAAATCATTTACATGTATAACCTTATTAGACGATAAGAAACTCAAATATTATTCTTCCTACAATTCAGAGATGAATCATGCGGAAAATTTTGACAGACCTTGTGAAAGAGTTCAAGTTTACAGTATTTCAGGAATTTCAAAAGATTTGTACCTTGCAATGAGATGTCTCTATAAAGATATGTTAGGAAGGAATAAAGTGGAGTATAAGGTGAATGTAAGATCGATTACCAATTATAGAAAGGGAGAATGGCAAGTTTCATATATCATGTATGGAAATTACAGTTCAATGGCTTTGCAAAGGCATGAAGATACAAAGAGTGTCAATGTATTGATAACCACAGACGGTTATTTTACAGAATCAATTTCAAATTACACATTCCATCAAGATCACTATGCCTTCACATTATTCGAAATACCATTCATGTATCCATTTACATTTTGTTTCGGCATTAGTTCCAACGATTCATCTGTGTGTAGTTCTCATGGTGTCTGTATCTATACTAATGAATGTGAATGTAATCCTGGTTGGGGTTATCCAAATTGTCAATTCCCAGTGTGTGGTGATTTCGTATCCAATGATACAAGAGTTTGTTCAGGAGTGGGAAATTGCACTCAACCAGGACTTTGTGAATGCCCAACAGGATTTACAGGACAATATTGTGAATATCCTATTTGTTTTGGAAAGCGTGCAGATGACAGTTTAGTGTGTTCTGGAACTGGAAATTGCATTTCACCAAATATTTGTGACTGTCCATCTGGTTTTACAGGAAACGAATGCCAATACCCAATTTGCTTTGGAAAGAGTTTGGCATACAACAGTTCCTTAATTTGCAATGGACATGGAAATTGTAGTCAAGCTGACAATTGTGAATGTGAAACTGGTTGGAAAGGAAATGAGTGCCAATATCCTGTTTGCTTTGGAAAGATAGATAATAATTCTTCAATTATCATGAATAATGGAAGTTTAGTTTGCTCTGGAAATGGAAAGTGTATATTACCCAATATCTGTAATTGTGAAGAAAATTATGAAGGATTGGAATGTCAGATTCCGTTGTGTTATAATATTTCAGCTCTTAATGAGTCAGTTTGTACCAATTCTAATGGAAGTTGTACATCTCCAAATACTTGTCAATGTTATCCTGGAAGATCTGGTTTACAATGTGAACATTGGAAATGCTTCAACTATGGATCAGATTCTCCATTGGTTTGCAGTGGTCATGGGCAATGTATTGGTTTTGATTCATGTAATTGTTCACAAGGTTATCAAGGGCCATCATGTCAATATGCGATATGTTATGGTATTGGTGCTAACGAATCAGCAGTTTGCAATAGCAAAGGAAATTGTACGAAACCAGACTATTGTTCCTGTGAAAATGGAAAGTTTGTAGGATTGGATTGTGAACAACCAGTTTGCTTTGGAATTCCATCTAATAATTCAAATGTCTGTAATAATCTTAATGGTACTTGTGTTGAGCCTAACCTTTGCGTTTGTAATTCCAAATACGGAGGTTCTGATTGTTCCATTCCAATTTGTTTTGGAACACTTTCGAATAATAGATCAGTTTGCTCTGGATACGGATCATGTTTGGCACCAGATACATGTGAATGTAATTTTGGTTTTTTTGGAGAAAGATGCCAATTTACAACATGTTTTGAACTTTCCTCTGACGCATCCAATGTTTGTTATGGGCATGGAAAATGTATAACCAAAGATACATGCCTATGCGATACCGACTACACAGGTTCTCAATGTGAATTCCCTAAATGTAATGAAATCTCAGCAAACAAAACCAATGTCTGTAACTCTCAAGGTGTCTGTTTTTCGCCTAATGTTTGCAAATGCAACTCTGGTTTTTTAGGACAATTTTGTGAATTATTTACCTGTAATGGTATTCCATTCAATGACTCATCTGTTTGTAATCATGGAAATGGGACCTGTTTAGGCAAAGATAATTGCAAGTGTATATCAGGATACAAGGGACAACATTGCCAAGATAGAAGTACGGGTACGGATTTGGGTTCACAATCTGAAACAGGTTGGATTATTGGAATTACAGTGAGTGTTCCAATTTCTTTTGTAATGTGTGTTGCTACTATTGGTTGTTGTGTTATTTACTGTTACAATTCAAGAAGATGGAATCGAAAGAATACTCAAGAAAAAGAAGTTCATAGGAAACTAATGGAAATGTCATTAACTGCTGAACATTTGGAAGGTCAAGATTCTCCATTCCATTTATTAAGACCTTCATTGGGTGATTATAGAGAATTGGATGAGTTTAGTGATCCTGCATCGATAAGTAGTTCATTAAACATGTCTAGTTCAGGAAATACAGCTAATAATAATTCATCCGAAAGTGCTGTGGCTGTTGGAATCAAATCTATAACAGAATCTAAAATATTTATACCTTATAAGGATTTAGAATTTGAGAAGAAACTCGGATCTGGATCGGGAGGTGAAGTTTACAAAGCTAAGTGGAAGCAAAATCAAGTTGCCGTAAAGAAAGTGGAAGAATTGGAATCATTTTTAAAGGAAGTAACTTTATTGCACAATTTGAAACATCCAAATATTATTACTATATATGGAGTTTCATTTTTACAGGGATATTATTTGATTGTGATGGAATTCATGACGAAAGGATCTTTGGAAAGTTTCTTATATCAATTGAGAATTGGAAGCTTGCCGAACATTAAGCTTTCGGATAAAATTTCAATCTTGTTGGATATTTCAAAAGGAATGGATTATTTACATTCACTGAAACCTCCCATTATTCACAGGTAAGTTTTAACATCCATATTGAAATAACCAAAATAACTATATTCAGAGACTTGAAACCAGGAAATGTTTTAATGGATAATTCCAATAAGTGTAAAGTTGCTGATTTTGGACTTTCTCGAGCTCTCACTAAAAACACAAACCTGACCAATAACTTGGGAACTTTATTTTATATGCATTTCGAAGAGAATGGAAACTCAATGACCACAGACACAGCGACAGCTTCAGATGTTTACAGTTTTGCAATAATTTGTTGGGAAATTTTCTTTGAAGAGAATCCTTATATTTATCAAGAAAAGAATAGAAAGAAGTTATTCAGAGAAATTGAATACGAAACTTCAGAATACAAGAAGGTAGAGAATAATAGTTTCAAGGTACCTGCATTGGTTTCTCGAGGAATTCGTCCAATTATTCCATTTTCCACTTTGCTGTCATGTAAAGAGTGGTGTGAAGAATATTTAGGAAACGAGAAATCAAAATACGAAATAGTCTTCTCCTTTATTCAATTGGTTAAATATTGTTGGGATTCCTCTCCTAGCAATAGACCCAATTTCTCAGAAATTACTCAGAAATTGATGGCATTTGAGGAATTACTCAACAAATAAACAACAATTAATTGATAGGGCTTCAAAAGCAAAAACTCATCGCGATCTACAGGACTCGAACCTGTGCGGGTCTCCCCAATTGATTTCTAGTCAATCACCTTAACCACTCGGTCAAGACCGCCTTATGCATGATTGGACTGTTACTAAGAATTTTTTCAACCCCTTGGATTAGGGTATTGTAAATTGCTACAAATTTTTTCTATGCCCAAGTTCACCATCGAACTTTAAAGAATCCAAAAATAAAAATGGTGCAAGTTGTAGATTGCATTTAAAAAAATCTATTAATAAAAAATCAATTTAAAAAAATCGATCAACTAGAACGCGGAATCACCACCAGATCGGAACAAAATCACTGATCAAAAGTAGATTACACAATAATACAACACACAAAAAATGAAGAGATTGGGCTCAACCACCTTTGTTGATAGAAACTCATCGGAAACAAGGTTTTCCAAGAATCTTGTCGATCAAGAGGATGTTGTTCTTTTCAAGGAATTGTCCATTGATAGATTAATTAGCGATTCGGCTGCTTTTGTATTGCCATATGAACATGTAGTTTCCTCCACTGTGACTAGTGGCTTAAAGAAGGAGGAAAAGGTTGTCTACAAGCAGAGAAGTAAGGAGGAACAATTGGAAATTGTATTGGATTTTATAAAGGAACATCCAGCTCGAGAAAGAGGCTCCATCATGGAGTACTCACAAAAGAAACACATTAACAAGTCCCAACTTTCAAGATATTTGAGGGCGTATGACGCGGGTCAATTGACTTGTGCTACTAATAGCTCAACAACCCATACAATCGAGAGAGGTCACCCTTCAGCATTGATGAATGCATCCCAAATTGAAAAGGTGTTGCAGATTATAAAGTCTGAACAGGGTGATAATGAGGATTTTTCCAATAAGAGGATTGGTGAAATCATTTTTGAGTTGATTGGCAAGCAACCATCAGCTGGATATGTCAGCAAGTTTGCCTCAACTTATTTGACCTTGAATGGTCCTAAGAGAAAGAAGAAGAAGTTTGACCAATCTATTAAGATTGAACCAAAGATTGAAATTAAATCTGAAACTGATTGAATCTAATTGTACTATACCCTAGAATCTAACTTATCAAGATTAGATTTCAGATTTATATTTATTCAATAGATGGAGATATGTAAATAGAAAAATCCATCTCAATTTTTTTATTGTATAAACTTTCAACTTCTTTCGAAACCCCATTTTGCAATAATTTTTTCTCTTTCAACCTACCCCTAAACTTAATAATTTGAATTGGTCTTTCTATCTCAAATTAAATTTCCATAAATGATTTTTCAATTTTAATTCAAAAAAAATTAATTTAAAAAAAATGAAAAGAAATCGTGAATGTTTCTTGCAAAGTGATGATGAAACTTTTCAAATCAATTCCGAAGAGTCTTGCAAAAGACTAAAGGAAAATAAATCATCATCCTCCGATCATAATATTGACAATGTAATACTATTACTCGATCAATCATTCCAATCCGATATACTTCTCCAACTCTATCATCGGAGGCAGAGAATAGATTTATGTAATCAGGTTTTAGCTTTTCTCATCTCCCGAATTTGTTTTGATCAGGCTGTGTTGCAAAGTGTGAATTTATTGGATCGTTTACGAGAGAATTTGATGGGATGGGAGGTGGTTACATCTCAAGGGAATTAGTATTGCAACTATTATTGCAATATAAAACTCTTACTGCGAATGATGTGAAGAAGTTAACGATGAATTTTAGGAATGATTGGGAGATCATGTTGGCAGCTATTCGAAATTATCATTTTGCTGTTACGTTTGCTTCGAAAAAGTTACAGAATGATAGAGAATTTGTGAAGAGATCATTGATGGTCAATAATAGTTGTTTACATTGGTTTCAGAAAAAGTTTCATTTGGATAGGGAAATTGCTTTGGAAAGTGTGAAAAATTTGGAATCTTGTCGATTAATGACAAAACTATTTCAGGACAAATCATTTGTGATGGATGCTGTTAAAGTGAATGGATTTGTAATCAAGCATGTACCTGATGAATTAATGAATGATGACGTAATTTCAGAAGCCTTGAAGCAAAATAGTGATTCTATTAAGTTTATACCATCTCACAAACGAAAGCTATATGTGGAGGTGGATTCTATCCATGAATTTCTCAATTCTCCATCTAAGAAAAGATGTTCACTCCTTGATAGCCCATACTCTCCCTGTGATTTTATACTATCTCAGGAAACAACTTTGGAAGAATTATTGGAATATGTGCGGAGAGATGGTTTGAATCTCAGATTATTGAATAGTGATTGCTCCTACGACAACAATATTGTAATGGAGGCCATCAAATCGAATGGATATGCTCTAAAATTTGCTGCTTCTCTATTTAGGAATAGTAAGGAAACTGTACTCTTTGCACTTGACCAGCCCTATGAGAAATTATTCAAGATTGTGGAAAAAATAGATTATCTTGGTGAGGATATTGTGGAGGATAGAGAAATTGTTTTGAAACTTGTGATTAGAGCTGCCAAACGAAAGTTTGATGTAGATTGGATGAAATTCAATGTTGAAATGATTTTATTTGATCAAGAGTTTTTAATGAATGTTTACAAGGCATTATTTTAATTCTTGTATTTTGTAAAGGTAAGTTCTTTATTGTAAATATTTATGAACTTCTTGTTCTTCAGCAGTTTTTTGTTCTGTAGTCCATTTCAATTCTTCAGCCATAATTTGAGAAATAATTGGAATGAGAGATGAAGATGTCTTGGTATCAATGAACTGAATTCTAGTTCTTCTTTCTAGAATATCCAAAATCTTTACAGCATATTCATATCTAATTGAGTAGATAATTTCTGCCTCAATGAATGGATAGAGTGGATGAAGCTTTGCTGTACGTCCTTCCTTCAAAGCAATTTCTTCAACTAAATAAGCTTGATCTCCGTAAACTGAATTCAAATGCTCAGCAATGATTGGATCGAGCTTCATCTTTTTAACATAGAGAGGATTGAACTCCTCACCACCAACTAATTTGATTCTATCAGTGAATGGTGGGCCAATTATTCTTTCTTGGAGTTGTGGAGATTGTTTGATGGCCTTTTCCATAATATCTGAAGCCATACTTCTAGTAGTTGTCCATTTTCCTCCAATAATTGTCATTAATCCACTTCACTCAATATGAATAATTATTGAGCAAAGTGCCAACTACTTACCTTGGTGATGTATAAATGGCATGCTCTCTAGAGATTGATGCAGTATCCTTCTCCTCAGTCGCCTTCTTCAATGGTCTAATTCCACTCCAGGCAGATAAGACATCCTCTCTCGAAACCTTCACCTGGAAGTACATATTAATGTGATCGAGAATGTACTGAATATCAGCTTCACTTGGTTTTGGATTATTGGTTATTGGACTTGGAGAGTCAGTTGTTCCAGCAAGTGTTTTACCCTTCCATGGAAGTAAGAATAACACACGATTGTCCTTCGTTTTTGGAATTAAGAGTCCTTCATTGGCTGGACAGAATTTACCATCCAAAACAATGTGAATTCCAGAAGCTGCTTGAAGAAGTTTGGTAGATGTTGCATCATCCATCAATCTGATATCATCAGCAAAATGTCCAGCTGCATTAATAATAGTATTAGCTCTAACTGGATATGTTTTTCCAGTCAATTCATCCTTCACAATAGCTCCATTCAATTTTCCTGTGGAATTATGAGTGAGTTCAACAACTCCAAATCTATTCAATGACAATACTCCTCTCTGAATGGAAGTCAAAATTAATCCCAGATTAGTTCTGGCATCATCAAATTGACCATCATAATAAATCATGGCTCCCTTCAGACCTTCCTTCTTAATCATTGGGAATAATTTGCTAGCTTCCTCTGCGCTAACAAAATAACTATCATGAAGATGTGGATATGCAATCCAATCATAGAGTTTCAATTGAATAAATGTTGGAATAATTTCACTCCATGAATAGATTGGTGTAATGAGTGGAATGAAATTGGTCAAGTGTGGAGCTTGATTGAAGAGGAGATATCTTTCATGGAGAGCTTCTCTGACAAGGAAGAATTGTGAAGCATCCAAATTTGTCATTGCTTTTTTCAAATATCTCACCTTACAATTTTTGTAAATTTTCAAATTTGCTTTAATACTTACACCACCATGAAGTAATTTTGTTGAACGACTGGATGTACCACTGCTGTAATCTTCCTTTTCAAATAAAGCAACTTTGAGTCCTCTAGAATTGGCATCCAATGCAATTGCACTTCCTTTTAATCAATTTAAATTCAACATAATTCAAGTATTTTGTTCTCCAATTTTAAATAAAAGAAAACAAACCTGTTGCTCCACCTCCAATAATTAAAACATCAAATTCATCTTCAGATTGGCTCTTATGCTTCTCCAATTTGGAAATCAGCTCGGAACGTGAAGGCATTGGTGCATTCAATTTATATCCAGCTCCATAATGTTCATGATTAATAATTGAATGTTCGGGATTGAAATATTGATACATCCACAACATTATGATGGACAAACACAATGTAAACAGTGCCTTCTTGATAAATTGACACATTTTTTTCTACTGTTTTCACTTAAAAAAATTCACAAAAAAGAACTAAAAAGAAATTGTAGAGTACTTTTTTGGAGTTTTTACTTTTTAATAAGGATTTTTTGTTTTTTTACAAACATTATCTACTTTGATAAGGTCAATTTGCTTATTCAGAGCTGGCCAATTTAATCTTGGAATATCTTTCATCTTGAATGGCCTTCATCATGATAGCAAATGGGGTAAAATCATCACCATTCAAAACAGCTTTGAGAAGAGATGGTGAGAAACCAGAAATCATGGCAACATTATTTTCAAGAGCATTACCACTGACAAAATCACGAGAATTACCATTGACATTCCAAAAAATGAGTTTTGGCAATTCATAACCAGCTTCAGCATAGGACTTTTTGATATATTCCAAATTGCTCATTGAACTACCAGCAGCAGATGCGAATTGCATATCAGAAATGACATAGATGGAAGTTGGCATTTCATCTTGAGTCAACTTATTTTGCTTGGCCTCTCTCAAAATTGTTTCAAAGACCTTGTAAAAGTTTGTAGACATACCCCATGGCATAAGCATGATTTCTTGAGCTCTTTCACGTAAAGTAGTGTTGAGATTGATGGTACAGAATTGAGGATCTTCATGGAAAGAAATCAATTTTCCTCTGAAAGGTGGCATTGATAATTCACACACCAACAGCCCAATGGAAATTGCTACTTGAGTGGTGTTCCACTCATTGATCCTGATACATCCACAACTGCCAATGCATGATCCATGTTTCCAAGAGATTGGACACGTTTGACAATTTCCTTCCATTGAGATTCCAAAATTTGATCAGTTTCAGATTGTGCTTGTCCATACATGAATTGAGCTACAATTTCGTGTGGCTCAACAGTTGTGGCATTGACCTTTGTTTCACCCTTTTCTAACTTTTTCATATATTCGGCAAATCTTTCAGGATCATGCTTGTTGAATGCCTTTTTGAGCTTATTCATGGCATTACCTGGAACTTTGGAATAATCAATAGCATCCCATTGCTTCAAACACATGTATCTTTCAACAACCTTGATATATTCACGGAGTGGTGAAAGATATTGCTTTCTATATTCTGCCTTTTTAATTCCGAGTTCTTTAGCAATAAGTTTCACAGCACTAAACTTCTTGTCATGTTTACAATTCTCAGTTGGTGCCCACTTGGCGCATAAAGTAACTGGCTTTCCATCATGCATAGCAGCATAATCTTTACGTAATTGTTCAGCAAAGAGCTTGGAAATTGTTTCACCAATCTTTCCCTTTTCTTGATTGATATATCTCAACAAATCTTCCCATCTACCATATTCTGGTAAAAGTTCCAAATTGACAAGTAAATCTTCTGGGTGATTGTCAATCAACCAGTTCAAACACTTGTGAAAAATTTCACGTTCTCCTTTTCCTCCACGACAATCACGTGTTTGGAAAATTAACTTTAAAGTATCTAATGGATTTTCATTCCATGAAGCTTCAACCAATTGCAACAAGAAACTTTCTTCAATACCACGAGCAGCTTTAAAGAATAAATCAAGACGAGCTGATCCAGTAGTAGCATTCGATGGAGCACATTGATGTGTAGTGATCATTTTCAGAGAGAGTTGGTTTAAAAGTAGTTGTGTGCACAGAAAGAAGAAATTAATAGGAAAAAGAAATTAAAATCGTCGCCGCGAAGAAAAATTGTTGCGTTTTTTTTTGATCTGTGATAATCAGCATTGATTGCGTCTGCATTTTATGAACAAGCGATGAACATGTTGATGATTGATATAATTTTATTTTTAGAATGCGAAGGTGCAATTTGGTGTTTCGTGTTTCACTTGCAAACAGTAAAAGTTTCAGATAAAAAGTGAGGGATGAAAAAGTTTGTTGAAGGTGTGAAATGTTTTTGATTGAAATTTGGGTAATTTGTGTTGTATTAAATTGGGAATTGTTTTATAGAGATTAGAATAAAGTTTCTTAAATTGAGATGGATAGTGTTACAGTGTTTATTTTAATCGGTATAAATCTTCAGTGATTGGAATTTCTTCCAAAGAATCAAAACTCTCCACAATGTATCCACCAGCGATATTCTTTCAAAGTTACCTTTTCACTATTCTTACCTAGACCAGTCAATCCTTCTTTACAAAATAGAAAAACATATCAAAGAGAGTGAGACAGGGCTGTTCCAAAGTATCAATTATATGCGTGTTCTTCTAGCAATAATGTACTTCGGTTCATGAACCTTCACTATAATGTGTACCAACATCTTCCTGGTAAATGGCAGGCAAATTTATATAGATGTTGTTATGGTTTGAATGTGGTCATGGCTGATGTGGAAGGAAGAAAAGGGAGAACTTTCCTCATGGTGATGAAATCATGATGAGTAATTGTTTTTTTTTTGTTGAATATTTAACGGTAAGAATAGACAACTTTCAGCGGTTTTTAGTTGGCGCGAAATTAACTGTAAAGAAATTTAAGAAAATAGTTGCAGATCGGTGAAGATAAAAATTTGAACTTTACGCTTCAACAACGAAAAGAAAACATTTTCAAAAAAAATGTCTGCATTTGATTTGTTGGATGACGAGGAATTGATCAATCTACACAATTTTAAAAAGAATAAGCAAACAAAAAACAAGAAAAAATCAACTCCTATTGCAAAGCTTAAACCTCAAGAAACTGAGTTTACAAAAATACATTTGACGGAAGTATGGCATGTGATTTTGCAATATTTAGATTTGAAATCATTGTACACTTCTATTCTACTAGTTGATAAGAAAGTGTATGAAATTGTGAATACCATTGAATTTCAGAGATTTATTCTGAGTCGTGATTTTGTTGATATATTTTCTGGAGAGAATGAAACAGATCATGCTGCTCTCTATAAAAATATGCGTTTTCAAGGAAGTCTTGAAAGAATACTGGAAAGTAACGATCCAACAAATATTTTCAAATTTCGAACAGCCATTAATAATGATAATAATAATAGGAAGAAGAAAAAAAAGGCAACTGATGAATTGTTGCCTTCGATAGTGGACTCACAACAAGTATTCGAAAACTTGTATATGGAGTTTTTGAATAAGAGAACTAAATTCATCAATAGAAATATGAAATTGAGGACTTTAATCAGAGGAAAAGCTTATATTGGAACAAGAAGTGAGATTGAATTTGATGCGTACAAGAGAGGGAAAATGAAACTATTCAAAGCAGCTGGTGAGAAGGGTTTCGGAATTTTGGATAATGAAACAATATCAGAAATTCAAAAAGAAGAAAGAAAACAAATAGAATGTGAACATTTTAATGTGATGATAATTAAGAATGAAAATGTTAAAAACCCTTACACACTCATTTGTAAAACGTGTAAAGCAGCTGATGACCATTCTCGTGAAACTATTACAAAACTAATCCAAAAATATTTGTAAGATAAATTATTTTAAGGCGGATTAAGGTAACAAATATGTTGTTTAATAACTCACTGTAAGCGCCGTTAGATCAGTTGGTTAGATCGTCAGCTTTACACGCTGAAGGTCAAGGGTTCGACTCCCTTACGGCGTAACTTTTATTTCTTTCTTATTAAATCCAATATTGAATCTTTCCAAAATCTTCCCCAAGTATACACTTTTCTTGTAAATATTGCAACAGATCCCATGCACCAAAGTGTTTGAGACGCCTCCAAAACAGCGAGCAAATTCCAAGGAGATCTCAGTTCTCTTGTTTCTGGATATTCAATACTATCGAGATATTTGTAAATAATCCAGTTCACTAACATTGTAACTACTCCAGGACTAAAATACGTGCCAAGAAACGCAAATCCAATCCCATAACCCAAATAGAGACTCCAAAATGCTATTGAGTAAAATAGCTGATACATAGCATGATCTTGTAAATCAATATGATTATATGGAAGGAATAACAATTGTTTGGCGTGTCTGAAACAATCATACTTGTACTGGTAATTATATCCAAACCATATCAGAAATCCAAGTGTGATGAAATCATGATAAAATGATACTTGCTTAATTAATGTTCGAATTGAAAAAATACGACGAATAGAAAATGGATTAGTTCTAACAATTATTTCAGACGGATCTGAAGATCCGAAATTCAAGGAAACAGCTCCTCCATGTTGGTGTGCTAAACAAGTTTCTCGTATTTCTAAATTGGGAATCATGAATTCTTGTGTTTGAATGAGATTTTCAGTTCTTCCATCCTTACAATCCCAAACAAGAGATCTAAAGTATTGCTTCTTACGCTGGTCATCAATTACTCCTAAATGATTAACAATAGTATCACGAAATGTTCTTCTTCTCGGAGGTTTTGATGAATCTTGTCTTTCCCAATGAAAAACTCTGATCTTGTCATCATTATCTCTGTAACCATGAATTAAAACTGGATCTATCATTTGTTTTCTAGTGAGATATATGTTCAAATTAATGTGTTGAATCCAATTCCCATTCTCATCCAATTCAGTTATTATTGCATTGAACGGTTGATAGAGTAGAAATTCAACACATTCATTCGAATGTTTTTCTAATTTCAAATAATTAAACTTTAAATAAATTCTTAATAAATTCTTCCAATCTCTTCTATTTTCCACTTTCTTAGCCATCCATTCCTTCTCTTCATCACTCAAAAATACATTATTATTCTGTTTTCTTTGAAATTCATCGGAAACTTTTTTTTTGATCAATTCGAATAACATTTCCGAATCTCCTTCTCTAAACACATGAAAATACATCTGTCTCCAAGATTGCGACAATCTGAACATTTCACAAGGGGACAAAAACTTGCAAATTTCCAACCACTCATCACACGAAAGATCTTTCACTGTAAATTTTGGAGCCATTTTTTTTAAAATTAGAACTTGTTCTATATTCCATTACAAAATTTTAGCAAAAGTTTGTTTTTTAAATACTTTAAATATTTAAAATTCTTTTACAATTTTCAATTTTAAAAAAAAATGTTTAAAAAGCAAATCGTCAATTCACTATTGCTGCACAAATCTAATAAGCCACAACAAGTTTGTTCCTCTCTCCTCCGATTCTTTCATTCCTCCTCAGTGAATGCATCGGAACAAGAACCACGGATTGTTCTATTGGAAGGTGAGAATATCATGACTAGTAAACATAAACTGTGTGATCGTTTGAAGAAGGTTGGCTACTCGGTTCAATTGATGACTCCTCATAATAATACACTATTTTCTAGGGAGTTACTTCATAATACTGTTGATGCTGAGGAGTTGTTTTCCACCTCGATTGTTCATCACTTTTTGATGAATTATTTTGGACAATTGAACAAGTTTTTGGAAAAGCCTGAAACTTACTTTGAAAAGATTAAGAATGGTGTTGTATTTGTTGATGTAAGTGTGGAGTAATTTAGTGATGATGATGATGAATTTAATAATCGGAATTAATTTTCGGAACATGTTGATAATTAAAATATTCAAATATTGGAAATGTATGAATGTACAGATTTCACCAATTTATCCATTAATTTATGATCCAAATATTGAGAGTGAAGTTAAAAATCCAAATAATAAGGTTGGTTCACTCTTCCATCATACTCTTCAAGTCATGAAGGAAAAGAAAGTTCTAGTAATGCAATTGAGTGCTGATAGACACGAGAGTGCCTATCGATTGGGAAATCACAAGCATTTCTATACTGAAGATTGGACAGATTACAAAACCCAACAAATTGAATTTGATCCAACTAATATTCATGCAAAGAATAGAATGGTGGAACCTCTTTCTTCCTCACAATATAATGGAAAATTCCACTATTTCAATGGAAAGTACATGAAGAATGAATTTGAAATTGTTGATTATTCCTATAATAAGTTCCCAGAATTGGCTGAAACTTTCTACAAACCAAACAATATTGAATATAGACCTCTAGATACCACCGATACTCAACAAGCTTGCTGTCTCTTGTTAGAAAATGAATTAGGTATCAAATTCAAACTTCCATTCACCATCCCACCAACCAAATCCAATTAAAAATCTCATCAACTCGGTGTTTCAACACATTGACCTTACCTCCATTACATATTACTTGACCTCTTGTTTACAATCCTGAGAATCCTCCATAAAATATCTTATCCAACACAACAGCAAATCTTGTTGTAAAAAACACTTGAAAAAAAATGTATAAAACACTCCTCAAGAATGCAGAGCAAATTGTTGCATTTCCCGAGATGCCTCCAAGAAATTATTAAAAGGAAAGGAACAAAACGAGTTGGAGATTATTCAAGGAGGGTCCGGGGCCATGATTATTGGTCATGATGGTAAAATTGTATTTATTGGAAATGAAGCGGAATTAAAGAATTGGATTCATGATATCATCATGGTGATGAAAATAATGGAAAATTGTTTGAACAAGAAATTGACTGCTCGGGAAAGAGTGTCATTCCAGGATTGGTTGATAGTCATACTCATCCTGTTTGGAGTGGTGATCGTTGTCATGAATTTGTGTTAAAATTGCAAGGAGCTACTTATATGGATATTCACAAGATGGGAGGAGGAATTGGATTTACTGTTAGACATACACGTGAATCGAGTGAAGATGAATTGTTGGATTTATTGGTAAAGAGATGTAAGACCATGTTGAAGAATGGTTCTACATTGATTGAAGGAAAATCTGGTTATGGTTTGGAAACTGAAACTGAAATTAAAATGTTGAAGGTTTTGCATAGAGCCAATAAGAAGCATATCGAATTGGGAATTCCTGAAATTGTTAGTAATTATCTTGGAGGACATTCAGTTCCAAAAGATTCCAATTTGCAAGCTTATACCAAGCAAATTCTTGAAGAACAAGTTCCTGCCCTTGCTAAAATGATTGAAAAGGATGAAATTGGTCCAACTTTGATTGATGTTTTCCATGAGAAGGGAGTTTTTGAAACTGAAGAAACAAGACAAGTTCTCAAAGCAGGAAAGGAACAATTAGGACTTGGAATCAACTTCCACGGAGATGAATTGAATCCAATGGGAAGTGCTGAACTAGCTCATGAATTAGATGCATTGGCTGTTAGTCATTGTGAACATGTGAGTGATAAGGGAATTGAATTGATGGCAGAGAAGAATATTTGTGCATCTCTCTTACCAACAACTGCCTATATTTTAAGAATTGCTTATCCACCTGCAAGAAAAATGATTGACAATGGAGTTCCAGTTGTTTTGTCAACTGATTACAATCCAAATGCTCACTGTATGTCACTTCCATTTGTTATGCATTTGAGTTGTGTGAATATGAGAATGACATTGAATGAAGCTCTTGTTGCTTGTACTTTGAATGCTGCTGCATCTATTGGAAAGTCTGCAACCCATGGTAGTTTGGCTGTTGGAAAGGTTGGTGATTGTGTCATTGTTGACTCTAAGAATTGGGAACATATCATTTATGAATTGTGTGATCCTCCAATTTCTGCTGTTATCATGAACGGAAGTGTTGTTTATTCCAAGTAAATAGTTTACTATTTGTAACAATCTCTCAGAAAAAATATTCCAGAAAATTGTGAAATTAAAAAAAATGGCAACATCACGTACAGAGCCTCCACAAACAGTGATCAATTTTTGTTCACTCACCTCTTTTCAATCCATATTCAATGCCGATCAGTTAATCAAAAATCTAGCCGAGCACTATTACTTTCCACCCACTACTGGCCACAATAATGACATGTTCATGTCTTGTCATGGTCATAAAACTCTAGCCTCCATTGGTTTGGTTTTATTGTTGAAATTAATTGATGATTTAAAGCCATATGTACTATTGAAGAGAACAGATTCTTCCGAAGCCATTAAACAATTACTTGATGGCTTTACTAATGAAAATGCAATGGATAGTCAGGAACATTGTCAAGATATTCATGATTTAATCATGGAAATCTGTAGAAAGAATTTGAAAGGAAGGTTGGGTGAATATCCAATGACTACTCTTTTACCAATTGAAAAGGTGATGGAAGATGAGTCGGAAGAGGGAAAATCTGTAGAGAGATTTATTGCTCTATATTTCAATGTTAACTTGTCAAGTTTAAAGCAAATTGAAAAACAAGAGAAGGTCCTTGCTGTTGGTTTGAAAATAATAGTATGCTATGTCATGGGAGAAATTGTTGAACTTGCTTCAAATTACACACGAGATTGTTCTTGCTTTTCAGTTGGTCAACCTGCCATTGAAAATGCTATCAAATATGATTCTGAACTACTTGAATCTCTTCCAAGTAGTATTTGTTCAATTTCTAATGTACTTTCTGTGCTTGTTAATAATTTGTTCAATCAACATACTGATTCTTCTCAAGTTTCAATTAGAGAAGGTCCATTTTTTTCATCCATCTCACCAGATGTTCATTCAAATATTTTGAAATTTGTGGGAAATGTTGATGACCTTTTGAAAATGAGAACAGTTTGCAAGTATTGGAATAGTTTAATTGTTGAAAATGATGATATTTGGAAGTATTGCTATCATTTGACTAAGATTGAAGATCCTTTATTTTTAACATTTGGAACCAGTAGAACTCTTTCAGATATTAGAAACTTTGATTCGAAAGGATGGAAAAACAAATTCTTTTCGGATATATATCCATATATTAGTAGCAGAGATTCACTAGTTGAAAGCAAAATGAGAACGGATTCATGTGACAATAGTTTCAGGGAGATTTTAAAACAGTCCGTTTCATTATCTGTTAACTTTTATCGGGAAATTTTCATATTCAATTCCTCAATCCCCACCGATGGGCGTAGAACCAAGATTGGAGGAAATCCCAACATGATTGACAAATCCAAACTTTGGAAAAAGAGATATGCTTTTATTGGACAAATTGATTTTTCTGAAATAAGCTCATTCATTGATTGCCAATTACCAAAATCTGGATATTTATACTTTTTTGCCAAGATTGATAGTTTTCAAATCAATGCTTCCGTACCAAATATTGATTCTTATGATGGTTATGTTATTTATCAAGATTACCAAGATAATTCAACCGTTCCATTGGTTACTGGAATTGAAATAGACGAATTAACCATTACTAAATTTGCAAATTCATCTTTGAAATTAGGTCTCTCATTAGATACAAGAGTATTTGCTGATTCCAAAAAAGAATTTGAAGATTATGAATATTTCAATCATACTTCCAATTGTCCATCATATATTGGTACCATTTGTGGACAATACACAGCAACCTTTAGAAATGATTTACAGACTGACAAGGATGATATTATTCTTTTGTCAACCAATGCTAATTATCCAGGTATGCCATTCGATGCACAATTTGTTTATACCATCAATAGAGAAAGCTTACTCAAAGCAGATTTCAGTGCTGCAAAACTTTTCATTACCGTACCAAAGACCAGAAGGTTTTAGTACACCTTCAATTTATCATCTTATCATTCCCAAATAGACAGTAAATAGAACGAATAGTGAGTATTAATACTTCCCTATTGCATAGAAAATTTAATGTTCGATTTACTTGAGCTATAAAATAATCCGCCAAGCGCAAGCACAAATCCAAAAGAAGACATTTCAGAAATACTATTTAATTTCGAATGTTTCAATTATTCGAAAACAAACAACAACAAAACAAATAAATGTCTACTCTTGTCCTCTTCTTCCACGAAAGATTTGAAAGCTCTCAAGCCAATCGTTCAATGATCAAGGCCTTGTCAACTCTTGACAATATTGAAATTATCAACATGCATCAATTATTTACTGAGAATGGTAAAAAGTTTGATTCCAATTCTGATGTCCAAAGAACTTTTGAATGCAGACAGAATTATCTTCCAATTTCCAATCCAATGGTACTCAATGCCAGCTTTCATGAAACAATGGATTGATGAAACATTCACAAGAATGTACTATATTCGTTATGGAGAGGAAGGATTGAAATTGGAGGGCAAACCATTATTGATTTCTGTAACAGCTGGTAATTTTGAAGAGGCATACACTCCAGAGGGTCAGAATTTGATTCCACTCGATGACTTGTTGAATCCATTGAAAGCTCTCGCTCACAGATGTAAATTGGAATGGAGCGAACCATTCATTACTTATCGTGCCAATAAGAAATCAGTTGAAGAATTGGAAGAAACTGCTGAACAATATCGTCAATTTGTTTCCAAATGGATTGAAAAGTGTTAACTCTCAATTGTTCTTGAAACAAATACAAAGCATAATAAAAAACTATTTGGCTTTATAGCCTAACATTGTATTATTTATGATTAAGATTTTTCTATTGTTTATGGCTACGGCCATATCACGATGAATGCACCTCATCCCGTCCGATTTGAGAAGTTAAGCATCGTCGAGCCACATCAGTACTGAGGTTGGAGACAACTTGGGAACCTGTGGTGCTGTAGTCTTTTTTTTTCATTTGAAGATTGTGGGTACAATTTATCAAAACTGACGTAGAGTGGAACTTTGAAAAACATTAATGTAAAAAAAATGTTATACGGAGTTGGCAAGGGTTTCTTCACTCCCTTCATTAACCAAAACGAAAATACATTGCAACCCGTGCCTTTTTTTCAATATCTACTTGATCATCCAGATGATGAAATTGTTCAAGTTGAAATGAAATATAACAATGTTCTCATCAGATCACAAATGGGACAAGTTCTCGGGTGTGGATTGAATTCGTTCGGAGAGTTGTTACAACCCCAAGATCGTCAGATGAAACGATTTCCAGTGCCCATCTTCAAGAAGGGTATTAGACATTGTGCTCTAGGTTATCAATGTTCAATTTTCTTGGATTTTGATGGAATTGTTTCTTGGTACTATGATGGAAGAGTTTTTAAACTTGACGGGTTGAAACTTGGATTGGAAAAAGTGACAATTATTGGAGATACACCTTTTGCAATTGCAAAATACAAGTCTTTTAGAGTGAAATCGACAGGTTTTGTTGATTGTACTCAACCAAAGGGAAATGAAGAACCTGCTTTTTACTTTAATAGGGGATCAATGAAGTACAAGTATGAGAAAAAGTATGGCATGATTACTTTGTCTGGGAGTAGTTTACCTCATTTCTTCTATGAGCATTGTTATGGATCTGTACATTTCAACAGTGTTAATTCAAAGATAATCAAAGTAGAGGCATCTGAAACTCATTTAGTCAATTTACATTTTGACAAATACTTGACATCGTTTGGAAGTAATCAATTTGGAAAACTTGGAATTGGGAGTACTGCACAAAATCACTTTATTTCACATGAGGCAGTTGGTGATGACAATTTCGAACGGCTCTATTTAGATTTTGACAATAGTTTGGAATTGGATGTGTTTGTAGGCCCTTTATGTACAGTTGCAGTTACATATTCCAACCAGAAAACAACAATTGATTATCATGCAAAATCCTTGCTACATAATTTAGTGGTTATCAATGAGGAAATTGAGGACGAACCATATCTTCAAGTTTACTTTCCACTCATTGAAATTATTTCACCAGACCTTTGTAAAGTGTTCAAAAATGAAAAATTGATCAAAGGTCTCTCACGTGATGAGCTGGTATTATCTAGAGAATTAATCATATACATTTGTGAAGTGATTCCTTATATTAATTCTGGGAAACAGTCTTGTATTGACATTTTTCATGAAGATAACTTTCTCTCCAAGTACTTTGATGATATCAAGAGTTTGACATTATTTTTATTTTTATTGAATGATGTTCGAGATTGTGGAATTGATTTGAAAGAGACCATATTTTCCAAACTGTCTACTTTCATTCAAGTAGAAAATGTCATGCAAATAATTGACCAAATTTCTGATTATTTGTCGAGAAAGGTTCTTAAAAATTCTCACAATTCAATTCTCATGCTACTTGTAAAGAAATGCATTGCCTTTATTAAGAGTAATTATACTCAAGTTCGATATCTTCACGGAGCTGATGAAAAATTACTTAAACTTTCCTCAAGAATTGAAGAATCCAAACAATCATTTCAATCAATAGAAGTGACATGGAATGAAGAGATTTTCACACAAGTTTTTTCATTGTCAGATGCTATTCTGTTGTGTTCACAGCATAATTATGATTGTACTCTAATAATTGATGATAAGGGAACTGAAATTCAGGTCAATAAGCAAATAGTAACAAAATCGAGTCCAGTTCTTGCAGTATATTTTGAAAAGTATTCATCAAGTAGGATTTCTTATGATGTTTTTGAATTTGTAAAGAGTGAGGAAATTGGAGCAGAAACTGAAAAAATAGAAGCTATTCGAATTCTTCTTTCAGAAGCTTGTAATTGTAATTATTCAAATTTAAGGCTGTGTAGTGATCAGACATTTATTTACATTCTTTCAATGAGCCATATATTTGAAATGAAGGAAATTATGAGGGAATGTTGCAAGATCATGTTAAGTGAGAGATTGAATTCATCCAATCAAGAGTCGTTCCTTGCCCTCTCACCAATTTATGACGACGATACAAATATGAGATTGTTGGTATTCTTATTGAAAAATCTTTCAAAGGTATCATCAATAGCCAAAGTTTTACCTCGTCAATGGGAGGAAAAATTAGAAGATTATGCACATATGGTAAATTGTGAAAATGGTGTTCCAGCATGGATGTCTGTAAATCTACCAAAGGAAAGCTTGACTGAGGAAGAACTAATGTCCACAATTAGTTTTATTACCCAGTATGAGGGACCAGAAGAATATGATAGAAGCTCTGAAATTAGAAGAAGATGACAAGTCAGTCAACAAGATGTGAATTTCCCAACATCTCTTCAAAAACAATTTTTAAAAAATTGGAGCTTTTAAAAATATTGCAAGTATAGGAACCAATACTTTCACGTTTCATCTCCTCATCATGTGAATAGTAGTAATAGTCAATGTTGAAACAAATACCAACCATCATGAATGATATTCATTATCAATATAATAGTAATTTATATTGGGAAAATTATCATCACTTCCAGATGTACTTGGTCATTCGGAAAACCATCACAATATATTTGGATTGTTCAGCATGATCAATTCTATCAGGGGGAAAATTCTCTCCTAATAGTTTCATCAAAGTTATCATGATGATATTAGTTGCTGAAAATTTACTTTTTAAAATACAAGAACATGTACTTGACCATTTCAAACACTTTCTTCGATTAGTATTGTTTATTTGCACTCCTAACAACGTTCTCATCATTACTTTCAATATTTGTCCAGTAATTACCTTGCAGGATTTCCAATATCATTAAAGCACATACACTTCATCATGACAAATTCCATCAATGCAGTATTGTCCTGCATGGTCAATAGTAATATTGGGATGACTAATGGAGATTGGATTTTCATCTTCAAGTTATATTCAAGATAATTTTACAATATCTCCATAATTTGAATGATGAATTTTCACTGTGAAATCATTCAAATAAACATAATGTGAAAACACTTCTTTGATTTCAATTCCAAAAAAAAAATGTCAGCTGCTTCATCAGTCATTCGAGGAATTTGCTCTACACAATCCATCTCACTCAAAATACTTTCCGTTCTCCAACCACTTTCCTTTGAATCCATCTTTCTGATCTATAATTACATACAAGATATCTACCCCTATTCATTGTTAATTGTGTTAATTTTATGGTTGACCTATTCAGCTTATCTATATAGAAAAGAAGTAGCCGATGATAAAACAATCAAAGTTCAAACAAATATTTCTTTATTACCATCATGGCAAGTGGATGGAGATGAAGATTTATCCATGATCACACCAAGGAAAAAGAAATTTAAAACTCATGTCATTGTCATGAATGTAGTAATTGGATTTGGAAAACACATTCTCAATGTTTTATTTTATATTGCCACAAGTGTTGTGAGTCTTTTCAAGTTGTTGTACTATTCACAAAAGCAAATCATGTATGGAGTGTTGTTCATGTTACTTGTCCAATTGTTAATGTTTTTGACAGTTCAATATATTTCATTTACTCATTCATTTTGCAGAGTTTCACAACATTTGACACAAGTTGAAGGATTAGATGATAGTTCTATTAATATGGATGGAAAAACTAATGTTATAACAATATAATAGTATTATAATATTTACAAATATTTATTTATTTTTAAAAATGTAAATATTCCACTAATAACGATCATTGTAAATAAGACAATTAACACAATTTTCCACCATTTCATTCTCGGTTTCTTATAGCTTGGATAAATAGGTTGATTTCTTCTCCTGTACATGGCTCTATTGTCCAAGGAGGATGAGTGGAATCTTCTTCTTCTAGATGGAACATTGAAATCTTCATCATCGCTATCACTACTGTCACCTGCTTCATCTTCTTCTGATTGACTTTCTACTGCACGAGCAGTTTCCAATAACTTGAGGGCTTGTTTTTGGTTTGGTTTTTCAGATTCCACAAGCGGTTGAGCAGCTCTAATCAATGTAGTAATTTCTTCTCTCTCTCTACTAGGTAACTTGTTATTAGAAACTACCTTCATCAATGGTTTCAAAATCAATTGTAATGCCCGTTTAGCAATTCTAAACAAGAGAAACACTGCCTTTCCATCATTAACAGTCAATGTAAGTGAAATTCCAATAAGTTCGAAAACTGATCTAACCAAACCAACAATTATTTGTGGGTTGGCTGCTCCTCCTTCGATTGTCAACAAGATTGTTGGAATTAGTTTCAATAAACGTGCCAATAATTGAATTATATGAACACCATAAGATTTGATTAGAGTCCACAAGTTTTTTGTGATTAAACGATTGAGTTCTTCATCGGTTGGGATTAGTTGAATATTATTCGAATCATCATCATCATCACGTAGTTTGTTGGAAAGACTAGTTTCTGCTTGTGATACTACTTCGTGTAAATAGCCAAACAAATCTTTTGCTCTTTCTAGGTCAACTTTTTCAGACATATTTTTTTAACAGCTCAATTACGCACATCGTTTACTTTTCACACATCTACCCAATTGTTGAGCTTAATATGTCAACACTACACTTTAAATACATTGTTCATTCTTCAGATCATCTTTGATGCACTTTGACAATGTCAGTTCTCCACATAGCTATAATGCTGTTGTTTTTCAAAAAATATTCTTCACACACACATCTGGCTAGCTGCCATCATTCATCTTTAATGTCCTTCTTTCATTTATTCAAAGCACGATCAATATGTGGTGTACTTTTACTATCCATACTAATAGTTCTAAATCAACTCACAACAAATTTCAGATTTGTGAATGGTCAAAATTCCATGGCATGTAAATCAACACCCATTGCTGTGAGTTCCATTCAAAATTGTGTTGCAAATGTGTGTCAGGCAAATATTGTAGTTGCTGGATCTGTTAGTACGGGAAGTAATTCAAAAATGTGTATGGAACTCTTCTTGGATGACACTAGTTTAGGTACTGTGAATATATCATTGTTAGATTCGTATAAAATTCAAACAGCAACCACCGATGGATGTTATTACACAGCAGATCCACAATATACATGGGAATCAACTTGTAGATGTCATAATCAGGAGTCACTTGGATGTGGATCTGGAGCATATTGTCCAATCGATTCTTCAAAGTATCCAGGAACAGCATATTGTTTTACAAGTTCTTGGTCTGATTGGGGATTTTGGGGAAATCTAGCTAATTGGGGTCCATGTATATTTAAAGATGAAGGAACCATGTGTGCCAAAGTTTGGGTTTCAGGTGGTTACGATTACAAAGTTTGTCAATTGGGATCTCCAGGTGCTAAGAATGTTGTTTTGCACATTACAACACCAATGGAAGAGTTGAATATTGAATATAAGGATACTGTTAAAACATTTCTCTCTCCAGAAAGGTCATTGAATTTTACAGTTTCGTCAGTCTCTGGAGATGATCCTCAACCTTCCACTTTTGTCATGTATAGAACTGCCAAACCAGATGATTTCTACTATCTTCCAGCAATTACTACAAACAGAAAAACTGAGTATAATTATGACAGAATTGGTTGGTTCAAATCATATGGTAATGATGCAGGTTTTAGGTTCGATTCAAGTTTCAAGATTACTGATTTTGTCTGTAGAGATAATATGGGAGGTAGATTGGAAGTTAAAGCTGCTCCTGTGTATAGCAGTCTCTTGGAACAGTATAGAGCTTCCAAGTTAAACTATCGTGTTCAATTATATGATCCCTCATTTTTTAGTGGACTAGCTCAGAGTGGGACCAATTTGGGAGTTTACAATCCATATTGGTCAATTGGTCAGGGTTTCATGAGTTATAATCCAAGTGACATGTCCAAAGTTTCATTTATTGGATTGACTATTCAAAAGGAAATTGTTCCTTACTTATACCATGTTATTACTACTCCATTTACATTAAATACCAACTTGGCAACAAATATTCAATGGTCTCCTTCCTATGCTCATTGTGATTTCATTCAAATATATAAGGAAAAGAATACTTGTACACAAGCATGTGTCATTACAAAAACACCTGGCGCAGTAAATGAGTATGGATTCGCCTTAATGAACAGTTGTACATTTGACTCATCAAAACTCATTCCATTTACAAGTGCTATTGTTATGAAATATCCAGATTTTAGACCTTACAAATATGAATATTCAGGATTGAAAATCACCTCAACTCCATATGATGATATAAGCACTTCAACTATTCCTCTTTCAGTTAATATTGCTTCAACAACCGCCTATGTTTCATTTACACTTACCATGAATAATTTTACAGTTAAATTCAAATCTGACTCTATCATGCCAAAAATTTCCAATTGCAATCAGAAAGATAATCAAGTATTCTATGATTTGAAGAGTTTATCCTATTCTGGTAAAGTATTGGTCTATTTTTCATCTCCAACCATTCCTTCATCAAATCCAACTATTGGTCTCGTTTCACAAACTTATTCCACTTCCATATCTGGCTCTTACAAGAATGCTATTGTGGTTATTTATGTCCAAAATGGTGACTACAAGGATCAATGTGCCATCACTATTAATTATAATGTAACAATTAATGATCCTCCAATTGTAATTAACAACACTGATGGTGGTGGTGGAGGTGGAAGTGGATTATCTGGAATTCTATCATTCTTGAATGGATTTAGTCCTTCATTGTCTGAAGCATTGAAGGGATTCACAGAACCAATTCAAATTTTCATTACAGTTCTAGTATTTATTGGAATTGCTATTGGTTCCTTGTTGGCAATTGGATTGGCTATTGGATTCATTATTCTTATTGTCAAGTGTGCCATTTCATTAAAAGGAAAAAAGAAGAAGGAGAAACAGCAATAAAGCATTACAACTATTTAATCATATTTATTGTAATATTTCTTATATTTTCTTGATTTCTTCTTTTTGGAAAAGTACTTGTTGAACACGAATCTTCCAATAACAACAATTACAACAGTGCATGCCAATGAAATAGCCAAAAGTATTGAAACAACAATCGCCAATTGAGTAGTTGAATCGTATTGGGAAATTGAAAGTCCCAACTTGGCAGAAACCTTGTCAACCCATTCTGAAGTTGTAGTTCCATTGTTTCCATTGTTATTTCCACTATCAGTTGAATTTGTGGTTGACTCTAAGTTTACAATATTGTCTAGATACAAATGGTTCAGTTGATAACACACCTTTCATTGAAATGATACAAGTTGATTGATAATCTCCATTTCTTGCAATGACAACCAAATCTTGAGTTTTAACTTGTGAATCGGTCAATTGGACAGTTGACACAGATGGAATTAGACCAACAACTGGTGATAATGAAGGAATATTTGAATCTGAAAAGTATACCAGAATTTTTCCAGGATAGGATAAACTTCCCAATGTAAATGATAATTGATTTCCATCTTGAGTACAATTTCCAATGGTTGGAATGATTGAACTTGATTTGAATGAAATTGTAAAGTTTCTTAATGTTAATTGATAATTCAAACTAACAGTCAATGAATTAATTGTGACACTTGACACTAGAGAAGGGGTATTAACTCTAGTAGATGTAATATTCTTTTTAAATGTGTAAGAATACCATTGCATTTCAGGCCATTTCATTGCAGTGATTGAAAAATCGGATAATCCAACCAAAGAATGATGATTAAATTGACAGCTATTCATTCTTGCAAATCCATATGAGGAAACACTATCAGAGTTTCGAATAAGACACACTTGAGTACATGCTCCACCTTCAGGAGTATAAACATAATCACAGTGAGCTACTGGACTTGTAAATGTTTCAACCAAACCTCTATTAGTCTTGATATTAACACTTGCAGGAATTGCATTATATTGCATTGGAACTATATGGAGATCAGGAGTTATTCCAATAAAGGTAACACGAGACGGAGTTTTGTAAAAAATGCTCATGATACCATCCTTAATATAATGATAAGGTTGATAATTGTAACCCAATCCAGGGAAGTTTGATAATTGTAAAGTGTTATATTCTGCATCTTGTAAAGACATGCCTCCAATTTTGGAAGCTGCATAAGAGGAAGTCAAAATGTCAGAATTATAGACAGCTGAAGTTGTTGCAATACCATTTTGAGTTTCACAACCAATAGTCATGAAATTAGTTGGTGGATAATCTGGATGACCAATACTAGGTTTAGGGAATGATTTGACCCATCCCAATTTGGAATAATTAAACTCGTTTCCCATATTAACCAAGTGAAAAGGTAAATAAAAGAAATCGGTTGGATTTGCTGAATCATAGGCAATGAATTGCTTGACTTCTGGATCAGTAGTTTTCACATTATCAACAGAAACAGTAATACTACCATCAGAGTTAGTATATTGATTGACATCTTTCGTATAATTAACGTAGAAAGGAATGGAATTTTGACTAGTAGAAACTTTCATCATTATGGATGGTGGAGAAGGTTCACTGAGATGACAAACTTTATATCTCAAATTTCCCATAAAATAAGTTGTATATCCACACCAGGACTGATTTTCAATACCTCTTCCAAAAACACATTTCGAATAGGGATTATTCGAAGAGAAACCTGGACAATTACTACAAGTCAAACGAGAGGATCTACTACATTTAATAGTAGTATTGAAAGCATAATCATCAGAATAATAACACTCATTAGATTGTTGTGTTTTGAAACCGTTTTGCATGTCAATATTAATTTGACCGACAATTTGATTTTCGACAGTTAAAAGAAAACAATTTGATTTGGATGAGAGAGTTTTGGTTAATGTGCTGATAGTTGCTTTACATTCGGTTTCAACACACTCACCAATATTTGTTATAGAGATTGGAATTTGAGTACAAAGTGAAGATAAACTGGACGAATCTCCAGATGTTGATGATAATGTGGATGAATACACAACACTAACAAGTAGACCCAATAACAATACAAAGATGAGCTTCTGAATAGTGTTCATCTTTTTTTTTGTAAGAGAAATCGGACTAATCTCATTTCGGAATATGTGAAAATTTAAAGTAAGTGATAGCTTTATTCTTCATCGTTGTGCTACATATTTTCACACACAATGCTCATACATTATGATGCAGTTGGGATTTGAGCTTAACGTTTCATCAAATTTCAAACCATCATTCAAATGTCTAACGTCGAGGTATTGAGGAGGTTGAGTTGACAAGTCTCTTTCTATGTCATCCAATGAAACAGAGATTAGAGGTGAGAGTTTGGATGAAATATCACCAACAATGAGCCAAGTGTTCTTTTCATCTGATGAAAGGTTTAGTTTAGAATAGGATAGTGTCGGATCAATGGGTGTTTCTTCATAGCCTACAATTAAACAAACATGATGGTGCATGTGATAGACAAATGAACAAGTTTTTGATTTCAGTCCTTGTTTAATGATAGACATTACCTGTTCTCTTGTTCTACCTTTCGTATTGTTTTCGCCTTGTTTCTTCCACACCATGGAAGATCTTCCTCTAACTTTGAATAAAGAACACAATGTATAGAACCACTTTTTGATAAAATTAATAATTCCACATTGTTTGATCAACTTACTAAAGCATCCTCTATTTCCAATTATTTACAACTAAACTAAACTAAACTTACGTTTGTTTGAAGCCAATTTACCAAAACTAATATCATCGAAAGGTTCATCAAATCCCATTAATGAAATAACATCTTCCTGACATAATGGAGGTAAATCACCACATCCCATTGAAGTAAATAAATAATTCCAAACAGATGTCAAAGTTGTAAGAGAACATGAGCAAGTATATTGAGGTCTTGACTGTTGAAAGATGTTATTCAATAAATTCCATAGATAATTACACACTTACTAAACACAAATATTGAAGAGAATTGAAATATCTTCTTTCCGATAACCTTTCGACTAGTTTCTTTCCCTGGTCCAATGATAATTTATTATAGGATAACATTTTAATTTTCACACTAGATAAAACTTCATCTATAGACCTATTCTTTGGGAGATCCACTATTCTACTTGGTGGTTTAATAAGAAAGAGTCTATCTTCTCCCTCATACTCAAAATTTCTATTCGATTTCTCCACTAATTGTTCTCTCTTTAAATAGTAGAAAGCAAACAACAAGAAAGAGAGAGGCAACAACACCATCCACACTAAATCGTACCACAACAACATGATTTTTATCAGACCAATTCACAGAACAGAGGTATTTCATCTGTGTTAACATGAAATAGTTTATCCGCCCAAGGAAGGAACTGATGCACTCAATCACTTTCCATTTCAACTCGGTAAATCTTAATAGTAAACTCAACTCCATAAATTGTGTCGTTGTTCCAGAAACGATTAAGAGGTCAATGATGATGATGATTAGATTTCACAACAATCTTTCACACTCTCGTTTAAAAATGTCACGGGCAACTGGTGTACAATCATCATCAGATTCGTCTTCATCATCAGCTTCATCCTCCTCTTCAGCAGTAGCTGTTGGTGACAAACCACTTCAACGAAATAATCAAACTTTATTCGAATTTCTCAAAACACCTCAAGTTAAAGTAATTTACAATTTTGGTGTGAAGGGAATTGGAAAAACACATTTTTTCAGAGAAGGAGTTGAACTGTACAACAAAACACAATCTCCATGGGTTCCTGTTCGATATTTGCGAATTGAACTTTCTGATTATGAAAAAAATCTTATTCCAATCGAAAATTCAAACAAACGATTATTTATTGAAAGAATTTTAATTAGTAAGCTCTCTGATGATGCAAGAAACCTTCCTGAAAATTATGATTCGTTATCAGATCAGCGCCGAGTATACGCTCTCTTACAATTATTCGATTCTTCAAGTATCATTCTTATTCATTTTGATGATGTCCAAGCGTTTTACAAGCAGGGAGGAAATTCTCTATTGCAGGAATCTATTGCATTGTTATTGACTCTTCCCATTCAAAAAATTAGAATTGCACTTTCGTCCAGAGATCAAACTATTGTTGGTGAATGTATTCCATCAAGTGTTATAAGAAATAATACAGAAAAAAGCACGTTACCACCACCTCATCACAAGCCACTACTGATGAAACTGATAAGGTAGCCGTTATTATAAAAAAACAAAAGTTTAATGCGAAACAATCAATAGCCACATTAACAGAAGGTCAAACAGAAGATGATGTTGATGGTGATGAAGATAATGTTGATGAGGATGAATATGATGTATTGATGAGAACAGATGAAGGTCAACCAGAAGAAGTTGATGTCAAGCAGACAATAATCATTCACAAATATTGGAACACTACTGATATTAAGGAGTTTTTACAAAAATTATTGGGATTTAATAGTGACAATACTTCAAGGGAAGACAAATGTGTTTATAGTGTATTTTGGATTGCTTTAAACTTATTGAAAGGACATCCTGGATTGTGTTGGGAGTTTGTAAAGTGTTGGACAGATGGAAATCTAAACTCAATTTCATTCACTAAAATTATGGAAGAATACAGAAAGGGACAAGTTGATTCCTCAGAAATTGAAGTAGAGAAATTCAAGAAATTTCTCAAAAGAAGGTGTTGGATTTATTTCCATCAAATTGCTGCTCGTTATAGTTCTCCAATTGTGGAAAAGTTTAGTTCAGGAATGGATGCGATGAAAAAGTTCTTGTTGATGAATATCCTGCATGATGCACTGTTTGCAAACGGTGAGAAAGATAGCAAACAATCCAAAGACTCCAATCAAACTAGTTCTGACACAACAACAGATGTCAAAAGAAAGTTGACTTCGAGTAAGGACGAAACAGCCACCCAAAAGAAAAAGAAATATGATCCCAACAAGTCAATTTATGAAAATTATCGAACCAGTAAGAGAGCTATTAAGATGGGAAAGAAAGGACAATTATATGAAAGTGGAGGAGTTGCAGTGTTGACAATTATTGAGCTCATTAGTCTCTTTCCTTTTTTGCCTATCGATATTGCAATTCTGGCACCAGAATACAGCCCAAATGCAAATGAAATAACGGATGTCAGTGTGAGATTTTTGAAACATTATTGGCCACATATTCAAAAGGACGAAAATGCAAATACAATCTCCTTAACGATAGATGGAATTCGAAATAGCATTCCAACAAATTTCTCAGTTATGAACTCTCTATCAAAACTTGATGTTTATGGAATGTTGGTACAACCAGATGAATACATGCTCTATGTGAATGCTGAAAAAGCATCAGGAGCAGATTCTTTTTGTAAAATAGGAAACTCACTACATTTGATTCAATCTAAAAGATTCACAAGTGCTTCAAATGCTGCTGTTAGCTTGGAAGATGAGGTTTTCAAGACGTTATTTGACTATGTTTTTCAAGTAGTCTCATTTAAAAACTTAAAGAAAAAGGAGGAAACACAAAAACAACAAGCTGTAGATGAACTGTTTATAGGAAGAAAATCTAAAAGATTGACAACAAACGCAAAGGAACCACCAAAACCTCTCTTGGAAAAAGTAAAGTTCACAACCAAGGGAAGTGAAATTTACTCAGTTTTTCACACAAACACAAACAACTTTCATATAGTAAGACTGCAAGGTTCTTCCAGTGGAAGTAAGGGTGAAGAAATTAAAGAAGGCAAAAAAAATGGAGCTTATGAAGAAATAACACCACTCGAAGCTAACATTTTATTTGAATTGATTGGAGATTTTGATAATGATTTTACTGAATCGATTTTAAAATTGAAGAAAATCTTTCCATCTATCAAGATTGAGGTTCATGGAAAGAGTAAGAGTACAGAAGTTTATGGGCCATTATTAAGCCTGTTGAGAGAATTGAGTAGTGCTTGGGAATCACCTAGAGATGAAGAAGAAAGAAGAATGATACTAATCCTAAACTTGAAACTGTAGAAAGTAATGAGATGATCGATGAGTATGTTAATAACACACCAATTCCAAAAGCTAGCAGCAGTGAGGTGGTCGCTCAAATGGAGGATGAAGAAGGAGATTCAGATTATTATAGTTCTGCTTCTGATGACAATTTCGAAACTGACAAATATTATCAAAAATCTCATGGCAAAAAGACGAAACCTTCAAGTGTTGGTTCATTCTTGTGGTACTTGTTAATTTTTGCTATAGTTTTCTGCTTGATTTTTGCTGCTCTTGTTTTGTAAATTAAGGAATGACAACGAGTGTTGAAAAGCTTAATGGAAAAATAAATTCACACCATTTCAATGTGTCTGGTTGAAAATTGTAGTGTTGATAAGATGAACCTGTTTATCAAATTTCAGGTCTATCGAAAGTGGAAACCTCTCAACAGTTTGATTGGCGATTAGTAAAGATGATGACACTTTAAAAAAAATGGCACCACCAACGTTAACCTACATTGAGAATGCTACTCAATCTACACTTCTAGCCAAATCCATCGCCAATAAGAAACGTATATTTGTTTGTTGTGGTGTGAAGGGAATTGGAAAGAGTCGTTTCTTTCAGGAATATCATACATCAAATAGTGATAAACTTTCCATTGTTAACATATCATTTGATAGAGTTTCTTTGTTAGACTTGGCTTCTGTGAGAAATGAAGAGGAATTAGTATTTAAATTATTGAAGAGTCAACCATCGGTGAATTTAGATGATAAAAATCTCTTGACACTTTTGACAAATTTAAAAGGAACAGCCAATGATCTACTCTTACAATTTGATGATTTGGATAGAATTGTTGAACGTTTTGGACAAGAAACTATCCGAAAGATGCTCCAATTCTTGTGTGAACAAACATTTGTTCTGATTGCAATTACTAGTCAATCAGCAGTTATGTTTGAATATTTGAATCCAGATATAACAGAATGGATCAGGCTTGCTTATTGGAATGATGATCAAATTAATATCTTTTTACAAAACATGGCCTTTCCATCAAATTCAATACTGACCTACCTATTCAAACTTTGTTTCAATTTACTAAGAGGACATCCTGGTTTGTGTACAGAGTTTGTTAAAAGCTGGAGTTGGGGGAAATCCACTGGCATTTCTGACACCAAAACAGTATTCGAGCATGTTGAAACAATTTATAATGGTTGGACGTTACCAAAAAGAATTTATAGCAGGGCATCAGACAGAGTTAAGAAAATGACTGAGACTGAGGATCGTTTTGATTTTGCGAAAGGCAAATGTTGGAAATATTTATGTAAAATTGCAGCAAAATACGAAACTGGTTTCACAACATTCTGTTTAAATTGGAAAAATTTGAACCCTGAAAAGCCTTTATTTTTGATGAATCTGCTGTATGAAGCAATTTACAGTGACTATCTATCAAATAATTTGCGAATTGAGTCCATTGATAAGGAGAGAATGAATAGAAATGGTTGGATTCATTTAAATGAAAAGGGAACACCTCTCATTACTATTACAGAGCTCATTCGTTGTCTTCCAGTCCTACCAATTGATCTTGCAATATTATCTCCAGAATATAGCCCAGACGCCAATGAAATATGCGATGTAGGTTTGAGATTTTTGAAAGAGTATTGGCCATATGTTACCAAACATATCAACAATAGTTCTTTGATAATGAGGAAAGATGGTGTTGACTATTATTGTCCAAAGAATTTCAAAGTTCTTGAAGGAAATGCTTTTGGTTCTGTTCATGATGTCATTCAGAGCACTCCAAAAGAGTTTACAATGAGAAAGAATGCTCCTCAGACACCAAGTGCTGATTCATGCATCATATTTGTGGGTAATGACAAACATTTAGTTCACTTTATTCAATCTAAAAGAGGAACAACTGACGATTTACATGTTAATGAAAGCAACGAAGTAATGAAGGTTCTATTTGATTACAAATTCAAAAAACGTACAGACAAAGCTCAAATAACAACAACTGGTGTCTTCTCATATCAGCCCACCAGTAACTCACCCAATTTCACAGTGAAATATTCAACAGAAAAACAAGTTGATTCAATTTTGCGAGATGAAAACACATATCAAGTGGTTCCCGCTCAGCATGTCGTTAGGTTTGATCTTATTGGAGATTTTGACACTCCCAAAAATCAACTACCTAACGATTTCAAAGACAAATATCTGAAAGATGTTAGTGTGAACACTTATGGTAGAGAGCGGCAGGAAGAGGTTTATGGTATGATATTGGGAAAGGTTAGAGAATTGAGAAGTAAATGGAAGCAAGTTGTTAGCACGAGCAAAGGTGAAGGAGAAGGAAATGATGAATCTATTGATGAGCTTTATGGATTTTCTGATGATGATTTAATGAGAGAATATACCAAAGTACAAACTAAAACAAAGAGAAATGATTCCAATGTAACACTGATCGTGGGATCACTCATAGTTTTTGCACTTTGTTTCGTCCTAATTGGATGTACCTTCATTCTATTGTAAACCAAATCTAATTCAAGATAATCTACCACTCCAAAAAACAATTAAGAAAAGACCCACCTAAATATTAAAGTTGATAGTTAGACATTACATCAGCCAAATATTGTCCTATTTCATCAAAAGATGGTCTTTTTTCAGGATCAACATCCCAACACATTTTCATCAACATGATATAATCATCCACAAGTTTACACAAATCATTGATTGTTTTCATATCACTCTTCTTTTCATGGTCATAATCGTCACTCATAAACTCTGATATCCACTGTCTTTGTTCAATCATATTAGAGAAGGGTATTTTAGGTCTAACTCCATTCAATACTCGAACAGGTACGCTAAAACTATTCAATTCCATTGATTGTTCTGACGAGCTTGATGAAGATGATGAATTGGAGGAGAACCGATGAATTTTCTTTGAATTTTGATTAAGGAATGGATTTTCCTCAAAGAAGAGTTCATACATGATAATTCCAAAACTGTACACATCAAGTTTGTTTGTAATATTTTGATAGCCATCTCCAATTAATTCCTTAATATTTAAATCGCATCCATATCGACAAAAAACTTACAGGCTATCCATAATTAGCAAATAGTAATATAGTAACACTTACTGCCATATAAAAAATACTTCCTAAATTAGTAGTCATTGTTGTTGAATTATTATTTCCAATCAATTTTGATAATCCAAAATCACACACTTTTGGTTGCATGTAATTATCAAGTAGAATATTTGCCGTCTTGAGATCTCTATGAATAATAGATGAAGGTTTCAAATTGTGTAAATAACTCATTCCATTCGAAACACCAAACAATATTCTAATCTTTTCTCTCAATAACATTTTCCTTCTTTTTAAACGAAGTTCTGAAACAATTCTATCCAATGACCCACCTTCCAAATATTCCATAATCATTAACTTTTTAGTTTGAGTAAGACAAACTCCAAAAAAGTGAATAACATTTGGATGTTTTAAACTATTTAACAATAAAACTTCCTTTTCAAATGCATCTTCCATATCATCTCCGTTGAATTGTTCTATTTGTTCTTCATCTTCATAATTACTGACACATTTCACTGCAACTTGAACATGTTTCCATTTTGCAAGGTAAACTTGGCCAAACCCTCCTTCTCCAATCTTTTTTATCAACTCCAATTCTTCAATGGGAATTAGATAGGATATGGGTTGAGGGTTTTTATCATTCAATTCCAATTCAATTTCTAAGAGTTTTTGTTCCATTTCTTTTTCATTTTTCAATCTTTTGCTCCAATATCTACTTCTGTAATAGTAAATTCCTATACATATTAGAATTACTAAAATGGAAATGAGTAACAATATTGAAATAGGCACTACAATCGCTATTATCTTATCTGATTGTGGAGTATTTGGAATAATACTACTACTTGTATTTCTGTAGGTTGAAAAACCTTTTTGAATTGATATTGTTGTCAAGCCCACAGATGATAGATATTGACAAGTTACATTTAATGTAATAGTTCTATTCATGATTTGTGTAATATTAAATATCGTTTCAATTCCATCAGTGTTCCAAGTATCCTTACTATAATCATATGATACACAAAAAACTTTCAATAATGAAATGTTATCCTCTTCGAGAGTTAGTGTCACATTATTGAATTTGATTTGAACTGTGGAATATTTAGAACTTGTAGTAGGTATTATCTCACCAGTCTCATACATGAATGCCAAAGATACACTATCTGATACGTTCAAATATGATTTGGTAGTATATGAAATCAAATTAACTTTGTAAGGAGTAATTAGATTATATTGAACATCGTTTAAAACTTTGAAATCTATTTGAATATCCTCTTGATTAGAATGGAAATTGAATTGTTTTCCATTTAATAAATGTAATGCAGTATCAATTTCTTCATAAAATCCCTTCGCTCCAAATGAATTGAAAATTCTAGAAATTGTTTGATTTTGTAAACCCAGCCCACTACTGAAATAGGACCTGCGTATAATATTAACAACATTCGGAAGCATTTCTGTTGACTTCATTCCACCTCCTTTAACCAATAACGTCTTAAACAATGTTTCCAATTCTTGAGCATGAGTAAAATCTAATAAATGATTCATAATATAAGGAGAATAATATTGAAAACTATTTTTGTAACCACTTATTATCCACTTAATATTTTGTAATAATACAGTTTCACTAATAGATTGTAATGATATGTGTTGAATAATTGTTGTAACTTTGGAAAGGAGTGGAAGAATGATTTGAATTAGCTTGTCATCAACATTTAATGCAATTTGTTGAATTTTATCCAAGTTTGTTATTAATAATGTTAAACTTTTTACAAGTATATTCTTATCAACAGAATTTAATTCTGTAAAATCATCATTCTTATCAATTAGAGAAAGAAGACAAGATAGTTTAATGATAGTATCTATGGAAATAGGTTCTTCAATTATAATATTAAAATTTAAAAAAATAAAATTAATTCTAGATTGTAGTGAAAGATCAGAAATAGGATTATTAACCTTCACCTTTCTAAATATTCTTGAAAATGAACCATTCATATTGATAAGTTTAATACCAATATTCAAATAACCAGATTTGGTAAATGGTAATTTTGTAATAAAAGTTCTTTTTTGAGTATTTGACAAGATCATCAATCTTGTATCATTATCCCAAACATCAATCCAATAACTAGATACACTCTCCGCAATAGTATTCACACAATTAACGACAAACGTACTGGTAAATGCCTTATTTTCTCCAATTGGATCATAAATATCACACCAAAATCTAGGAGACATATCAATACGTGTTGAAATGTTAGAGATAGCATATTGACCATTTTCATTCCATGCCACTATTTGAAATTGATATCTTTCACCCTCAATCAAATATTTTTTTTCAATATTTAACATATATTGTTGCGTATTTACAAAATGTGGGATTGGATTAAATGATTGTTCTAGAATTTCATTATAATTGTTAGTTAGTGATTGCTTGCTATCAAATTTTCCCTCTAGTAACTTCCATTGAATTTTCTTGATTGGAATGTCGCTCTTTATAGACATTTCAATATATATATTCGATCCAAAGGGATAAATTGCTGGAACGTGCTTAATGTTAATAGATGGAATATTTTCAAAATTTACAATATCAATTTTACCATAAAAAGTATAAACATTGGACTTCGTAGTTACGTTTAACGAAATATCATATAATCCAACAGGTAGCGGTGCAATATAGAGCTGACTTCCAAAAATTGAATCATATTGTTTAGTAATTGAATTTTGATATGACCATCTTTGTTTAAAACTATTAATATCTGAGTAGGTAAACACAAAGGGATCAATAATAGAAGTAGATAAAACAATAGCCTCATTTCTAGAATATGTCTTGTTAATTCCAACAAGATAAATATCCAACATGTCAAATGATGAATATGTCAAATCAACTTGATAATAAGAAGAAGAGTATGAATTTAAATTCAATCCTACTACTTGCATTGTTCCTTTGTAATTTTCTTTCAATAAATCATTTTCAACTTTGTTTGTAATTCTAAATATTTGTCTATTTTGAAATTCTTTACTTTTTACAATTAAAAATCCATTAAAAGAATAAGTGAGTGATGTTTTCATTCCAATTAATGTTGATTCAACTATACAATTATGTCCTATACAATCTTGGTAATAAGATTGTGAACTAATTTCATTCCAAATATTAAATTGTGATGGAATATCCTTTGATTTCTCAAATGCAAATGTTCTTTCACTTGTTGATTGAATTGATAAATCATTGATTGTCAATGTTGATATGGTTAGTGATTGAAGATCCGAAATATTAATTGATGGAATGATAACGATCGGTTTGTTATCGTTTCTATCTAGTAATTCTTGAATTGGATGAATTGTATTACGAATAACTGTAGAAAATTTCCAATTCTGGGAAACTGATTTAAAATTATTATAGTGTTGATCATGTTGAGATCTAATTAATAAATCCTTGTTAGTTGGAAATACATCAAGTGGAAATCCTATTACAACACCATTTTCATTACTTTTTCTAATTTGATCTGAAATAGATGCATTAACATGTATGGTCAATAGATTATTCATGATATTTAAAACTGAACCATGTGTTATATTATGATTATAGCCTAAATATATTCTAAATCCACTTAATTCCCTCCAATAACATTTAAGGGAATCTTTCTCCCCCAATTTTAATATATCCGATTCTGATACTATCTCTCCACACTCCAATAAGTCACTTGTTAACTTTCTCATTAACAGATGATGAGATGAATGAATGGAAACAGTTTCAAAATCCATAAAAACTTCATAATGTCTACAATCTCTGCCACCGTAGCCATCCAAACACTCACAATTATCAGGTGCTATACAACTTCCTCTAGAAGAACATGTTTCGTTTCCATAAATACCAAAGCAAACAGTATGCTGACAATAGTCGCCAACATACCCATTCATACATGAGCATTCATCCTTTCCTATACATTTACCATTTCCAGAACATACTTTGGAATTATTACTTTCAATTCCATAACAAGTTGTTAATTCACATTCATTACCAAAATAATTATTCTGACAAGTACAATTATTTGGTGAAGAACAGTTTCCTCTACCATTACTGCACACAGATTGATTATTATAATTAATTCCATAACATTTAAAGAATTCACATTCATTACCAAAAAAGTCCATATCACATTCACATAAATCCACATATGAACATTTTCCATGTCCACTACATGCCACATTAGTGGTTGCTAAAATACCAAAACAAGTTGGTTGGATACATGTTTCTGTGCTCCATCCATAATTACATTTACAAGTTTGGGATGAAAGACATGAACCATGATTATTACAGGTAAATAATAAGCTATCACATGTTTTGATTAGTATTCTAACAACAGAATTCGGTGCATCTACAATGTATACATTTCCTTCCATGTCTGTTGTTATTCCAAATAAGGAAGAAAAGGATGATTGCTTACTTGGAAGACCATCACCACTATTTCCATTAACATTATATCCTGCAATGGTCGATATAATTCTAGTTGTTCTATTCACATATCTTACTACAAAATTAGCAGTGTCAGCAATTAAAAGATTATTTGACAAGTTGTCAATAGTTACAAAATTAGGATAATTCAATTTAGCTTGACTTGCCAATACACCATCCCCGCTATATGCTGGAGAGCCATCACCTGCATATGTTGAAATAATACCTGTTGATTTATCAACAAATCGAATAACACTTGCAGAACTCTCAGCAATATAAACATTGAAAAATGAGTCGACCGCAACACCAAACGGATTGTAAAGTGTTGTACTATTTGCTAATCCACCATTTCCTAATAATTTAGTTCCACAAATTGATCCCTTACCAGCAATGGTTGAAATGAGCCCATTAGTTCTATTGACCATTCTAATGGCACAATTTGAAGTATCTTGCATTATTGTAAGTATTAAATTGTCAATAAACTACACTACCTGCAATATAAATGTTTCCCTTCCAATCAAGTCTAATTCCTCTAGGAGTGTTTAATAGTGCTTGTGTGGCAATATTTCCATCACCACCAAATCCAGGACTACGCATTGTTCCAGCAACAGTTGAAATGATACGTGTTGTCATGTTAATGTGACGAATAACATGGTTTCCACTGTCAGAAATGAACAAATTTTGACCAGTCGAATCAATTGCTAGAGAGAATGGTAAATGTAATTGTGCATTAATAGCCAATCCACCATCTCCAACACTTCCAGCAATGCCATTTCCAACCAATGTTGAAATAATACCTGTTGTCTTGTTTATGAATCTAATCTTGTGTGCCTTCTCTTCAGCTATGTACATGTTACCATACATGTCAAGAGCAACATCTCTTGGACTGTTTAAACTCGCTTGTGTTCCAAGAAAACCATCTCCCAAACTTTGGGAAATTCCATTACCTGCCACTGTTTGTGTGACATATTGTGCATGTGATGTGAAAATGGTTGAGAGAAGAATAATTATGAGGACACACCACTTTAACATGCTGATGTTATATTGAATAGTCAGTTAATTGATGTGTTTGTCGATTAGAAAGGTGCTTCTATTTTTTTGTTTGTGGATAATGTAATTATTTTACAATACTGTGGCCAACTTCTCTTTAGGTGCAGGGAAAGGAGATGTCATGACTGAATAGATTTGGACATGTTCGAACAGTTATCATTATGGTATGAACGAAATCTCGTCAACATCATCCGAGTGATGTATCAATTAAATTTTCTAATGCTTGAATAATATTTCTTATAATGCAACAATATATATGTGTAGGCATGCATGTAAATTTCTCATCCTTTCTTGACAAAATAATTCAAATCACCCTCATGATTATTTGAGAGCAAAAAAGCCAATCCCGATTTGCAAATCATTTTTTTTATATTAATTTTATTAATAATTTACGATTCGAGTTTTCAATTCTTCGATACAAACATGTTCACGTAAGGTTTTAATAATGAAGAGGTTGACAATGTTAAATTTTACTCATTTCAGATTTAATATTTGTGGAAAGAGTTTTACTTTTTGAGAATCAAATAGTTAGAGTTCAAAAATAACCTATTCCAGTTTGAGAACATGAAGAATCCAGTCAACTTTCGTATTAGTTCTTGGACAAATGCGTTGCAACTATTGAAATCGTGCAAGAAAGATTGGAAATTTTAAAGAATAAAGATATTCCACCAGTTGAAAACCAACTCAAAATTATGAACTTCTTTACTGTTGTTCAAGAGATTTGATTTTCCATTGTCCATTTATATCCTATTCGAAACAGGTATAGCACCAGATAGGAAAATCTTTCAATTCTACTCATCCACTTTCATACCACATTAAAAAAGAATACTTTCACAATCATATCAGGAAAACTATAAATTGACAAAGCAAAAAAGAGAATCTTAAAACATTAACAAAAAAAATGAAAAGATTCGTCTCAATTCTATTGATTGCCTTGACATTGCTTGTGTTTGCACTCTCATTCACTAGTGAAGTAAGTGCTGAAGAACAAGCATCAACTCTCTCCTTGTACATTAGAAAGAACAATAAGGGAAAGTACAGAGTTAAGAGAAGAAACAGACAGAATAGAAAGGTTCACAAATATTTGGACACCTACGGAAAGAGAAAGGGCTGGAAGAGAAGATATGGAAAGAAGAGAGTTATCAGAAAGAAGATTGATGTCTATGGAAAGAAGAAGAGAAATTACAATAGAAAGAGAAGATTTGATACTTATGGAAAGAAGAATAGAAAATATAGAAAGAATAGAAAGAATAGAAGAGGTGGAAAGAGAAACAAGAAATTCGATCTCTACAAGCGTAAATAACTGAATATTCAATTTTGAATCAAAAATTTTGTATCAATCATAAATAATTTGTGAGCTCTGTTGAATATTTTCTTAAATGATTGAAAAATCTGCAAACCTATCCAATATTCTGAAACGACATTGTGTTTCTATTCCATCTAGGATTCAACTCTCAAGAATTCTCACTCTATGATCTTAAAAGTTCAACTTTCGAATAGGAAATCACCTTAAAGAGTTCTAGAATGCACATCCGTAACAACAACAATGAGAAGAAAAACCTTTACTAATCATCATTGATTGAGAATGGGTATTCAGTAGTTTGGCACAGCAAAGCCCACACATATTTCCTTTCGCTGTTCCCAATTTGGTGGCCAGTAACATAACATACGAACTTACCAACAATGAAAGGTTAATATCTAGTCCACAGCTAATCCTAAATAAGCAAGAGAATGATTCAACGAATGCATCGTTTCTAAATTATTCAACACTCTGTTGAATCTTCCTCTAACTCGAACTCTTTTTCCAATCATTAATTAGAAATTGCTTGAATTTCGTCAAGGAATGGAATAGTGAACAAAGGATGAAATGCAGTACAAGATGATAGTTTTCCAGAGAGTTGGATTTCAATTCCTTTTGTTTTTCGGTGGTTTGATAAAATGGGAATTGGAAGTACAGTATGGATGCCATAACCGTTAATTCGTAGCCATATTTGTGATTTCTGAAACAATATCTTCCAAAGATGATCGTTGGAGTGCAAACAATTGTTTTTTTAACCTGTTAGAAATACTTGGTAGAGAGTATTGTTGTGCCAACTCCTGTTCTTGTAAACTCCACAACGTTAATGCACTAACACTGAAAGTTAAGTTTCAAAAAAATGAGTAAGATATTTAAGCTCGCTATTGTGTGTGCAACATTATTGGTGATTAGTTTCGTTTTCTTTTTTCTATTGAGAACTAACAAGTCAGCTATTGATTCAGATGTTGTTCTGGTCAGACCACATTCCAATGAAAACCATGAAAGTGTTCTCATTCCTCACAAGAAGAACATGCCAAGAGTAGTCATAGTTTTGGGAACAAGACCAGAAGCTATCAAATGTGCTCCACTAATTTCACATCTCAAGTCAAACCATCACTCTGAATTGGAGGTGATTGTGTTGAGTACTGGTCAACATAGTGAGATTTTAAAGCAAACTCTTGGTGTATTTCATCAACATGTGGACATTGACTTGAAGTTAATGACTCCCAATCAAAGCATCTCCTCTTTCTTCACACTTGCCTTCCAAAAGATTAGTTTAGAATTTGAAAAGCAAGGGCCAATCTCCATGGTGTTGGTTCAAGGCGACACAACTACATCTCTTGTTGCTGCCCTTGCAGCCAGTTATTTAAAGATACCAGTTGGACATGTAGAAGCTGGATTGAGATCTTATGATTTCAATAGTCCATTCCCAGAGGAGTTGAATCGTAAAGTGATTGACTCGTTTGCCAGTCTCTTGTTCGCTCCAACAGAATTTTCTAAAGCAGCTCTTGTTAGAGAAGGCATCTGTCCACAGCATGTGCATGTCACTGGTAACACTGGTATTGATTCGTTCTATTCCTTAAAGTCTCTCCCACCAAAAATAATTCCAGAGTTGCTTCAAAACATCAGAAGTTTTAAAACCAAGCATGTTGATGCGACTACATCTTCACATCGAACTGTAATTCTTGTTACCATGCACAGAAGAGAGAACATTCCACACTTTAAAGAGATGTGTAATGCCATCAAAACAATTTCCAACACATTTGGTAAGAACGTCATGGTCATTCTACCTGTTCATCCAAATCCAAATGCTAAGAGTGTAGTACATGAAGTGTTATCTTCTTTGGATAATGTCCAACTAGTTGATCCAATTGCCTATGACATCTTTCCACATGTCATTAGTGAAGCTGACATTGTGGTTACTGACTCTGGTGGCATTCAAGAGGAATCAGCAAGTATTGGAAAACCTGTTATACTCATGCGAGATACAACTGAGAGACCAGAGGGAATATACATTGGAACTATTAAAAAGATAGGTGTTAATTATCATCACATTGTGAAAGCCATGACCGACGCAATCAAGGATTCACAAAATTCGAAACTAATTCTTTCAAAACACATATTTGGAGATGGAAAAGCTAGCATGAGAATTTCAAAAATTGTTCGTGATTTTGTCACCTCCAAATTACCAGAATCTAGTGAATGTTCCACTCAATTCATTCAAGATTCAATTGCAGAAAGTGTTTACTCTCAAAATTTCTTACCATTCGAAAGTAGAAAGAAGGAATTATTGGAAAGATCAAAACCAAAAGATCCACTCACCATGCAAGAATTATTCGCATTACCTAGCGCATACACTCCAGCAACGAAGACCTCTGATGAATTTTCTGTCACTGTCGTTGTTGGTTTGTATAAGAGAACAGGTCTAGTGAAGAGATGGATGCAAGCTCTCCTCTCACAAACTCATCAACCTAAAGTAGTTTGGATGGTCTTTTTTGCATCGCCTAAAGCAGAGGAGATTGAAAATGAAATACAAGAGGCCAAGTTACTTGCCACATCCAATAATATTTCACTCTTTATCAATAAGGGAGAAATGCAGCTCAAATATTTTGGAAGATTTCAACTTGCGCTACAATCACCAACCAAGTATATTGCTGTTTTTGATGATGATTGCATTCCTGAGAAGAGATTTTTAGAGGCAGCCATTCACACTATCAATACCAATAATTACAGAGGAATTCTTGGAACGAAAGGAACTCCAACAGCTGAGGATTATTTTTATGGACCTGTCTCTGGTTCAGAACAGATCATTGAGGTGGATGTTGTCGGTGGAAGTTGGTTCATGGAGAGGGAGTGGGTTAAACTATTGTTCAGAGAAAAGATGTTCTCATGGGCCACTGGAGAGGACTGGCATCTATGTTCCAATGCAAGAAAGTACGCCAATATAAGATGTTTCGTCATGCCAGTTTCTCGAACACTAGAAACAAATTCATATTCAGGTGATTATATGCAAATTAGTAATAATGGAGATACAACTGGAAGAGTACAAGGCACCAGTGAAGCAAGATCTCTTATTATTCAAAAGGAAACTCAGAGAGGTAATAGATTAATGAACTCTTACCGAAATAATGATCTGAGAACTGCTTTCGTTTTCCTGAGTAATCAAAATGAAGGAAGAACTATTCTTAAAATGTTAAGTAGTTTAGAGTTACCATTCACTATTCAATATAGCCTGGGAGTTGCCGATCAATCCATTGCCCAAATAGATTCGGATGAATTATCCAAGATTACAAAATTCAAGTCGTTCAATGACTTCATGTTGAGCAGAGAGTTTGATACAGCTCAAACAAATCTGAGCTCTGCAGCTGAAACCATGTATCACTTTGACATGTCTATCCAACAACAACAAGCAACAGCTGTTATTCTAGTTGGAAGTTCGCCAACACCAAGCACATTAGCTGTTGCCACTGCATGTCAGATTAACAAGATTCCTGTCATTAACTTTGTACTAACTGAGAAATCAAACAAGTTGGTAGAATCAGTTTCAGTGTTGACTGTTCGTTCGACTCCAATAGACGGAAATTTGTTGGATGAAACCAAGAGAATACTAACAGAGACACTCACCAAAATTTTTACTTGAAATAAATCAAAGTGCATTATTGAAGTAAAAGCCAAGTTCCCAAATCCTTGTTTCAAATATTTTGTACGAAACGTATTTCTCAGTTTACAAAGAGAAATGGGATTATTAGAAAAATGATTTTCCTATTTTAAATATCAAGATAAGTTAACTGTTTCATTTCTCTTAAACGTTCAGTGAAATCCTCACTGATCTCATTATGATATACACTTAGATCTATCAAATTCTTCATTTCCAGAATAAATATGGCACCCTCATCGCTTATCTTATTTTCATTTAGGTCAAGTCTGGTTAATTGCTTCATTCTACTTAAGAATTGTACGCCTTTGTCACCAATTTCATTGTTTGGTATCTCAAGATTAGTTAATTGTTCCATTTCACTTAGATATTTAGCTCCTTCAACACCAATGGTATTGTTATAGACATCAAGACTTGTTAATTGCTTCATTTGACTGATATTTTGCACCCATCGAATCAATATTATTATCAATAATCCTTAGGTCAGTTAAATACTCCATGTTGCTGATATATTTTATGCCTATTGGTGTAATATTAATACTAGAAATATCAAGTATAGTCAATTGATTCATTTCACTAATAAATTGGGCTCCATTATCTCCAATTTCATTGCCAGAAATGTAAAGGTTAAGTAAATTTTTCAATTGACCAATAGATTTTGCTCCTTCAATTCCAATCTTATTTTCACGTATGCTAAGATCTGTTAATTGTTTCATTTGACCAATGTACTTGGCTCCCTCATCCCCAATATTATTTGTACTTATAGAAAGATGAGTTAATTGATTCAGTGATGAAATGTATTGTGTTCCTTCTACTCCAATGTTGCAACAATAAATTCTAAGATCCGTTAATTGTTTCATTTCACCAATAAACTTGGCTCCCTTCTCATTAATAGAATTGCCACCAATATCAAGTATGCTTACATTCATCAATTCACTGATATACTTGGCTCCCTCCTCACCAATATCATTGTATCCAACACTAAGATTAGATAATTGTTTCATTTCACTTATAAATCTAGCTCCACCATCACAAATATGGTTTCCAACAACATTAAGGTAAGTCAACTGTTTCATTTCACTAATGTGCTTTGCTCCATCTTTTTTAATATCATTTGAACGGATATTAAGATAAGTTAATTGTTCAAGACCACTAATATACTTGGCTCCTTCAGGGCCAATATCATTGGAGCCAATAGAAAGTTTAGTCAATTGCTTCATTTCACCAATGTATTTGGCTCCTTCTGCACGAATATTATTACTAGTTATATTAAGATGAGTTAATGCTTTCAATAATATTAAATGACTCAAATTCAATCCAATGTAACAGCAAGATACATTGAGATCAGTCAATTGTTTCAGTGAACCTAAATACTTAATTCCATTTGGATCAATATTATTGTATTCTAAATTGAGTTTTTTCAATTCTTTCATCGAATCCAAAACCTGTAAATTAAATCCAATTTCTCCATTCATTCTCACTGCAAGATTTGCAATATTTTCCAAAAATTGACCAACCATTTCCCGATCATCACTATTACGTGATAGGGAGAGGTGTTTACAATTATATTTAACGACATTAAACCACTGTTTAGAAACTAATGCACAACTGGTTACAACAAATGTAAAATCATTGTGAAAAGATAAAATTTCAAAAAGAGAATCATCAGAGAATAGGAAATTTTCAGTGCCCTTTGATGTGATGGAATGGTTTGGTTGTGTGATCATTTTTTAAAGATTTTTAAATGTCAGTTCTGGGATTGAAACATGAATAATTATTGTTAACAAAAAAAATAATTTAGACAATTGCTTGGTGAGAGTTATTGCCATAATTATAATACCAATAATGCTAATAAGACTTCCAAAACCAGCTGGAGGCGAACAGTTGTTGTTGAGATTGGTATTGGTTAGTCGTTTTCTTTTTTAGTATTCATTGTTGTCTCTATGTTGGAGATTTTGACTTGTTCAGAGGTAATGTTTTTTTTAATTAAATCTTCGCTTAATAATTAGACGGGAAGCCTCGACTATCCCGCTACAGTCTTTGACTGTATGAACAGTGAAGGCAACGAATCTATTGATTGTTGGTTCAGTAATTAAATTGTATCCACAACAGCGAAATAATAAAATTGAATAAAAAAGACTACAGCACCACAGGTTCCCAAGTTGTCTCCAACCTCAGTACTGATGTGTCTCGACGATGCTTAACTTCTCAAATCGGACGGGATGAGGTGCATTCATCGTGATATGGCCGTAGCCAAACATTATTTTAAATTGTGAAATATGAATCAGTTCAACCCTTGTTTAGTAAATCAATTCTATAAAATATTCTGATAAACCAAAGATGATAAAGCTGAGATTATGCCAACACAATTCGAAATATTGATAATTTGAGTCAAAATCACAACCTCTTTAATTTTTCATTTGATTAACTCATCCCGAATGAGTTGCTGTGGTACCATAAATTGGTGCAAAATGACATTATTTTTAATGGAGTTTGCTCTATTGATTTTCAATTTTGCTGACCACTTTTGGTCGTTTTTAAATTTTCATCGCTGTACAGATTAGGTGGCAAGGCTTAAATTTTAAAATTGACCAAAATTTGGTACCTAATTTTCAAAATTAAATTATTGGACCAAAGTTTTTTAATAAATTAATAAGTTTATTATTTCACAATGTCCTGACTTAGAGAAATTTCTCCAAGTCAAGATTACATTCAAGATTTCAACAAAGGAGCATGATAACTCTGCATTTAAATAAATTCAAGATGATAGGTATTACAATTATAGTACATCAACAAGTATCAGATTTCAACTATCTATTAAAGTAACTTACTAGAAGAAAATCATCTCAATAGCATTGCATGACATTTAAGTAAGGGTCTAACAATAAGCTTTTCATTGATATCCTTGACAAGCACAGCAGGACCAAGCACTTCATTAGGAGAAATGGAGTGGCTGTCATTGGCCAACACTATTCCTACATGAATAAATATTTTACGTGACCAGTTTGTTTACATATGAATCAAATACATTAAACTTACCTGAAATATGAATGAATTAATATCAATGAATACCAACTAATGAATTCCGTTATGTCAATTCTTGATGAATAAATTATAATGAATAGAAAACATACCTATTGTTTGCGAGTTGAACAATGTTATTGGAGTGGAGAGTTTTCTCCATAACAAGAGCCATCCAACATGGTGTGAACGATCTTACCCTTTGAGTGTAAACACTGATACAGTTGAATGATACATTAAAGATATACGTACATGCTTGTTGATTAGGTCCAGCACTTGCATTTGGTCCGTCTCCTTCATGTAATGAACAGGCTTGTTTAGACTTTCATCATTATCATGCTGATATGAAAATTAGGAATGGATCCAAAAGCTCGATCAAAACCTCCGTTATCATCAAACAACTCACCGAGTAATGTCGAATTACTTCCTCTTCTTGCTGATCCATTATGAATTGCTCCTCATCATCTGATTCCGAGGATCAGAATCAAGCTCTCTCAATCAAATCATCCTCCATTTTCAAACGTATGGAGCGTTCCTTTGTGTTGGTGTTTTCCCCATTTTTTTAGGCTTTGAAATAAGGCGCTAAGATCCACTCACTCATACTGATGATCGCAATGAGGTAGATGAAGATGGATCGAATAAGAAGCTTATTGATGAATCATCACCTTATGATGATAATAGCAGTCGGGTTGACAGCTGTTTATGTGTAAATAACATCTGATTTCATAGCTTGATAACCATTAAGAACAGTATGGTCCCATTCTTTCTCTGAATTTAAAATTAAAAATCGATCAAAGTTGGTGGCCAGAATGAAAAATTTACACCAAAACGACCAAAACACGGACCAAACAAGTTATTCGGGATGATAATAATTAATAATAAATTAAAAAAATGGGAAACACTGCAATTAATAGAGGTTGGTTGTCTTCATCGATTTATAATGTGGTGACATGAAAAATACTGTCGGAATGTGGAATATAGATAAATCAAGTGACGATCCTTGTCATACTTTGGCATGTAAAATTCAAGGATGTTTAGCAAAGAATAATTTCAATCAAAATCAATGTGAGGATGAAATGAGGAACTACAATGAGTGTGTGAAAAAGTTTGCTGAAAAGGAAAAACAAAAACAATTAACATCAACATCAACAACGAAAAACTAGAGAAGAATAAAATTGTACATAGTATAAAACATAATTTTTATTTACAAGCCACAACAAACAATCCTCTTTGCAATAATAAATAGAACGGAAGCTAGCGCCATTCCCAAGCAAAGCTTGGCACCAATTGATGTCCTTTCATAAACAATTTCACAACAGTCAGCTGCTGTTCGGATTAGTCTGAAAAATACAGAGCTTATGAAATCAAAATATGTACTGCCGGACATCTCTGATGGATTGTTGATTTGTTTAACATCAACACCAACAATTGAATGAGTACTGGTTTGAATCAAATTAGAGGTCACACTATCATCATTACTTTCCATAACTTGTTTGTAGTGAAGACATTTAGAGCTGTGAATTAAATGACCACTGGCATTGGTGGCAGTAAGACTATCTGCCACATCTGAATATCCTGGAACAAATTTAAGAACCAATGATTTTAAATCCAATTCTAATTGTTTTCTGACTGGAAGCTCATACCAAATACATTCATGCCTATATCTTTCCTCGTATGTTTGCTTAGTAACCTTAATAAAAAGAATGGAAGTATCTAAATGGATATCTAAGGTTGTTTGTCGGCTCTCTTTAAAATCGTAAGCCATATCTAGGGTGAGGAGGATAGCGCAATAGAAGAACAATACAACCAATGTCTTGGCTGACATATTCAACCCATTTTTGGCAAATGTGAAAAGTGTCATCATTAGGAAAATGAAATGGAAAGAGTGATACCATAACAGGAGAGTATTTGCTTGGTATATTCCCACAATATTCCAAAGTCGTTGCTCCAAGTTTTCAGTCTCCAGTGGGTTGAAATCATGCATAGCTGGTAGTAAAAGTGTCGACAAGGATTTCTTCTTCTTGTCCTCAGATCTCAACTTCTTCATATATTTGACAATTTCTGCCTTTTGAGCTTCATAATGATTCAAATATTCCATTGATTGGTTTCGAATACTTCCAATTTGCTCTTGCAATTTTACTACTTCTTTCAATCTATATTCTGCCTTATCCTTCTTTGAGTTTGAATAATAGTAGAGACCATAATTGATACCAGCTACTGATAAACTGATAATACCACCAGCATGTGAAGCAAGAATTGCAGGTGCTGCTGGAGGGAACAATAAAGAAGCTCCAACACTTAATGCCAAACAAGAAGCTCCAACAAAAGTATTAGTAAGTGATTTCTCTTGTCTCTTCTTAAAGAATGCAGAGTCTTGCTGAACCTTACTCTTCAATTCTTCCATTTGTGCTTGCATTCCTTCAATGTCCTTTTGGAGAGTGGCTTGAATCTTGGTAAACTTTTTGGTCAATTTAATGAAATTCTTTTCAAAGCTTTCATCTAATTTAGTAGCCTCTCCCAACCTTGTAAATAACTTTGAAGGAGTCGATGATGAAGGAATAAACCTTTCCTGTGTAACAACAAGATTGGACATTTGTTCCAAAACATCAATGAGTTCGTTCAACCGATCATAAATTTCCCTCTGATCATGTTTAAAGTTATGTAAAGTTTCCCCAGCATGTTGAAAGATGTCTTCATAAATCCACAATTCATAAACAAGTTTGACAGTCTGAGCAGATGAAGTTGCAATAACAGCCCATTTGGTCACTGTAAACATGTTTTTCCACGAGAACAATAGATGAATCTTCTTCTCCAGAATACTCTTCACGAATTGTGCCTTTCCAACAAGAAACTCCTTGTTCTGAATAAAGGCAGCATCCGGACCAACACCACTATCACTTGCTAACTTGGAAGAAGTAGAAACAAAGGATTGAAGACCATCCCAAAGTCTTCCTGTCTGATCAGCAAAACGTTTGTTGTATCCATAGGCTAGAGTGGCCAATGTTGTTGCTACAACTGCTACATTTTCCTTCGAGAGTGTATGTTGTAAGTAGTCATATGATGTAGAAGTGGACATTGAATCCGAAGAAGATGGTGTAGTATTATCATTTAGATTGTTGTGGATAGGAATTGTTTGTTGTTGTTGTTGGGGTGTCATAGCATTGACTCTATACAAAATAATGAACATCAACAAGTATAGCAATGAAGATATGAGCCATCTTGTTGTGTGATGAGTTGAGGATGTTGATGATGAATTCATCAGTCCCTTCTTCTTGTTGGTTGTGTGGTAAACACCTGATCGTGATGAAGAGAAGATTTCATTCATTTTTTCATTAACGGCAGGAGCTAAAAATATTGAACAAGAAGAATTCCTGAGCAAGAAACAATGTGTGGTTCAATTACAAAGGAAACTTGAGAAAATTGTTATATCAAAACTCCTTTTATGATAAGAGACGTCTAACTTAACGTTTTCTTATTGAAGGTCCTCAATTTTAATTATCCAATTGTTTGAATATCAAATTAAAAGGCTTGTTCAATAAAAATTTCGAAAATTTGATTTTAAAAAAATAAGTGGAAGAAAATGTCTGACGATTATTTATCATCTCTCGGAACAAAGGACGAAGAGGAAGAAACAAACATTGAAGAGGATGTTGTTGAAGAAGAACAAGTAACACAAGATGACGATGATGGATTTAAACCAGCTGAAATGTTGGATGAAGAATTTGGAGGGGAAGATTCTGGTTTAACAGATGAGGAAAAAATTAGAATTATGAGAGAACAGATGGGAGATGAATATGTTATTGATGACAAAAAACAAGAAAAGAGAAGTCATTTCACACAGGAGGAAATTAGAAATTTGACAGATACCAAAAATTTGTTTCAGTCTCCACTCTTTCGTTTTTCTGTAAGTGTGATTCGGAATTAATTACTTATAGATTATAGTTTGCTGAAGTTTTGAAAAAGGCATCAGTTGATTGGAAGAAGTGCACTAAAATTGAAGATGGTTTAAGAGGTTTGAAGGAAATTTTCGATACAATTTCATCATATAAGGTTAAAAATCTTAGTGAAATTTATCCTTCAAAGTTTATCAAAATTTCAGATAAGGTCCAAAAGTTGCAATGTAACGCACCTCAAAATATTGCAATTGTTGGTTCTTATTTGTTGAGAACTATTGCTAAACCATATAAGAATATTGATATTTCTGTAGTCATGCCAAAGGTAAGGAGATAGTATTAGAATTTATCGTTATAACAGCCATTTAGAATTATATTTCATCAAAAGATTACGGAAAAACATACTTCGAGAAGAGAGCTTACTATCTCTGTGCTATTGCAGAAAATATTAAATCTAACGAATTATTTGAAAACTTGGAAATTGTACCATTCAGAGGAGATCTTTGGAAACCAATAATTTCTATCAACTTTAAAGTTGGAAAGAATGCTTTCAAGATTAGAATTATACCGTCAATAGAAAACACTATCTTTGGCAAACATTTGAAGCCAGAAGGAATTGTGGAATACCATAGAATTGCTGAGGATCAATATTATCAAAAACATTTGGAAATACTGCACAAGGAAATGAAGGATTGCCCAGTTTTGGTAGAGACAGCAATTTTATTGCGTGTTTGGGCAAGAAATAGAAATATTTATCAATCTGATGATAGTTTGAACGGATTTTTAATTTCAATGCTGGTAAATTATTTGCTCTCCATCAGAAAGATTAACAAGACAATGAGTTCCTTCCAAATGATCAAGTTATTTATGAATTGGATTGTTAAATCAGATGACTCTATTGCCAAGGGTTTGTCTCTTTCTGGTAAGCCAGTCGATCCTGTTTTTACAAAGGCCTTTGATTTGGTTTTGCTTGATGCTGATGGTGATTTCAATATTTTCAACAGAGTTACTAAGAATGCTTGGAGAGAAATTCAATCTGAAGCCAACAATACTCTCGCCTACATGAAAGACGAAAAGAGTACCCAAGGTGTTGAATTACTTTTCTTGACCAAGCACAACTTTTGGTACAAGTTTGATGCAATCTTGTCAGTCAAGATTCCAACTTCATTCAAGAATGACGGTGAAAAGTCAACATCTCAACTCATTTCAAGCACTCTCGTACAGGCTCTCGATGAAAGAGTTAAATATTTGAGAATTGTTGAAAGCAATGATGATACAGTTTTTGTTGGTCTTATTTTAAAGAAGAAATGGTTTGAACCAGTCACTGTTGGTCCTTCTCCACTCAACAAGGAAAAGACTGAAGAATTTAAAACCTTCTGGGGAAAAAAGACAACCACTAAGGACTTTAATGGTACTCTCCATGTTTGTACTGAATGGACCATCAAGGATACGGAATGTTCTGTCAAGCTTTTAGAAAGTGTTTGTAGTTACATTTTACAAAAACATCTCGATAAGAATATTGAATGTACAGTTTCTGCTTCAGATGTTTACTCCATTTTGAAGACCAATAAGAAGGAATCTGAGGAAATTAATGCAAAGGTAACTCATGCTTTTAGTAGACTCGAGGAAATTATAATGGAAACAGATATCAACTTGGTTGTTGAAAATATTTCTGTTATTTCACCAGAATATTACAATGTCTCTGTTTCTTCTCCAAGTGTTAGTTCTCCAATTTTGACAGTTTTGCAATTCAGAAGTAATGCTAGATGGCCAGATGATGTCGAAGCTTTGGACAGATTGAAACAATTAATTTATTTGAAATATAGTGAAACTTTGCAAATGAAGACAGTTCCAACAAGAAGATGGATTGATATTGTTTGTGAAGGATTCACTTTCCGTGTTGTTATCTTTGTCTCAAAGGAAATTAATATTATTAAGAGATCTGGTCAAGCTCTCAATCCAAATGTTCACGAATTGGAAAAGACTCTTACAGTTTTGCCATTGCACTACAAATACTCTGGTATCTTTAAGAGTAACCATAAGGAATATTCTGAAACAGTTAGACTTGCCAAATCATGGGTCAATACTCACTTTATGTCTGATTATCTTGAGGATGCAGTTGTTGAATTGATGTGTATGCACATTTTTACAGATCCAAATTCACCATATCGTGCACCAAAGACTGCCATTTGCGGATTCTTTAGATTTTTGAATTTGATTTGTACTCACTCCTGGTTTGATACTCCACTCTTTGTAAATACTTCAACAGAAGATGAAGAAAATGTACAAAAAGAATTTGCCAAGTGTTTGAATACCTATGAAGATTTAGATGAAAAGCCAAGCATGTACATTGTTGCCTCCTACAATATGGATTATGTTTGGACCAGAAAGAATCCACCAGCTATCATTGTTCACAGAATGATTCAATTCGCCATGAACACTGAAATTGAGCTTATTGAATATTTACAAACCTCAAACACTGAATTGCCATCACTGTTTGTATCCACTGACATGGATAGTTATGATTTAATCATTCACCTCAAACAAAATATTGATAGAAAATTACCAACAGGATTCAATCCTTATGATTTACTCTACAGTGACCTTAAACAAAGATTCTCTCGTTTTGGCCTCATCTTTAAGGATTGCAATAATACAATGATTACTATGGCCATTAATCCAGAAGTTCTCTCCGCCAAACAATCTTCAATCAGTAATACCTATTGTATGAAGCCAGCACCAAATGTTGCCAATAGTACAACTGGTACTGATAAGAAAAAGTCAGGATTAATGTTGGAATTGAACATTCCTCAACTCATGTTCGAGATAAAGACAATGGGAGAAGGTATTATTTCCAAGGTTGAAGTAAATCAAGAGTCTCCTTTAGCGCCTTTCTCAACCGAAATTCAACCTCCATCTATTGTTACTCCAACAACAACAACAAACAACAATAACAATCAAAGAACTACTACAAGAGATGAAAAAACAACACTCACTGACAAGAAGAATGGCGCTTCTAACAAACGTAAAAAGGGCCAATCAGAGGATATTACCAACGATGATGGACCATCCACAAAGAAGGTTAAGCAGTCGATGAAGAAGAAGAAATAAATAACTTAATGCCTTATGATGTCCCATCGAATCCGACTGGCTGAAACCGTTTAATATTGTAAAAACTACGAAAAATCTTTACAGATTTAATTTGCGCCAAAAACGATAGTCGTTTCACAAAATTATTCAAAAAAATACCATTACATATTAACTAGGATGGATCAAGACTCTTTCATGTATGAATCAACCCCTAAGAGGCGAACGAGTTTTACTCCAAACGCAAATAATACTAATAATCGTTCAATGTCTATTAGCACAACTAAGGCATCATCAAGAATGATTGACCCAGTATCAAGCCCAACTTCCCTTAAAGAATCTCCTATTAGAGGCTCAAACTCTTATTATAAAACTCCAAAAAGAAGATCAAACAGTACTTCTAGAAGACAAACATCATCATCAATGATAGAAGAAGACCCTAGAGATTCTATGAGAGAACAACCTTCTGATGATTTTGCCAAATTCCTTAGCCCAACTGGTGAGAAGATCTATAGAAAACTTTCCGAGGAGGCCGAGCTTCAACAACAGCAACAACATCAACAATATCAACAAGATATACAAGATGAAGAAACTGAATTTAGAGAATTCCAAAAGCTGTTAGAGAAGAGCAAACTAAATATGGAGAAGGGTGGTGATGACGATGATTCTGTTAGACTCTTAAGACAACAATTAACCCAGGTCCAACAAATTAAGTTTGAAAATCAGAAAAAACAAAAAATTATTAATGATTTGCAAAGACAAGTCGATGATCTCCTTCAATATAGGGATGATACTGTACAATTAAGAAACGAAGTTAGTATCCTAAGAGAACGTTCCAGAGGTAAGGAAGAAGAAATGAAGAGACTTGAATCAGAAGCTAATGATCGTATTACAACACAAAAGGGTGTTGAAAAGCAATTGAGAGAAGAATTACTTCAACTTCAACAAGTTCTGACTGAAGAAAAGGGTAAGAGAGATGTTGAAATTTCCCAACTCAAGAAGGAACTCGATCAATCAAGAGAAGAAATTGCGATTTCTGCACATCAAAGAGCAAATCTCGAAAAAGAATTACAAGATTTGTCAATCTCTTTGAGAGAACAAAACGAGCTTCAAGATAAGAAGACTAAGAGTCAAAAGGAATTGGCTGAAAAGCTTCAAGAACAAATTGAAATCCTTCTTAATACTAGATCCGAGCTTACTGAGAGAATTAATGAATCCGATATGAGAATCAAAAAGGGACAAAAGGTTTCTGAAGATAAGGACCTTGAAATTGACAAGCTGAAGAGAAAGATTGATAGACTTGAAATGGAAAAGCAAGAACAAGGTTCAACCCTCAGCCAACTTCAAAACAATATTCTCTCTTTGCAAGATAGAGTCACTGAATTGAACGTTGAAGAAACTTTGGTTTCTGAATTGAAGAAGGATCTCAGTATTATTCCTGAACTCAAGAATGAAATTCAAAATACTCGTAAGAGATTGGAAGAAGTTCAAAATCAACTTGATAAGGAAAATCACGGAAAGCAATTGGTTACTGAAGAGTTGAGAAAGATGAACGAAATCAATGACAACTTGGAAGCTTATATTGCTGATTTGAAGGATGAAAATGATCAATTGAAGGATAGACTTGATGAACTTTCAAAAGTTAAGGCAGAAAATGATTTCCTCCAAAGAGAACTTTCCCACTATAAGGATACATCTGAAAGAATCACTGAACAATACAATTCGGCTGTTTCTCAAAGAGATCTTAAGGAAAGCGAAGTCGGTTCTGCTCATGGATCATTGGCTTCTGATTTCTATGCAATGATGAAGACTGTTGAACATGTCTTGGAAGGTCACGAATATTCTAGAAATGAAGATGATTCTCAACTCAACAAGAAGGCTCTTGAAGCTGTCAAACCAAATTATAAGGCTCTTAAATCTAAGGTTCTCGACGCTCTTGATGATCTCATTGTAAGTAGAGACAAGTGTAAGATTTTGCAAGATGAACTCGATGGTTTGTCAAGCAACTTCCAAAACTTGAATCATGATCACTCTGATACTTACAAGGAATTGATCAATCTTAAGAAGCAATTATCTGATGGTGAAAAGGTCAACAGAGCTCTTAAGGAACAAAAGCAAGAACTCGAAGATTCTGTTAATGAATTGGAAGAACTCCTTGACTCTCACCAAGAAGAAGAAAAGAACAGATTGAGATATGTCTATTCTTTGTACAAGATGTTGAAGGATACACCAACAAATGATAGAAGAAACGGATCACCACTCAGAGGAAGACCACAAGGCTCTGATAGTGACGAACCTATCAGCTGGGAAACATTCCAATCTTTATTCTCTGAACAAGTTACTGCTCACCTTGTTGAAAGAGAATCATTGAAGAAGGAAGCTGCTGCTCAAAAGGAAAAAATTGCCGATCTTAATGCCAGACTTGAAGAAGCAAACAAGACAATGAAGGCCAATATGGAAAAGTATGAATCCGAAAGAAGCGAATTAGAAAAGAACTATCAAGGTGAAATTGATGAGCAAAGAAGCAAATTTGAACATCAAATTGAAATGCTCGAAATTGATTACACTGAAAAGGTTAAAGAACTAGAAGAAGCTCTTCGTGAAACTCAAGAACAATTGTCAGATACTACTGGAAAGTTGAAGAAATCTACTATGATTGTTGAAGTTTTGAAGACTGAGCTTAGAGACTCTCAAATTGATCAAAACAAGCTTCATAATGGATTGAAGTTGTTGGCCAGAGGTATCAGACCAATGAAGGATAGAATTGATGACCTCAAGATGCACAAGGTTGTTCTCAAATCTCAACTTAGACAATATGAAAGACTCCTCAAAGGTGTTTATGAAACTGTCAAGTCACTTTCAACTGAATTTGAAGTTGTTTCTGAATTTGAATTCCCAAGAGAATACTCTTCTGAAAAACCAAAGACATCTTTCAGAGCTGCTGTTTTGGCTGTAATTATTGGTAACAGATTCAACAAGCTTCTTCTTCAAAAGAGAGAAGAAAAGGAAGGATCAACTCTCTATTACACTGTTGGTGGGGACAGATTAGGTTTGTTGGCCCCTGAAGCTATCAATGATAATAGAGAATTGCAAATTCCAATGGACGAATACAAGGGATCCATTCATGCTTACCTCCAACTTGTTGGTCAACTTGATAATGAATTTGACGAACCAAGAGAAGATCTGTCATTGATGAGAAGTCTCCACGACGGACTCCAAGCCACCATTAACAGACAACTCATTACTGGATACAAATATAACGGAAATGATTCTTTCAGTACTCCAATCAAGAAGCAACTAAAGACCATTGTACATTCAAGCCCTCAAAAGAGAGGTCTTAGTGTTGTTCAACAAACAACTGTTGGTGTTGTCAAGTCTTTGAGAGAATTGAAGTCTGAAAAGGGCAGTTTGCAAAAGAAGTGTGTCCAATTGACAGAAGAAGTTGAAAGAGTTTCCAAGAGAGCTGAAGAAATGGAAGAAATCATCAAGAAGAAATCTGAATTGGTATCTTTCATGGAAAATAGAATCAATGATCTAGAGGAAGAAAATCTCAATCTTATTGAACCTGAAAAGTTCGACATGTTGAAGAAGGAAGTTGAAAAACTCAGATCAAACTATACTACTGTTCAATTCGAAAAGGAACAATTCAAGCAAGAATTTGAATCTCAATTAAGCCAACTTAACCAATATAGATCCGACCTTCAAGAACTCCAAGATCAACTCTCTGAAAAGACTCAAAAGTTAGATTCTGCCTCAAGAGAACTTGAATTGAAGAGAGACGAGTGTAGCAAGCTTTTCAATACATCTAAGAAGACCAGTGAAATGCTTTCAGAATTAGAAAGAGAAAAGAGCAAGTATGAAAATATGGTTTCAGACCTCAGACAAAAGCTTTTCAAGAAGCCAAAGGATGCTTCTATTTTCAGTGACTCTGACTCTCTTACTAATACTAGTATTTCTTCTACCAACACCACCTCTAAGTATACATCAGGATTTGCTAGCAAACCAACATTGAATACTACTCTTCAAAAAGAAGAACAAACTCCAAAGGCAACTCCATCAGCTTATTCCTCAATTTCTAAAACTCCAACATCCGCTTTTGGATCTGTCAAGAAAAAGGTTGAAAGAGATTTGTCAGCCAGTCATAAGATTATGAAGACTTTGAACGAATCAAATGCCAAGACTAGCAGAGAAGTCCAAGAATTAGATAAGGAACTTAAGAATGCCAGAGCTCACCTTGCCGAACTCCAAAACAGTTTGAGTATGAGTACAAGCAGTCCAGCAAGAAAGATTACTAGTCCTGGTAGACCAAATAAGAGAATGACTGTTGAAGAAATTTTAAACAGATCGACTGAGTTTGATTATGATCCTTATGAAGATTTGGGTTCATCCTCTCGCTCAAAGAGCAAGTATTCAAATTATTAAATGAAAAAATAAAAATAAATATTATGTAAAAAAATGTTACGAAACCTTCAAAAGACAGCATTACAATTTTATTCACACAATAGTAGAATATTAAAATCATCATCAGCATTCTCTAAAAGTGTTGGATTTCACACTACACGTATAAAATACAATTCGGAAGATAATGATGAGTCCATCGGAAAGTATACTTTCGCAGTCAATGAACAAGTTGCTCAATTTCTTGCCAAAGCACAAGAAAAACATCAAGTATTATCGCAATCTGTCTATTCAGGTCAAGCAACAAAACAATCACAATTTGTTGAATTAAAATGGTTGAACAATGTTGTTGAATTAAAAGACAAGTATGAAAATTTAAAAACTCAACTTACACAACTCAAAGAAATGATGAATACGGAAAAGGATCCAGAATTAAAGCAATTAGCTAAGGAAGAATATTCTGAAACTGAAATTGAATATTCGAAAACTCAAGAAAGATTAATTAGTGTTCTTTTGAATGCTCCAGTATCTGATACAGAAGACCATCAAATTTCACCAAATTCAAATGCTATTATTGAAATTAGACCTGGAACAGGAGGTGATGAAGCTTCTCTTTTTGCTATGGAATTATTTAAAATGTATGAATTTTATGCAACTAAAAGAGGTTGGAAATTTGAAGTTTTGAGTTTGAGTGCAAATAATGGAGGTGAAGGATGTAAGGAAGGAATTGCACTCATTTCTGGATCATCGTATGGAGACGATGAAGGATTGGGAGTTTATGGATGTATGAAATTTGAAAGTGGAGTTCACCGAGTTCAAAGAGTACCTGCAACAGAATCACAAGGTAGAGTCCACACTTCATCAGCATCTATTGTGGTTTTACCAGAAGTTACAGAAGCAGATGTCAAGATTAATCTTGCAGATGTCAGAATTGATACTATGAGAGCATCAGGTGCTGGTGGTCAGCATGTTAACACAACTGACTCTGCTGTCAGATTAACCCACATTCCAACTGGTACTGTTGTTTGTATTGCTGATGAAAGGTCACAACATAGAAATAAGGAAAAAGCTTTCAAGATTTTGCATTCGAGACTCTATCAAAAGCAACAAGACGAGAAAATTCAGAAAATGTCATCTGAAAGAAAAGAACAGATTGGTTCAGGTGATAGATCAGACAAGATTAGAACTTATAACTTCCCTCAAGATAGAATTACTGACCACAGAATTTCATTTTCACAATTTGGTTTGGATAAGATGATGGATGGTGAAATACTGGACTCGTTCTTTGAAATTTTGGCAAAACAAGAGAAAATTCAACAATTTGAACGTTTGTTCGAAAAGAAGGAAACTGTTGCTCCTCAAACTAAGAAGAAGAAATAAATTAATTTATCGTTGGTTCGTTTGTAATAATTGAGTCAGTTGCAGCTGTACTACCTCCAAATATTCCAAATATTAAATTTCCAAAATAATAGGTCAGTGTAAAGACTGGAATTCTATGATTAAATACTATCAATACAACCAATAAGTAGAATAAAAAGCATCCAATAGTGATAAAGTGATCTCTTCTTTCCTTCCATTTCAAATCCTTGATAAGCATGGTTGATTGTTTCACTTTGTCTTGATATCCTTCTTGAGTATTGATAGCTCTCTCAAAAATTGATGCTTGTTCCGATAATTTTTCCATAGAGTATGAAGTTCGTTCTAAATTTGATGAAACAATGGCTTTTGTTCTTTTGAGTGAATCTGTTACTTTTCTAGATTGTCTCGATTGTTGTTTAATATTTTGTGATGACTTTCTTGATATTTGAACATTTTCAAATCCTACCAATTTTTCTCTCTTTAATTTCGATTCATTTTCCTTATTACTATATATTTGTACAGCCTTTCTAAATTTCACTTGCAAACTAGATAATTGTTTCTTCAAGTTTGTTGTTTTTTCCAATATTCTTCCTAATCCAATTTCATCAGCATCAGTACCAGTTGGTTGTTTAATTCTCTCCTCACAATATCTTTCCAACTCTCCAATTTTCTTCTCCGATTCTGATAATCCCTCTGCAATATCACCCTTCAAGGCATCTATCGAAGGAATGATAGAAATTGATAATTGAATACGTTGAACAGCCTGATCAATAGTATACATTAAATTAGTTATTTGTTCAACAACATTCATTGCTTGTTTAATATCGTGTTGTTGTTGTTGTGATGGTTGGGATTGTTCCGAATGTGTGCTCGATACACTCGATCTCTTGCCGAACAACATTCTTGTTGCCTCTCCAATAAAGTCGTTTTTGTACATTTTTTTGATTTAATTTTACAACAAGATATGACATCATCATTATCATCAATAGATGAATCATTTATTGAGGAAGTATGAGTTCTACCTGTGTTTGTCAACCTTGTCGAGGTGCGTTTCTCGTTCTGAAGTTTCCAAAATTTGAACAACTATTGAAATATTAATTTACAATTTTAAATTTGTTGACTTACCTCTATTAATGTTAATAAATTTGTGTGTCGAGTATTGTCTGTACAAGTCCTGAATTTCCTCATGTGATTGACCAATATAATTCAATTTGTTCTTAAATAAATCTTGATATCTCAATAATTCTTTTTTAAACATTATATATATTTCTCGAACTCCTGCCACATATTCCTCAACAATGGCAAAATTATATTGTGAATTGTCATTTCTTTTTCTTTCCATGGATGTTAATAATTCCGATTGGGACTGATGATAGAAAGAATCAGCCTCCTGTTGAATAACATCTAATTGGTGACAAATATTTTCGAATTTTGTTCTTTCCACAACATTTAATTCCAATAATATTTAAATATCAAAACCTACAAGCTATTATAAATACTACTATAACTCTCCTCCAGCTTTTTAACATATGTTCCCTGTATGAGTGTTGTTGTCTTGGGAAAATATTGAAAAATACCAAATTTTGATGAATCCATTTCCGAGGCTTGTTGTGTTTCTCCACTCATTCCCGACATTAAAGTCCAACTCGATAAATCTCTAATCATTGCAATAAAACATTCACAATTCTCCTTGTGCAATTGTTGCCAATTCTCTGCAAGTGAGAAGGCCTTCAGCAAAATCTTTTTGAACCTAGTGTTGACATTTTCCATTTTTTTTTAAAATTTAATGCAAAACCATAGTGATGAATTATTTTGCTTGTTTGCTTGCTTTTTGAGTGAGGATTTCTCTCATGAAGAGATAGTGATGACATTATATTTAACCTTTGTACACTCTGAAGAATAAGTGAGGAATACAGACTTTCGCATCTAATCTGAAAAACTTCTTGTTAAATTATTTATTTAATATTATTATTATTGAATTTAATAAGGACAAGAAATAATTCTGTGAGGGTAATTTTGCTTTTAATATATTTAATATTGAGCAAGCTGAGTAGCAACAAGTGCGAACTTGGACGTTGAAAAATTACATTTTGAAATTTTGGCGCCAAGCAAAAATCTACTGTTGTATGCTGAAGAGTTGTACAAATAAAAACTATAAAAAATGATGCAACAAGAGCAAGAAAATATATCACCTGCCAATACACTTGTAAAATATGATACACCAATTCTTCTGTCGGAGGCAATAAAGAAGAAGGGAAATAAGGCTTTGATGGGAGTTTCAGGAAAGAATAAACAAGCCTTACCACCTCTTCAAACAACAGGATCTGAAAGACTAACACAAACAGAAGATATTTTAAATTCAATACTCCCACCAGTAGTCTTCTCCGAAAATAGTCAACAATGGATACAATATGTATCATCCACGCCTGCCACCAGGTTGGATGTTACAAATCTTGAGGAACAATTAGATTCAAATCTTTTGAAAAGAAAAGCTAAGGAAACTGGTATTTGTCCAGTGAGAGAAGAATTATATTCTCAATGCTTTGATGAACTCATCAGACAAGTTACTGTAAATTGCCAACAAAGAGGTTTATTGATGCTGCGAGTAAGGAATGAAATCAAAATGACAATCAAAGCATATAAGCAATTGTATGAAAGTAGTGTGGCTTTTGGTATGAGAAAATCACTTCACGCCGAAGACGGAAAAACTGAAATGGAATTGAAGATTATGCAATTAGAAAAGGAAAAGGCTGAATTGGATAAACAAGTTAAGGAATGGCAGGCCAAATGTGAAGCAACAGAAAAGAGAGAAAGAGAAAAGAGCAAACAGGAAAAGAAGAAATTCGAAGAAGAAATTGCCTTCTTAAAGAAGCAAAACCAACAATATTCTCAAGAACTTGAAAGATTAACAATGACAAAAACTAAATAAACCCTAGATATTTCATTAAAGCTGACTGGTTAAAGAAGCTTTACTACATTTTATCAGCAATTCCATATAAAAAAATCGAATTGATCGATTCCACAACACCACCATCATTGACTCTTCCAAATTCAGTAAAGGTACTCGTTTCTGAATCAAAAAACCAAACAACACCATTAGAATCAGATAAGCCAGCACTCTTTGTTGCACATTCAAGATCTGTCTCTTTGCATAAGTATATGTTTTTAAACGGTTCCCCTGACATTGTATTGTTAAATAGGGTGTAATCAATTCCATCTGAAGTTATTGAAACCAAGTTTGTGATTGCATCCGTGGAAAAGTTACCAACTGCACATAAATTTCCATCACTGGTTGAGACGTGTGCAACATATCCTTCAAGAATTGGGTCTGACAGGACTGAAGACCACACACCATGTCTAAAATCAAGAAAACATAAATTACGACAGCTCACAGTTTTGTTAGAAGCTGTACTTGTATAGTTCACAGAAAAGTCAAACTCTCCAGCAACTACATAGTTCCAATAATCAAAGAAATCAGTATTCAAAATACCCTTATGGAAATGAATGTGATTCACAACAGATTGACTAGAATTACCCAAATCAATCTTGTCCCAAATCTTGTAGTATGGATCCCATGTGAGAATGTATGGAAACTCACCACCAACAAATGTCTTTCTAGAGTTAAAAGTCTGACCAAAGTCTCTCTTGAAAACAGTCCTTACACTATTTGAGAGGGTCAAGTTGTGTCCGTTTGTATCTTTAAGGGAATACCAAGTGTTGGTACGGGCCTCATACATTGCTAAATTAGTTGCCTTATGCGTCGAGTTGGTAATTGTAAGTTCGAAAGAACCGCCAACCCACACATTACAGTTACATCTTGATGCTTCTGAGGGTGTATTGTAGCAATCCACAGAGATGGAATTAACCTTACTATCCTTACCCCAGACTACATTATCCGTTATTGACTCCCATCGTTGTTTAGGTATTGACCATCTTGCGAGTGGTCCAGTTGATATATTTCCTGCCCTACTAAAATCGCCACCAATATATAAATTATAACAGGTATCAATGAATTGGGTTCTTACCAAGCCATTAGTTCCTGTTCCTAGTCCTTTCCATGAATTTCCATTCCAAACAGCAATGTTATTTAGATTTGTGTAGGTTGCAGTCTTATTATTTACATATATCGAAGTGAAATTGCCAGCAATTATCCAACGCCTAGAGTTCTTTGATGAAGTAAAGTATTGTAAATTTGTGGGTGGATCGTAAAACTGACATGATACGTGGTGTATCATAAAGCAGAATAATATTATAAACATTAGGGAATAAATAAAGCTGTTTCTCTTGCTGCCTAGATAAGTTACTTGTTGATTTTTGCTTCCTAGAGTATTTACTACATTGTTTTGATGGCTAATAGCATTGCTTGATGAATAATCGTGATGATTACTCCTCGATGATGATGAAAATGAAGAATTTGTTTTGATGGTCAGTAACGGGCAAGACCCACAGCAGTTACTTTCCCGAATGCCCCGTGTTTTCATTTTATTCTGTTTGGTTGCCGCCTAAACATCTACTGGAAACGTTATGAAATAATAATAATTTTATAATGGAACTTTTAAAAGTTTTTAACCGACTTTGTTTCAGCTCTAAAACATTCAGCTTAAGGGAGTTGCAACTGCTGTTTCGAGAAAAATTGTGATCTTCATAGACCAACTTGGAATATCGCTGAGGTGCAGAGTGTTTGATTGGCAATGCGTGAATTGATAGATTTAAAGTTAACTATTAAATAGAAACCAAGATGATGAAGAATCAATAATATTATGGATGCCTTAAAAGATCAATAAGATTCTTTATTAAGATCCTAGAAAAACAACTTTGAATACAACAATCACTATATTTCAGATATTATATGGATCTAACTTATTTCATAGGAAGGTTAATCTTCCATTCATCAATTTTCTTCACATCCTCAACCTCAATAGGTGATTATACGCAATAAGAAAACGAACATGGTGCGATCTTCTGAGGAAGTACTTCCATCACAGTACAAATGTCAATACAATCTGCTTTGTAAACGGACAATAAACTCAGCCCCAAGCAGCACTAAGTGCTTCTCTTATTTTAAAAAAAATTAACAAGAATTAAGATCCATGGCTGAATATAAAATAATTGTCGTAGGTTCAGGAGGTGTTGGTAAAAGCGCGTAAGTAATTCAAACTTTAAAACTATAAGGTCAACAAACACTGTTTTAATTTCCTTAATAAAGTCTCACTATCCAATATATTCAACAAACCTTTGTCGAAAGATATGATCCAACCATAGAGGACTCTTACCGAAAACAAGTTGAAGTTGATGGTTCAGCTGTTATGCTAGATATTTTGGATACTGCAGGACAAGTAAGTTATTTAAATTAAAATTTAATTCTAATGATTATTTATAATTAGGAAGAGTAAGTTGTGATGATGATAATTTAAATATTTATTGATGTGTTAAACTAGATATCACTCACTTGCTGGTGAATATATGGGAAAGGGACATGGTAGGTTCTTAATAAGATAAATAATTACTTATTGTTTCTAAAATCAAGGCTTTGTGATTGTGTACAGTATTACAGATGTTCAAACATTCGAAGATACTCCAAAGTATTATGAGGAAATCCTTAAAGCAAAGGCTGCCGAAGAAGGGGAAAAGGTACCAATCATCCTTGTTGGTAACAAGCTCGATTTGGAAGAAGAAAGAGCAGTTTCAAAGGAAGAAGGTGAAGAACAAGCTAAGAAGTTTGGAGATTTCTGTAAATGTATTGAAACATCAGCTAAAACAAGAGAAAATGTGGATAACGTTTTCGAAGAATTGGTTCGTATGATCAACACAGTTGAAGGAGTTGAAGAGGAAGATCATCACGTTGAAGCTCAACAAGCTAACCAACCAACTGGAGATCAACAAGAAACCAAAGCTTCCACAACTCCAAAGCCAAAACCTAAGAAGAAAAAGTGTATCATCTTGTAGTTTTAATGTTAATAATATCAAACATCTAGAATTAATTAATTTTTTATTCACAGATTTTAATTTTTTCTATTTATCCAAGGAAATGCAAATTTCAGGAATTGGATTAAATCTCTTAACATAAAGTCTAACAGGAAGTTTGTCAAAGAGACGTAATTTTTCTTCTTGTTCAGTTTCAGTCCAAGTCCAGTGTAGAATTCCTGTTTCCTTGTCATGTTTCTTGTCCTTGATTCTAGATCTGAAAGAATCAATTGGAAGTTTACATTCCAAAGAAAAATGTGGAACTACTACTCTAATGGTCTTGCCACTCAAACCTCTGATAATACCTGAAACTTTAGCAATTTCTGGATTTTCTTCAATGTAACGGCAAAAATAAATATGTTTGGTTTGTTCTTCAGCCTTCTTTGCCAATGTTGATTTCTTATTACAAATATCAATAAGTTTCTTCAATTCATATGTATAAGGAATTGGTGATGCAAAAAGAGCTGATTCTAATTGTCTATGTACAATAATATCAGAATATCTTCTGATAGGCGATGTAAAGTGAGTATAGTATGGAACGTTAAGAGCATAGTGATGGGTTGAAAGACAGTTATTCTTATCAGAGTAAGCAAAATATTTGGCTGTTTGCATTGCTTTTGTTGCCTCAAGATTAACTACTGCTGAAACTTCAGTGTCAGTAATGCTTCTAAGACTGTTATCAAGTTCTGCTGCAGACTCTACATTAATGTCTAACTTGGCACTGTTACAAAAGTCAATAAAATCACTCATCTTCTTCTCCAATGGACTTCCATGTGACCGAAGTAAAACAGTATCATTGGATGATTTCAATAACTTTTCAGCTGCCAAATAGTTAGCCAAAAGCATAAGCTCTTCAATCATATTATTGCTTTCCTTTTCTTCCTTTACATTGATGGATTTGACACTTTGATTGTCCTCTGATAATTCGAGTTGAATTCTTGGTTTGTTGAGGGAGAGAGTACCACTTTCAAGTCTACTCTCTCTTCTCTTCATTGCAAGTTTATGAAGCATGGTGATATCTTCTACTAAAGATCCACCAAGGTTTGGGCAGAAAATATCTCCTTCTCTTGGACAAATATCTTGAGAAATTTCAGAATCTGATTTGATTTCACCACCAATAACTTGTTGAGCAATTTCATAACTCAATTTGGCACATGATCTCACAACAGATTTTTGGAAAACAGATTCTTGATCTTTGACCAATTCACCATTGGCATCCAATAAAACATAAATACTGAATGCCAATCTGTCCTTTGAAGGCAATAAACTGCAAATATCATCTGAAAGGAAGTGAGGAAGCATTGGAACAATTAAGTGTTCCAAATAGACACTAGTTGCTCTACGTTGAGCAATTCTATCGAGCTTTGAACCAGCTGCTACAAAATAAGAGGCATCTGCAATGTGGATACCAACTCTGAAAAGATTATCATTTAACTTGCTAATGGAAATGGCATCATCCAAATCCTTTGCATGTTTAGGATCGATAGTGAAAACTCTTTCACCTCTAGCATCCTTTCTCTTTTCTAATTCCTCTACTGGAATTGTCCAATCATTGGTGGACTGGATATTTAAATCTGATTTGATTTCATCAATAACCTTCTCTGTGTAAGAAGATGTATCAACTTCAAAATCAATAATGATTGATTCTAAATCTGTTTCAAGATTACCAGCTCTTCCCAAATGTTTGATCAATTTACCATATGGAAGTGTTGACTTTTCATTCCAAGTAACAAATTGTACTACATATAACTCCATACCATGACCATTTGGATTAGTCTTAAATGATTCAGGGCATTGAGATAATGGAACAACCATTCTTGGACATCTCTTATCTAATGGAATAAAGATACAGTGTTGATCTGCTTGGTCAATTACTCCATTTTCTCTGGAGGTTGTCAAGAAACCAACAAAATCTCTTTTCTTTGACTTTTCTTTGATTGCTACGACTCTACCTGTTGGTTGGAATACCTTCTTGAAACTATCAGAAGGTACATTTTCTTCTTCATTACCGTCATTAGCTTCATCTTCATATTCACCTCCAGGCTCGTCACACCTTTGGTGTTGATTGAGTGAGATTTTTCTTTCTGTCCACTCACTTCTTTCATCAATTTTAATAACTACCTTGTCACCATGGAGAGCTCTGTTTCTTCTTGCTTCTCCACTAATTCTGACATCCATGTCATGTTGAAGTTTTTGTTTAACTGGATCATCTAAAACAACAAAAGCTAACTGTCTGTTTTGTTGATTTACATGAAGAATACCTTCAAAGAGTGTTCCACTCTTTAAACCCTCTTGTACTTCTGAAGGTGTAATGTATTCAACAAACCTTGACTTAGAGCTACTACTTTTGTGATTCTTTCTGTCTCCACGTCGTTTGTTTTCATTTACATTACCGTCATCGCAACCAGGTTCTTTTTTAATACTTGGCTTGCTTGGTTGTTGTCTCTTTTTCAAAGAGTCTCCACTTGTGTTTGGCAGGACTGCTGCTGAGCTCATTGGGATTGTTTTGAAAATTTTAGAAACGCTATTTAATAGCAGTATTGCCAGCAACTAGTCCAATAACTATTACTATTTACTATGATATTCCTGCCTCTAGATCCTCTACTAGAGCCTCTAAATGATTCTTCTTCTTCTTCTCCTCCTTCTTCAAATACTTCTTCCAAGCCACAAACAGAATAAAAGCGTTTGGTTTGTTTTCCCTCCCCCAAAAACACTTGTTTCAGTAAAGTATCCAAAAGTAAATCGTCTAAATCTGATGAATAGAGCGAGGAGGATGAAATCTTTCGTTGTTGTTGGTCTTGTTGTTGTTGTTGAATTGGAATGGGTGGAGGTGGAATTGGAATAGAGTTGTGTTGATGATGGTGATGGTGGTGATGGACCGCAAATGCTGCGGTGGCAGGTGTAGTAGTTGTTGTTGTTGTAGTAGTAGTGTTATTAGTAGTAAAGACAGTGTTATTGGAGACGGCAACGATGGCGGTATTGTTGTTATTAATGTTATTAGTAGTGTTATTGGCGTTAAAGAACATGAAGTATAATTGATTATTTTGCACTTGGCGCAAAATTGTGATTAATAAATAGATTGTTGTTTTGATGATAATAGTTTGTTCAAAAAGCGTTCGTATTGTTTGTGTTCCGCTTTCTGATGTATTGTTATTAGTAAATAATTATTTGGTTGCTTGCTAGTGATATTAAAATTTCAGTAGAAAGCTAAAAATTTGTGATGATGTATTTGGCCTTTGTGGCAATTTGTATTTTAAAGCGTATAGATGCTAGTTTGTGTGTGATATTACTATGCTTCTTCAAATAATAGAAGGTGCAATTCTAATTCTTGTTATTGTTGTCAAGTGTTGATGACGATGATGACCGTAAAATTTTTTTAGGTTTTGTTGCAAATAAGAACCTCAACCTCAGCTGCATTCATACATTTGAAGGGTTTTAAAAATAGATCTCCGTGATGATATTTTTAAATTGCACCAATAGAAGATAGTTTTCGAGTGTTGCACAACAAAGATAATGGAAGAAACAAGGCAAATTTATCAAGAGAATAAAAAAGTGCAATGTTGAAAATGCAATCTTCGATGCAGCTGCAGAATTCATCAACTACCACCACGACTGTCATGGGGTTGGAAAATATTGAATCAGAGATTAAATCTTTGGAAGAATCAATTGAAGGCTTGAGATATTTCCCAGATTTTTTGAGTGAGAAACAAAGTTTAGACTTGTTGAACGAAATTGATGAGAGAAATGAATGGGAGAGTGAAATTAATTCCCGAAGAACACTTCAATATGGTTATCACTTTAATTATCTTCATGGAGGAGGTTTGAGAAAATTGCAAGAGGAAATTCCGAATTATTTAAAACCAGTGATGGAAAGAATTGAACAATTGGAGGATGGTTCATGTTGGCACTATCCTCAAATTTCACAAATAATCTTGAATGAATATAAGGGATTGGAGACTTACATTTCAAAACATATTGATTCATTGGATTTTGGACCTACTGTGGCAATTATCTCACTTGGAGATCCATGCCTCATTGTTCTACACGAAAGAACACCTAAAGATCCAAATGCTACATGGAATGCCAATGAAATTATTCCAATTCAGAATTTGCAAGCGACAGGAAAGAAGATGTGCCTCGTGTTAAAGCCTGGCTCATTGTTAGTGCTGAATGGAAAGGCCAGATACTTGTGGCAACACGAAATACCAAAACAATGTCTTTGGAAAAAGTATTTAGGTGAATCGTGGAAAACTTTGGCTTTTGGAAGTGAAGATTTCGATGAAAACAAGTTCAGAAGAGTTTCATTGACTATGAGGTCAGTTGTGGTTCAAGTTCCTTAAATTCAATTAATTCATTGCAATGAGCTGATGAGCTTCAAACAACACTCTTCTGATATCAAGTTTTATGATTAAAGAATCCAATTTGTTTGCGATTTCTTGTGGGATAATTCTAATAAAAGCTTGTTAAACTTTACAAAAAAAAATGGAACTCCACAACCGGGAACAAGTAGAACATTTAATTCATCTCGCCAAAAGTGATGAATCTTTTCTCTCCTTCAAAGAATTGAAACAATTAAAATCAACACTAATCATCACAGCTGATTCAGGAGAACCTTCTCATTTCATGAAAACAATTAGAGAGAAGTTGTGTTCGTTTGTGAGAGCTCCGATCTATTTGGAACAACAAATTAGCCTTCTTGATCCGAATGTTTCAATTCCGTGGCTTGAGACAGTGAGTGAGAAAGATTTGATATTTAAAGCAGTGGATTTGATTGCTCAAACAGATTTATGTAGTTGCAGACCTGGAGTGATAAAGTCCTTGCTGAGAAATTATGATCTATTGGTATTTACTCTTTATGCTGGAACAGGTACAAGAATGTGGGATCAGGAGACTTTATCAATTTTCCATCAATTGATTGATTCAAATCAAATTGCTGTACTGTTTTTGAGAGGAAGTGAACAAGCAATGCCCTTTAAACTTGGATATTCTTTGGGACGAACAGATGGATTTATAGAATTTATTACTGGTGATATTGCATTAAAGGTTGACAAAATCAAACAAATTAACCAAAAAAGTTTGGAGGTTTTGATCAATAGACAAAAAATGAATTTGAAAGATAACATTCAAGAAAGTAGTCCAACAGAAACAATACTTACACCAAATTGTATTTATTTGTCTGATACATATATGTGTGGAGTTGTGGTTACAACATTGACAAGAAAAGATGATTGGCACTTTTTAGCTGAAAGTTCAGACTATCAAGGTAAAGATAGAGTTTCATGGTTAGTTCACAAAAACAATAAGGTCATGTTTACTCCTTGGTATGGTTTTTCGCATGGCAATAATTCTCAATATGATATCACCTTTTATTCCCTAAAGTTTCTACTGTTTGAATATTTGAGAAAAAGTGGAGAAACCTTTGTTAGCAATTTGGCTTTAAAACAGATTAATAATCAACTTTCAGATATGGAAATTATTTTTTGAGGAATCTAAGATGTATTATTAAGTTTATTTTGAAACGATAAACAATCCCATCTCGCCAATATTCTTAAAACCCAAATTTTGATAGAAGTGATTGGCAGAGTTGTCTAAATTGGTAAATAGGTCAACATGAGAGAATCCCATTCTAATACATTCTTCAAATAGATGCTTGAATAATATTTTTGCAATACCTTTTCTTCTATGTTCTGGTTTGGTGAATACAAATCCCAAAGTACAGTGCTTATCAGAATGTGAGTTAATCCTAACAGTAGAAACAAGCTCTTCTCCAACAAATGCACCAAAAGTAGTGCTATTCTTTAAAAGATAATCTGAATGGTCCTTTGTAGATTTTGGCTCTCCAAATATATCTGTTTCAAATAGTTGCATACATATGAAATTTTGTTCATGATCAAGTTCAGTAACTTTACGAGTTAAAAGTTCAGGGTGTGAAAGGAAAACAGACTCGTCAAAGGAAGAAAGATCATATTGATATAAATTCTCTTTTTGGAAGAGTGTTAAACGATCCCTATTCCACACATTCGTTTCGAACAACTTTTCAACAATAGAATTAGCAATAGAATATTCTCCAATCACACTTCAGGATTATTTTCAAATAATATCAATTCAAGCAACCTACCCTGTTAATTGAATACCATCTTGAAGTGTTTCTTGAATCATTTGATCAATCAGGGATTTCTTAACATGTTCATCTATTTGTGGGTTAAATTGAAATAACAAGTTGCCAGCAACAAAATGACAATAAACTCCTCCTACTTGATTAAATTCATTTGATTGTTTGCATTCATCAGAAACAAAAACCTTGTAATCACCTGAATAAATTTGGCCTTCTTTAATACTGTCTCCATTCAAGAATAAATTTCCGACCAATAATCCACAATAACCTTCATTGAATTTAAGGAAATCGAAAACACTCCTCCGAAGAGCAGACTGCAACGGAAGGGATGATAGCTTTTTGAGTGTGAACATTTTTTGATTGTGAAAGAAATGGATAGAAATCTTTTTTTTTAAGGCGTACTAATCCTCTAATAATAGAACAAACATTCAATTTCACAACACGCTTTACATAATTTAAGATGTTTGATAAAAGAATTATTCAAAGATTATTCATTAAATAGATAAGGGGCTAGAAAAGATAGAATGAGCTTGAGTTAGATAAAACAGACTAAAATACTGAAATGAGAACGACAATTTTTAATCAGTTGAAATGTAGTAGTAACTCAATCAGTATCCCAACTTTATTTGCTCTCTCCTTTAAACGTTCCATACTTATTCTGTTATCTACAGCACAACAATGCACTGCTCTTTGTGTTGGCTCTTTTCATGGAGTGGACGAAAATTGGTTGGTACAAAAACGTGAATCGGTAAAAGCCAGGTCATTGAGTTGACTTTAAAACGATCCTTCTTTTCAGATAAATCCTTAGTGCTTATAACTTGAATTCTATCATCAACTAAATCTCCCTCAATCAAGTAGAATTTGAATTTCAAAAACCAATTGATCTTGATTAGGTCGGAGGAGAATTGGGATGGTGTGTGTGGAGGTATGATAATTCTAAAGTCTGAAGTGATATTATTCAGTGTATATCTGTCTAATCTTGCAACCTTGGAATAAGTGCTCTTATTCTTTAATGGTTGAAAGTATTCCGAGCTGATTTCAGTTGATTTGTGTTTGTAATAATCTGAAATAATTTTGGATGCTGCCTTTTCTTCATAAATTAATTTACATTGAACTTTGGTACATAATTTTTCACTCTTTGTGAAATCAAAAATTCCTGATATTGTATCTCCAATGTAAAATGCAGAACTGGAAAGTGAAACTCTACAAACAAGTTGAGTATCATCTGCAATATCATAATGACTTGTTTTTGAATTGAGTGAGACAATATTTTCAATTTGCCTAAATGAATAATAGAATGGTGATACAGCTGATGAATCATTATTTCCTGAAGAGAGCATATATTTGTGAGTATAATCTTCCAATTTAGGTATTGGTTCCTCTAAGGAATTTTGTACATTCCATTTAAATTCAAATGAATCCACATAGGAAGAAGCAATACTACAAATTGATGAAAGTGGATTATAAACTTTGAAAGGTATCGAAATTGTTTTCTTATATACAGTATTGTATCTATCAGATACTTGTATCGTTACAGAAATGTGGTAGGTATATCGTATGAGAGTTCCATTAAAGCTCGGAGGAATTTCATTCGGTATCAAAACATTTACATTTAACATGGACTTTTCCAATGATGAAAATGGTTGATTTTCCATGACTGTATATGGTTTAGAGGCAAATATTAATTTACCATTCTTTTGGCCCATGAGATGTGTCAGTTTTTCATCTGTAATTTTGTATTGATTGGTTAAATCATCATTATAAGTAATTGTCTGACTAGAATTATTAATCGGAATGTTTAAACATGTAGAATCTCCAATCCAAACTCCAAATATCTGGGCACTCATACAATCAACATTCCAAATATCAACCTTCCTCTTATCCTCTTCACTACTTTCTGATGATGAGAAAAACCAAGAGAATAATCCACCACCTCCACTGCTACTACCATTTGTACTTGAAGAAGTACTACTAATGGTAGTACTTAAATCCGATGATGATTTAGTTAATGTATTAAATGGTTTAAAAACCTCCAATTCATCATTAAAAACCTCTATCAAATTCGAATAATAGGGTCCACCACTCTCACTCACACTCTCCTTCGGAACATTCATCAATTGAACAGAGAATGATACATTAGATCCCGAGAATACACAGCCCTCCTTCAGTGCAACATGAGCTACAAGTACCATTATATTCTCCTCTTTAGTGGATTCTGTTGTTTTGTGTCAATTCTTGATGACAATGAATTTTTTGCTTTTTTTCAAATTTTTAGATTTTTCATTAATTTAAAAAATGTTAAACAATAACAATGGAGGGACAGTGTTGAATAGTGGGCGAGGATCTGATTTTTTGAGTGTTGGTGGTGGATTGTCATCGAATGGAAATCAGACACCTGTTTCTCCACTAGCTTCGATAAGATTTAATGGTGAGAATAATAGTGGTGGTGATGGATTATATTCAAAGAATCAACAAGATAATCAATATGTTTCCAGGGTGGTTTCTCACAAATACTTTACTATTGCTCAAACTTCAATGGAATTATTCTCGGATCACCCAGCTGCAAAGCTTGGCATTCCAGTTTTGAGTGTTGCTCAACAAACGTTAAAGAATTGTTATAGTACAACATGTAGACAAATTCATACACTTGGAAATGATAAAGTACTATTGACACATCAATGTGGAGAGTTGCATTATTGTATTATTTATATTAGAGAAGTTGAAAAGAGAAAGAAGGGAGAAGTTTTTGATAATGAAGATTTTGAAGAGGAACCAAAAGAATCAACAGCAGCCTTGTACAGACAAATTAGTTTATTACACGATTTGACAAACTTTTGCATCATGTTGAATCCTTTCAATCAACATGGTTTCAACAACAGATCTTTGAATCAATCTGCTATTTACAATTTAATGAAACCACTTGTAGAAACAATGAAAAGGCTGTATAGAACACAACAGAGTGTTCTCGTGCAAGGAATTGAATATGTAGATTTGAATCAATTCAATAGAGGTTCAATTATTGAAGCACTGAAGAAAGGTACTGAACCTTACCCATATATTTTGCATGCAGTCTTACTTGTTGGTACTAAATTGGCTGCTGTACACTCTAGAGAAAAGACTTGGATATTGCTTCCAAGAGATATTTTGTGTTTGATTGTTTTTACTCAGAGTGCTTTCTACGGAGAAAAACCAAAACAAATGGGTAAGAATGGAACAAGTGATGAATCTGATAATATTACAAGATCTATTTTCGAGTATTTGAATTTCCATGTGACAGAGAATGGAGGAGATCATGATCAAAAACTTGGACGATATGGAGTCTATTTCGAATATGACAAGGACCAAGATATGACTTTAATGTTGATTTGCGAGTCCAATATTACCAATATCCAGCAACAGACTACCAAAGTGATTCCATCCTCTGTTGGTAGTTACCAATCTGCCTCTTCACTAACAATGGCAGCATCATTCAAAGAAGTTGAACAACAACCAATTGATGAAGAACAAAATAAGGAAACAGTTCATGATCAATTGAAAGAGGCAGCTATAAGAGTCAATGAAGAAATTTCAAACTTTAAGAGATTTTCATTTTTGAAAATTAAGGCCGAGTCACATGTCACCATGCTTAGCTATCTCCATTACTGTCCTGGGTTGATACATTTTATTTTAGTAGATCGAATTTACAATAGAGTTTTTGCACCAAGAATTGTTCCTCTCAATACAATTAATACCAACCAAAAGAATGATGAAGAACAAGTCGCCTTTTTGAAAAAGAAAGTTTGGGAAATGTGCTTTACTCTTCAACAATACAGAGATGAAGGTTATACAGAAATTGGAGTTTGTGGTGAGGGAGTTCAATATTGGTTCAAGGAATGGTTTGAAGATGAAAAGATGCTTGAACTCAAAATGACCAGAAATAACTTGAAGTATGCTCGTTCTCATTTTGAACTCTATACAATGTATCTGCCATTTGTCTCTGTCCAAGCCATTTCACATCATAACAAACTACTCGTTCAATTACTGTTAGACAGAAGAGATTTATCTTGATTCAATCTGAATCAGCCATTCGTCTTACTATTACCAAACTAATGAGTCTATTTTCACTTGTTCCGAATATGAAGCAAGCCCAAAAGAGTGTTCAATCAAAAATTGAAAAACATTTTTAGATCTTATCGGAAGTTGTTTGTTTTCGGAATTTACAAACAATAAATTGACTTACACATTGCGCACTTTGTAAAACCAAATCAAAAAGAAATTTTCAATTACAACTAAATAGAAATGATTGATAAGCTAGTAAGAAACGTTAACAAGGTTATGAATCCAGTGTATAGAAAACCATTTGGTTTTCCAGCCAACTTCTTCAATGATCCACATATCGATTCATTCTTCAAAGAATTCGATTCACTTTCTCCATTCTCTCAACAACGATCTTTCAATGCACCAGCTGTCGATGTCAAGGAAAATGAAACTAGCTACGAGTTAACTGCTGATGTTCCAGGCTTCACAAAAGATAACATTAAATTGGATTTGGACGAAGAAACAAGAACACTCACTCTCAAAGGAGAAACCAAGAATGAAAAGGAAGAGAAAGATAAGGAAGGAAAGTATCACATCAAGGAGAGAAGCTCATCTTCATTTGAGAGAAGATTCACAATTCCAGATGATGTCAAGATTGAACAACTCAAAGCTCAAATGAAAGATGGTCAATTGAAGATTATTTTGGAAAAGATTAAGACTGAACAAAAACAAACTCCAAAGGTTAGATCTATTGATATTCAATCTCAAGAATAACTGTTGAATATGTTCAAATGGTGCTTGTAAATAAAATGTAAATATGATTTCGGAATGAGGAGTGATTATTATAAATATGATATTGCTATCGGAGATGGATGTATGAAGTGCTCACATTCTAATTACTCCTTTGCCTGACAAAGCAAAGAGAGAAACAACGTAATGTTCCTTTGTGCATTCATTATAATTTCTAATTGCCAACACATAAAATCTAAAAATACAAAAATTATTTATTAAAAAAAATTAAATTTATTGTTCCAATCATCAATCTTCATCACACGGGATGGGCAATCAATTAGAAAAGGATTATACTATTGGAGAAAAACCATTTGCAACTGGTGGTCCTTTTTGCCTTTGGAGAATACATAACGGAACTCACAGACAAACAAGAGAGGAAGTTTCTGTGTTTTGTTGTGCTTTTAAAGATATTGAAGCTGTCTATGGAAGAAATAATCTTCAAACTGTGATAAATTACTTCAAGAATGAAAGCCTAATGCTACAAAAACTCAGGCATCCTCTAATACTGTCTCCCCAACAACAATTCTTTGAAACAAAAACAATGTTGGCGATGATAACCGAACCGATACTAGGATCATTGAACAATTTAGTGTTTAGAAATCATCAAAACATTCCTGACGTATCACCAATGATGAAGAATTATCGTTTAACCAAGTTGGAATTAAAGTATGGAATGTGTCAAGTAATGGAAGCTTTAACTTTTTGCCATCAAAATGCAAAACTAACTCACGCTGGATTGCATCCAAATAATATTTATATTACAACTGATGGTCATTGGAAAATTAGTGGATTTCACTTTTCATTTACAGCATTAGGATCTACGGAAACAAACTCTGCACCGACTCTCTTCAAAAGAAACTTTCAAAAAAGAGATTTCCTTCCATCATTGGATTATACAGCACCTGAATATGTGTTAGAACAAAATCCTTGTAATTCTTCCGATATTTTTTCTTTTACCCTTATTTATTTGCAAATACTTCTTGAAAAATCACATTCTATTTTGGAATCTGATCAAGATATTAATGCATACACCAATAACGTTTCTAGATTGCATGAAGTTGTAAAGAACATTAACAAGCTTCCACAAGAAATCAGAGAATCATTATTGAGTTCATGCTCATTGAAACACCAGGAAAGACCTACCTCACATTTCCTTCTTTCAAATTGTGAACTATTATTCGGAAATGAAGTTAGGGCATTGAGATATCTTGCCAGTATGGAGCTTAGAGAGCCTGTCAAGAAGGCACAATTCTTGTCTACACTTGCTCCTATGCTTAAAGCACCTAAACCTCAACAATTGATTAATGGAGTTGAAGACATTCCAGATGAAGGATTTTCCAACAGTATTGTCTTTTCTAAAATTTTACCTCCATTATTGAATGAATGCAAAGATTTAAAGATGTTATTACATGCATTGCCAAACGTACTTGTATTGAGTGAAAGAATGACAGTCAAGGAATTTAGTAAGCAAGTTTTGCCTACTCTTTCAAAGTTTGCATTGATGCAAAGCACTCCTGCAAAAATTCCATTGAAAATTCTGGAAAGTTTCAACTTGATGTGGAATAAGACAACTGATGAAGACCATAGACTTTGTTTAATTCCATTCTTGATTAGATGTCTAGATAGCAAGTTCCCAGAAATTCAAAATGAAGCCATGAAGAGATGTGAAGAATGTTTGAACGAAGAGAGAATGACCTATGATGATTTCAAATCTACTTTATTGCCACCTATTGAGTTGATTTGTCACAATACTAACAATCAAAGTGTAAGAATTAATGGTATTGTTTGTCTTGGCAAAATTTTACCACATTTTGAAACCTCTGTAATATCTGCTACAATTATACCAATTTTAGAATCATCTCTTGCTCCTCTTTATGGAGCTGAAAGATCTGGTGCTCAACTCTCTGCACCACTTTTAATTACCTGTGTTGGTGTTTATCTTAAGATTTCTAAACTTTTACAAAAGAGAAATGATCCAGGATTGACTAAGATTATAGCATGTAGAATAATGCCTTCAATTTCTCCAATTGCCGTGCAAACATCTTTGAATGTTGACCAATTTACTAAATATTTAAAGGCCATGAAAACCATGATTGAAATGATGGAAATGATCAGGTATGATGAATATAGAAAGGCAGGTAGCACTGTACCTGATATGCCACAACTTATTCCTCAAGACTCACCAACAAGTGCAATTACATCTCCACCTTTTAACCCTCCTCAAACCTTTAATCCACCTACTCCTCAATTCAACCAACCAACTCCAACATTTAATCAACCAACTCCTGTAACAACTGTAAAGAAACCACAAACACAAGATCCAAAGAAACCAAATGTTATTCAAAATATTTTGAATGAGGTTCCAGCAAATGTTGTAGATCAAAATAATTTGTTTATGGATGAACAAGAAAAGGAAAACTTGCTCAGAATACAAGAAGAAGAAGAAGAATTGAGAAGAGAAGAAGAAAGATTGAGAAAGGAAGAAGAGGAAAGACAAAGAATTCAACGTGAAAATGCAAAGCTTTTTGACTCTTTGATGGATAAACATTGGGGAGGAGACGATGAGGAATCTCCTAAAGAAAAGAAAATGTCTTCCTCAGTGTTCAGTTCTCAACCTGCTGCAACTAAGCCTGTTACTTCAGCAGTCAATTCAGGAGAAATCCATTTGGATCAAATGGCTGCCAGAATGAAGTTTGCTGATTCTGACTCTGAAGATGATGAACCACCAAAACCAGTTGTAACAAATAACGATAGAAGACGTTCATCAGAAACTAAGATTTCTCCAAGAAAGTCTCCAATCAGTCAACCAGTAGTTGAATTGGCTCCTTCTAAACCAGAACCAGGTAGTTTGGACTCTATTTTGAACAAGTTTGCAGATGATTCTGATGACGAAGATACTCCTCAACCAACTACTACCTACCAACCAGCAATTTCCAAACCTCTTTCTCCAACCTCTTTCTTACATCATGATTCTGAAAATGACGATGATGCTAGCCCTGTAATTCCACAAAGAAGTACTTACAATTTCCCAAGCAGAAAATCAAATGTTGTCGAGGACGATTTCGACGCTTTATTGTCTAGACATGCAGCTGATTCTGATGACGAATATTAAACGGTCTCTCTTAATTTTTTAATGAAATCCATCTTATTCTTTTCGACTGTTCTTGGTTCTATCGTTATTTTAACTCCAAAATGTTCGTATACATATTGAACAAGTATTTCAATAATTCTGAGTGGTTTGTAGGTATCTAACATTCTCAATACCAAAAAGTTCAAAAATTCAGAAGTCATCTTATACCCCTTATCAGAAAGCAAGCCAAGTAATGGAGCTACATTAGCCTTAAAGTCCCCAATAGATTCACATTCAACTGTAACGGCCTTTCTCAATAAAAATTGAACGGTTAAAGGTGTAATATTTAAAGGTTGTGCGTTAATTAACTCTCTAGACTCTTTTAACTTTCCTATATAGCTCAACAATTGAGAAAGAAGGTTCAATAGTGGAGGATCTATTTCAATTGGATTCAATCTGAAATTAATTTCCTTATAGAGGCCATAAACTTTTTCTTTGTACTCAATTCTATTTTCAAACATGTTTTTTTCATGAGCTACTTTGAGAGCAGAAAGCATCATGTTATATGTGTGACACGAAGGTTTACATCCACCAACTTCAACCATTTCTCTGTAGACTTCAAACATGAAAAGAACATCGTCATAGGTTTCAAATTTGTTTGAAATTAAACACATAATTAAAGTATTGTAAAATGTAGTATCTAAAGCAACAGAATTTTCTCCCTTCTTCAATTCATCATAGATATGGAAAATATATTCAACATCACCCATTTTTTGGAGATATTGAATCATTGTAGTATGTACAAACTTGGTCTTATTAGTGAGTTTGTTATATAATTCCAAAATAGTTTTAGATGTTAATTCCAAGTATGGAGTTCCTCTTACTTCTTCTCCATTGAGAGCTGACTTTAAATCAGCACTATGTGAACCCCTAAGTCCATATAATATAACAGCAATCAAATCGTGGAAAATTCTATTATTCAATTTAAGATTAAGAGCTTCCATGTCGTCCAACAATACTACCTCCAATCTTTTCAACATATTCAATGATGATAAATCTCTATTTTGTTTGGCAGCAAAGAACAAACTCTCAACAGTGTTAATATCAGGTTTGGCTCCACCACTACTTTGATACTTTTCCAAAACTTTAGAGTACATCTCATAAGCTTTTTTGAAATTACCAACACCACCCAAAAGAACTAACATTTCATTGGTTTCTTGAATTGGAATGCTCACTAAATATTTTGGTGCTTCACTTTCAAAAAACCATAAACACTTTTCAATATTTCTTTCTTTCAATGCTTTTCTTAAAGGAAATATAATTTGTTGAAAGTAGTGACTCTTCTCCTCTGGTGAATAGGTTAATTTCTTTTCTTTCTTTTCTATTGTTGATGGTGCAACCTTGTTTTTCTGAAAATCTTTCTTTTCCATATTGATTGGTTTATTCTTCTTTTCCGATGATGATGCTCCAAAGGATTTTTCCTTCTTGAACGAAGGCTTGGATTTTCTTATTGATGATTCCGAGCATAACTTATTCAATTGAGTACTAAATGGTCTTGTTGATTGAAAAATCGGTTGTTGACTAATAACAACTCTAGAACCACAAGTAAATAATTTGCTTGATCCGAGAAGGAAAATCCTCGATGTTGATAACAATTTGCTTGTTTGCATTTTTTTGTAAATTATAAATTATTGAATGTTGATGTTCAATTAATTCAAAAATTAATCAATTTAATAAATTATTCTTCTATGATAAAATCATAGTATTATATTTATTGAGAATTCTTCTTATTCAGAATAGATTCATTGAATGATTTGATATCCTTCTTTTGATTTCCAAAAGTATTGTCAAAGAATTGATCTTCTGGATTCAATCTGAGAGATTGAGGTCTCTGATTAATGGCATGATCAGATGCATAACCAAGTGAGACAATAATTGGAATAGAATAATTACAAGGGAGTCCAACAACTTGTCTAACTCTTCTCTCATCAAATCCTTCCATTGGACAAGTATCTAATCCATGACTACTGGCAGCCAACATGAACGTTTGAACTGGCATCATTGTTTGTTTCCACACATAAGCCTTCATATTGATTGGAGGAACCATCATTGGTTTAAATAAACTCCACACTGAACCAACAACAAATTTGGCAGCTTGTATAATACAGGTTGGATCAGATTTGAGCAATGCAGTTGTGTTTCTAGACATGGTGGCAGCTTCATTCTCACTCATCATTCCATTTTGTACATTCATTGAGATCACTTTACTTTGATTGGCCAATGCATTAAGATTTGCTGCAAAAACAACTGTGATTGGTGCTTCCAAAATCTTGGGTTGAGATAATGCAGCTTCATGAAGAGCCTTCTTCTTTTCTGGATCCGAAACAACAACAGCAGTCCAAGGTTGAAGATTATATCCAGTTGGTGCACGTTGAGTAAGTGCAAGAATATGATTTAATACATCCATTGGAACTGGTTTATCGGAATTGAAAGATTTGATGGCTTTTCTTTGAAGAACGATCTTTTCAAAAATTGCTGCTTCCTCAGGGAACATCTCCTTTCTGGCATCCAATCTAGTAAAATTATAATGATAATTTAAAGATGATGATCCGGTTAGTGATGATGATTTCCTTGTTGATGATGAAATTCTCGAGATTGAGCTGATGATTGTTCTTCTCATTTTTTTTAAGAGTGCTTGGCTTTATTTAAGTTTCTTTGAGAATGCCTTGTGGTGGAAGGATGAGCAGAATCGTTATTTTGGTGGTCGTGCGTAGAATTAAGATACCATGAATTGAGGAATTTCATTAAATTGTTTATTTATAAATATTAGGTGAACCTTTGGGAGATATCTCAAAAAATAGTTTTTTTACTTTAATATTTTTTTAAAAATGGATAAAAAATCAAAAAAATAGACCCAAAGCTGAGGCTATTTTACTAATGGTTTTAAGATATGAAACTGTAATAAATGATGGATTTATAGATTAAATTGAATTGAACATATGGTAAAAATATCAAAACGTAAATACCTGCTATGGAAGCAAAAATTAATCTCGAGTGCCGGGAATTGAACCCGGGTCGCCAGAGTGACAGTCTGGAATGCTACCACTATACCACACCCGATTTCACACATTTGGTATTTTTAATAATATTGCAATGAAACAATTCTCAAATAATAGAACCTTAATGACATTACAAAAAGACTTCAAAATGTTGTAAACCTTGGCAATCATTGTAAATAAAAACCAAAATGGAAATATTCAATAATGCACAGTTGAACATTTTTTGACCCATTTTCTTTATTATCTATTGAACTCCTTGTTCAATTCTCGCAATTAAAGTTCAATGTAATAATGTCACTCTGTGTTTGCTCCATGTTCAACTATTTCAAAGAAGTCTAATCATGAAAAAACAAACAACGACCATAATTCAGTTTTCAAAAAACATCCATCGAGAAAGGTTTTTAAGATTTGTTCGAATTTCCACTCTTTGGTTTCTTCATACTTACCTTGAAGGACATTTCAGTGATCATGCAGACTGAAATGTGAATCTGGAAACTCTCCTCCTTGCACTCTGAGGATGAGTAGCCAGAGTTTGGTCAATAATCAAAGTGGTTGTTGCCCTCCTTCTCAATTTTTTCCTGTGAGGATTCATCTGGTATGATTTCTCGCTCTGTTAAATAATAGAAATTCAATGCGAGTCATTTTTAATATTTTACATAAAAGTTGGATTAAAAGTGTTAGTTTGAAAAAGACTTTTATTAAGCAATCAATATCTTTTTTCTTTAACACTAAGAAAAAGACTACAGCACCACAGGTTCCCAAGTTGTCTCCAACCTCAGTACTGATGTGGCTCGACGATGCTTAACTTCTCAAATCGGACGGGATGAGGTGCATTCATCGTGATATGGCCGTAGTCAATACTTAACTTTAATAAATTGAAAAAACAATTTGCGAATGTAATTCCAATTGAATAATGGGATAATGATTAGAAATAATTTTTACACAACTTTGTTTTATTAAACATTAATAGCTGTATCATTGGAAGCAGTATAAATCTTATCTTCTTCCAAAAGAGATGAAGTGAGATCAGTACTTGAGGATGGAACTGATGGAGTGCCCAAAGTTTCAACTTGGAAGTGGCTCTTTGAGTTTGGCAAAAAGTGAGATTCTCCTGAAACGTCTTCGAGAGCTTGACCAAGTGTTTCTCTTGGAAGGAAGATTGCAGCCACACCACTAATGAAGAATGCAATACCAAACACAAGGAATGGAATAAAGTAATTCTCCTTCAACAAGACTTCACCAACAATTGGAGTAATTGTACCAGCCAATCTTGTAAATGCAGAACATGTTCCCATACCAGTAGCTCTGAAAGAGGTTGGGTAAAATTCCGGTGTATACGTGTAAACAACTGAAGAAGATGTGAAGAATTGATAATTTTTGTAAAGTGACAAACTTACCTGCCCATGGGAATGAAGAGAAGAAATTACTCAACATTGAAAATACCAATACATAGATTGGATCTTCACTAATACCAACAACTGCTGTTAATAAACCAGTAATAATAAATGTACTACTCATCAAGGCTCTTCTACTAATTCTATCAATAATAAATAAAGTGAAAATGTTTGAGATGAATCCTACACCAGTTACATAGAAAGTATTCAAATACACGTTATTGTTCTGCAATTTGATAAATACAATTGGTAACAAGACTGTATAATTGTTAAATAATCGCTGTAATAATGGAATACTTACAATTAACTATTAAAATACGTTAACTTGATATGGAAATTAATATTATACTTACATCCCCAGCCACCAAAACTCATAAAGAACCAAATAATCCACAACAGGAATGAACCAAGAATGTAATCTTTAGCGAATAAATTCTTCAATTGTTCCCAAGGACTCAGTTGCTTTTCAACTTTTGGAAGTCTGAGTCTCCACTTGGATCTTCTGAAAATCCATCCCTTCTTTGGATCATCTCTAGAAATACAATTGACCTCAGCCATAGTGTTGATAACCTTGTGAACTTCAGATGCCTTATTTCTGAGAGCATTGAATCTTGGACTTTCTGGAACAAATAAACGTGAAATAAATATTACAAAACCAGGAATTGAACTCAAAGCAACAACCCATCTCCATGAGGTCTCTAAACTGAAACCACCAGCTTGTAAACAGATCCAGGCAATTAAACACTCGAAAGCAGCTCCAATACTCCAATAAATGTTCAAAACACCCAAAATAGCACCTCTATTCTTTGGTGGAATGAATTCCATAACTAACATGATAATTAGAAAACTTTGAAATATTTTCATACTCACATAATGAAAAATCAACTATTAATTATTTAAATAAATGATATGAATTTGATAAATTTAAGCAGCCAATCAACTTGATACAAACCTGGAACCATCGCACCTAAACCCAATCCAACAAAGAATCTAAGGAAAATAAAAGCTATGTATCCATTAGAAAATGAAGAGGCAAGCCCAAATGTTGCACTAATAAATACACTGCCACAAAAGATCCACTTTACAATTTTCAGAAAACTCCTCAATTATTAATAAACTTACTTTTCTTCCAACCTTATCAGAAACAATTCCTATTTTCAAACATGATTTAGAATTAAGCAATTAATACTAAATTTTGATTTTTAAAAACTAACCTCCCAACCAAGCTCCAATCATCATGCCTGCAAAAACAGCACTTCCCAAAGATCCAGCTTGGACTGGAGTCATTGACCATTCATCAGTTAATTGTGGAATAATAAAACTAATCATTGTCAACTCGATACCATCAAATAACCAACCTAATAGGATTAAAATCTCCCAACACATTATTAGATTGTCACTTACCAGCACCACAAATATTCATTAGGAATATTTGATACCATCCAAATCCAATATATTCGACAGCCTCTTCAAAGGTCATTACTTTAGTTCCATCATCATCGAAATCATTCTTATTATTGTTATTTGGTGGATTGTTTCCATTAGATGAGGAGGATGGAATAAAAACCGATGATGAAGTATTGTTGTTGTATGTTTGAGAATTATTGTAAACATCATCTAATTGATCATCAATAGGAACACTTCCTCCCTGACTAAAAATTGGTTCTTGTTTTGGTGTTGTTGATTGAAGTACAACAGGTTCCTGTATCAAGAGAGAATCGCCATCATCATCCACTTGTTGATAGGCACTTGTATTAGTGGTAGCTGGCTTCTTCTTTTTTCCCATTTTTTTGTTGTTTGATGACAGTTGATTTTTAAGGAGATGATGTTGAGTCACTCTCAGTGAATTTCGAAAGGCGTACAAAACAACAATGTTTCATTAAAATTATAATTAAGATATTTCATGATTTTTATTTTCGTTTTTTAGTTTTCTGTTCGAAATGATCTACAAATTGAAATTGGGATTTTGTTTCTTTTTTTTGTTTTTTTTGGTTTGTCATATCTATCCAATCTGTAGTAGTAGTTGGATTCTTAGGTTCACTCAAAGGTATGTTCATTGAATGATTTCTGCTGTTATTTACATGATGATAATTGGTGGTTGACGATTGAGAATTGTTTTGAGAATTTGGAATTGTTGTTGCAGGTGTACTTCTTCTATCCTCAATTTGGTATGAATGATATTGGTTGGAGGAATAATTATTGATCTGTCTATTGAAAGATTGATTTTGTAAATTATCAGTCGAGCCAGTGTGATGAGTTTCATTGTTATTATTTGAATAATGCTGAGGTGCATGTTGATAATAGCATTGATTATTTGAATTAATGTTAATGCCGTGTTGTTGACTCAGTTGTTCATGAAGATTTTCATTAGAACTTCTCAACTTTTTCAATTGTTCCATGAAGGCATATCCCCTTTCTGAATTGGCAAACATTTGCTGCTGTTCTTCAGGGCTAGATGAGAGAAATAAATGTCTTGTCTTTGAATCTGTGAGCTGAATATTCATTGTATAATTCATGGAGGGACGACTTGGAGGTGAATGAATTCTGCCATTACTGTTGACTTTCGTATCTGTGGAAGAATCTGAAGAGCTTGGTGTATTTCTTGAAAAACTTTCACTCTTCTTCATAGTATTGATAGGACTGAGAGAATTCTTGTGTTGACTTTGGTATTCGGTCAAATTTCTCTTGTGACTATTTTGAGCTCGTGCTAATAAAGTAAAAATTTAGTAACTAATAATCAGAGATAGAATATTACTCACCTTCATCAATATTCTCAGAGCTGCCATTTAACATGTCTGATTTGGAGCTATAGTATCCATTGCTGTTTCCAAGAGCATAATTTGATGAGAGATTTGACGATGAGGAAGAGGAGGATTGTGAAATGATCATACTCGTTGAACCATTTTGAGGAGTGTTGCTTTGATTGTTGCTAACACCACTGCTTGCATTCAATAGAGAGGAAGCATTTGTTTGATTTGGAGGTGATTGATTTGGCGTCATTGAACCACCACTATTTGAATTACCACCATTCTCAATTGTGGTCATAATATTTGATGTCATTGAACCACCACCATTTGCATTACCATTAGTAGTAGTAGGAGCAGTTGTATTTGGTAATGTTGAAGATGATTTTACCACATTGATAAACTTAAATCTGGGAGGAGAGGGTCTTCTCTTTCTATTGTTGTTCCATAAATTGGATTGATGAAGTCGGGTCTTCTCGTGATGCCTCCATGATTTAACCTCTATGTGTGTTTTCAATTATAATTGAGAAAGAGAATCATTAATCACAATATGGTAAAAGTTATCAAAAGGAATGGTTGATTAATTTCAAGCTCAATACTCTATAATTATACTAACCTTTGTTACACATATCACACCAAACAATCATTGAAGCATCTGCATTGGTTGGCTCATCATCATCATTGGCTTCCAAATTGTTATTATTATTATCCAACTCTCTGACGGAAACCTCTGTTATTGTAGACTCTTGTTCATTGAAGCAGCTCTCTTTAGTAATGATCTTATTCATTACATTGTTCTCTCCGTCATCAATAACAAGTTCTCCCGAATTGTTGATATTATTTTGTTGGCTAATGTTTCTTGTGGTTATTGGTGGTAATTTGTATTCTTCTGGCCCTCTTAAATTGGATGATGTGGTGTTGTTATGATGGTAATCATCCTGTGGGTATCGGATGTTGTGATTATTGGAATTTTCATCACCATTGTATGGTGGTGTTTCTTTTCTAATTGAGAGATGGCTTCTATCACCTATAGTTGAGGATGTGATTATTCTCGTCGAATGCTCTCTATTTTCATTAATTGGTTCATTATTCTTCGTCATTAAATAATGACCTTCTTCTAATTGTTGTGGTTGCTGACTTGAAATAATATTCATCGTTGGATCCTTTGAATCTTTTGAATGACCAGATGTATCAACACCCTCTTGCCCAGGCAGTGGAGGTTCTTTATTCATTGTTTTGTTTATGATGGATGAGCTTATTCAAAAATAAAAATGGTCAAATCCCTCCCCTCGAGATTTGATTCTCCGATGATTGAGCTTATTGCATTCGGTTATAGGTAGAATGTGCCTGCTCCTTAGATTTTTTTGAATATTTTGCTAGAGATATCATTGTGCTACAACACCAAAAGCAAAACATGTTTCTCAGGAGAGGATTTGGATTTTTAACTCAGGAGTGTGATCGAAGGAGATTGAAACAGATTGTGACTTTTTTTGAGAAAGTTATTGAGACAATTCATACAAAAACCTTCTTAGTTCACTCCTCACATTCAAATGTTTTACAGCTATAGTGGATAGGATTCGATTACAATTTTGTATGAACGACTCTTTTAAGCTAGCATATAACTAATTGACCATTCTTGAAAGAATTTAATAAATGTTTTATTAAGGCTTGCATTGAAACTATATTGTAATAATTTTGACTGTTGCAACAATTTTCTTACAAGAATATCAAACACGTGTTCCTAAAATAAATTCCGTAACAATATTGAAAAAAAAATGATCGCCAACAACAAGGAAACTTTATCATCCGATAAAATCAGTGTAAATTTTAGAACAAATGTGGATAATAGGACACGTGATACAAATATGATGATCAACAAATCGGATACTGTTCTCCATCTTAAAGAAGTTTTGAATGGTAAAGGAATTATAGAAAATATTAGTCAATGTAAAATGATTTTCTCGGGAAAGATTCAAACCAATGATCAAACATTTTCTCAAGTTTTGGAGAGGATTGATACCTCTGTAACACCAACAATTCACTTGATTGGTGGTTTGTGTAAAACTCAACCAGAAGTACCATCAGCAACATCATCAAAACCATCGGAGCCTACAGCAGAGTTGAAATCACCAACCACTCCACTCACTCCATCAACACCTTCAACTCCAAATTCCTATCTATTACTTCAAAAACAATTGCTTTTGCAACAACAAATGCTAATGACTCAAATGATGATGAATCAATTAATATTAGCAAATTCTCCAACGCTGGTTCAATCAGCACCTGCTGGGGTTAACTTTAATTCAAACATTTTCTCGCCAACAGTTCCATCTACACCACTTTCACCATTTTCTGCAAGTGCCTTCCAACCTTCTCAAAATGTTTTCAATACTGTCAGTACAAATGTTTCCACACCAAAACCTCAAGCAACTGAAACCAAAACAGATTCAACAGTAACAAATGATCAAATCAAACCACTATCCCAAGAAGAGGAAGGTCCAATTATTGAGGATATTCCAGAGAATCAAGAACTTCAACGTGAAGTTCCTGCTGCAGCCCAAGAAAATATTCCACAACAAAATGTAGCAGCACCTCAAAGATTAATTCAAGAAGAAAATCCACAACCACAAGAAAATGCATATGATTATATTTATACTTTTGGAAAAGTTTTATTGGTTTCGACAGTAGTTTTTGCAAAGGAAGGATGGGTAACTTGGATTTTATGTACATTAGGATTCTTTTTTGCAATCTTACTTTTAAAGTATCTCAATAATGTGATACATAGACGTGTTGTCAGAGATCAAGAAAGAAGAGAAAGAGAGGAGCAAGCAAGACTTAATGAGGAATCTACAGAAGAAACTACAACTATTGAAAATAATGTGGACAATGCTACAGTAGAAAGAGGAGTTATTGGTACGCTAGTGCATGTCGTTTATCTGTTCTTCATTTCGTTAGCACCTACTTATCAACCAAGAAGAAGGTCTGTAAGAGAAGAAGAGGAGCAACTTCATGAAGATTAATTAATTTTTCAAAGAATAAATTGCTATTTTTCCATCCTTATTTCCAACCACTAATTGCTTTCTATCTTCACAAAACGAAATTGAAGTTATGTTATCGAAATCTCTACATTCTACACTAGTTAATAAAGATCCAGTTTTGATATCTGATGCATGAATTGAAAGTTTACATGCTGAATCCGTACAGAGAGATATTATAACTTTCTCATCTTTTGTAACTGTGAAACAACAAGAATTTTCTGAAACAACTTGGTGATCTTCCAATCTTAAAATTTAAGAATAACTGATTATTACGAACTTACTCCATCTCTAAGGAACCTTTCAAGTCCCATATTGCCATCTCTTTAGATTCCTGTACACCTATTATTTTCCCCCACTTGTGAAGAAAGATGAAAGTTTTTGGTATCTCAAAGCTTTTTTGAACGGCAACAATCTTATTCTTTTTTAGATCAATAACTGTAAGTTTCCTTCTCTCCTGCATGAAGAACAAGTGATTTCCAAAATATTCGAGAAATGTTAGCTTTCCTCTGTCCTTAGTTTTGAGTTTCATTGAGAAAATCTCATTTCCAGAGTTATAATCTACAATTTTCAAAGGTACAACATTCTTGTTTTCCAAAAATCTAACGCATATTCCCATTGGACTTCAATTTCCCGATAAATTAATATTGAACAAGACTAATTTAAACTTACCTTAATTTTACATCTTGAATGAATTTCCCTGTCATTTCAAATCTTAGAGTATAATCTTTCATATCCCAAACTTTGTAAGAGCTTGTTATGAGTTAAAATCATATCTCATACTAAATTTACTTACTTCTTAGAAGCAGTGAATGAAAGCAAAACTTGATGAAAATTATCAATTTCTACAAAACTAGGAAAGGACAAATCTTCCATTGTTAGTAGCTGCTCACATAATTCATATTTACACTGTACAATATTACTAATTAAATACCTTAAATAGGATGAAACTCTATCGCAAATATCTTACCTAATCGAAATGCTCTTGCATAAAATTCGTTGACCATGATTACTAGAGAAATAAAGCAATATTAAACTTGAGTTGTACTTGTTCAAACTGATACTTGATACTTCCTCATTCTCTCTATTTATGATTCCCTCCAATTTATTCCCATCTATTAAATCAAATTATAAATAATTATAATTATTTATCATTATCATCTTACCTCTATTATATGAGTAAACTAAACCTTTTGAAGTCAAAACAAAGAAATGATCTATAGTACAGACAACATCCTCAATAGCTCCAATTGATTCTCCGATACTGATCATTTTCTTTTTCATTTAGAATTCTAAAGTTTCATTCACCTTACCTCCTTAATCATATCACCGAATAGTATTTTGTGCCTATTACATTCCAATATTCTATTTGCACCCTCATCACGCTTACATTTATCAATCAATTGAAGTAATGTTTCATCCTTGAATATTTCTACGTAAGGTAAATGTGATCTTCTTCTCTTTCCTGATTGATCATCTTCCTCACTCAATGGCTTTCTTTTCATTTAAATAACAAACTCTCTTTGGATCAATTTTTTTTCGGGCGTTTTGCACCAATAACTCCAGAATCTCTCTTGAACATTCCCTTAAATTGTTTGTAAAATTTAAAATAAAATGTCTGAATACGTCGTCCCTGTTGCTGAATTCGAAGAAACCAAGGTATGTCATACTACCATCACGGAAGTTTTTAATCATTTTCATCAATTTTTTCTATGATAGTATTTGTGTACTTGTGGTTTGTCTGCCACCAAGCCAGTAAGTAATTTTTTATTCCATGATGATGGAATAATGTCGTCATCTTTTTAACAATGTATTTAATAATTGCTAGTATTGTGATGGTGCTCACGCCAAGCAAGGTACTCCATTCAAGCCATTGACTTTGAAGATTAGCGAAGGAAAGGTTTCCATGACTATCATCAGAGAAAAGGTTTTGGCTTCTGAAGCTGCCAAGCCAGCTGAACCAAAGAACTACACTGGTCTCTTTGCTTTCTCCCTCTTGACTGTTTCCATCTTGGCCATCAAGTCTGCTCTCAACTAAATAGAACAATAAAATATAATCATTAGTTTATGATTTATGCAACATCAATGAAAATTTCTATTATCCTCTAATTTCTTCAAAGCTATAATACCGAACACACTGGAAGAATCATAAACAACCAATAATCATTTTTAGGTTGTTAAATAGTAATAGTTACCATTTGGCATAAAAAGACCGAGTACAGACCTCTGATAAAGTGCCTTACAATTATTAGGGAGAGATGAAGGTAATTGTGATGAGGTACGTACCTCGTCTTGTGTTGTCCTAGAAGAAAGAGGGTGATTATACTGAATCCATACAATTTAAAAAAACAACACAACAACATTAATTCCGAAATGACTCTTCCATTACCAAACGTTTGTGACAATATCTTGTACACTGAAGAACAACTCCAACAACGTGTCAAGGAATTGGCTCACCAAATCACAGAACACTACAAGAGTATTTTGGAAGAAGGTGAATCATTGATCTTGGTTCCAGTTTTGAAGGGTTCATACATTTTTGCTGCTGATTTGAGTAGACATATTGGTAAGTTTAGTGATTTGTCAGTGCAATCTTATTAATTATTTCAATCATTCAAATTGTATTATTGTAATTAAATAGGTGTTCCAGTTACAACTGATTTCATTGCATTGAGCTCATATCAAGACAGTATTACTTCAAGTGGTGAAGTTAAGATTATCATGGACACTAGAAAATCAATGTGCAGAAAACATGTTTTGATTATTGAAGATATTATTGATACTGGTTATACATTGAGTTTCTTGAGCAGTTTATTCCAAACCAGAAGTGTCAAGTCCATTAAGACTTGTGTCTTGTTGACTGCCCCTAAGAAGAAGAGAAAGATTGAAAATTTCAATGCTGATTTTATTGGATTTGATATTGGTGAAAAATTCGTTGTTGGATACGGTTTGGACTTTGGTGAATTATATAGAAATCTTCCATACATTGCTGAATTGAAGCAAGAAATTATTGACCAAATTAAGAACCACTGCTAACTTGTAAATTCCACTTTGAGAATTCCACTAAAATTTTGTAAAAACACACCATAATCCCATATAATTACGACGAAGAATAAACTAATGATGAACTAGGTTTTTCATTTCCATTATTTCCTCTCCTTAAATTTCTCTCTTGCCTTACTCTTTGAAAGGTTGTTAAAAAGTAATTGAAAAATCGTCCTGTTAATGAATTGGAAATCAAATGAACAACCATATTTGTAGAATTAATAGGTGTTGTTTGATTCATATTGGTTGTTACTGTTGATGATGGTGAAACAAGCCAAGTCGATGAAGGATTATTTCCAATTCTTGATGAAATTATTTGATGATCTTCCTGTTGAATTTTACCATTTCCATTCGGAATTGATTCATGAGTGAGCATTCCCAAAGCTTCTTCCTCCTTTTTAATCATGTAGACAATTTGCATCGGATCTTTGTTTTTAAACTTTAAATCTTTGCATCAATAATCAACAATACTATTGAAAAACCTACATGCTTGAATCGTGATGTATTCTTATCGACTGGAGTGATCATCAAGGCAATTAAACCACACACTGAAATTGCCAATACTACTCATTCCGAATTGAGTTATTGAAAATTAAAATCCACCACTTACCAATATCAATCATTTTTTTAAAATTGTGTATTAATTATTGGATCAAAGATGAGAATATTATATTATAAATATATTTTCTTTGGTGTTTAAAATTATTTATGTTTGTTATGTCAAAATTATAAATCTATAAATTAAAATGTTTGAATTGATGATTGATAATTAATTTAATAAATAAAAATGACTGATTTGGAGGATGCGGAATTTGAAGAACATTTACTCAATAGAAGGAAACAAGAAAATGTATGATTGTTATTATTATCTAATGATCATGACTGTTATAATTGATATCAAAATGTGGATAATTTTAACCACCAAATCGATTATGCTCAATAGAAATCAAAAGCAATATTGGTGTTAGGCTTGGTAGGAATTGCCATTGTTACAATAGCCTTCACTTTAGCTACAGCAATTCCTCTAGGGATGGAGGCAGCTGCAGCTGCTGGAGCCTCCGAAGATGAAATTAAAAGTACCCTGAATGATAAATGTACTTTTGGATTGGTGATTTCTGGTAGAGAAGGTGGATTGTTGGAATCGGATTTGACAAATGTATTATTGAGAACAAATTCTAGTAGAGGAAATTTCATTAGTTTGGATGCTGGAATTCTATTATCTGGAATTTACAAGTTTGTTAGTAGTGAGACGAATAATCAAACATTTATCAAATTGTTATTCCCTAACTTACCATCATGGTTATCATCTGTGGATATGTCTAGTCTGAAAACTACAAGCGAGAAGAATCAATATTACTTATCATTGTCTGGTTATATTATGAAACAGTTCATTTTGGGGTACTTTATTGGACATGCACATTTGGATCATCTATCTGGCTTGGTCATTTCATCACCTGAAGGAACCTTTATGGATACCTCAACCAAGGACTATCAAATACCATCCAGTAAGAGGATAATTACATCTACTGAGGTTATTAGTGCTATTAATTCGAGCTTGTTTAATGATAAGGTATGGCCAGATATTCCAAAGTACACACCATGGTATCAATATCAACCTATTGAACACAATATTAATTACTATGTCAATGATTTAATTTATATGAGTCCAAATTCATTTAATCCTAAAATTGATACCCACCAACTTATTGGAAGTAATTATTTATTTTCAGATACAACTGTGAAATCTTTCTCACTCTGCCACTCTCTCCCATCAGCTGCCTTCCTATTTGAACATGATAATGTTCAACTCATTTTCTTCTCTGACACTGGATCAAACACATATTCTTCTTGTGATTGGAGATCAAAGATCACTGCTGTGTGGAACGCTGTTGACATTAGTAAATTGAGGGTAATTATTATTGAGGTGAGCTTTACAAATGAAGCTCAAGATTCAGAGTTGTACGGTCATATGAGACCAAAGGATTTAGTTCTCATACTGAAAGAGTTGAGTAACTTGAAAGGGGACAAATTAAGCTCTCTCACTATTGTAGTGACACATATCAAACCTACTTTCACAAGCACATTCAGTGAAAGTGCCCAAGTACTCATTCAAAAACAATTGCAAAGTGGACTTAAGGAAGCTTCACTTGATTGTGCTGTTACCATTCCAGAACAAGGTCAATTTTTATGTTTCTATTAAAATTGATTACAATGATTATTACTGATAATATAAATGAAAGTTTAATAGCTCAATAATCCTCCACCACGCTTTTTCCTGTAAGTTAAAACTTGGAAAGCAAGAACAAAGTCAACAAAGAGTTGGAAAGAACCACATAATACGAATTGAATTGGCAATCCCTTATGATAAAAGTAACCAGTCTTATAAGCATCACCAAGGAAGAAAGTTCCAAGTAAAACCCATGACAAGCCCTCAGCAGATCCTTCCCTATAATTTCTATAAACTTGTGGAACAGCCAAAACAGCTTCAGTAAATAAAGCAGCACCTCCAAGTAATTCACCATAAAAATCTCCAAAAATTGGATGTAAAATCAATGAAACAAGTCCAACAACCAATGAAAAGAGAATCAAGAATGTCAAATAACTAGAAATATTAATCCAATTCCAAAAACTACGGACAGGGCTGGTAAAGATTGTTCCATTTTCAGTTGAACGAAAACGAATACAGAAGAAAATCAAAACAACTTGACATGCAATCATCAAGATAGATTGATAGAGAAGAACATTCTCAAATTCTTTGTAATATCTAAAAAAGCAACGACTATTATCATCCGAAATATTAACAATTCCAACATGAGTATTATATCATCATCAAACATACAGAATGTTAGCAATAAGCAAAATCAAACTGATGAATTTGCTGAATCCGCCACTTGATTTAGTATTCACAAATTGTCTAATTTGATCAATATAACCAGCACATGGTCCGACAATCATCAAAACATCGGCCAACATGGAAACTATTGCAGACATTTTTTTCTTTTAAATCCTCCAACAGTTACAAAGATAATTTCCACAACAAGAATAATTACGTGGCCATCATCAAAGTGTTAATTTCGTATTCAAAGCCTATTCGAATTTCAATTATTTCCATCATGAATAATAAATATGAAAATAAGAAGAATATTTAACTAAAATCCAATTTATAAATCGTCACTCTTCCGTAGAAATCTGCTGAATCATTGAAAATAATTTTCAATTTGGTACAAGTGGCTCCCAAATCGAATATCTAAATTCCAAATCAATGTATTATTATTATTTACATGTCAATATATTCATTCCGATGATTTAATAATCAAAACATACCTGTTCAGTTGAAATGTCATCAGGATAGAAATCGGATTGGAGTGATAATTCTTCATTTCCATTAGCAATCAAGAATTGACCATCCTTTCCAGCAAATCCACCTTGAAAGACCATATGTACCTTGTTGATTTGAACAGGTTCTTTAAATTCCAAATAAATATATTGTGGTTTTCCTTGATGACTATTCCAACAAGTTTCATCACTTCCATCAAATAGGAATTGTTTTCCGAATTCTTTATTATTCTTATTGAGTACGGAGCTTACTTTATAACTAGCAATAGATTCAACAATTGAAGACATTTTTTTCAATTACTGTAAAATTTACAAAAACTTTGTTGAAGAAATTGAAAGTTTATTTCCTTTCTTGTTGTTGTCTTGTTGAAATATCTATTTCCTCATCATCATTCAATTTAATATCCTTAATCTTTTCAGAAACCTTCTCTAATTGATTCAAAAAAGTTTCTTCTTCATTGATGAAAGCTTGAAGACTGACTTTGGACTTTTTAGAAATCTCTTTCAATAATTCAGATTCAATACCATCTTCTTCTTGTTGTAAAGCCAATTCAACTTCATCCTCTTTTTTAGTTTCAACTTGTTGATATGCTTTAAAACGTTCAACCATATAAAAACTTTGCAATGGTATTAAACACATTCCTGATAATGTTCCAAATATTAATCCATATCCAATTGAGGCAATAGTAAGTGAAAGAGCTCCAGAAGCTGTACCAATTCCCATAAATAAATTAGGAACTGATGCCAGTAAACCAAAAACTCCACCTGAAACAGTTCCAGCAATTGGTTTATGTAAAATATTCAATTGATTAACTCTCTCCTTTAAAAAATCATTCTCCTCAATGGTTTTTAATTGATCCTCTGTGAGTGTAACTTTGGCAATTTGTCCCGAAATTGATTGAATTTGATATTTGAGCGAATTTTCGTCCTTTTCATCGTCGTTTGAATAGTAACAATTGAAAACATTCTTACTTCTCAATAATAAATCAATAGATGAAAATGAGAATGCAAATAATCCAACATTTGTGGCAAATCTAAATGCCTGATGAAACAAGTGAGCCAAAATAATATGTTTTCTATCAACTCGAGTCGATTGTGGATCATATTCTGTATTGACATTATCTTGGCTGCTCTTATTTGGATTAAATTCGTTTGGTGATGGTGGATTTTCCTTTAAATTTTGCTTTTCCTTCATTTGTTTTCTGTAGAATAAATTAGTTCTCATCTTATCGAGGGTTGCTGTTGGGATTTTAATATTTCTCATATTTAAATATCCTCGTGTTCCTCCATATACAGCTCCAAAGAAAATTCCATAGGCAGTCATTTCTGCCACTTCTCTAATACTAAAAAGTGTTGATGGTGAAAAGGAATTGCTCTCCGAATTTTTGGCATCCTTTCTAGAGGTGACTGTTGGTAAATCTGTTTTTGTCATTTTTTAATTTGTGTTAAAAGAATTGAGATAATTATTCTCTGTTGTAATTACAGAGTAAGATAATAATAATTGCAAAAATGTTTTTACATAAATTAATTATATTAGTTTTAATATTTAAAGATTCTTAATAATTTCGTTGGTATATTCAGAACAAGTAGACTTGCCACCCAAGTCACCAGTCAAAACCTTACCTTCAGTAAGAACCTTCATGACAGACTTTTCAATACGAGCAGCAGTGTCATGCATTTGCAAGTGTCTCAACATCATCAAAGCACTCAACAAGAGAGCAGTTGGGTTGGCCTTATCTTGACCAGCAATATCAGGGGCAGTACCGTGGACAGCTTCGAAAACTGAAGCATGTTCACCAAAGTTACCTGAAGGTGTCAAACCCAAACCACCAATCAAACCAGCACACAAATCAGACAAAATATCACCATACAAGTTTGGTGTGACACAGACGTCGAATTCTTGTGGATAACGAACGAGCTTCATGCAACAAGCATCGACAATGACTTCTTCGTATTTAATATTTGGGTATTTCTTAGCAACTTCTCTGCAACATTCCAAGAAGAGACCATCACTCATCTTCATGCTAAATTAAAGTTAGTTTACAATTAAGGTTAAACAAAAAAAACTTACATGTTGGCCTTGTGGACAGCAGTGACCTTCTTTCTAGAGTTTTCAGAAGCATATCTGAAAGCATATTCAGCAATACGCATAGATGACTTTTGAGTAATGACCTTCAATGATTCAACAACACCTGGGACAACTTCGTGTTCCAAACCAGAGTATTCACCTTCAGTGTTTTCTCTGACAACGACAACATCAACGTGTGGATAACCAGTCTTAATAGCTGGAATACTGACAGCTGGTCTAACGTTGGCATAGAGTTCCAAAGCTTGTCTCAAAGTAATATTCAAAGATCTGTATCCTTTACCAATTGGTGTAGCCAAAGGACCCTTCAAACCAACCTTGTTCTTTCTGACACTGGCAAGAGCTTCTGGAGAAATCAAGTCAACACTTCCAGGTTGTGGGACACCAATATCGTGGGTTTCCCATGAAATATTAGCACCAGCGGCATCAAGAATCTTAACAACAGCAGCAGAAATTTCAGGACCTGAAATAAATTGATTGATGAAGGTTCGTCAATTTTGAATGTTCATAGATATGTTGAATAGTAGTAAATATTAATTTGGATTCAATATTATATCCATTTACGGAACAAGTTTTGTCAATATTATAATATTAATACCATCACAAACATCAAATAATACAAAAACAATGTATATACAACTAGAAACTAAAAGTAAACCTACCAATACCGTGTCCAGGGAACAAGGTAGCAGTAATCTTTTGTTGCAAAAGGCTGCTTTGAGTAGAGAAGAATCTTTGTTGTTGGGTAGTGAAGGCAGAACGGAGGAGTGATGATGAGGCTCTCTTGAACATTTTTTTGTGTTTTATTATAAATTTTAAAAAAACCGTTTCGAAAATTATTTGATGATTTAGCAGCACCAAAGAAAAGAATCATTAAAACATTGTTGAGAGAGAAAACATCAAATCCCGATTATAAAACAGAATGGGAGAATTTAAATCTGTGCTGATATCCCTCCAATGCATCTACTGCTTGAAAATTGGTCCATGTAGTGGCTTTGGTTATTCCTTTCGGCGATTTTGTTTAAAGCTTGATGGGTTTTATATTATTCTTCAAATGGAAAACTAACCAATCTTACAAAAGTACTGAGTTTACTCAACAGCCTTTGAATCCAAAGTAGAAGAACAAGGTGAATTAATGAACATGTTTGAAAATAATATTGAACAAGCAAATGACTGTATGGATCAAGCAAATGAAGAATTGAGAAAATTAAATAAGAAAGATGATACTAAATTACCATTTCCATATAATATTTTACAACCTATGTCGTGATTAAATTAATGCAATATCAAACCACGATTTAAAAAAATGAGTAGTCATCATGATGAGGCTAACAATCACGAATTGCAGGAAAATCGTTCGGTGAATGGAGCACTTGGTGATGATATGACTCACCATCACGATCCTGTTTTATCTTCTTCAACAGATGGTGGTGATGAGCATCATTCTTCATTATTAGGAAACGATTCTTTAAATAATCGAGTTGTGGATGATGACAATCCTGTACAGCCGAATGTGTTGACCACTAATAATAATAATCAGAATTTAAATGTTTCTAGAAATGATTTTTTAATGCAGAGTTTGGGTGGACAAAATTTGTCAAGTTTATTAGCACAATTTCAAAACAATCAAACCAATCAAAATAATAGTAATAATCAAGGAGGAGATGCAACTCAAAATAACAATACAAATACTCAACCAACTACTGGAAGAAGACTGGAGATCAATTTTAGAGATTTGGCATTTTTCGCGTTTAGAATTCTGCCACTGGTTGTGTTACCACTTGCCTTGTTAATGTATTGGCACTATACTGGCGTGTTGATCTCAATTTGGGTTATTATTACAACCATTAGCTCAGATGTCAAACTCAAGGAACAAGTGAGCTTGAAAACTGCAAGAAAAATTTTCATTCTTTTATTGAATGGCTTTATTCTTGCAGTATCAATTGGAGTGATGTTTTTATTCTTCTCTCAATATCAAATTTGGAATTTTATGGCATATTCAACAACTATTATTGATGAAAAGGACGTTTTAGTTACCTTTCTTGATTGTTTATTCTTTGTTTTTGTTGTAGATACTATTGTAAAATTTACTGGCATGCTTTTAAAGCATTTAATAGTGGTGATATTACCTTCATTTGTAAAGCCAATTCAAGTTGGAAGAATTTTGGCCATAGTAGAGGTATTCACACAATTGTATAGAATTTCCCTTCCTCCTAATATTTGGGTTAGATATTTATTAGGCTCATATAATCAAATATTTGCAATCATTGTTCTTGTAATTTATGGAATATTCAAGGTTGGAGGAGCCATCTCATTGGTGTTTGACTTGATCATTACTTGTAAGAATCTCTTTTCACCTACCTGCCCATTTGGAAGGCCAGTTTCAGCTTCTGAATTGACCGAGTTGGGCGAAGCTGAATGTAGTATTTGTTTGCAGCCATTTAATAGACCTGTTAAATTGGGTTGTAACCACATTTACTGTGAACAATGCATCACTGAATGGGCTAGCTCTGGAAATCAGACTGCTACTCAATGTCCTGTATGCAGAACAGCAATCAGTGGTGTGCCTTCCTCTTCAAAATTTGAAAAAGGTGGAACTGCTCTTTTTTGTGTAATGTAATAATTATTTATTCTTTGTGTATAATTGAATAAATTCTGAAATAGCTTCTGTAGATGAGAGAGTGAAAAATCTATTTCTATTATCATCATCATCCATTTCATTTTCCAATGTTGATGAGCTTGGTCCTATTTCTTCATCGTCTGCCATTTCATTATAAGTGAAAGAAATTGGTGTCATATTTTCGAATGATTTAATATCACTAACAAGTTGACCTTTTTCGTTTATCCACTTTAATTGATATTGAGCAGCAGCTCTCTTACATTTCTTAATCGATCCACTTGTTGCCATTGTTCTCAAAATATATACTTCATTGTTTGTTGAAATTTTCATCAGGGAGAGTACTGTTGTCATGATGGAAAATAATTTTTGTGGACAAGCCAAAATAGCCAAGCCTGTCTTTTCATTGAAATAAATAAATTTATGATAAAACCTAGAAAACATTGCATGAGCAAGTGAATACAATCCAAACCATTCCTCAATTAAAATTTGTATTTGTTTTAAAACTCTATCGGGAGTAATATTTCCAATAAATGATTTTTCAAATTCGTTATTTTTTTGTTTCCGAGCAAGAGCTTGTGGATCATGATATGTAGAAAGGGGTATAAATTCCAATAGGAAATATCTTTGTTTTTTACGTTTTGAATAGTCAATAAATACTCTCTTCTTTCGCTTATTGTTATGTCGCAACATTTTTTAATTTTAAAAATTCAAAAAAACAAATTTAAAAGCTAGATGAAATAAAAAGGCTTTTTTGAATGCAATTTCATAGTTGATGATGAAGAAAAATCAAAATGTAAAGGATGCCTCGATCAATCATTCGGAAACAATATTTAAAAGAATGATAATTTCCAATAGTAGTGATCAAAATTCTAAACCTACCAATTATTGTTGGAATTTAGAGAAGAGGGATTATAAAAGAAATTTATTTGAAATGTCTAAAGATTGTGATGAGGATGAAAAATCAAAAGAATTAACCAAATCAAATGAAACTGTGGAAAATGAATTGGAATTAATGAAAAGAAAGAAGCCATTCATTTCAGATCTTACAGATGAAGATTTTATTTTTACACGAACAATTGCAAACCAAATTAAGGAAACGAATGAGAAATTAGCAAACAATATTGAACTGGACGATGATGAAATTCTTATAGAATATGACACTTTGGAAGCTGCCTTATTATTAGATGATTAATTTAAAGATTTATTCTAGATTATCTTAGTTATTGAACAATAAAATTGGAGAGTTTACTCGTCATCGTCATAATGATTTCCTGGAGTAATTGGATTTGAACCTGGTGTCATTGGATGCATACCTGGAGTGGATGGGTGCATCATTCCAGGGGTCATTGGATGCATTCCAGGTGTTGTAGGATTCATCATACCTGGAGTCATTGGATGCATACCTGGAGTAGTTGGATTCATAAGACCAGGTGTCATTGGGTGCATACCAGGATAACCAATAAAGCCAGGAGTAGTTGGATGGTGCATCATTCCTGGAGTAGTTGGGTGATGCATCATACCAGGTGTACCATAAGGTGTGGAAACTGAATGTCCCATTCCAGGTGTAACAACTGAACCATAACCATACATGTCAGGATTTGGAGTTTGGAATACACCTCCTGGAGTTGAAATTGAATTGTAAGATTCGTGAGGTGTAACTGGATTTGGAGTTTGAATACCAGGTGTAATTGGGTGGTATGAGTATGAGTTGTCTCCATGTGGAGTATTTGGAGTGGTAATTCCAGGAGTGATTGGAGCACCTACACCAGGAGTGTAAGCTGGAGTGATTGGATTCATGCCAATACCTGGAGTATTGACTGTATAATTATCATGTGGAGTGGATGGTACACCTCCTGGAGTTGTTGTTTCTTGCCAATCGTGCATTGGAGTATTTGGTTTACGAGGATTCCAAGCATCACCACTACGGGATGGTGTTTCTGGACGATGGATTGGAGTTTCATGACCAAGGGATGTATGGATTGGAGTTTTGGATGAATCTCTATTGTCCCAAGGAGTTGAAGGTGGCATGAATGGTGTAGCAGCCCCAGAATTGTGATAAGGTGTAGAAACTGTTTGATAAGTATCCTTTCTCTTTTCCTTTTCGTCTTGCAAAGAAATCCAAGAAATATCAACGTTAATAATCTTATTCTGAGAGTGAAGTTCAATACGAGCAGTGGTATCAGTGGCATCCTTAACAATACCCAAGTATCCTTTGTATGGACCTTTAGTGATAATAGCTGTCTTGTTTGTGAATGGATGGTTTCTTCTTCTCTTTGTAAATACGAACCCTCTCTTATTTGTAGTATTACCAGCAGCACCAGATGTTTGAGAGTTCAGTATTTGTCTGTTTCTTGCTCCTCTCAATTCACAATGAGATGCTGGGACTGCAAAAATACCAGCATTTTGAATTAAATCAATAGAACAACAGAAAAGGAATTTTCTAAAAACTTGCTTAACAACGCCTTCTCTTCCAAAATGTACAGATGTTGGATCAATGACTTTAACTGTATCACTAATACCAACGAGATGCTTACTCTTATCAGGAGCTTTGTATCCAGCTTTAGTATTTTGCTTTCTTCCTAGTTCTTGTAATTTAACTTGTCTTAGTACATCATTATTATCTACAACTTGAACTTGAGCATCAGATGTGTTCTTATTAGAATCAAATTTTACAATAACACCCATAGTTTGTGAATCAAGACGAACCATGTCGAATAATGAATAGTTACCAAGTTTGTTCTCTGAGGCAACAGTAGTTGTTTCTTGGATTTCATTCGAGTACACATTCATGTCACATCTTCTTACTTCGTTATACAAGACAATACTATCATCATCTTCACTAACTCTGACAATGTAACCAGATTCTCCTTCCCATTTACCAGTACCTACAACTCTACAGAATTGACCTACAGAAAAGTGTTTTTGAAGTTGATTGCTTGTAAATTGAAGTGGTGTGTTAATATCATTACTCTTTGGAAGCATTGTAATTACTTGAGATTCTTCATCAATATTTGTAATTTGACCAACCATTCCTCTCAATTCACCCTTGATAACACGTACATTATCACCTCTCTTGAAATATGTTTTTCTTGATAACGAAATAGCAGTACTTGGACTTTCATTTTGATAATAAATTTGAAGTTCACTATTAGTTGGTATGATATCCTTTGTTTCCAAAGACTTTAAGTGAATGTGCTTATATACGTAACCGTCATGGAATTTGTTTCCTTGATAAACACTATAAGTAATTTGATCCTTTGCATCTTCAACTTTTTCTTGTTCAGTTTGTGGAAGAAGTTCCTTATTAAAGAGTCTTTGTGGTGGACGTTTACCAGAACTTTGTCCAGTATAATCAATTCTTGGTACAAGTACAACTACACAATATCCTCTAGCTTTATCCACATCATGGACTTTTCCGATATCTCCTTTGTATGTACCTCTTTTAACTCTCACCCATTTTCCAACAGAAATATCTTGAATTTTTGTTGAGAGTTGGTTCACATTCAAGACATCAGGCATTTCCTTCAATGGTACAAGTTTAATTCCACTTTCATAAATCAAATGACTAAGTCCTTCAATAGCATGTCTTACGTGAACTTCTTTTTGAGCTTCAATATAGATCTTTCCTTTGAAACCTTCAATAAACAAAGCTGATGTAATTAGAAGACGATCTTTTTTGTTTGGTGAATGTTTCACACTGAAGTGTTTTTGTAATAATGTCATGACAGCTTCCTTTTCCTTTCCTTGTTTACATTTAACTAAAAATAATTTTGGATCCTCAGGTGTTGGAAGATTTGGTTGTTGTTTTTGAGCAATTCTTACAGTATCGTTATATACTTCATCATCCTCATCCTCGTCATCAGCACCTGCATATCTTCTTTCGATATCAGCCATAATGTTTTTTCTTTGTGCAGATGGTTGTGGAAGATCGGAAACCGATGTCTTTCTATATTGTTGGTGAAAGTCTTCTTCACCCTCTTCTTCTTCGTCTTCATCATCTTCCTGAGCAGCGTCATCAATAAACATGCTTTTTGATGATTTAGATTTTTTTTGAGCAGGTTCATAGTTATCTTCTTCTTCTTCCTCCTCTTCCTCGTCGTAATTTTCTTCTTCATAGTCGGATTCGTTGTCAGACATTGTGATCGCAGAGTATTTCTTGTTGTTTGTGTAGGATTTTGTTTTTAAGTATTTTTTTTTGAATTTAATTATCGTTAATTTTACAACCACCAATTTAAAGCTAAAAATATTATTGGCTGTGAAGTTGGTGAGGACTTGTTGTTGTATGGAGGAAGATTTACCATTGATAGATAGTTGATGATGAATAATAAAATTAATTTTGATCTCATTGAAGTGGTTTATTAATTATTTATTAAAATTAATTGGAGGTAATGTGATGTAAAAGAGTACTATGGACTATTTTTTCTGCCATTCCATTGATCAATTCAATTTTTGAATATTACGATCATGAATTATTTTGTTATTGTTATTAACATATTTTAATAACCTTTCCATATCAATATAATTCTCTTCTTCTACTTGCCATTAGAATACGTGATTATTTGGTTAGCTAAATTAAAAAATATCTTGATTGCAATCCTATACTCCTGCAAGCAAGACATTTCGGTCGTGATGTCATCACCATTAGATTCATCAGAGTCATCATCACCGATTGTTAATTATTTGGCGATGGATCCATCATCATCTCCCACATCATTGGCCAATATTCCAACAAGTATGAATAATTCTTCATCTAGTAGTAATAGTGGTACTGGTAGTAGTAATAATGGTGCAAACAATAATTCCGGAAATAATTTGCAAATTGTTGCACTCTCAAAGGACAAGTATGAAAAACTTGTAAAGGAATTTCAAAAATATAAACAAAAGTATTCTAAATGGAAGAAAGTTGTAAATACTGAAGAGCAAAAGTGGAAACAAATTTCACTAGAATTAGAAAAAAAGGAAAATGAATTAAAAACAAAAATTGAAGAGAATGACATTTTACAATTTAATAATCAACGATTGGAGAAGAGAATGGCTCAGTTAATGTTTGATTTAGAGGAACAGTTAAACAAGGTCAAGTCAACTCGTCAATCTTCCTTTTTTTCTGGCTTATTTGGATCTTCAGAAACTCAACAACCAAAAAAAGAAACCGAAGTAGAAATTATCAAAGAGGAGCTAGAATCTAAAATTAAAGAGAATGAAAGCATTCACATTCATTTATTTGAATTAAAACAGGAACATGAAAAAACCTTGGCCAAATTCAAGCATACGATCAGTGATTTACAACACTCAATTTATGGAAAGGATTCTGCAATTCACTCTTTGAAAACTAATATTGAAGAAAATCAAAAGAAATTCCAAAACGAAAAAGACCACTTGAAGGATAAGATGAGAAATTTAAAGACAGACATGAAGAGTTTAAAGGATTCTGAAAGTTTCATTAGAAACTATACTTATCAACAACATGAAGAGATAACAAATCTTGAAACTTATGTAAATAGAAAGGTTTTATTTGATGAAACAAGACACCACGAATTTAATTTATTGAATGTTTCTAATTTTAAACGTAACCCAGTTGAAATTGAATTAATTGAAAATTTAATTGCAATTTTAGGAAACCTTTCAAAATGTACTAGTAGCACCTATTTATTTATTCCACAAAAAATTCAACATTTGAACAAATTATCGAATACACAGGCAAATATTATCAAATTATTGAACACTAGGATGAATACTACAATAGATATTTCCACATTCCCTAATTTATTTGCCAAATTAATCAAATATTGTGAACTTTATTTAAAGTATTTGAAAAATGATGAGATTACAGTCAGCTTTGACCTCACTAAAGAGGAAGAAGAAAAGGCACAAACAATGGACAAGAAAATCATCTTTTGTATTTTTAAGACCTGTAAAGAAATTATCAATTACAAATGTAAATGTTTACTCTACTTGACAATTTGCTCACAATTGGAAGATTGCCAACTCGAAAGTGAAGAAGATTTTACTCAATTTGAAGGTTTTATTTATATGAGAAATACCAATGCTACTCTGGCACTTAAATATTTAAATACTCTATTTTCTCGATTTGAAACGTTTATTAATACTTTTTATTTGAGTATTTTGGATGTTGAAGATTACCAAGTGTTAGAGACATATCTAAACAATAGTCAAATCAAGAGGGTGTTTAACAGTCTGAATATTAGTGCTGGCTCACCTCCAAATGATTCACTAAATGCACAAGACTTCATTTCCAAGATTAAAAATAGTAAGAGTAATAATTCCTCAAGTGGAAACTTCTCTATTAGAGAAGAATGTAAATATGTCCTGCAAAGCATTAAGGACGGATTTAAGGATTATTGTGACATTTTGTCCAATTTGTTATTGAAGGAAAATGTAAAGAATTTTGTTCCTCCTTTTATCAAAAATATCAACGACAAACTAATCAAATCACTTTCACAAATGTTAGGATTGTTGGATAATCTCCTACTTATTCACAATGGCTTACAAAAATGTGAAAAGGATTTCACAAATAATTATTCTAGAGGTGCTCTTGTTGATTATGAAACTATTCTATCGTCAAAGGTCAAATCTACAAATATTACAAATACTCAAGTCAATAATTCATTCACTGGAAACAACAATACTATCAACAATACTGTCTTTAATTTCTATTACAATAACCAAGAGAGTATTAACCATTTGAGAAATGAATCATCCAACTATATGAAAAATAATCTACTCAATCTATCTAGTAGTGATTTCACAATGAGAGATGCTGAAGTCATGAAGGTCAAGATGAATGATTTGTACTCTCTAATTGAAATATTGAAAAAAGAAAAGGAGGAACAATCAATTATTATCAATAACCTCAAGAAGCAAAATGAAGAGTACAAAAACAACTTGAAGCTTGTCAATGATAGAATGACAACAGAATTGAATCAAACCGTGAATTTGGTTTCCAAATTGAATCTCAGTATCAATAACAGTGCTTCTGGTAATGATCCTGTTGAGAGTTATAGAAATTACACAAACCAATCCATCAAGGAATTGATACGAAAGGTTAATGAGTTAAATGAAAAACTTTCAAAACAAGTAGAAAGGTCATCCACTGTTGAAAAATCTATTATTCAAACCAAGGATACTGATGAATCATCTCCAATTAGTAGTACCACTAGTGAACCATCAACTCCAAACTCTACCTACACTAAATCATCAGCCATTAGCATTAGAAAGCCAACAAATGATAAAGAGATTTTCTCACATGCAGAAATTAGTAGAGAGAAGGAATTGGAAGCCAAGTATACTAAGCAAATTGAATACTTGATGAGACAAATTGAAGTTTGTGACTTGAAGACTGTTCAATATAGAATTCAATACCAACAGGCAATTATGGATTTAGAAAAAGCTCAGGACCAAGAAGAAAAACTGAAATTGAAAATCTCTCAAATTCAACAACAAATGGATAGTGTATCTGAAGAGTTACAATCTTCTAAAGTTATCTACGAACATCAAATTCAATTACTTTCAGATAAGCTTGTGGAAATTTCAACCAATTATGATATTAATTCATCGAGACTGAATGACAATGCAACAAACAACTCTTCAACAGTAGTTGGTGGAATTGGAGCAGCTGTTTCCTCCTTCTTTGGCTCTGCTGAACCAACTTCCAACACCAATGAAAGAAGAAAGAAAAATAAACAATAAGTGATTAATAGAAGCTAGTGCTCTTCACCAAACCATCAAACCCTTAGAACAACTTTTGAAAGGTTAAGCAGAGAAGCTCAACATTCTCAATTCTTTACAATGTCTTGGGAAGATTAATAATAATTTATGAATTTTATAGCTTTATTTACTAAGGCATAATTCCTACAAATTGTGTTTCCATACCATGTCCATTGAAACATGAGGTTGTGGAATCTTATCCTGAAATGGTCTTTGGAAAAGGCCTGTTACCCTATCTTTTACTTTGAAATCATTGTAAAAAACTTTGGCCTTTGATTCAAATCCTAATTTTTCGAATGCTCTTCTCGAATATTCTCCACTGCACTCAGCCATCGCATGTTTAAATCCTTTTGCCTTACAATGTTCCAAGTGAGTTTTTACTAGTTCTCGAATCAATCCCTTAGACCTGTAAAAATTATAGGTACCAGCAATAATAACATGCAAAATTTCTCCATAATGTTCCTTCTTAGAAAAATAATCTTCATCAAATTGAGAATGTTCTGAATTGAAATATTGAGAATGCAATTGTTCGAAAAGAGAATTCAAAATTGCATACTTTTCAGAATGAGTAAAATTATCGGAATGAGCCTTCACAAAATCCTCACTATAAACTACAGCAACCACCATTCCAGTTTGATTATCAATTGCAACATGTCCCAATCCTTCCTTTGCAGCATTTGTAACAAAATGCTTGGCTGTAGGAAACATATCAAGTGGTGTAGCTTTCAGTGCTCTATTAATTGGTTCAGCCTCTGAAAATGTATGACAAGTTAATAAAATTGCCTGATCTACATATTCCTGAGTGAGAGGCTTAAACACTGCTAAATGATCTCCAAAAGGAACTTCAACAGCTGTTGTCAAATTTCTAATATTTACAATAGTAGTACTACCAGTTGATGATTTAATCAAATTATTAAAGAATACTGATGACTTGTTGCAAGTTTTCATCATTCCGAAGACACGAGACTTGGCAGGGTTGAGTTGTTTGAGCATTTTTTTAATTCTAATTATTGCTTATTACAATAAATTTGGCACATGATTAATTTAGTAAGATCCGAATCACTTTAACTCCGTACAACTTGCATTTTAAAACAATGATCCTTACAAATGTTAAGATAGCCCAAATCTGATTTTCAAATCTTAATCTTGGTGAATTAATTTGATTTTTCACTCAATTCTAAAAACGCATTCATTACAACATTAAAAAAATGTCTCACCATTCATCAACTGCCCTCACGCTCCGATCATCAAGAAAATGTGGTAAAACTCATTGTGAGATTAATTCAATGGATACTATTCAACAGCTATCAGATTGGAATAATTCAGTTTTGATTAAAACATTGAAAAAACATTTAACTAATTTTTCTACTTTACCACCTCCTAAAATTCTATTTCCATTGTTATATCCAAGCAAACCAAAAGATGAAAATGATGATGATTATTATGATGATGAAGAAGAGGAAGATGTTTCAGATGGATCTGAATTTAATCATGTTTCTAAAGAGGAGGCAAGGAAAGTTATTGAAATGATGTTTACAAAGGATTTGGCCTATAATTCTGTTTTGAAAACTAGCTCAAAGGCAGCAAGTTTGGCATCAAGTTTTATTGAAATATTCGAAAGTTCAGAAGAAACTCCAAATGAAACAATTTATTTTTCAAATAGTGAGGTCAATCCTACCCATGGAAAACTCTACACAACTAGTAGTAATTTAACAAATGCAACTTTTGATTCAGGAGTTTTAGCAATGAATTTGAAATATTTTGGTTTCATTGTTATTGAAGATGAAGATTAAACTATAGCTCTATAAAAAGTTTCAAAATTAAAATATTTTTACAATATCTTTATGAATCAAACAAGAAAATAGGATTGTCTCCCAACAAACTGCTCTTACCTTCCTAAACACTTGTATAATTCCTCCCTACCTTCAATTTGTGATGATCTAATCCATGATTTTCTGCTTCCTTAATCCTCCGCTAGCAACATTAGTACTTCCTTCCCAACTCCGAGAACCTTATCTTGTTTCTGTCGCCTCTTTTTCAAGGCTCTTGTTGGGATTTTCAGCGCGCTCAAATAATAAAGCCTTCATCGTTTGGTGCCCACTTACTTCTCAACAAAATATTTGAGAGTTGGTGTTGAGGCATTTTTGCGAGAAGAAAAAAATTGCGAGATTTTCGGAGCGAGAGAGAATTATCATCATCTCATCATCAATATATTTTGCAATTTTTATTATTACCATCATCACCACACTAACCGTTAATAGTTGCTATTAATTTATTATATTCTCTAATTTGCTGAGATCGAGCCAATTTTTGACATTTACTTTGGAATAACAATGGATACAAAGGAAGAATTACCAGTTTTCTATCAAGATATTGGTGCTACTAAAGATGAAGCGCCTAAGGATAAATTTAACTTGGTATATTTAATATTCTTATTACAAGGAACAGGAGTTTTGTTCCCTTGGAATGCTTTTATTTCAGCACCTGACTATTTCAGTGCTTTATATTTCCCAAATACAATGTTATATTTCAGTGTAGCATATTCAGTACCTAATTTATTGGGTTTATTATTTATGATTAAATTCGGATCTAAATTATCATTGAGAATGAAAATGATTCCTGCTTACGTTTTAACATTTTTCATTTTGATCCTTGTTCCAATTTTAGGTTTTGCAGGAGTTAATGGCATTGCTGGATTTTCAGTTACAATTGTTTTGATTATTTTGGCTGCTTTGTGTACTTCATTATTACAAGGTGGTATTTTTGGTTTTGCTGGTGTTTTACCTCCAAATTACACACAAGCTGTCATGTCTGGTAACGGTATTGCTGGTGTTGCTTGTTCATTCTTGAGAATTGTCACCAAATTGACCATTGAACAAAACAAAAAGCATGTCCCAATTCAAACTATGACTATCTCAGCTGCTGTTTATTTCTTTGTCTGTGCTTTGGTTATCATTGCTTGTATTGCTACTTTCATTATTATTATGAGAACTCCATTCGTTCAACATTATTTGCAAAAGGCATCTGAGCCAAAGACCTCCATTAATGATCAATCACAATCCTATGACGAAGTTTCCACATTGGTTCCAACAAGTACACCACAAAAATCTGGAATTTTCACAGTTTTCAAAAAGATTTGGATTCAAGCTTGTCTCGTCATGACAGTATTTTGGATGACTCTTTCAGTTTTCCCAGGTTTGTCTGTCTCAGTACCAACTTATTATACAGGAACTGTTATGAAGGACTGGTTGCCAATCTTGATTGGAGCTAGCTTTAACATTTTCGACTTTATTGGTAGATCTGCTCCACGTTGGATTGTCATGTTCAATCGTAAGTGGGTTGCTGCTCCAATCTTTGTTCGTCTCTTGTTGGTTCCATTATTCGTTTTCATGTACAAGCCAAGCATTGTTGGTTTGGATGCTTTCAATGATGCTGTTCCACTTTTGGCTATCTCAGCTGTTGCTTTGACAAATGGTTATCTTTCATCATTGTGTATGATGTATGGTCCAAGTCTTGTTGACGATCATGAAAAGGAAACTGCTGGTACAATTATGACCTTCTTCTTGTTGATGGGTATCTGTTTGGGTTCAAACACTGGCTTGGTTATTGGTCAAGCTATTCCAGGCGATATTCATCCATATGTTGAATAAACTATTTATTATTTCTCTATTTTTTGACTCTAGTACAAATTATGTGAATTGCAGAGTTAAACCTTACTTGACTTGTTTTGTAAAAATCGTTCGACAAGTGACTGGAATAAAAATCATCCACTAGTGGCACTGTATCAGTCTTAATATTAAAAGTTAAATTCGATTCTCCTCCAAAATAAGTCTGTAAATCTAAAGCTAGGTCAATTGCTGTTTGAATAGCAGCTCCTAATCCATGAATTGTAATAAAATTATTTTGTAACGTTCCTTGTTCCAATAACATTTTTCCTCTAGTTAATAATGCATGATATTTAGATTTCCTCGATACAAATATATCATTCTTTTTAATATTTCCAACTTTTGGTGGAGCTCGCTTTTTTAATTTCACTATTATTATTCAATAAATACTTTGATAATGATGATGATACTAACATGGTGGAAATGGTTTTATAACTGTGCTTTCATTAGGTATTTTTTGTGATGAATTTCTAGAAGTAAAATCTTCTTCCTCCGATTCCCATTCTTCTTCTCCTTCGTCATGCATTTCTTCCAATGATGGTTCTTGTTCAATTTTACGAATTTTACTTTCACTCATTTTTTTATTATTAAAAATTAACATCTTCAATTTTGATATTACTGATACTAATGCATGTATTGAAAGTATTAAGTAATACCAATCATTTGATATTTACTTGTTTATTTCCTATTAAAATTTAAAATAACTCTGCAAAAATCGTATGTTCACACTCAGAGGTGTGATAACTCTAGTTTCTCTCAAATCTGCAAAATATTTGCAGATTTAGTGGCCGATTAAATGTTCCAAAAGTTGATCGTCCTCAGAATCAGAATCGTCATCATAATAACTTGCTCCATCAGCATTTGACATTAGTTCAGAAATTATGGAACGTGTATCTTCATCATCAGAGTCATCATCGTCAAAGTCACAAACATCAAAATATTCGTAACTGTCTTTGAAATCTTCACTGAATTTGGTGTTTGGAAGCAATGCTCCAAAACATTCTTCAATTGAAGAGTTAAAATTCATTGGTAATATTACTCGATTAAATTGTTTCTTAAACAATTGGGTATCTATTAAGAGTTTGAAAGGTTCAATGGTTAAATCTTCAGCATTTGAAAAATCAATCTCTTTAAGAGCAGGGAATCTATTATTCTGGAATATGTATTTGATTACTTGGCTTGAAGTAATGAGTGAACTTGTCTTTAAATATTCGATAGATGAATGCTTTGATAAAACGTCTAAGAATTTGTTTTGAATTTGAGCTGGACAATCTTCAGACATTTCAAATTTGAATATCTTCAAGCTCTTACATTCTAAAATGTAATTAGCATATTTCTCAATTTGAGTGAGATTTAAATCGTCACCAATATGAATACGTAAAGAGTGCAATTTCGTCAACCCATTCAAACGATATTTGAATGAAACCAAAGGAATTGACAATCGTTCTAATGTTTCCAATTGGAAAATTGCGTTCAAATCCAAGTTTCTTCCATCCATTGTTTCTTCTTCATTGATCTTTAATCTCTTTAGTTGTGTTAAGGAAGATATCTTGTCAATATTAGACAAGTTACAGGAATCAACAACTGTCAATGAAGTAATTTGAGTATTATGACAGAGGAATGAAAAATCAATAAACTCATAATTCAATAATCTTAAAGTTGTCAAACGTGGTGGCAAGTTAACCTTTGCCTTGATGGAGCATCTCTCCAAATCAGAGAAAATCTGCAAAGTTCTCAAATTTGGCATTTTAAGGAATGTCTCACTGTAATGTGTATCAGACAAATCATTAAATAACACCAAACTCAAGTAAACTATTTTAGGGAATAAAACAGCTTGCTTTTGGAACAAATTCATCAAATTAGAATCTGTCAGCCAAATGCTCAACTTTTGCAAATATGTAAACCCACTAATAAAATCAAGATTGGCAATCTTTGGGTCAACAAGAATTCTCAAATCTTTAGTACGCTTAGCAATTGGTAAAACACCACCATGTTGTTGTTTCAACTTCATGCCCAAGCTTGTGTACATTAAATAAATTGTGGAAAAAGGATCGTTTTTAAATTTACCAAAAATACGAGAAATATTGAGTTCGTAAGTTTGATAATTGCTATAACATTCCATAAATGGAACGTGTAAGTAACCTAGGATTTTCAGTTTGATATGGACTGGTAAGTCTACAAGTTCAAGAGAAGACATTTTCACCTTCTTTTCACATTCAACTTCTTCATCTCTCTTTCTCTTGTTTGATGTAGAATTTGAACCAGTTTGGGTAGTCGTTATGGCTGTTGTTTGATCAGAAACAACAATATTATCTTGATTTGTAGAAGAACTACTAGCACATCGAGTAGCAATATCACTATTACTGGTAGAAGTGTTGGTAGTAGTTGTACTACTTGAAGAATTATTCTTTTCAAAATTGTTTTGTGGATTCTCTGTTGTAAATTGTACATTAGACCAAGTATTATCATTATTTAACTCTTGAACTAATTCTAAAAACGGAATAAACCTAAAGGTTGTACCATTTTTAGAAGTGAAATACAAGTTTTGGTTTGGAAAATGTACTCCAGAAAGAAGAGAATTATTCAAATGACCAGTTGATGGATTCACAACTGGTATAAAAGTAGCTTCGCTTGCCACAATTATTTCACCATCAGAATCATCATCATAAATATCAGCTGGAATGAAAATTGTGCCACCTCCACTACTTGCAACACTGGAAGAAGAAATTGTATCATCACTTATCATGGCAAGTAATTCTTCTTCACTTGCACCTGAATTAGGTTGTCCACCAATAATAATTGAAGATTGATTGGATGTTGGGTCAATGATACCACTTTCTTGTTCCATTATTGTGTAAGAGGAATGGCTCGATAGAGAATCTTCATCTTCCATATGTGTTGATGATGCTTCTGTTGGATTAGTCGATTCTATACATGGATTAGTTGTTGTAAAGGCTTCATCATGAATTGGTGATTGTTTCATATTTGATTCGGAAGAATACTCTCAACAAGAAATTGATTCTTTTGATAGTAAATGGTATATTTTGATTGATAAAGTATTAAATGTTGTTTCAACAAGTATTCTCTTTGAAGATGATGATCAAAATATTAAATATTTCCAACAGTTGTGTTCAAAACATGAAAAAACTTTAAAGTGTTGTCCCTTTTTTTTAACGCATTTTCTCTCAACAATTCATTTGAAAAACAACTCAAAAATATTATTGATCAAAAATAACTCCTAAACGCTATCAGTTGACTTTATGTGGGTATGTTGTTGTGAAGGTGTACATTCTGATAAAGATACCTCAATATTGAGACGAACATCTTGGCAAATGATTAAGTGATTTTTGTGCGATATCGTCGATTATGCTTCATTGATAGTTTTTGGTAAGGCTCATTGTTGTGGAAAACAAAACATTTTTAATTGAAATATTAAATAACGGTAAAAAGAATACAAAAATGAGAATCAATCATCAGCAGCAGCACAATACTCATCACAACATAAATCATCATCCCCAACAACATCAGCAACAACATTCTAAACATTCTTTAGCAGCATCGGAATCACAAATAACGCATCCAGTGGAAAGTGTACAAGGATATGTGCTATTTATTAATAATATTGATAGAAATATTGATGCAGAAACTCTCACGGATACATTATCAGACTTTGGACAAGTTATTAGTTTGCATTATGAACTTTCGAGAAGGACAGGATTACCAATCGGATTGGCTCTTGTAAAATATGCAAATTTAGATCAAGCTAGGGAAGCTCTTGAGGGATTACGTGGGAAAAGATTAGGAAGTAAAGTTTTACAATGTGATTGGTGTTTTAAACATCCACCACAGGTTTCTGAAGAAAATCAAGAAGAAGAAAAATCAACAATAATTGAATCTACTAATTTATCAAATGAAGAACAAGATCATTCAGAAGATAAGAGAAAACGGGAGGATCAACAACAATTAACAACAGATAATACAGAACCTCCTCTTAAAAAAGTAAAATAACAGTCAGGTTGTCATGTAATCACTTGTCAATGTGTGTTTTAAAAACAACAAAAAAATGTCTCAAGAAAGTAGTACCACTAGAGGAGAACTCTTTGTGTACATTAGTTATATTTCTGTAGGTTTCGAATCAATATTTGATGAATCTAATTCAGTCAAGTCTATCCGATCACGTTCACTCCAATGTAAAAAATTAATTCAAACCTTGGATAGTAATCAAGTTAAATATACAGTGATAGATTTGGGTACCGTTCCGGAAAAGATTAATGAAATGTTAAAATACAATGGTGGTTTATATGATTTACCACAATTATTTGTTGATACTAAATTTATTGGTGTATGTTTAATTTACAATTTTGTAAATTCTGATTATCATGTTTTCATTAACAATTGAATCGTAATCATACTGAATGGATAATAATTGTCATCAATTTTGAATGTTTAACATTTTAGACATTCGAAGATGCTGAAGAATGGATTGAAGAAGAAAGATTTTTATTAGAATTACAACAGGCAGGATACAAAGGAGGTCCAAATGTATGTTATTTCTATTCAAAGCATAGTGTTGATAATAATAATTATTATTCTGTGTATTGATGATGATTTATGAAAATTAGCCACCTATTATTGATAAGGAAGATGCTGAAAGAATTACAAAGGAATTTAAGGAAAAATTCCCAGATGAAGTTATTAAAACTGAAGATGAAATTAAGGAGAAATTGGAAAAGATTGAAAAGAAAAAACAAGAAAGACTTGAAGGTCGTAAGAAACCAGAAGAAACTGAAAAGGAAACTAAAGTTTCATTCGAAATAAAAGAGGAAACCCAAGCTGAGGAAGAACCTCAATATGGTGACAATAATTATCAACAAGATGCACCAGAAGAAGAAGAGGAAGAGGAAGAGGAAGAATATGTTCGTAAATATGATCCAAATCGTGACTCTGATGATGAATATTATTAAATCAATCATATTCAAATAAATTGTTTATATCAAACTTGTACATTGAATAGTAGATATTTGTAAATTTATTGTAATGTTGTTAACAATTTCAAATTAATAAGAGAAAAAAATGAATTCTTCATCATTAACGAATCAACAGGATGAAGATGACGACGAATATTTAGAAGAGGAGGAAGAATCGTCATCACAATCATCGGAATCTAAATCACTTTGGAATTTAATATTCTATATAATAGCAACACTATTGGGTGGATTTGTTTTCATGGGACGATCATCACCACTCCGATATTTATTTACTCGATTATTTTCCAATTCTTCATCATCACCATCATCGTCATCAAGTAATAATAATTCACCTTCTTCTTTTTTTGATAAATTATTTGCTAGTCCCTTCCTTGATGATGACGAAAGGGTCAGATTAAGGCCAATCTCTGTAAATAGTTATGTACACGTCTATCCAACGTTGCAAAATGAAGATGGTGTATTTGTAAAGGTATTTATTGAAAACTCTTCCGAGTTGGCAACAGAAAATGTTTAAAAAACAAATAAAAAAAATATAAAATGGTAAGAATTTAATGTTCTTCATCTTTGGGTTATTTAATGTTGATGATCGTTTTAGAGTGCCTTGTTTAATTTTGAGAGTTTGATTTTTACAGTAGTATTGTGTGTGTGCACAAGTGCCTATGTTCATGCATACAAGGCTAGTTGGTTGGATGATCGGAAACAAGGGTATGTGTTTAAAACAAGTTGAAAATAATAGTTGGAAATTAATTTGATGATGATATCGGACTTGTTTTTAAATTGGAATATATAATTTTGAAAATATTTGATGGTTTAGTTTTGCTGGAATTTTCTGGAAGTGTGCTCGAGTTGGAGAAAGATTAAGTCCATGGATTTCTTTAATTTGTATATTCTTGGCTGTGAGGCTGCTGATCGCCGAGTAAATAGTATTATAATATTGTAAAAACAACATCAACAATTGTATATAAATTAATAATGAATAATTGATTCGGATTTTAATCTTTTAAATTGGAGTTTGAATTTCAAATCTAGAATTGATTTTTCTCCCAAGCTTTTCAATTTCAATATTTTCTAATTACACAACCAAATATAAAAAATGTCTTTAGATCAAGAAAATTCTATTCAATTCTATTCCAATTTATTGACAGAATATATTAAATTTTACAATGAGAGAAATTTGGAGGGAATTAAGGATTGTTTGGATGAGGATTTGAAGGTTTTTTTGAATGGATCTTTAGCAATGCAAGGAAGAGAAACAATTATTCTAACCTATCCAAATGATTTCAAAGAACAAGCAACTGTTGATATGGAATTTATGGAAAATTCAGAAACTTGTGATGAATTTTCTCACCTCGTTCATCTCATTAAACAGGTTCCTCCAAAGGATGATCAAACACTTCCTCCAAATGATATTCATCTTTATGTTCGATATGTTTACGGTAAGAAGAATAACAAGATGATTCGTCATGAGATTGATAAGGTTTGGTCTCAGTAATATTCTATTCGTGACTTGTTGATTGCAATAATTATTGCTCATGGTAGAATTCGAATATTGGTGGTTTGAGGAGTTTCATAATTGAACAAATAAAAGACCTAATTGTGTTGAATCAGCGAGTGTGAAATAAGGCAAACAACCATTCACCAACATATCTACTCTCCCACAGGTATCGATTTCAACAAACCCATCAAAAAACAAACAAAGATGAGTCAACAAATTCTTATTGAGCAAATGGGAATATCTTGGAAATATCCAATCATTTTGCCATTGAAAATATTGGCGGGAAAGAGAAATCTCACGCAGTCTTGCGAACATTGTAAGAGATTATAAATAGTTTAGGTTTGAAATGTTCTACAACAAGCCATTGAAAGACAGCATCAAGTATTTGCTCCTAGCACATTGTTTATTATCTGGATATTATATTTTCATCATGTCTTAATAAATTGTAGTTTCATCAAGAATGTGCACAAGATTTTGGATATTGCACAGGCTCTGTTGTTGCTCAATATTTTTGAGCGCCTTTTCTGCTTTGCACAAGCAAAAAAAAATGGTGCATTCGACAAGCACAAATCTTCTCTTAAAAATTTAGTGTTTGTTGATGGGAGATTTTACAACTCCTAACTTGCAACTTCATGCTCAACAACACAAAGGCATTCCACCAACACTTGTTCATACAACACCCTTTTAAAGGGATTCTTTCCTACACAAATAATAAATTGCTGGCTTACGGGCCAGACACAACATAGAGGAGGGTATTGGCACTTTCATATGACAGTTTCTTGAAACAGTCAATGTGATTGGTCAATCTTCCTTTTGTGTTGTATCGATGTTGTTTGTTGTTGTACAGAGAGTTATTTGACTTTCTCTTTGCTATTGTTCTTTGAATGCCTTTTGAACAATAACAAAGCTTTATCCGAAAATTCATCTTGATCAAAATTCCTAAAAATAACTCAAAAATGAAAAAAACCTTCGCAGTTTTACTTCAACATTTTTTGTGAGGTAAAATTTGTGATGCGTTTTTCTTGCTCCAATAAACCCCTTTATTCGTTTTTATTGTAAAAATTTGTCGCTTAAAAAAAATACCAAACTCCCTCCTGCTAATTACCAACAAGCCGAAGATGATGCAAGATCCAATCAAGACAGAAGAAATCAACTTTGAAGGTAATACCTTGCTGGAAGAAGAGGAAGAGGCAATGATGGAGTCATCTGAATATCATGAAGATGATTCTCTAGCCTTTAATGACTCCTCTGCAGGTCTCGGTATGGGTTCCAGACAATGGCAAAAGGATAATTCTAATAATGCCCAAGCTAGTGGTTATAACATTAGTGTTGGTATCACAACTCGTGATGAATCCTTGCCAATCTACGATACTCCATGTAAGATGTATAGTAGTCTGAGATACAAGCTCCACTATAAATGTTCAGTCAACGCAGAACAAGTAACACAATTACCTAAACTCTTAATGTGTCGTATCACTGTTATTGATGATGATAGTGATAAGGAAATTAAGAAAGATAACAAGCCAATTATTGATGATTCTCTTATTTCCCTCAAGAATACTTCTACAGCAAATGGTAACTTTGGTGTTTTTGAAGCTAATCATAAGGTTAAATTCCGTAGTGTTTCATTCCACCACAATAAGAGCAAATGGAGACTTTTATTACAATTATTCTCTGATAGCAATCATAATATTAACACTCCTGTTTTTGTTATGAGAAGTGCTCCTTTCCAAGTTTATGCTAGAAGACCAAAAGTTTCTGAAAGAGATTCAAGCAATGGCTTATTAAATCCTTCAACTGCTACTGCCTCTTCTTCACAAACAACAACAAAAGAAGAAAAGAGAAAGAAGAAGGCTGTCGAAGGACAAAAAAAGAGAAAGAGATCTATCAAGGAAGTTTCTGTTAAACAAGAAGTTGAAGCAACAGAATCTACTGAACCAACAACCACTGAACAATCAACTACATCAACTGCTCCTGAAGTTGTAGTTACTGAAGAAGTTGTTGCTGCTCCAAATCCAAAGAAGGTTAAACTTATGGAAACATTCAAGAAGACTCTTGACCTTTTAATCAAACATCATAGCGAAATGGATGAAGAAGACAAATTAACTGGTTTCCATTTGATTCAACATAGATTATTCCAACACTTTTATGGTTGCACTCCAGAACAACTTGCTTACTGTCAACAACAACAAGAATGTGAAACTGCTGAAGTCATGCAATCTGGTTCTGCTGATGATTTAATTACTATTGATACATCTTCCCTTTTTGAACCAACAGAATCGAATGAGACAAGTATGACAGATGGCAACTTTTCCATGGATGCTATGGATTTCATTGGTAACCAATCTTTGAATGATGATTTTACCTCTTTTATGTAAATGCTCAATGAAGTTTTGTTTTAGTTACAATTTTGGTAGAAGAACAAGTTATGAAGAATAACCTGTTCTTTGATGACTCGCTGGCTTTTTCCCCCTAGTAGGCACATTGTGCTTATGACCATAATACTAACAAAGCTCTGCACTGTTGTGCTTTTGAGCAATCTAATTTCACACAAATAAATTATTTATACTTTGTTTATTAAGAATTGATTTTCAGGAATCTTGAGAATTTAATGAAATATTCAGGTAAAGTAAAACTTGAAATGAAAGCAGAATTTACACAATGATACTAGTAGTATCGCCATCATTCGATGGTTCCTAACTAATCGTGGGTATCAGAACTCAACCAATTATTTCCAATACCATTTGATAAAGAGAGTTTCAGAAACTTGGGAATGAACTTCCAAACTGTTGTAATTCTTGATAGAAGAAAGGGTCATATCAAAACTTGAACATTACCTCAATGCTTTGTGAATAATCATCTCCACAATATGATCACTTAGTACAAAGTATCCTAATAATTGTGTCGATACTCCATTTAAAAATGATAGGAAATTGCATTGGCAGCTGTTACTCAAATATTTCTTTACTTGATAATACCAGCACTTACTACGATATTCGTATCATCAAATTGCTTCCTTACAACTCATCTATCGTTACAATTACAAGCCAAATGAGTTATTCAACAAAATTACTATAGATTCTATTGATAAAAGTTTATCTATTGCATATTATTCTTCTTAGAAATTCTGTGATGAACAAGATCCCAAAGGAGAAATCAAACTTTCTCAATTATTGAAAAACATTTACATACCAGATTAGTGAAAGATGTTGAATTCAGAAAGAGGGGGAATAATCAACAGAGAAACGCCATTACAAACTTTCATCTTTTCTTCATGTAGGAATTTGATTATTTCCAAAAGACAGTCAGAGCCATAGACAAATTGAAAGTGGCTGGAGCATGGTTGTTTTACTAAAATTCTATTACCACCTTAGATAGAAACTAGACAATTCAATGATAATCTCAATAAGCAATCAACATTCCTTGAATGTAACCAAACTACAGCTGACGTTCGCAGTATCCTTAATGAGATTGGTACTTAATTAAATGAGATTAAGGTTTCAGAAATTCATTTTTTTTTAGATACATTATAACAGGTTGTATAATTGATAAAAATGTCACTATCGCTGTATGGGTCTGTAACAAGTCAACTTCCCCAAAACGAATTCCAAAAAAGGTTCAATAGTGATGAAACTTGTGCTTGTCTTTTATGGTTTTTGAGAACGCCTCATCTCTTCTTGCAGAGATATCAATAAATTATTAACTGGTAAAATCAATGGCAAGATTCAAGTGGAATATAATTGACCAAAAACCATTAATATCTCCCTCTGTTTGAAAAACTTATTAACAAGCACCAGATATACTGGAGAATTTTAATGAGAAACAATTCATCACAGTAGATTTTTCACAAGGCGAAGTTAATTTCCAGAATTAATTCATGAAAATCATCCTTTTTCTTGCACGAAACTTAAAAACAATAAATCAAATGTTTCAAGTTAAGAACTTGAATTAAACATGTTTGTACCTCAATAGTATCCAAGAGACATGATGATTGCGTGAATGAGATACATTCTGGCATTGCGGAGCTGTATTGTTGTAAAACTATTTTGGACAATGTAAAATTTATTTCCTTATTTTAAATCTTGAGTGACAAATATGGCTACTAGTCTTTTCTGAACCATACTTTAAGTGTTCATCATGAACTGTGGAAAGGCAAGATTGGTTCCTCAATCTTTGTTGGCCATACATATTTTCATTTTTCTAAAAATTACCTTTTCCAGATATTAACATTTTAAGAACTCATGCCTGCCTATTAAAGACAGTAGGCTAGAGCATTGTCTGACTTTGTTTTTGATATTGTCTACTGGCAGAGGAATATTCTCTTTGAAAAAAACAACTCGACACACTCTCTGTGTTATTATTGATACTTTTATCAATTATATCAATATTAATTATACTAATAATAATAATGGTTGCCTCACCATCTACTGTAGCTCCTTTAGCTATAAACCATTCATCTTGTTCTTCTTATCAGCCTTATACACAGTTGCAGATGAATAAGCAATTATTTTCTTCTCAAACAATAATGAATACTAATTGTACTACAGCAAATGATCATTCCAATAATTGTTACTCGTCAATGAATGGTCAACAACAACGAACAACAATTCTATTCATCCTCATATCCACCTCCAACTTTTAATGCATGTGCTTCTTCTCCTTCCCGATCAACAATCCATCAACAACATGTACAATACTAATAACAACACTCCATATAATTCAAATCAATGTAATATTCAAGATGTTACCTCTAGTCCACCTCCATTTACAGTTTCAACGTGGCAAGTAGATGAAACATGCTCAACTTCTAGGATTCCAGGAAAGATTAGAAGTAGATGTGATCCTAAATGTTTCTTTCATTGGAAGAATCAAAAGATGACTATGGATGATAATTTACTCTTTCCTCTTTCTCATAATAGTAGTCCATTATTTCATGTTGAATGTAAAAAGATTTCAAAGAAACCACATCATCATCATCATCAACATTCAAACAAATCAATTTCCTCTTGTAAAATAACGTTTGATGATTCACTTTCATATCCTCCTCACAAATCAAATGTAAATAATCAATCAATGTTTGAATTTGTTCCATTCAAGTTAGAGAGCTTACCTAAAGATTATTCTCTTTCGTATATGACAAATGTAACAAAGAAGAAACCAAATTTCAATACTTCCAATTCAAATAATCATCAAACTTCTCTTTCTGATTTGAGAAATAGATTGAATGAAGAAAATTTAAAGAAACCAAACGAAACCTTGCCAACTCTTCAACCTATTTCAATACAATCAGAATCTTCTCCTAAAGAATTGAGTCCAAAAGGAACGAGAACGAGAATATTCTCAATAAAAGAACTTTTGAATTAAAAAAACCAATTTATTTCATTCTAATAATTAGTTAATAGGCATGTAACGTTTCCTTATTGGTCACTTCATGTTTCACTACAATTATTGAATATTTCATGACTTGCTTGACAAGTGGCAGGAACCATTTCAAGCAACAAACTAACTGTCAATAATACAACCACCATTATTACAAAATAATATTAAACTTGCATCTTTATAAAGTGTCTGGCATTGGCTAACAATTTCTACAAAAATGGCAACATTCTATTTCAATCCATAATCGATCTCCCTAGCAGAATATCGCCCAAACTAATTGAAATCCACAAGTAGTATCTTTCAATTTATATCTGTCCATAGATAATCACCAGAGCCACAACACAGATGATAAGAACAACATCAACCATTATAATTGTACAATTCACATCTTTAACAAACCACAACGATGTGAATTGTAAAAGCAATCTAAAGAGTTAATTATTTTTAAGTGGTGATGCCAAATTACATCACGCTATCTCGAATAAAATATTTCTTGCTTTTCATTTCCTTAAACGAACACAAACTTCCCAAATTTTCATTTCATTTCAAAAAATCTGTCAATGTTTTAAATGTTTTTGTCTGCATTATCTCCAAAGAAATAACAACACACATCAAAGAAAAAAGTCAACACATCTTGTTGAACCTCTTTCTCTCAGTAAAATCCATATTTCTAATAGAAGCATACTTTAGAAACCGCCCCTTTCACCGAGTTGTTATCAGAATCCAAATTTCATCTCTCCAACACCAAGTTTTATTAGAAACAATGCAACAAGACAATCTTGTGACCATCATGCAACAACAGCAACAGCAACAACAACCGCAACAACAACAACAATTCAAGTTACATGGTGGTATGCCTAACAATAATCATATTTCGAATAATTCTGCAACTCAATTTCAACTTCAACAACAATTAGTTCAAGCACTACTACAACAACAACCATCACTCAGTCCGCAACAAATTATTCAAATCAAACAACAATTCATGTTGAATCAATCTTTATCCAATAGCGGAACAAATCAAGTTTCGAATAAGAGTCCAAACTCTCAACCAATTAATATTCAACCCCAAACAAATAGTTTAAACTCTTCAACTAACATGATTCAAACACCAACATCAAACATGTCCAGTAGTACTGCTTCTGTTAGCACTCCAACTAACCTTTCTACCAACAATGTTTCGAATAATTCTTCCAATTCCTCTTCCACTCCAACCAATCCCTTCACAAATGACATAACCAGTTCATTGAATACCACTACTGCTACTACCCATTCAAATAATGCCAAATTACAAGAATCACTCGACATGATCAAACAACAACATGTACTTTTAATGCAACGAAGTAATAATAATAATAACTCGAATAATTTCATCATGCAACAACCTTCTACCAACACAACCAATATTTTACTTTCCAATCAATTAAATCATCATAATTCTAATAACAATAATTCAACATTGACAAATGTACTTTCTAATAACATGAATAATATATTCAACAATAATTCGAATACAATTAATAGTACAACAACTGCATCATCATCATTAGTAACTTCTAAGAATCTTGTAAACTCCTATCAAGGAAATGAAGATATCAATAACATGCTTTTGAATTCATTGCACAATAACACAAATATGGTAATTAACCAACAAGTATACATACTAAAAGAGGAAACTATGCAAGAACTTTTAGAAGAGGGATTTAAAAGTTTGAATTTACCTATTTCTTCAATACCCTCCTCAAATAATTGTACATTACCTTTTAATTTTAATAGTTCTCCATCAACAACAACATCACATCATATCGATCACCAGCATCAGCATCAGCATCACCACCACCATCGACAACAAGAACAAATTTTAACAATTGCTGAACTTGAAGAGAGTTTGAAAAAGTTTACAAAAAGACAATCACCAACTTTTAACATGTCTCCACCACAGAGAAGTAGTAACAATTCATTAGTTGCAAATTCTAGAAAGATGAGTAGTGGTAGTGTCACTGGTGGTGTTGGTGCTGTTGCTGGTCATGCATCTGTGGTTGTTGGGTCATCTGATTTGACATCTCTGAAAAGAAAGGCATCTATTGATATTCATTCAGAGTTAGATTGGATAACAAAGAAACATAAATAAATAACATATAAATATCATTCACTTTACAACAATATATTTATTAAATAAGTAAAATATTATATTTATTAAAATAATATTAATATTTATTAAAAAAAATGAGTCAAGCTTCTTCTGCCAAGATGCTAAAGGAGCATGCCAAACTCATCAAGGAATGTATGGGAAAACAAGATTGGAAAGGAGCCTTGGTCGAATTAAAAAAGGCTTTAAAATTGGATAATACAAATTTCAACATGTTTTTATATTGTGGATTTTGTCTGGGAAAATTATATGTTGCTGATCAGGATGAACAATACTTTACTCAAGCAGAGCAAGCCTATGAAAAGGCTGCTAGTTTGCAAAAAGATAGTGAACAACCATTATTAGGCTTGTTAGAATTATATGAACAAAAATTATCATCTGCTACAGAGTGTAGGAAGAAGGCTTTACAAGTTTGCGAAAAATTACTTCCTCTTCTCAAGTCTAAAGATCAAGAAAAGTGGTTGAATCATCTTGGAAAGTATCATCAATGGTTTAATTTGGATATTCGTTCACTTTCAGAAAGTGAATTAACTTCAGCACTCATCTCCAAGTATGAAAAATTGATCAATGATTTTAGTATTATTGCTGAGAAGAGTTCATCATCAAAATACACACAAATGCTCGATACATTATTCCTTGAACAATATAGAGAGAGATTGCAAATTGATAAACTTCTTGATGAAAAGGTTCAAGAACAAATTCTTGAACTTCGTGAAAAACAAAAGAAAAAACTCTTGAAGGAAAAGAAAAAGTTGAGTGATAGAGAATTGGAAAAATTAATGCCAAGTGATATTGAACTCTTACCAATGAATAAGAGAGAAGAATTGAAGGTCACTTTGAAAGTAGAAACTACACAATTTTACTATTCTCAAAATTTGGAAACAAGTGTCGACAACCTATTGGCTCAAATTGTTGAATTTTGTAAGAAGAATGAAATGTTTTGCGATTTCCATGTTTTTGACAAGATGATAGAAAGAACTCAACAACGTTTCAGACTAGTCCAAGACAAGGAAGTTGAAACAAAGGTACGTTCAAATATGATGAAATTATCTAATTGTTAAAATAGTTAAAACAAGGTTTGGTATCTATTTGTAAGGAAGCTCTCTCCATGCACAAGAACTATTTCAAAGCTATTGAACAACTTTTCCTTATTAATGAAGAAGATAATTATGACATTTTTGATGAGAAGAACTTACAGGAAAAGGTTATTACTAGAAGAATGTTACACTTATTCCCATATGAAGGTCTTTCCTACATTAAATTATTTGAATTGCTCAGAAAGGAAAATATTAAGAGTGATAAGATTGAAGATGAATTAATGATTCTCTTACAGAGAGGTATTGAATTAATACCTCACTTTATTCAAGGTTGGATCTTACTTTCAGAGCTTTATTTGAGTTTGGAAAAGTACAAGAATGCTTCTGAAATTGCTAGAAAGGGCTTGTTAATTGTTGAAGAAAGAAAAACTCAAACCAAAGCATCTTTGGACAAGCAAGTAGCAAAGTTAAAGATTCTTCAAGCATATTCTCTGTTGAAGTTTGGTGCTCTTGCAGAGGCTGAAGAAATTTATAAGGAGGTAATGCAAAATGATGCAGACAATCTTGATGCAATCAAGGGTATTGCTGATATCGAATATCAAAGAGGTAATTTGACCAAATCAAGAGAATATTATGTCAGAGCCATTCAAATCAATCCACAAGACGATTTGACTCTTTGTCAAACAGGTTGGTTCTGTTATTTGGACAAGGATTATGATGCAGCTGTAAAGTACATCAATGCAGCCATTGAAGTTAATCCAAATAATTACTTGTACTTCTTTAGATTGTCTAAAGTTTATTGGGATTGGAATGAAAGTTATAGACAAGATAAGCAGTACTGTTACTCCTTACTTTTGAAGTCTGCAAGATTGAATCCAAACTTTTCAAGTAACTATGCTTACTTGGGTCATTTCTATAAGAATATCGAACAAGATGAAGATAGATGTATTAAGTGCTATAAGAAAGCCGTTACTTTGAATCCATTAGAGGACGAAGCAGGTGAAAATTTGGGCGATATTTACATCTCTAAAGGTCAATTAACACTTGCTGCCAGTCTTTTCCAAGATGCCACCTCTAGAAACAATAGAGCTGGTTGGGCTTGGGCAAAGCTTGGTTTTTATCAACAATCACAAAATTTATTGGATGAATCCATTCTTTCATTCCAACACGCTTTAAGAGTTTCTCCATTGCATGCTCTCTGCTGGGAAGGTCTTGGAGAAAGCTATAAACAAGAAGGTAAATACTTGGCAGCTCTCAAGGCATTCTCCAGAGCTGTCGAATTAGATTCATCTTTGGTATTTTCTATGGTGCAATCAGCCTTTATCAAATTCCAGTTGAGTGAATATGACAACAGTAGAGAAATCTATGAGAAGGTTATTGCTCTCAATGAAAAGTTCTCTGTTGCCTATGAAGGAATTGCTGCTGTCTTGTTCAAGGTTGCACAAAACTATTACAGTGATGGTTTATTCACTCAATGTGCTCACCAAGTTATTAGAGCCCAATGTGTTCTTACAAACGGTATTAAGAAACACTTTGCTACTCTCAAGACTTTGTGGAAATTATTGGGAGATATTCAAAGTTATTGCTTCCAAATTCCTGAAAGAAATATTGTGGAAGCCATCTCAACATACAGAGAATTGTGTAAGAATGACAATAGTATTTATATTGAAACATTCCAAGATGAATTAAAGACCAAGTTGGATTACTTGAAGCAAGCATCTACATCCTTTACAAGTTTGATCTCTCTTGATGAGAATGATTCTGATACTTGGTTTGATTTGGCTGTTTCTGAAATTAATCAACTTTTTGATATGGTAGGACCTCATGGAGATGATCATAAAGAATTGAGAGGAAAGGCATTAGAACACATTAGAAAAGCCATTACATTGAGTCCACATAATAGTAATTATTGGAATTGTATGGGTATCATCTCTGACAATGATGTAGTTAAACAACATTGTTATATTAGAGCTACTCAAATCGATACCAAGAATCATATTGCATGGAATAATTTAGGTGCCTTATACTTGAAGAATTTCAACCTCAAATTGGCAAGAAAGGCATTCTTGAAAGCTCAAGCTATTTATCCTGAAAGCAGTGTTGCCTGGGTTGGTCTTGCTTTAATCAATGAAAATGTTACAAATAGAGAAGGTGTTATTAGAGCAAAGGAAGATTTCAAACATTCAACAACTCTTGAAAATGTTCCTCCTGCCTATCTTGGACTTGCCTATACTTCATTATTGAGCAATGACTCTATTTATGCTATTCAATCTATTATGAAGTACTTCCAATTCAATACTACAGATTATGCTGCTTGGAATATTTTGGGTGTAGCTCTAGAAATGCAACAACAGTATGAAAAATCTTTGGAAGCATTCAACAAGTGTGAAGGCCTCTTGATTGACTATCAAATCAAGTATAAGAGCCAAGCTGATACTCAACAAAAAGGATTTATTCATAATACCAAATCTATTATCTTTGCTGAAGCTGATTTATACTCTGTTGAAAATATGTTATATCTAGTTAGGATTAACAAGGCAAGAGTTCTTTGCAAACTCTCTAAATTCAATGATGCCAGCTCAGTTTTCGAACTTTGCAAGCAATATTCTTCAGATGATATGGGTATTTTGATGGGATCTGCCATTACTAGTTGTTTTGCTTCAGATTTCTCATTCTCTATCAAGAGTATCTTATCTGCCATTGAGAGCTCTTCAAAGAAAATTAAAGAAGGACTTGAAAGTGAAAAGAGATTAATTGAGTTGTATAATTTAATTGCCAAGGTTTATTATCAACAAAAAGATTTTAAGAAAGCAAAGGAATATTTTGAAAAATGGTAAGTTTATTGATCAATTTTACTAATAATCTAATTTTTTAATTAGTATCAATGAATTCCCTAGCCATGAGGAGGCTTATCTCAGTTTAACTTCCTTATTAGTTGTAGCGGAGCCTAAAAATTCTACTCCAGCTCTAGAAGTAATCAGAAAGTTGAAGGCAAGACAATCTTCTTTAAGTTTAGAAACAACCAAGTTGGAAGCTCTTATTTATTGTAGTTATGGTGAATATGAAAAAGCTAGAAACTCTATTTGTAAGGTCATTCACATGAATCCTGCCGAACCAAAGTTGTGGGATTTACTTTCCCAAGTTACTCTTGACTATCAATTCATTTCTATGGCAACAGATGTTAAGAAGAAGAATAAGAAGAGCAAGGCCAAATTTGAAGTCGATGAAACACCAATTGCTTCTACCAACTCTGGAGCTATTTCTCAACTCACAACCCAACTCTTGCAAAACTCTCTTTCAAAGTTTTCTACAGAAACATTCGTTAATGACAAATCTTCTGTAATTGAAAGATTGTACAATATTGCTTGTTTGTACTATGCAATGGGTTCAGCTCCATCTTATCATAATGCTAGAATTACATTGAAACATGCCATGTCTATGGCTCAAAAAGCACTCATGTTAGATCCAAGCAATATGAAAATTTTCAGATTACTTACCTCTTGTACTCATTCACTTTCTTTGATTGAAAAAGAAAACTCTTACAATAAGGCTGCTGGTACTCTTCTTAAATCTTACTTGGAAATTAATGATACTGTTACTGATTTACCACTCCAAATTGCTTTGCTCGAACAATATATTTATAATGGAGAGTATACAAAGTGTATGGGTGCTATCAAGTCATTAATGGAAAAGCACAAGGATAATGCAACTATTGAATCATCATTATTTGCACTTCTTGGAAAATGTATTTTGGCTAAGGGAGAATCTATGGAAAAGGTTATGAAATTATTTACCAATTCTCTCAAAAAGGATAATACTAACTTGTACGCTTGGTATACTTTGGCAACCATTTTGATTAATCAAAAGAAATTCACAATGGCAAAGTATTGTGTTGAAAGCTGTTTATCCATTTCAAAGAAGAATAATGATTTGAGCAATGAATTCTTATCGAATAGCATGTTGGCATATATTTGTTTAATGATCAGTCTCATTAATAACAGTAAGGAAATGATTACTGATGGTATTCAATTTACCAAGAATGCTTTCAGAATCAATAATGAATCTGCTCCTGTCTATTTGATTTATGGTAAATTACAATTCCTTAATGGAAATTTGGAGGAGGCACTCAATGCCTTCCAACAAGTTATTAGAATTGATCCAGAACAACCTCTTGCATCAATCAACATGTACTGGGTACATTACAATAAGGAAAACTGGGGACCAGCAGAAGAATCTTTATGGGCTGAAAAGAGCAAATCATCCAACCAAGCAGAAGTTGTTTTCACACTTGCTTCATTTGCTTTTGAAAGTGAAATGCCTGCTCCTGCTTTGAAATTCATTCAAAAAGCCATTAGATTAGACCCATCCAATACTAAATATTGGGACTATTTGGATACAATTCAACAAGCTCTCAAACCAAAAGAACCAGTCAAACCACAACAACAAGCCAAAAAGAAGAAATAAAGTTAACTTCCCGCTCACAAAAGTTTGGCGCCAAATTAAAAAAATTAAATTAAAAAAAATGCAAAAGTCAAATAAAAACGAATCTCACTGAATAATCAGATGATTGACGATGAGGAAGCTCTTGTTGAAAAGATTGATTACTATGCTAACAAGGTGAATGTATTTTTTGCTATGCAACCAGCAACAGAAACCTTGTCTAAACTTGCAGAAAATCGTAGAAATATAACTAGGATGATACAAGAGGGTAAGTTTATCCTATCGGAATGAATATTTAATGGTGGATTGTTTGAATGTACATCTCTACATGACGGATTTGTAATGACTCATGGTAATTAACATCATCAGCAAAAAAGGCTGAATTACAATCTTCATCAGCAAAGACTACTCGTGCGACAACAATAGGTGCTAGTAGTACTAGTTCATCATCTGGGACTATTGAAAATTCTAGGCAGATAACAATTGATGATTTTATGATAGACGATGATTTTGATTTTGGAGGTGGCTTAGGAGGTGATGATTTTATGTTTGAGGATTTGAATGATATACTACTACAAGTGGTGATGTTAATTTAAAGACAAGTGATGATCATTACAAACCGGCATGTGATGAAAATTCAAACAAAACAATTGAAACAAATGAACAGAAACCCAAAGTGACGATCAAGAAGAAAACTAAAACTGACAATTCTAAATCATCGACCTCTTCTTCTCCACTGTTAAAAGAATCGACAATTGAATCGAAAAAAGAAATCAAGTCAACACAAGAGAAATCTCAAAAAAGTAGAAAAAAACAGAAAGTTGAAGAAAAACCATCCACTCCACCATCTCCATCATCTCCTTCCCCAACAACTGAAACCCCTAAAGAAGAAACCAATTTATATGATGAAAGTGAAGCTGTAGAAAACTCTGCTGAACTTTTGGATCATTTATTCAAACATAATAGAGGAAAACATTTAGCTCCACCAAACTTCCATTACTATCCATCAGAAGATATTCAAGAACAATTATCATTCAAACATTTATTATATCCATGTGAAATGGCAAAGAATTCCTCCCTCCAAAATGTCCAAACTTTTTATAGAAATTCAGATAATATTTGTTATCAAGGAATACCTTTCCTTCCTGCCCAAAGTCTCTACTGCCCAAAAAAAGCAACCCCATCACAAAAAGATTATTTATTAGACTCAGATGCTGAGTTGAGTGCTCTACAAATAGCTAGGATTGATGCAACTCTGCCAGAAATTCGTATTCAACGTCTCCTTAGACATGTAGTTAAGGATGACTTATCTCTATTCGAAAAGGATTATCAATTTAATTTATTTTTAAGAAAAAACAACGAGGGAGAAGATATTCCATTTACTTCTTACTATAAGCCATATTTAAAGAGACGTAAATGTGAAAATTTACTCAAAATGGAGGCAGAAGATTTGAAAGAACTAGGATTACTTCATGGTGATCTGATACATTGTCCTTTTACACCTGCAGAGGCTAAAATTATCAAATATCTCAAACATAACAAGTGGAATAATAAGAAGATTGCTATCTTATTTGATAATAGAATTAGTGAAGATATTAAAAATTATTGGGATGATATTTCAAATGGAGAAGGTCAACACGGAGAGGCATTTACCTTCTACGAAAAACCAATACCACTTGTTTGTTCCAAGACAATTAATGAGTTGATGGCTTCAAGAGAAATCAAGACTAGCGATCTCACTTTAAATAAGCATGTCAATATTAAGAAAATTTACAATGATTTACCAGATTCTGATAGATTTAATTTGAATACTACATATAGACAATGTTGGCAAAGTCCAAACGTCACAAAAAGCTCCTTTTCAGACTTTTCTGGTTCCATTGTAGAAATTGCCTTTGATAAATCAAGTGAAAGAATGGCTGCAATTTCAACCAATTCAGAGCCAAACGCTTACCTGTTTGATTTGAAGGAAGGAAAGAGAGTGAAGCTTCAAGGACATTTAGATACAGTAACAGATGTCAAGTTTACCCAAGATGGAAAGGTAGTCACCTCGTCGTTTGATAAAGCCATTAGAGTTTTTGGTTCTGATGGCACTCTATTGAAGACTATTAAAAAATCAGAAAACTCAGAAGGTCACGATAATGAAGTCAGCTTACTGGCTATCCATCCAGATGATTCACATGTTATCGCTTCATGCTCAGAGAAGGACAAGAGTGTAAAGTTTTGGGATATTAGAAGTGGATCCATGATAATTGACCTTATGGCAAGAGAAAAGGTAAAAACTGAAATATCTGGAATGGAATTTGGAAAAGATAATGTATTTTATGCAATGAGTATTCTATCTTCTGATAAGAAACATGGAGAAATATTTTTATATGATGTGAATACTTATCAATTGTTGGACAAAATAAGAACCAAGAATAATGGAACAGAAGCTTTTTCTCTATCACACTGTGGAAAGAAGATTGCCATTGGTGGAGAAAATGGTACTGTGCATGTTTATGATACAAAGGAAAAGAACTTGATTGGTGATATTCATAACACTAGACTTCACAATAGAGTTTCATTTGTAAATTGGTCAGCTGATGACACCTACATGGCTACTGGAGGTTATGATGGTTTAGTAAGAGTTGTAGACCAGAGAATGAATCAAGTACTCTTTACTTTCAGACATAGTTTAGAATTTATCCAAAAACAAGGTGCAACACGTAGTTGTTGGTCTAATCAACCAGGTACTTCTCTGTTGGTAACTTGTGGAGATAATTATGCTACACAAGTTTATTCAATCTCAAGTGGTAATCCATTTGTTACTTCATTTGAGGAGAAGAAATTCCCAGTCTCAGCCGTATCAATTTCACCAGATGATTTAACAATATGTTCTGGTGATGACATGTCTAATTTGTTCCTCTTTTCTCTTTCAGGTTATGATATAAGTAAATAATTTATTAGAATCCGAGATCATTACTGTTATATTGTAAAATTTGTGAGAAGAGATTTTGTAAGGATTGATAGCTTGTAGAATCTTGCATCCAACTTGTAATCTTTGAATTAACAATTGGAATATGAATAAGGGTATGAATTCCACTCTTGACAAAGGTATCAAGAATCTTCTTCTTATTAGTACCAAGTAATTTGGAAATGTAAAGTCTTTCATCCATTGTATTATCATCCATTCTTACCATATCACTAACAGCAGCATAAGTTGAAATAAATTCAAATACAATATGTGCCTTAAATTCATCCCAACTAGAAATCTTTGCAACAGTATTATAAACTGATCCGATTGATTCAGTACATCTCACACAAGTATTCATATTATCAACTTCCTTTGTTTCGAGAATTGACTCAAAAATGATTACCCTCTCAAAAAGCATATTAATTAAGGAATTAAGAGTTGATTGAACAATAGAAACCTTTGTAACCTTTAAAATTGAATGTTGAACAATATATCCCAAAATTTCAGAAAGTGTTATAATAATATTTGGATCCAATCTCATGGTTAACAATTCTTCAGCTGATAATTTAGATAACATGATAATATTCTTTCCTCTACTGGCTACATCCATTGAAGAATATGTGAATATACTTGTAGAAACAGCAATATCTGAAATTAAAGAAAGGAATAAATCCATTGTTGTTTTGGTTGTATAAACATGTGGTGATTTGATTTCTAATGAAATATAATTAATAAACTTTAACAATCTCATAATTAAAGTTTGAACTGAAGAATTAATCTTCCAATAATCAGAACTAATTGAAGAAATATTTGAAATTGGAATTGTGTTAAAAAGATAAGATCTAGTACTCAATTTGATAGCTTCAATAACAGAACATAAATAAAAGTTCAATTCTGACTTGTCAATTGAAATCAAGCACATGTGAACAGTTGAAATGATATCTATTAATTTCTTTACATTTTCTTGAACTTGATCAACATGAATTGAAGCATTTTGTACAGAAATATTTGGCATTGCAAGATGTTGATTAAATTCTTTCAATTGATCAATAATCATATTAATTAGGAAAATCTTATGTGAACCACTCAATGTTGTAACCATTAAAGTTAATAATTTTTCTTCTTTAACATCTTGAATTGATTTAACAACTTTTCTAAATAATTTACTTGGAGGAATAGGAAGTGGATTTACTTCATCTAGAGAATTTGGACCAAACATTGTTACTAATTCAATTAAATCTTTCAAAACATTAAATGTTACTTCCTTTTCACACATTACATTATATAATTCATTAATAGTATTATGATCAATAGATGATGGTAATTTAGATTTACTTGTTGAAATTAAAAGTAAAATTTGTGATGAAATTACAAGACTTTGATAAACATGAGGATCATTCTTAATGGATTTAACTCTATCAGTAAATGCAAAATAAAAATTCTTTTTCTTTCCATACATTCCATTTGTAAATAATAATGAATAAATATTGGATTCAATTTGGAAATTTCTATTTTGAATAGAAGATCCTTCCTCTTCAATAATAGATTTCTTAATAAATGAATAAATACTTCCTAATAAACAATTGGAAAATCTTACTTGTGCTACATTATCTATTGTTGTAGTATTATTTGTAGTATTATTATTATTATTATTATTATTATTATTATTATTATTATTATTTAATAATAATGAAATGATTAAACATTCTTTATCTTCACTCATTTCCTTATCTAATCCCATATTGAAAAGAATGGACATGATATCACATGTATAATTTTCAATATTCTTTACAATTTCATTCATATTTTTAAGAGTAAATTTAGAATTTAAAGAATAAACTGTACGAATATAAAATCTATAAATAAAAGATTGAGATAAATTTCTAATATTTTCTTCTGGTAAATTACGTAATAATAATAATTGAACTTTTCTACAAGATTCAATAAATTTAACTCTATTCGATCCAAATAATGGATAATTACTTGTATCACTATTATATTGAGTAGTAGTATTGGTATTATTATTATTGAAAATATCTAAACAAATAAAAGCATCATAAATCATTAATAATGATAAAACTGATAATGTAAATGAGTGTGAAAAGTATTTTGGTGGGAATGATAAAATTAAATTAATATATGGATTTAAATATAAATTTCCTTGTTGAGGATTAATATTTGTTAATTTAAAATCTGATTTAAAAATTGAACATAAATTTTCATCAATTTCCTTATTATCCTTTACTTTAAATACTTTAGATTCAATATATTCAAAAATGGATGAAACTTTCTTTTCAATTTTACAAGATGAAATACTTGATGTAAATTTTTCAATTTTTTCAATCCATTTCTTTTCATTTGAAAACATATCATTTGATATTAATTGAATAGAATTTAAAATTGAATTAAATAAGAAAGATTCAAATGAAGATTGAATTTTTTCTTGTTCAAATAATAAATCATCATTCCATAAATCTAATGTAACTCTTTCAAGTGAGAATGGTAATAACATTGATCTATTCAATCTCATACCATTAATAGATTGTGTTAGAATAAAATTACATAATTTTAATAATTCTTCTTCATCACAATATGGAATAATATAAATAAAATTAGTAGCAGTTAAATACCATAACATTGAAATGTACTTTTTTTCACTATTAATAGATTCAATAATACCTCCCCAATCAAATTCTTCAATTTCTTCAAGTGTAAATTCTTCAAATTGATGAATGTTAGATAAAATTGATAATTCTTCTTGAATAAAATTAAAATAAGTTTGAAAATTTCTTGTTAATAATTTTTGTTCTCTTCTACTTTCATGAGTTTCATATGAATATAAATTTTGATTTGAAGTTGTTAAATTGTGTCTTCTAATATTAACTTGTTGATTAATTATCATTAATCTTCTAAAAATTATATAACAGTAAATACCCTTATTCATAAATGATAATTCTTTAAATACTTGTATAAATGATTGATTATTAGTAAATTCATCCATTGTTAAACCAGTACCATCATGAAAATTAACAATAAAATCTTTATCATTAACAATTTCTTTCATTGAAAATACATCTGATGAAAATTCTTCAGATCTATGAATAATATTACTCATTGAATAATAGAGTTGAATTACACTTGATTCATTTGACATTTCATTCATTAACTTTTTAACAATTTCTGAACATGTTTGTTTTGCAAGTTTTTGCATTTCTTCATAATTTGATTCATTTAATTGAACAAAAAATCCAAATGAAGTCAATGGAAATAATAAAAGTGTTATCATACTTTTCAACTTGTTATTATTATTATTATGATTATTATTATGATTATTATTGTTATTATTTAAACGTTGTGAAATTGTATCAATTAAATATTTAAAATAAATTATAATATCTGTTGGTGCAATATTTTGAATCAAATTCTTAATACTATTTCTGAATGATTCTAATTGAATTATTGAATTATTCAGAATCATGTTATTATTATTAGTATTATTATTATTAATGGATGTATTGTTACTATTCTTTTTAAATTGTTTACCACCAGTATTAGCAGTAGTAGTACTAGTAGTACTAGTAGTACTAGTATACTTAGTGGATGATAATGATAAAGATAACATATCAATAGCATTAAACATGTCATCAAAAGCACTCTTTCCTTTAGCAAAATGTACAAAAATGTCTAACATTTCACCAATGAATTGACTCAAATTTAATTTTTCAACATCATTTGAATCAATTTGGAAAACAATCTTCCAAATATAACTATAAAAACCATCAAGAATACGATAATCTGTTGTTACTATTAACTTTAAACATTCAATTATGGAATAAATTTCTTCTTTTGGAGAATTATCAATTTCAAATATTAAAATATTTCTAAAAATTCTATTTACAAATTCAAATAAAAATTTGTAAGAAACTGAATTTTCTGATGCCATTTTGTAAATATCAAATTTTTGAATAATTTTAAAATATGAAATTATTAAATTTAAAAAATCACTTCTATTAATATTTTCCTTTTGATATTCTAAATATGTTAACCACATTAAACTAAATATGAATGATTGTTTAATTTTAATATATAATGAAACAGATTCTGTTAAATGTTGGAAAGTATTAATTTCATGTTCAAATGATTTGTAAATATTTTCAATAGAATTGAATAAACTTTTTGGTTCTTGTCTTAAAATAGAAACAAATTCTTTAAAGAAATAGAATGTATTACTTCCAACACATTCATTTAAAAATCCTGCTTTAAATGAAACATTTCTAGCATTAATTAATCCATAACATTGTACATCTGGATTATCTAAATAATCTGAAATACCTCCATTAGTATTTTTGAGAAATTCAAATATTAATTGATTGATAATTTGTACTTGTTCTTTTAACTTTTCAATAATTGAGTTATCATTTAGACTTGTAGTAGTAGTATTATTATTAATAGTAGTATTAGATTTAATAGTATTATTATTAATAGTATTATTATTATTAATATTATTAATAGATGTAGTAGTAGAATTAATTTTATCAATAATATTTAAAAATTTAAATTTTAAAGTAATTAATTTAAAAGCAATTTTACAAGTAAAAATAACTTTCATAGAAGATTGTAATAAGGAACGTGAAGAAATTTCCAAAACTCTTGAAGTAATATTCATATAAACTAAATTAGCCCAATTCACTAAATCTTTCTTTGTTAATAAATGATTAGCAATATTATTTAATGAATCAATCATTGAAATTAAAGTACTTTGATCAACACCTGAAGAAAATAGTGATGAAAATAGTTCATTCATAGAAAGTGCTGAAAATATGATATTTTTCAAATCATTTGATTGATTAGATTCTAAATTTTGATGAGTAGCAATGAAATTTGTTGATATTTGTTGAATTAATTGAATTGATTCATCATTCAATGAATTTGAATTTGAATATATATCAACAAGAATCTTTTCAAAGATGAATAAAAATCTAAGGAAATTTACATTCTTCAAACTAGTAGAATTAGAAGATAACATTGAATCCAAAACTTTCTTATGTTTAGATGTTAAAATATTCACTAATTTAAGTAATACTGTAAATATTGGTTTTTTGACTGTTTTTAAACATGATTGAACCAATCCGTGCACACTATATTGCATGGCGTTTAATGTTTGATTAGAAAGTAATCTCTCATTAAAATGTTCATATAATTCATCAAGTATTTGAGTATTTTGCATTGATGAAACATCAATAGTAGCCTTCTTATTTTCAAATAATGTTCCTATTTGTTTAATATCAAATTCATCACACCATTTCTTTGTTTCCGCAACCAAATCATAACTCGTCGATTTTTCATCATCCTCCTCAACATGTTGATGGTTTACATATTGTTGTTGCTGCTGTTGTGATTTTGTTTTATCCATTTTTTTAGTTCCGAGAAAATTCAGAAGAAGGCTTTTTTCAAACAACATCAACAAGAATGTGCATTTTATCTTTTGAGAAGGCTTTTTTGTGAAGGAAGCCTAACTTTTTCTTAAAGCCTACTACTAGTGTGCTATCATTGAATAGAGGAAGAAGGCTTGTTTGAATATTGGCCAATTCGAAAATTTAGTATACCATTGAAAGTAGAAACAATCAAATAGTATAATATTACATTTCCACGTATGATATGATGTCATCATTGTTATTCGTTGGGATGTAGATATTATTATTAATTACTCTAATAAAAGTAATAAAAATGATGCAACAACGACCATCTCCCTCACTCTCATCAACATCAGCAACAGGATCATCATCATCAATTAGTAAATCAGGTGGTGATCAAGAACAAATTATTCAATTTATAGTGAGAATGTTTAAATGGAGACAATTGGATTTTAAAGGAGCCTTCAGACAAATGTTACAATTAATAATATCCCCTGATCTTGTATATAAAAGTGCTGAGAATAGAAAATGTATGTCTTGTTAAGATTTCTGATTAATAATATTAATTATTAAATGCTGATCATTTAGATATTAAAGATAGATACTCAAGAGATGATCCTTCCCTTGTAATGATATTATCAGCCTTCATGTTAATTGTCGGATTAATTTATTCAATCTTTTTCCATAAGCTTTCATTATCGAATTATATTTCACTGATTGGATATTTATTACTTTTTGATTTTATATTTCTTGGAATTGTAATTTCTACATTTACTTGGTATGTTATCATATTATCAATTATTTATCAATTATTTATTATTAATATTATAAAACATATGAATATATTACAAAATATACATATGAACATTTTAATATGAATTTTATAATTCGGATCATAATGATGGATTAAATATATTTTAATGTAATATTTGATTTTTAGGTTAATTGGAAACAAAATTCTATCAACAAGTGATAATGAAAGTATTGAATGGTTATATAGTTTTGATATTCATACAAATTCATTCTTTCCATTATTTATTTTACTCTATGTTGCTCAATTTATATTTTTACCTTTATTAAGCATGGATGGATTTATGGGAATAATACTTTCAGATTTACTTTACATTTTTTCATTTTCATATTATTGGTACATTACATTTAAAGGTTATCTCAAATTAACTTTTATCAAAAATTCAGAATTATTCCTTTTACCAATTCCATTAATTGTAATACTTGGTATTGTTTGTATGGCAACTAGTATAAATTTAACTACATTCTTTGTTTCTCTTTATATTAATACTAATAATTAATAAAAAAAGAAATAACATTTGTTTTTAAAGAACATTCCATTTCACATCAAATGACCCTCTATTATTTAAATGGTCAACCAATCAATTATTATTTTGTTTTTTTGGGTCGCTCCTGTCAACATGACATGGTGAACAATTATAAATTCACCACATTTGATTGTAATGGAGGAGAACAAATTTAAAAAAAAAAGTTAACTTTATCCAGGATCATTATCTTGTGAATATTATTATTATTATTATTATTATTGTAGTACAGTCATCATGAGTTTATTAGATGGAGATTTAATTATTGTTCGTACAATTGGAGCTAATTTATCATCAAAACAAGATGCCTACTGTCTAGTTGAAACTAATTTAGATGCCAATATAAAGAAGAAATCATTTGTTATTTCAAAATCATCAAATCCAGAGTGGAATAATGAATTTGTAATTCCAGTCTCTGGAATGGTATTGAAGAATATTCCAAATGTAACACTTTTATTCACTGTTATGGATGAAAACAAAATTACCAAAGATGAATTTATTGGAAATGTTTCTTTACAAATTGATACTAATCAATTTCATTTAAATGAAGAAGTTAAGAGAACTTTATCTTTAAATACTCCTAAAAAGAATGAAATTGAAATTGCTATTAGAATTGTTAGAATTAGTGGTGCTGAATCGTATGTTTTTTATTTATTATTATTATTTAATTATATTTATTATTAATATTTATTTAATTATTATTATTTAATTATTATATATTTAATTATAATTTATTTAAATTATAATTACAATAGACAAAGTGCAATTCATAAATGTCCAACTCATAATATTTCCATTAATTCACTTTGTAAAACTTGTAAGAAATTAATGTGTTCTGCTTGTGCTGTTAGTAAACTTCACAATACTCATAAAATTCATTTAATTGAAGATGTTGAAGGAATTGAAAGAGAAGAAATATTTGAATTTAAATCTGATATTGATAAATGGATTAATGAAGAGAAAATTTCAGTTAATCAACTTGAAAATGAGTTGGGTAATACTGAAATTTCAACTACAGAAACTAAACAAAAAATTCAAAGTCAATTCTTGAAAATTAAAGAATTACTTGAAAAGAAGGAAAGTGAAGTTTTATATTCACTTGATAAACAATCTCAATTTAGAATGGATTATTTGAAAGAATTATTAGATTGGAAATTATCATGTGATCAAATGTTCAATGATTTTGAAAAATTGAAACCATACGATTTCTTAGATTTGAAATTATCTAAATTTGATAATTTAAAGTATTCCTTTACAAAAACTAAATCAACTTATCAACCAAAGAAAAATTTTGTAAAAGATTTGGAACAAACTGAAAGCAAGGTTGGAGATAAGATTGAAAATATTACAAGAGTTATTGAAAATAATTTTTAAAAACTTCAAGTAATTTCCAAATAAATCTTTTAGAAGTTTTTGGTTTCATCTCTGTTTATGAAATGGATCTTGAAAATTGTAGAGTGTTTTGTAAAGTCTGTTCCAAATTCAATTTAGAGTTCATTTGTAGATAAAACCATTCTGGAATTGAAATTCAAAAAAAGCATTGAGCCATTATACAATTTCAAAGAGATAATTTCATTATAATCCACAACATTACTATCTATTAGGCGCCAAAATTGTAATCGTTGTTGTAAAACCATTTGGCGCCAACGACTACTGCTAGCCACTTGAAGTTGTCATCATCTCGGCCGAGATGTTGCTGAAGATTCTTTTGTAGTGTTGTTTTGCGCTCTTTCTTCAACCAACAAGCCTTGTATTCCTACTGGTTGGTTGAATTCCTTCACTTTTTAAATCATTACTTTACAATACTTGGTAACCTTGTAGTAGTAGTATTAGATTTTGATATTATTCGTACTCAATGACCTGTCTTTTTACACATGTTGTACTACTAAACAATCAACACTCCACCAAATCATTTATCAATAACAATTGGTAAAACTCTCAAAATATTCAGTATCCTTATTATTATTAAATGGTGTTAGTGGCCATTTTTAAAGCGTATTCAAGCGACTAGGCTTTCTAAAAACAACTTCAAAAAAAAATATCTCAAATGAAAATAGCCCCTAAAAGCCACGCTAATCCCTTTGAAAAAACCTTTTGCAGATTCACAACAGGTAAATACAATTTTTATGTGCAACAACAACCAACAAATATGAATAATGATTGTTATACTTGTAGAAGTTTAATGAATAATTGTTCTAGAAACCAGCTAACAAGTAAATCATCATCATTCATGAATTCAAACCATAGAAGAGTACAATTCTTCAATGGAGTGACAAAACGAAGAAGACCTAAAGCACTTTCTTCAAGTGCTTCATGTCCTTCAAATGGATCACAAAAACAACGAAGACATTCTCGTCCGCACATTGATTGTTTACAAATTTTAGACTTGTCTTTAAACAAACAAGTGTTGTACATTGTTCCTCATGCTCCTTCCACTCCTTTGAGATCTAATTCTTGCTCTACACCTACCTCTTTAAATAATGTAGTTAATTTCAATTCATCCAATTCTAATACTACTACTCCAACTACTACTACTATCACTGCCTCTACCTCCACTGCTGCCACTACCACTACCATTGCCTCCCCTGCCATCACTGCTATCACTACCATTGCCTCTACCTCCACTCCAACCAATAACTCTTTCTCTCCAACAATATCCAATGAATCCTCTATTACTAGTTTCAATAATAGACCTGCTGCTGCTCAACAACAAGATATTTCCACTTACAATTTGAATGAATCATCACCAATTAATTTTAATTCAGTGGTGATACATGGTTCACTGTATCAATCAGATACCATGGCACCATTGAATAGTAACGAGTTTATTATTGATAATTACAACAGAATTGATCCAAAACCTGAATTAAATTCACGGTTATCAGATCAATCATCAACAATATCTTCAAACTCTCAACTGGATTCTCCTCTTTCTGATATTACTGAATGGAACCTTGATATGTCAGGGTCTATGTTTGACATTCTATTTATTGAAACTGATTTTTAAATAAAACTATTCATCATATAAACACATCAACTGAGTGAGAAAATATTTGAGGAGCTAGCTATTACACAACATTATGTTTTTGAAATGATAATACTACTAGTCTGTATGGAAAAGCATAAACCCAAATAGAAACCCAACCAAAGAAATATATATAATGGAAAATATCTAAATGAGCGCATCATAAAACAATCATCATCAGCACAACAATAATAACTTTTCAAAAAATGATCGACACCTCTCAACACTATTCAACAATGAGTAGTACACTTTTATCTAAAATCATTACATCATCATATCATCATGATTGGACTGATACTAGGAATCATGCTGCGGATATTATTAATACATCACCATCATCTTCACCATCATCATTATCATCATTATCATCACTTGTACAAGAACAAATATTCGGATATATTAATAATAATACAACAACAAATGATCAACCACCTTCTAATAATTATCTACATCCAACATTTATTTGTTTTTTTGTATTTTACTTTTTTGGATTTTCACTAGTTTTTTGTTATTCAATTTATTTACTTGTTAATAAAATTTCAAAATGGATTAAAAAATTTAAAAGATTAAAAGATTTTAGAAATGGAGAAAAGAATTTATATCCAAATTCACAACCTAGTCAAATATTACAATATTTATTTTATATTCAAATAATTCCATATTTTTTAATTAGATTTTTAATTTATTTTCTTGTTGGTTTTGAATTATTACCAACAAATATTCTTGATATTGGAAATAATTGGTCTCATTCTCAAATATTTCTAGTTGCATTTACATTGAGTGGTATTTTATTACATAATACTTATTTTTTAATTGTAAGTTTTATTATTATTACAAAAATATTAAATATTATTACAATATAATATTAAATATTAAATAATATTAAAAAAAAAGGCATTTTTTTGGAGTGAATTAGAATCATTTCAAAGAGGATATGCAAGTGCAAATATACAAAAAAGACAATTTAAACATTTATTAATATTTATTACGTGTAGTATTTTATGGATTGGATTAGAAATTACAATGTCAATTTTAGTATTTATTAAATGTTATCCAGATTTATATTCACCAAATATGAATACAATATGGTTTACATGGATTGTTAGAGTTGAACATTGTTTAAATGCATTTTTATCATTTTCATTAATTATTTGGTTTTTATTTTACTCAATTTGGAAAAGAAAATCAATGTGGAATTTATCATTTGTTGAAGGTTTAAAAATTTATAAAAGAAATTCATTCACTACTAATGGAAGACCAACACAAATAATAACACAAATAATAACACAAAATACCACCACCACCACCACACAATTAGCAGCAGTAACAACAACAGTACCACCACAACAACAACAACAACAACAACAACAAATAACAACATTCAATAATAATAATAATAGTAGATATAAAGAGAATGAAAATAATATTGAATATAATTTATCATCACAATCTTCATATAATTATAGAAATGGTCCAAAATTAATGAATAGAATTGAATCAACTAGCAAATGGTTATTTTATTCAATGATTATTTGTATAATGGTTTATTTATTACAATCAATTTCACAATTAATATTTACTGAAATTTATATTTCATTATATGGAAATGGACTTTTAATTTTATATGATTCTTATATTATTGTAATTGGATTTATTAATTCTCTATCAGATTTTACACCATTTTTAATGTGTTATATATTTCATAAATCTAATCAAATTATACGTGATATTGTTAGAGATGAAAATGATTTAACACATTACACTGATTCAACTTTGAGTACACACAATAATTATTATTATCATAATTATCATAATGGAAATATTGGTGTTGGTGTATTATTGGTGGTGGTATTGATGGTGGTATTGGAGGTGGTATAGAATCTGATTTGGATGAACAGAGTGAAGCAAGTTCATTAATCATGTCTCCACCATTACATAGTGGTGGTGGTGGTCTATTGAATGATCAACAATATATTATTACCTCCTCTCCTTATTCACATAATAATAATAATAATAATAATAGAAATAGTCGTTCTAATAGTAATGCAATTCAAAGAGAGAGAGCCAATAGTAATCAAAGTAATTATAGTAGTAGTAGAAGTAGAGCCAATAGTATGGATTATCCCTATCAACAACAACAAACTTCCATAATGATGATGAATAGTAATGGTGCTATAGGTGGTATTGGTATTGGTAGTAGTGGTAATGGCAGTGGTAATAATCAAAAGAGAGGTTTCTTCTCAAAATTATTCAAATCAGGAATTGAAGAAGATACAATGCTTATTAGTGTACCCTATGAGAATAGGTTATAACCTAATATATTTACATAACATTCTACCATCAAAATACTATTAGTAGCAGTAGTATAGAATATTAAATAGGAAGATTTAGAGTTAATTTATTGAAAACTAGGTATTGGTGTTTCTCCAATCAAAACAAATATTGAAATAAATTAGTATAAAGAACAAGTACATGATTATTATAACACTGTATTCACAATATGTTGAGTTTAAAAAATGAAACGAAATCTTAATATACTACTATTAAGAATGAAAGAAATGTAAAAAGAAAGACAAAAAGTATTTCGTATTAAATTTTATGATGTCATTAGTATCAATAGTTTAAATGGAATAGAGTTTGAAATATTTAAAGGTATTATTCATTATCAAATAATATTAAATATCCAATAAACATAAAATTTACAAAACATTTTAGAAATGATAGAAAAATTGTATTAACTCTAAAAAAGAATAAAGTTCTGTTTTGGGAGCTGTGTAACAAAATGCCAATTCTTTCAATAAAGACAAAGAATAATTAATAATAAAAAATGTATTAATTTTTATTAATATATTGATCACAATGTAATGCCCAATCTTGTCTTTGTAAATTTAAAAATATTTTTCTTGCTTGTTCAAGTTCAGAAATACCTTGTGAATTTTCTTTTAATCCAATTTTAGAAATACCTTTAAAATATTTCATATAGGCTAATTCAAATTGAGCTTCTTCTGAATCTTTTTTAATCCATTCAGGCATTACAGATTCAGCTAATTGATCTAATTTAGTAAATGTTTGATCAGCTAATTTTAAATGACCTTGAAAGAATCTACATGAACCCATCATATTTTCTAATTTAAAAACACATTCCATATATGTTTGTGTATCAGTTTCATTCTTTTTTCTTCTTAAAATATTATAAACTCTTGAAATGGTTGATTGTTGAAATGGATAAAAACCTTTTCTTTCATATGCTCTTGCTAAATATGAACCTGAAATTGTAATTAATTGTGCTTCATATAAATCTAAAAATAATTCAATACCAATTAAAGCTTTTTCACCTAAAATAACAGAAAAATCAACCTTATTAGTTTCTAAATATAATCTACTTAATAATAATGCAGTTTTAGTTGTTTGTGGTGACATCCATCCATAAAAACCTTCACTAATTGAAAGTGATTTTTCAAAATTTTGAACAGCCTTTCCAGTTTCACCTCTATTTAAATAATATTCACCCAATTCATGAAATGCTAAAGATGCTTCTAATCCATTCTTCCATGTTACTTTAGGTCCAATTTCTTGTATAGCTTTATTATGTAATTCAAATCCTTGATCATTTAATCCCATACTATTTAAAATTGATGCTTTTATAATTTTCATTTGTGGAATTTCTTCAATTCCTTCTTTTGAATTTAATGCACTAGTAATTTTAATAACTGCTTGTTCATATTCTCCAATTATTTGTAATACACATGCAATCTTCCATTCTAATTTATAAAATGGTAATATTAATTCTTCTTTTTTTTCAATCAATTTTAAATGTTCAATACTAATTGAAATTAATTTTAATACATTCTCTTTAATTAATTCTGATTGAATTGGATGATTAGATTTTGTTAATTGATTATATATTCTGATGTTTTTATGATGATGATGTTATAATGATGTTGATTGTTATGAATTATTATTTTGATGATGTTATGTTGTTATTATTATATATTGTTATGATGATGAATAATAATAATATTAAATATATTAATAATTAAAATAATTAAAATAACATACTGTTCATATCTTTTTTGAATAGTAATATAATCACCTGATGAAAAAGATTCATTATTAGCTTGAATAATAGAAGTAATTCCTTGTAACATGGATTGTTCTAATTGATTTAAAGGTTTACTTGTTGATGATTCATTATTATTATTATTATTATTAACAATAAGACTTGTTGTATAATTACAAGGCTTTAGGTTATTATTCATCATAAATAAATTTAATGATGATGAGACATGTAATGATGATGACGGAGTAGTAAATAAATGTTTCAATGATGAAGAACCTCTGATTGGTACATTCTTAAAACCTTTGACGGAATGAAGAACAGAACGATTTAATGTAGAGAGCAAACCTTTCATTTTTTTTCAAAAAAGTACTTTAAAATATAATTGTCTAATTTTAGTAATTTTTAATTAAATATATTAAATTAATAAATTGTATTAATAATTCTAATACAAATGAAGCTATCCACCATCTTCATATCTACAACCTATTGATGGTCAACCAATAATAACACAACAATCATCTTATCCAATTCAACAACAATTATTTCAAACTAATAATCAAACTAATCAACATTTCAATATTACTAATGCTACTCCAATGATTAAAACTGAAATAATTAGTAAAAAATTTCAAGATTTAAACAAAAATCATCAACACACTATGAATATACATTACAAAATCAAGATACTATTGATAAATATTTATGTTGTGCTTCAATGGGTTTTTTTAGATGGTGTTCAATTGTAAATCAAATTGAACATATTACTATATTTGATAAACAATCCAATCAATTAAATAATAATAATAATAATATTTCTAATAGAATTGATAATAGAATTATAAGACCACCATCAATACATTCATCTAAACGTATTAGAAAAAGTGATAATTGTTGTTCATCATGTAATAATTTATGTGATAAATGTAATTGTTGTATTGATTGTTGTGGAACTGGTGGTGGTTCATCTAATTGTGGTAATTGTTATATGGGTGATTGTGGAAATGGTGTTGTTTATGCTGTTATTATTTTATTAATTATACTATTATTCAGTTTTATATATATATTTTATTAATTATACTATTATTCAGTTTTATTAGGTCTATATATAGTACCTGCTCCTATTGCTATATTTTTAATTTTATATCATGAAAAAATTACAACTATTCAATTTAATGATGAAATTAGTAGAGCTAAATATTTTAGAGAATATTGTATATTTGGAACATTTGCTATACCATGTCACATGATATTTATGGTCAAATAATTTCGAAAGATGATTATTTTCTTGTAAAATGGTCACAGAGTTAATATTTCAAAACCTTTACAATTGAAATAAAATGATATTAAATGTGGTGCTAATTAATCAAAGAAATATTACATTTATGGGAGATAAAATTCATGAAAATTGGCAATGGTC